GAAGGTAACTGTCAAAGTTAGTATAATTTGATGTTCTCATTACCACAATTATATACGCCAGTCTATAGACATATCCCTTACCTTCCTTGCCTCGATATTGCCGGTAATCTAGTTCTGGGGTGCGAGTGAAAAACTCAGCGTGAAAAATTCCTAATAATTCTAAAAACCTATGATAAATGCTCAACGTAAAGATATCAACTGCAAATAATCACAATTAATTCTTTTGGTAAATCTGACGTAAGAAAGCAAATAAGTCTTGGCTGTTCAGAATAGTTAACGGTATCATCAGTCCCTTATACTTGGTAAGCCATATTAGGCGGGAGAAATACCATGTCTTTCACTACATATGTTAGGAGATAGCTGACATCGCCGGCATGAGCGTAGGGGTTTTTCGCATACCAGCTTCCCAGTTATTTTCTCTGTATCATAGTACATGGAAGAACACCACCGTAACATATTAAGAAAGTCAAAAAGTGGACGCCCTTTCTCCCATTAAAAAGGGATATTAGTAGTACTTGGCTAATTCATGGCCCTCAGATTAAACTTAATACATATTCGTAGTGTATACTATAAACAAGTGAGAAACTGCTAGCAATCACCATTCCATGTGTTGATCATCCTTTCGTATTCACCAACAACTTCTCCAGAAACTAAAGTGGGAATAGGAGAGGGGAGGGCTTTGTTGAAGCACCTAAATAGGCGGATAATTTTAGATTGCTAGTAGCCAGTCCAAGTCGACCTTAACAACTGCATTCCAATGGCTTGGTCGCTAGGATGCTTAGCAAGAACATACTTACACTGTGATGGACTCTCGAAGGTATAACCGAAATCTCTCCAGTAATTGGAGCTGAGGAAATATGCATACAGATGCACTATAGTACCTGATCTACCTGCAGTTGTCCAACTCCAGCCCTGATCATACTACGTGCCGAAAAGGTGCGAAATTCGATTCTTGTGGATATCTAGGAGAGCAGGGCGAGCAAAGCTTGAGATACCCAGAGCAATGTTAACTAGGTGAATTCCGGCCATCTCGGAATGGGGCTTTTAATATGAACTAGCAAAATTAAGTCAATAGTGGGGGAGGCAGGTGTGGTGTTGATGATTGGTTGCTGCTTGCAATCGCCTTCAGTACTTTTCTACTCTAATTAGCAGCTATTTCTGCGAACTTAGCAGTACCAGCCAGGACTGGTAAAGAGTACTTGGCATCAAAGACTGGGTAGTGCTTATCGGATTTTATTTCGTTCTCTATGTAGTTGTCTTTGTATATATAGCTGAAAGAGGACAGGAAGATGGGAATAGATTGTGACCATGTCAGGCAAAAAGTCATTCAGTGAACGTTTCTGCAAAAGTGAGAAACGCCGGCCAAAAAGACAGAGCAAAGATTTGTTACTATTGTATATAATACTGGTCCTATCTGGCCAGCCATTTAAAATAGAAAGAAAGCAGGTAGAACGAGAAATATAGCACCTTAACTGTCAACCTGACGAATACCGCTAGTTTATATTTGGTTACTTAGAATGCAAATTTGCATCTAAATGAGTTCTTATTCATCGTGGCATGACGTATATGAATTAGGTGCCAAGTCAACAACATTCCATAATAATTTGTTTTCGGTAACAACTCCTTGCCCCACCTGAGAATTTATCCACGGCGAAATATGGCAAACTCACGGTTAAGTTATCAGTCCAATTCTCTATGCTTACCTTGCTATCTTTATTTGCCCTCTTTCCGTTTCTATCCAGCTTATTTATTGGCCGAGTGACTCCAGTTTTAGCCGTGTCTGTTTGACCTCGCGGTCATTTTTGCTGTTATGTTTTCTCCTTTTTTAAGAGCCACTTTTGCTTACATCAACGTCTACCCAAACTTCCCTTCTGATTTTCTCTGCGTAAAGAGGCACACAAAGGACATGGTCTAATAGATGATATATAGAGAGAGTTCTGACTTATAACGTGGGAAAATAGCCCGAAACAAATATGCGGGCACAGTCGATCTTTCTATTCTGTTTATTGGGTCATCCATCTGCGGTCACACAGCTCTACGCATCATCCCTTGCAAATCAGTTTCTTCTTGCCCTAGCAGCCTAACTACGGCGGAGGAAAGCGGATTAACCCGTGATGCTACGACCGAAAAGAAGGCCGTATGAGAGAAAATTACCAAGTTTGAGTACTATCTTTTAAAAAAGATATAATTAGAGTTGATTAGGTTATATTAACTATAGCTGTCAACGTATAAATAATCTCGGATTTTGTCGGATATCTGACGTCTGTCTCGGCACTTGTTTTCATCCACATTCTGCCACAATTTGTCGCTAGAGTCTTCGGGCAGGACATCAAACGGCCAGCTTAGAGCAGGTTAACAAATACATAATCAATACATTCACGCAGTAGCCATTGGAGATCATACTTAATTGCATTCCAAATGATTCATCTATTTCAGTTACAGAGATAATTGTGGTTTTTATGGTTGGATGTTATTGTTTGCGCTTGGACGATCTGGCCACTTGCTAATGTTGACGGAACTGCCATATTCAATTAGGTGGCTCTCATTGGAGGTGTTTCCACGTCTCACCCAATTCCCACTGCCGATACTTACTTTCCAAGAGCCCACACATTCCATAAACGTGGATGAAAAGGCCAGGATAAAGCAAAATTCAGTTAGCTTTGCCATATCGTTTCCAGATCGCTGGATGTCGGTAAGGAAGACGGAAAGTGATTCGAACGATGTCTAGAAAACCGTATATATGCTTGGATACAAGGTGCTTCCGTTGCTCATATATTCTCAAGAATTTACTAATGATCATGGCCAGCCTTCATTCCGTTATGAAGTTTGCTATAGCAATGCTCACTTACTTTCCGAACCCAATGGTGTAAGTAATGTTTTTGATCTGCAACGTATGCTACATTCCCATTTGCTGATGTTTGCTTTCCCAGATAGCAACAGACCCCAAGTTATGACCAAGGGTATTTTGAGGCGTCTTCAACACTTAGTGGACACGTAGTTTGTCAACCAACTTACCAGTATACCTATTTGGATATGAGAGGTATTATTTGTTTCGTACTTCTGTATGAATGAATGATATTCTTCAATCATTTATGATCAAACATCTCCGCATTTCATTGGATCCCACATACTATAACTGCTATAGCCAATCTCAGGATCTTAAATATTCCACTGGACTAAAAGACCACAATATCTGATCCCACTGGCTCCTAAGCACCTTATATAGTAGCGCACTGTAATGTTAGGTGACGCACCCACACCTAACAATAACCAACTACAGGAAGAAGTAGCAGGTTTATTACCTAAAAATATAGTTTGCTCAAATAGATAGTGCTCGCCGAGAGAGACGACCGAACAAAATTCCAAAAACTGATAATTGTGAAAAGAGTACTCGAATCGACCTCGGTGTGGCTTTCCTCATGGCACACGCGATAGAGGAGCAAGAGATACAATGTACATAGTACTGCAGCTATGGATTGGCCACTCGTAGCGGGGCCACCAGAATTCGTCATCCTCGTAGTGTTGACACAGCTTATCTGCACACATTTTTGCTCGCATGTTTGGAGTTCGACATGAAAATTAGGAATGAGTCTGTCCGCCACTCGCAGATAAGATTAATACTTTCTCTCCACTTCACACCCGGAGCTTCAACATTCACCTTTAAAAAGATATAACTATGTCCAGTTGTGCTTGTGATGATGACACTTAGACATCGCATTCAGCCCAACGCAGTGACGCGATGTTTATGTGGTTTGCAGGCAGAACGTATTGGGATGAGAAAGGGTTGAGGGCGCAGGGTTAGGGCTGGGAAGCTCCCCACCATATTCTCGCTCTGCCATGACAACCCCCCGTTCCTTTCCTCCTATATTAAGTATTCTTGATATAGGATTCAATATGACTTTATCAATCTGATCCGCCTGGGTGCCGAGGGGTGAGAACTTTCGAATTTGTCATTTGTTCGATTTCTTCAGATGCAGTAACAATCCATTTGAATTGCTTTAGTCGCTTTCCATTAGTGCATTGGTGCGTCAGCTAGATATATACCATCTCAAAGGAACATAATGGAGAGCTCTTTCGATATACGTTTGATTAGCATTGTGAGTGAACTGGATCGATAGGGTTAGCAATCAGTAGTATGGCTCTTGCATGGTTTTAACGAGCTGACGATGGAACGAGCAATCATGCGCTTGTTCAGCCAAGAAAGCACGCCCTTTGGGTGGATGTAAGCGGAGCAAGTCCCCAGACAAACTACTCAGTTCGACCGGATAATCTTATTCAAGGACTTGATGAACTTAGCATATATATCTCGTTCGTAATGGTCCAAAGATTGTGAAACGTCCAAACTGGAGGAGTGTTCAGGAAGTACGCAATTCAACTTATGCCTCTTCTTTCGGCTACTCCTGATTTGATGCGGATCATACCATCTAGTCGCATCAGTGCAGATGAGGCGCTTAAACTTCTCGATAATACCGAAGTCCAATGGTCTTAATAAACACAGATTAGGACTCTGGCTAGGAAGCATAAAGCCTTACTCCTATTATTGAAATTATAGAACCACGCAATCCACATCTCTATCTGTGGTCCCGAAGAGTACGCAGCTCAGTATTATAGCTCATTTTTCATTCCAATCACCGATATTGTGCCGCTCACCCGTTGTAGTTCAAGATATCCATACTAAATAGCGTCTCTGGACACATCTCCCGGCTAGCTCTGGCAAAGAAAAACCCGCGACCTTGTCAAAGCCCAGCGTTTCATAATATCTACCTTGAGTTGAGCTACTCCCCAGCCATCTCATCGCTGCACTGAATTTCCAACTACCTGTTTAGTTTTCCGCCGTTTCCTGCCCAGCAATCCACGTACAGCGTGATGACTTTGTTGTTCGACCGTCCATGGCGCTTGACAGCCTCTATCAGCCCGGCTGCAACGCCCCATGAAGTGACCCTGTTCGATTGTCTGAAACAATCACTTCCAAGAACAAAAGGTTATTGGCTTTCTCTACTCTAGGTCTGGAGCTCTTGCTGCGCCGTGAGATAGTTTGACAATGATCGCACACCATGGCAGTCCCGACTCGCACAAGCCTCTTTCCATCTTGCATCTGTCCACTTCTGTTGACACCGTTTGGGGAATCGACCTCGCGATAAAGATATTGTGGCATCCTCATTCTGTTCTGACTGTTGAATAATCTCTACTGTGTCTTGATGAAAACCGTCCCTCTAAAAGAAAGGCCGCTCCCCCCATATTCCACCAGCGCCAATGGATGCGAGATATAGAAGGGTGGAATCGAACGCCGCGATAATGAACTGAGCATCGTCGAAAGCCAGACTTGCGCCGCGGGTGTGAAACTGGTTGACCCCGGACATGGCGAGGATTGCTGGTGGAAGAGGACAAAAGTGGTGATACAAAGAATTCCTCCCCACCTCTTAGCTAAGAGTTCTTACCAATATCACATTACAATGCCGATCTAAGACTCCGGCGGTGATTTAATCACATATCAGTTGAAACTATTTTCCCATAATGCGCCGAGGATGGGCTTTATGCCACTGGTTATAATGGTTACAATTGCCTCTTCGGCTCCCAAGAGACTAAGTACATGGTCAAATGTATCTATATGGAACGTCCTCTATACCATCTTCACCCTTACCACTCTCCCTACGAGCATTCTCTTTACGATCTACTGTGTTTGCCCTCCATCCATCCCCACCTGCATGACCTATCTCAAGCAGCAGGCACGAAGATATTTCCTTTTAGTGGAAATACGCCCACGCTGTAAAATTCCACATTCAAAACTCTCCTTCTCGTGCGTGAGGCAACCGCTTCGTGGTCATCTCGCCTCCAGCCGACCTGGAAGCCTTACCTTATCGCGGCATTCTCTCCTGCGACGACTCCATCCGTTCCTATCCCGCTGGTGGTGTGTTACCACTTCTGCATAAAGTCATCCACTTCTACGGCGGAGCGTATCATATAGAAAGCAGCTTGGGATGAGAAGTCAGTAAACACGTAGAATATCCGGTGCCTCAACTGCAGTATAATCTCCCTCAACAGGCATACTTCGTACCCGCCATGTGCAGTACGGTTTCACTGCATACGCCTCCGTGCTGCACCTCTGCACATACCACCCGGCCACGTGGATGTCTCGGGAGAATCTGCAGGCGAGAATCTTGTGCTCACCCTGCTTTGTTATCTGAGTATAAACGAACGACGATGGTGGCAATGGTGTCTTCCTACTCCCTCAGACAACCCTACGAATCGTTAGTTGGATCTGCGTTGTGAACGCTATATGAGGGAGCAGGAAACAGAGGTCGAAATAGTAGAGACCTAGAAGGTACCCTACAATACGTTTGGGGCGGGAATGATAGGGGGCCTGTGAAGCTGGATGTAATTCCATTTTGTCCACATTGTGTTCACACTTTATTTTAATCAACTACCATAACGTTGTTTGAAAACTCGAAGCATGGAATTTCATTATCGGTACAAAATTAATATATCTCGTACGTTATGTTAGTGATCTGGTACGACGCCTTTGGTTGCCAGCAAAGGGGGGAAGCAAGGGGAATCTTATGTTATCCTGTTGTTCCCACTATCTTCATGCACGAGAGGTAACATGTGTCAGATTGAGCAGATTGCCACTATTAGCACAAGATATATCTTCGTGACTTCCCCTTCTTATCTCTAGATATAAGAGTTGCTTCAAAGTCCTTGGATGTCACATGCAAATTGCCACTGGGATTGAATATAAAGCTCTTACCACAGTGGCCCCGCCTCGACAGCCTGCAGGGATCATCAATCCAGGTCACTGACTTCACATTCCACAAGGCGTGACCAGCAAAATTGAACAAGGGAAGCTGTCTCAGATGAACTCTCGTAGATAGCGAATACCTTCGTAGCAAGAGCAAGAGCAAGAGTCAGGGCACTAGCGAAAGCTGTAAAATTCTATCTTGAACGAACTTATGCCAGGTCTACTAACAAAGAAGAACACTTAGACAGGTGACACTGGGAGACACCAGACGCCGTAAATTTAATGTCAGCAGATCACTGAGACATTGTTGCATTACCAATGGCCTAAAATGCCGGTCCATCGAAGACGGTTCCACTAGTGGTAGTACGGAGTATATGTTGAAACCATATTCATATCCTCATTCGCCAGTTTGGAGCGTGTTGGTCACAATACTAATACTTTTTTCGTCGTACGGCCACTTGATGGCAATCACACTGAAATAATCAGGCCACTGGGCAAGTCTCGTCTGACTTGTAGCATCATGGCAATTTGATGATTTTAAGAGCATACTTGCCCCACAAGCAGTGGACAAGATACATGTGTTGTACTCTGTATAGTCTGATAACAGTAAACATCGATATTGCGATTGTGGGCTTCGTGCCAGCTGATGGATTTGTTTGTGGTTACTCTTGACTCAGAAAAAGTTCAGTCTGGCGGTGAGGACACCCCAGCTCTTCTCCATTCTTTAGTGTACCAGGATCGATGGCGAATTTGGCGCGGACTGTCTTAGTGCGATTTACTATGGGTCAAGCTCAGTGGCAGTGAAGCATTAACTAAGCTGTAAATAGAACTTTTGTCTGGCAACTGGAATATGTACTGCCCTGCCTGGAACGACCAGTGAAGGGTTACACTGCAATGCGTGCTACGAAAATCTTTCTCAAAGGCACCACCACTACCAAAATCCTTCACTGAAATCTTGCCTTTTGTGCACACTCTCCCCGCCATCCTCTGATTGTTGTTCAGAATGTTTCCTTATTAGGATTAGTGTTATTGTATTCAGCCTTGCTTTCTGGACACTGCTATTCTGCCCGCATGTTTCTATTTTTCACTTATTCTCATACTGGTTTTGTCTTGCTTTGATAGTGTACACACATGTTTTTGCTACGCACTTCTTTAAAGTCCACCACACCATTACTGCCCTTACTGCACTACTATTTTTTACTGAACCTGATATATTATATAATTTATTGTGTTTGTTCTATGTGTTGTCCCTCCTCTGTCCTTCCTTTCTAATTTGTTTTCTTAGGTATGTATGGCCCAGCCGCACTTGTTAGGTATAATAAATAAAATATTTCGTGGTTTCATGCAGCTCTTTTATCTACACTAATCTCCTAAGCTTCTATCTGCAATATGACATCCGAAGCTAATAGTCTTTCTATGCACACTAATTCCATCCGAGCCACTGGCACGGCAGTAGGTATCGTGGTCAACCTAACTAGGAAGTTTCACGCTCTAACTAAAGAACGCAGTTAACACACCCTTATAGCCAAATTCTTTGATATGGATAACCTCTACACATTTTGCACTAAACCACCCGCATGCGTTCTGTTTAAACTAGATAAGCCTCAAAGCACGGTATTCGACCACCTTCCATCTTCAACCATGCTCATAATTACCAGAGAACCATGTGCAAGACTCAACTCTTTCCACGGTGATTCTAGACATCAAGAATAATCTTGCTCGAAGAGGTCATGACTCTCACCGAAAATATTGCTCCCTGTATGTCCTACTATCAAGAGTGTTGAGTGCGATTATTTGGAGGGCTTCGTCTTCTGCAAAAGATTAACATTGAGGATCTCCGCTACACTCCTGGTCCTAAATAACAGAAATGAAAAAATTACGCTACAGGAGGAAACCATCTCTGCTTGGAGTTTTTCCGAGTCTTAAATAATAATTACATAGTAACTACAACATAGACGTACAGGACATATTTCCACGGCTTTTTGGTGCCTAAAAGACTCCTTGTTTCAAGGCTTAAAGCGTGCGGCAGCGCGTGTCAGCAGTGAGAACGGTACTGTCGTCCGCCCATGGGCCATGCACGCAAACAGCTGGATAATCACAAGCCTTTTTATGCGCACCCCCGCTTACGATTGGTTTCTTAAAGTTCCCTTTCTGGGACTTTTTTTTTTTTGGGCCGGATTTAGTTTTAACAACAGCGTTCTTGGCATACATAATTTCTTTTCTAGCGCCTGCCATTTGCCATTGCTAGTTTATATATCTCTCTTCATCTGCCCACGCATTCTTATGATTTATTTCCACAGGCTGTTTTTGATTTGTCCCAGATAACTATTTTAAGCTATCATGTGTGATGAGTTGGTTATCTCTGCGCTAGCAGAGATAAAAGCACTCGACCATATAAAAAGGTACAAGTCGACTGATCGACAAATCAGTCGCATCTAGCACCCTATATAGTAGCGAAGGCCTTAGTCTGAGCACCATACTGGGTTTAACCCGCGACATCATATCTTGTTAGGTGCTTAATATATACTGCATTGCAACACTTGCTGCTGATGTATTTTTAGCTTGTCCTGCATATAGTGTGTATTTAATTTTGTGTAGGCATTTATTTGTAACATACTCAACCACCGAGTTGCAGATAAAATTCAACTATCTAGAAGTACAAACATATGTATACTTATATTACTCCGTATAGGACATATAATAACACCCTAATTCCGCGACATGGTGGAGTGTACTAAATAAAACCGTTCCTGCTCTGGGTTTTTACTATCCTACTTAAGATGTTCAAAGTTTCTCTAAATAATTAAAAAGAAAAGGTATTATTTTCTAGCATGTTATAATTTACTATCTTCCTTTAACCAGCTGCTACTTTTAGACAGTTAAAACTTATTCTCTTTGTTCAAGAAATCTGGAAAAATATGTGGAAAAGTCGCGGTTCGGTAGTATATGCAGCTCGGTGGTTGAGTACATTAAAATAAATGCTTAACTACCCAAAATTACCTCCTCTTTCATAACTTTCTCGTTCGCTTTTCCTCCCATGGCTGCAGCGTGCGACAGCGCGTGTCTCTCGTCTAGAATGTAAATTTGCATTCTAAAACAGAGTATAATTAGCGGTATTTCTCGTGTTGACAAGCTGTTAGTCTTATCCTGGTTAAGGTAAAGATTAGCAATGACTCTCACGTTAACCGACCCTGAGTGTCTTTCTTCTTGGCTTTTAACTGGACTCGTGTTTCTCTCAAAATTCGATATTAGGCTTTCCTTTATCCTGTTTTTATTTTATCACACAGAATCTCATCAAAATGTCCCTTCTTAGCCTCCCAGACAAATTGATCTTCTGCATTGCACAAAATCTTCAAAAGGAACAGTATATCAATGCTTTTTCCCAGACAAACCGTCACTTATATAGTCTTCTATTCCCCTATCTATGCCGACATAATATTCAATACTGGGGCAGTTCTGCATTGTTATGGGCCGCAGAGTTTGGACTAAGAGAGCTCACTAAAACTCTTATATCGGAAGGCGCAAATATCCACGTTTCAAACCCACTAGCACAAACCCCATTATTCCTCGCTTGCTACTTCGGCCATACAGATTTGGTCAAGTTCCTTCTGGACCGAGGTGCATATACGGAGGGACTAGATAAGCAGGGCGCAACACCCCTTCATATGGCAGCATCGAGTGGACACAAGGAGATATTAGAGATCCTAATTCAAAGATGCTGTCATCTTGAGCTTAGAAGCGAAGACGGTCAAACACCTCTCCATTCAGCCGCATTCCACGGCCACACAGACGCTGTAGATGCTCTCTTATCTAAGGGAGCTAGCCTAGAAGCCAGGGATAAGCATGGTGGGACACCTCTCCATTCAGCGGTATGGCAAGGTCGCGAGGCAGTGGTGAGATTACTACTTGGTAAAGGCTCTGATCCAAACTCCCGAGGAAAAGGTGGGGAAACCCCTCTACATGATGCAGCAAGAGTAGGGCGCGAGAAAATAGCTAAGCATTTACTTGCACATGGCGCTTCTCCGAACATGAAGGACAAACTTGGTATTACGCCGATTCAGGCAGCATCACACTTCGGCCACAGAGGTATCGTGAGTGTCTTGCTTGAGCAAGGAGCCTCTCACAAGCAACAGGACAGGAATGGTCGGACACCGCTTCATTCGGCTGCAGGACAGGGCCATGCATCGGTAGTAAAGCTGCTTCTTGATGCTGGTGCAATTCCAAATGTTTTAAGCAGATACAATGAGACACCGTTACATGCAGCGGCATATGGAGGAAATGAAGATGTTGTCAACCTTCTTCTCGAATGTGGGCTTGATCCAGAAGCCAGAGATAAACAAAATATTACGCCCTTCGATGCCGCAAGTTGGAAAGGACATAAAGCGATATTGGCCCTTTTCCGATCAAAGCTCAACTCTCAAAGCAGCACGCTGCCCGCGACAGAATGAGGCAAGGAAATACCAATATGATGGCAAGATTGGTGGAAGAGATGCTCGAAAACAACATATTAATATTAAGTACAACATCAAATATTTCGAGCTGATTTAGTTGTTCGGCCGCAGGTATCAGCCCGCGTCTATCCAAAATCGTATATTGCCATCACCATGACCTTGACGCGCCGGCTAAGACGGTCAAGGACTGGCTCAATATTGCTCTTACTTTCTTCTACGTCATTTCGAGACAACGGTGTGCGATAGCGTGTCACTAGGTGACAGTGAATTACTAGAAACAGTATAGTATTCCCATTTGGTATTTGGAAAAAGTGCACACGTGCAGCTTAGCATCAGTGCGTGGCAAAAGTGTTAACAATGCGAATAGGTAATTGGAAATACTACCAAATGCCTCGAAAACCACACCCCACTTAAAATGTTTGATGGCTATGTCTAGCTTTGAGAAGCACTTTACCAGGTCGATATCAATAACTAGGCCGGCTGGCCCAATGGCAAGGCGTTTGACTACGAATCAAAAGATTGCAGGTTCGATCCCTGCGTCGGTCAGATATGGTTTTGTTTTTGTTCTTATCCCATTTATTATCCCTTTAGTCAATATCAAGGCATTATTGACCTAGCGTCATTTCTGTTAGCTCTAACAGGCAATGCTCATAAGGTGCCTTACTTAGTACCTGGTATTGTTTCTGCGCCGTAGTTTTTAGCAAACCTTTTGTAACCTTGAACTTGAACGTACATTGAGCATAGCAATTCATGTGGAGGTGTCAGCGCAACAACAGATCTAAGGTGGTTGTCAGCATCGCCCGGTGGTATTCGAATATATATCCGCCGAGATAGCTTGGTATATAATAGAATTGGAACAGAGAAACAGCTTGGTGTCGGTTAATATCAGTAATTTTTTACACTGTATCAAATTATTTCTTGTAATTTTTAGTATATAATTAGAATATGTGAACCATAAAATTACGCGTATTCGCAAGTATCGATCCTTCATTGAATTAGGTCTCTGATTCAACAAACTACCAAAACATCTCGCATTTATAAAGGCGAGGTAAACAAATGAAGAATGCAAACTAACTAATGTAGGAAATATAATTTGACTGAGAAAGGTGCTGAATAATCAATATTACCATAATTGTCGACAGAATTGTTAGGAGCGCTCGGAAGCTCGATGCGCGATAGCCAGTTAGCTTAGCCAGATCCTTAGCTAAGATGCTTAGTCAGGTGCGAACATAGTTTTTTATTTAGTTAACTCGTTAACTATTCGCATCTTCTGACCTGAATATTTGGGTCAGCGATTAGTTCTGCAATATACATGGTCGTATTTTCCCTCCTATATAGATACTCCCGTTCGTACCATACATAGTGCATCATTCAGTTTGTTACCGACCCCACGCATAACAATAATTTAAATTATTTCCAGTTAATCCATGCTAAGGTTCAAAGGGAGCTGGCACCGTGATGGTATCATTGTCATGATGTCTTTTATCTGCTTGTCAATTAAACGGGGCCAGAGGCTTGAACTCCTTTATAGCAAAAATACACAATTGTATCACCCAAAAGACCAAGATAGAGAGGCGGGTGGCAAAAATCTAAGTCATGTGACCGACGCAGGGATCGAACCTGCAATCTTTTGATTCGTAGTCAAACGCCTTGCCATTGGGCCAGCCGGCCTGTGATTGGTTAACTGCTCCAAGCAGAGTCTTTGATATTATTAGGGCAGACAGACCGTCATTGCCAGGCACTCCGTAGTTAGCTAGTATCTTCTATATGCTTCGTAAACAAATTCCACGTTAAAATAATCTTTAGAGCAAAATATATTAGTGTATAGTGGGAGATGGCCCTTTTATCTTTCTCTATACTCGTTATGTACGCGCTAGGCGGATTATTGATCAGACAGCGACATTGGGAAATTAGAATAGACCACCTAAGGTAGATAGGCCACACTCTTTGACCCAAGGGCCACGCACTACCATGTCCACAGTTCTTTTCCAACATGACCCAGAGTTACGCCGTATGTACTACTCCATACGTCCTGCGAAGTCGGCTAGCCTACTGTTTCGAATTTCTCTTAGTATCGCAAAACCATCCCCGAAGGCCAGGCATCACCACCACACGTGTCTCGTTCCAAGACTGTCGCCAAGAGAAGAGTGGTGGACCAAATCCATCAGATAATGATATGATGTACGGACACATCCCGGCACAAAAGTACCTGGGAGGCGAGAGTCCGACCGATCAAACAGGGGTACGGGAGGGGGGACTGTCTGGTCTGAATAGACTAAAAAGGGTCAGATGATAGACTAAAATCTTAGATCGACGGGGAAGTAGGGATTCTCGAACAATTCGCGGCAACAGGCGAATTGCCCCTCGTGCAATCTCCACCTCGAGGCAAAAGTCAATCCAACACCGTGGAATAAGAAACCGTCTGCCAAGACTTCACGTGCCGATCCGTCAGGGGTAGCAAATTTATGGATTTTAAATTTCTATTTCTGCCGATTCCAACCACACTGTCATCTGGTCTGGAAAAAAAAAAAAAAAAATATGGGAGATCCACCCAGTATGACATGGCACTTGGCCAGTCCAGTGGTCCTGGGTATAAGAACGGGTCAATGGCTCAACTGGGGATAGGATCCTCGCAAAAACTTTTCTGATTGTGTGTGTGTGTGCCCCATCGACTCCGCTGCGGGCCTGCTAATTTTCATCGAGGATTTAGACTGTTAACGACGGACCCGACATTTGAGGTTTTATCCCCCCCTCACTCGTTCCCTCCGCATCGCGACCGTTATCTCAGTCCTCTCAGGCTCTCCCTGGCCCGTCGTGATGGCGTTCGACTGCTACTGCGCCATCTGTGGCGTCGGGTTCTCGGGAATGCACATCGAGCACCCGTCTCAGACTGCGTTGGAAAGGCGGAGAAAGTGGATTGCGAAGCGAGCGAGTGCGTTGCAGGCAGGCAAGGATATCAGCCAATTATCGCAGGAAGAAGACGAGGCTCCAATCCGAAGTTACGATCCGCGCATCGTTGACTTTGGGAATATCGAATGGCTCTACAAGGCACATTGTCTAGCGGTGGACGAGAAGCCCAATGGGATGGGGAAGTATGTGTGGCCGCCATTCAATCTTATGGCACTGTTTAACCTCATCCAGGGCATTTATTTCCGGTCCTGGATATTATGCTGATATGGTAGGACCCTTTTCCATCCGTGTTCCGTATTCAGAAACTTACAACTGGATAGGGAGAATTAGTTGTCAAGGCTGGACCTGGTATTTTGAACATTCACTGTTGACGAATAGTTGTATTTATGCTATCTAGGTTCTGAGAGACCTCTACATCGGGACGTCTATTCATGGTATGACAAACAGTATTCAATATAGGTTATGGAAAACTAACCACTGTTTAGCTACTCCTACGGAAACGAAGCTGCCTCTGGGCCCGCACTTCCCTTCCACTGGTGTTGTTTCGAGATCCTAACCCGGATGCTCACGGGGTCGACTGACACCTCGAATCTGAACCTCGATGTCCTTTACAACATTATGAGTGCACTGAGTAACGCCTCCTCATCTGCACTACATCTCAGCTACGGAGACGACATCCGTCACGCTCAGGGCCGATACTGGGAGTGTATTCCCGGCGCCGAGGCAAGCAATCATATCGCCAATGTCGCAATCGATCCACGCTGACTCTACCCAGTATTGCGCAACGCACCCAACTAACACCCCTCAACTGGACACCTTCATCCAAAACACCATGACGAAAAGCACCCATTTGAAGCTCCCATCCGAGGAGGTTGAGGCCCGGGGACGTATCCCCGTTAATCCCTTTGGCCGACTGCCGTTGGAAATCGTGGAGCGCATCTGTCTATACTTGCCTGGGGAGTCTCTGAAAGCGCTAATACAGGCCTCGTTGAGCATCCGGCTTCTTACACAAGATAACTTCTTCTGGAAGAGGTTCATGCAGTGGGATATGCCGTGGTTCTGGGAGCTGCATGCCTCCCAGGCCCTGAAGAAGGGTCCGGAGGATTTGAACTATAAGCGACTGTACTTGTTACTTGACAGCATGACGGCGCCACGGTATGGTATGGATGATCTTAGTGTGATTGGAGTAGCCAACCGTCGACGTATCTGGGGGGTGTGCGAGCAATTGGCACCGCATTATTTCAAAAGCTTGCATCAAACTCCGGTGGAATTGGTGCAATGTGCTTGACGGACAAGCCGAGCTCTCTGGCCAGTGGAATTTGGAATGCTGCCGTGCAGAGTACTCCATTTCAATCACGACACTGAATTATGACATTTGAATGATCTTGGAAACGAATGTAAGTTCTCTCTCCTGGCACCTATCCGCGCATACTTATTCTTCTTAGATTCCTGCATACTGCGTACATACTATAGACTTGCTTTATATTGCTTGGGGCGTTTACAGGTTCACGGATAGAATAGACAGTATATAGTTATGAACTACATAGTACAGCCATAATAAATACGAGAGATCAAGACGAATGCTCACACCTGCGAAACTAAATCTTGCGCCCATCCATCTCTGCCTCCAGATCAATTCCCACCTCACATACTCCTCCGGACCGAGCCCGTAGCCGACCGAAGCTTCCCACTCACATGCTCCATGGTAATCATTATTGCAATATCCTGGTCCATGCGATCGGCGACATGTCCTGTCCCAGCGTCATCCACGACAAACTGCATCATCCGATACGCAGCATGCCAGTAATCCCTCTCTACTCCCTGATCTCCAGCGAATGGGGAATCACCGTAGGAAGAATAGGATACAACCGCTCTCTCACCTTCGCCAGATCGTCTCTTCGTTGGTAAAGCATTCCCTCAATCTCTCCATTCCAATCTACACGTTCCTCCAGAGTCCCAAGAACCTCATCCAAGAGTCCCATATACGAAATCGTCTCCACAACATTACTCGTCAGATACGTAGTTGCCACCATGACGAGCCCCCACTGCAGTCTGAGAAGATACATCATCGTGGTCCCCTACGTCGTGACTCCCCCATTATGCCAAATGATTCGCTCCCCATGGTACATATCCACCTACTCCCGAGAGCATACAGATGCGGCCCGGAGAATATATTCAATAGATCACTGACACAAATATTCCTCAGCTGAAACGTCACCTCATACTCAACGGCGCTGTTTTCTCATCATACATTAGATCCATCGCACATCGTCAAGTACATTACCGTACTGATCATGGCTCGGGCACTAGACACGGTAGTGAAGCCCGCCGTCGGTTCACTCGCGTACTTCTCTTCCACTCATACCCCTGCTCCAGGGGAAACAGACTGCTCCTTCGTGCGTCGTCAGATATACATAAGGTATTCTGCATGTTCAGGGGACTCCAGATGCGATCGCGGAGAAATCGGTCCAGATTCGTCCCTGTGATGGATACTATCATGTGCAAAACAGCAAAGTACATGAGATTACTGTAGATTAATTTGGATCTCTGCTCTCTGGCGAACAATAGATGACACAGAAGGTGTATCTTATTGCGTACCGTGACGCCCTGGACCGCGACGAATCACAGGTGATCTGGAATGCTGGAGCGGTGGGAGAGGGCGTCTTCGATGGTAATGTGTGCGGTACCGTATTCGTCTTCAACAATAAAGCCCGGTGTTACTGATGAGAGACATGCGATCTAGTCGATTGCTTCTGTTGGTTCAGCGCCTGCGGATTTACTATTGCCTATAAGAAGTGACGTCGCAGCTACAGGGAACGACTTGGTCGTGCTGACTGTGTGGTATAGCGTCTCCAGTGTGGCTTTTGTATCCGGGCATATGGCGATTCCATAGCACTGATTAACCGAATTAGCTACTCTTGCGCTTCATAGTAGAGAGTGAGAGGTGTTAATAAGGCTACCTTGGAGAGTGTGTAGGGACCATCCACGATGGCAATGGACACTCCGGGAACGTGGTATTTCTCGAGAAGTTCGTTCACACGCGCCTGAAGTACTATTATCAGAGAAGATATTCCACGATGCATTTTATTGTTGTGTGGCCAGGGATACTCGAGAGGAGGGGATGTTGGAGACTTGACTACCTCAGACACGCTAATGTATGTGTATATTATCGGTTCATGGGATCTATAAGTACGTATCATATAGTTACTAGATACGCAGAATATAATTATGTTGGAGTAGGTATCGTGCGAGGTATGGGACTAAAAATGCACTCATGATATAGCAAAGTATACTACATTGGTTTTCTCCGGAGCAATTTATTTCTTTGGACTGATAATATCTTAGTAATGATTAGGAAGCAATTAATTACACATGCCTTTTGAGACCATGCATGCCATTCATCTCCGCAAACTACACCAAGCGTTCCTTAGATTTAAGGATATATGGTTGTATTTGCTGTATTACTAGACATATACGTTTATACACAATTAGTAGCAGTAGCTAGGAGAATAGAATATGGAATCGTAAGAATTTTATCCTTAAAATGCAAGTGTCAGCTGTTTGGGTAAGCCAGTTGCGAGGTATAGTTACAATGTAGCTCAACACAATGTACAGCTATAGATGTCTAACTCGCAGGAAGTAAAGCGCTCAAGGAATCGGCTGTGACCAAATCCATCTTTTCGCATTGACTAGTTTTTGTTTGCCTTCTTTCAATGCGCCTCATCAGACCTGCATGAATCATGTTTCTTAACAACTGTTGTCGCCTAAAATCACATAAGAAATCATTTTCAAACCCATCCACCCCTGTACCTCCCGTATTGTTTTCAGCCTCCAATCCAAGCTTCCGATCCATCAACATCCGCCTCGGAAGATTTCCCGAGTGTTGCCGACCCGAATCTCCACCAGTCCCAGCTCGCACAGTCCGTATTCAAACACCATGTGCAGAGCCTCATACACATAGCCCTTTCTCTCACAAACGGTCGAAGCATCGACCCTGCTGCACCAGCTCGGTATCCATAACTGTCCGATCGATTTTCAACGCAAACGGCGATCCAGCCAATTCCAGCAGTCTCAAGGGGCGTTTGGTGCCGCAAATCAGGGAGTTCGGATGAGTTAGCGGTTGAGAGACAGTTGTCCTTCTTCGAGCTGCTCTGTCGTGGGTTCGGAGATGGGCTTGACGAATTCAGAGTGTGTTTTGTTACCTAGCATATCGAGTAGGACTGAAATATCTAGAGACAAAGTGACAGTATTTTCCGACGTGGACTGGAGCTTGAAATGCGATTCTCCTGGGTGGTCGACTGTCCAGTATGGTGTGGAAATTAATGAAGTGCGCAACATGGTCGCTGGTCTTAGTTGCTCCTTTGTTTCAAGCTACCGAACAGAAAGAAATGCAAAGCACAGAGCAGATGGCAGAGAATATAACTATTAAGCGAAGACTCCCTGCTGGGCAAAGGAGAAACTGACCACGTGCTTGCTACCCAGCTTTCTAAGTATTCCTAGATACTTAGTATATGTATATACCCCTATACCTACCCTGTAACCTGCGGGATTAATTACTAAGTAAAACCAGTACGAAGTCGGGCTCAAATGAGTAGGACTTAAAGTGTACGATAGTTACAAAACATAGACCCACTGAACTCGAAACACATACATTAACGGTTAGTCAATCTTTCCAATGCAGGTTGATGCCATTTATTCACCTTCACGAACTACACTAAATTTCTTTAGATTCAAGGACATAAGTTTATATTTACTGGACCATTAGATAAATACATGTAATGCATGAAATTCAGGCTGGGATACCGACGGGGTGTCGATGGATGGCTGTCGGCAAGTCTCTGGATTGTCAGGTCCGATGGTGCTATAATGTAGAGATACCGATGGGGTGTCGATGGATGGCTGTCGGCAAGTCTCTGGATTGTCAGGTCCGATGGTGCTATAATGTAGAGGTACCGATGGGGTGTCGATGGATGGCTGTCGGTAAGTCTCTGGATTGTCAGGTCCGATGGTTTGTAAAGAAAGAAAATACCATACTAGCATCCTGCAATACATTCCAGTCGATGCTGAACGGGCCACTTAGGATACGAGGTTCTGACGCCCTGGAGACGAGGCAACTTCTCAAGCAAATATATCTACCAGCCAATAGCGCGCATTTAACATCGAGGTGATAAGAATTTGATACTATGAACACTATTGAAGTATCCACCTTTAGTACTTTAAAAAAACCTCAAGTGTGTTACGGGACTAAAGGAATGGTGACAATCCACATCATCCGCTGTATTCTAGGCTGGATGGGATCTCTACAAAGCACAGTTCTACATTAAATACGAAGACGTAGGTCTCGTGCATAGTCAATAGCCTAGGGAAGACAGGAATCACAAGATAGCAAGAGCCTATTGTACACTTTATCAAACTATAGCTACAACACCCGCTTCTAATTTATGACTTGTATCCCTAATAAACATGGGTATTTATCCTCAGTCAACAGTCTGGTAGACAACGGAGAGGACTTCACGAATTTGATCGACCGTTTGCGCCATTTCCAGTACCCCCCTGATAATCAGTAACTTGGTTCCATGACTAGCCTAACAGGCAAATAGGAACTCCTGCAGATGAATCCCATTCCCCCTACCTCGGGTGATTTAGGAGACATATCCATGAACACGAAAAACGCTCAATATGGACTCTGTTCCTTGTCACTATCACAGTTATGGTTGGTTAAGGGATGGGAATCAGACGGAAATACCCGAGGGGCGACGATCGACATACCAGTCCCCCTTACTTGAGACGCCTTCTCAGTATGGAGTTGGAGTATTGTGGCCCTTTCTATGCGGGGTAATTAAACTACGGTGAGAGCCAATTGCCGTCTATGAGTGGGTCTAGTGTAGAGTTTCCTCGAAGTATTAGTGGCATCAAATGGGTGGATTCATGTGCCAGAGCAAAGCTTGTTAGATATAATTGAGCTGGGCTTTGACTTAGGTATAAATATGCTGTACTATGCTCCCGATTCATTCCACTTCCATTTGTTGACCATATCATCAGCACCATGAAAAGCGCAATTCCATCAGACATATGGGAGACCAAGCGGGTCTTGATTACCAAGTTATACAAAGAGGAGGAATGGCCTCTGAAACAGGTGATGAAGGCTCTCCATTCGGCAGACTTCCGTCCAAGGTAACTTGGAGTTACTGGTTCAGATGCGGCCCCTCTGCACCCACAACGAATGCTAACATCTGTAGTGAAACCCAACTGAGAAGCCGTCTGAAGAAATGGAATATCACGAAACCATCGCGCAAGAAATGGTCCCCGAAAAGACGCCAGAGTGACTCAGACAAATCCTCATCTCCTAAGAGCCATCCTTCGCCTTTCGCTTTGCCTACAGATTTTCACAGTGGAGATGAGGGGGAAAGTGGCAAAGATTCCCTTGAAATACATGCTCCATGTTCCCCACTAGGAGTGCAAAATTCGAACCACCCGCAGCAACACACTCCTACAGTCGAGACCTCGGAGTCCCTCGCTGAAATATCTAACACAGAAAACACAGCATCGAATCTACAATGCATGTTACCGCCTGTGCATAGTTCCCCAGACCTAGCGACCCCCGCAAAACCAACGGAGCAGCCATTGCCGGACTGCGAACCAAGGCACTCGATCTTCCAGTGGCCCACATGTTTGTTCCCTGTGGACCTCGGGGCAATCAGCACTGCTCTGCCTTCAGACATCGCGCTGTTAGCGCAGCTAGGCTCCCAGGCAGTGGGGCCTTCAGCAAGCCACTCAGAATACGATCCAGGGCTCGATCTAGCCAGTGATAATCCATCCGAAGGCAACCTATTTGCGGGTGACTCCAAGCCAAGCCATGCTTTATTATTACCGCATAGTAGTGAGGATGCGTCTCCACCAAGTCTGCAGGGGGAAAATCCCGTGGGAAGCTGGGGATCGGGGCTGTTCCAGATGCCTGATATTGGCAGCTTATTCGACTACAACGACAACCCCATCTCAGATACCTGCCCATTTCCATATCAACCATTAAAACTCCCCTTTTTACAGTCACCTGTCTGGCCGTTTCTGGGCGATTTTCTGTTTGACTGGGATCAACGTTGATGTTTTGTAAACATGGTTACTCGCTGGGGAAAGTAAAAATAAAAACAATATATCTATTCCACATGCAGCAAAGAGCGTATGCGCCACTATCACATTTCACATGAAAACTCGGCCCTCAGACAAATACCGAAGACGGATGAAACGGAGGTTTTGCTCTAGTGAAACCACAAGGAATCTTGCCCCACCACATAAGCTTAATCAAAAACGAGTATGGTATTCTTAAGGAAGCCCACAAATCGCGCAATAGCACGACATATCCACCATTCTCCAGCCTCGGTATGGTGATCCTTCAACAGCGCAATGACATCAAGTACGGAGTCTAACCGTAGATCCCGGGGAAGGATAGACAAACCAGTGAAGATCATTAATACGAGAATGTTCCAGACACTGAGGGCAGAAATTCACATGAAATCTCTCCTGTCATCTCAGTACCATGATAGAATACCGAAAGGATTCACTAGCGTGTCAGTCTAACCCTACAACGAGGGCCGTGACAAATCATCGCAGGAAACGCTAAATACGATGAGACAAAGTTACCCCGGACTATCGATCATCCCTGTCTTATTAGTTCTTACGTTGACGATCAGCTTATCGCCTCGGAAGTCATCGATCTGTTGGGAGCCGAGGGGGCCGAGGCACAACTGCCGGCTTGGCAGGACCGTTGCCGTGATCTATTATCCATGACAATGTACGGAGTAGTATCTGGGGAAGGTGGTGGCTTGGGGATATCAGATGTGAGGATCAATACTTGGCCTGGAATGGCTGTTGCATGGGTATGTCTAGATGGGAATGAGGGAAATTATTCCATAAGTGCTGATCTCGAGAGTAGAGGGTTAAGGGATAGCATAGCCTCGTTTGAATCGGGGGTTTGACATTGCCTTCTTGGCTTGAATCATGTTTTATTAGGACATTCTAGAAATATGCTTTATTCATTCAATGTGAATCTTATCTGTGTTGCTACGTAGCCCAACCTTTGCTGTCAGTCCACAGAATATCGTCGTACAGTGCAATTATTAATTCTTAGGGGCCAGATGTATATATGAAACTTCATTGACATCAAATAAGGCAAGATACATTCGTTCATGGACTGCTTCTACGTTGACCTAGTACCATTCTCTTGAATTCACTAGATACTATAGTAATGGATTGTGTGCAAAGCGGCCGAGAAGTATCGGAAGATGCGCCATGTCATCTTCAAAGGGTCACAAAGTGCGAGAGGATCCAACAGTGGTAAAGCGATGATCTTATTTGCACTATCCTGTCATCAATAAACTTTAGTAATATAGAGGGGAGATTACCGCCCGCCATACAAAAATGGTTGTGCCTACCGAGGGCATTTTTGCAAGGTTTTATGCCTATAGTAGTGTCATTGAAGGGACAAACGCTAAGATCAATTCGGCTAGAGTATAACAGTAAATACATGCACAGATTTTTGATTTTTAATTTAATATTCAACTAGGGGTTCTCTTTTTACTTCTTGGAATCTTGAATTCCATCCACAACAAGATGCTGGAATTTCATAAGAAGCACATATCACTATCTTACATTGCAGAAACAAATGGACAAATGATATCACAAAGGAATGGGTGAATTAGATAGATGGATAGTTATTCATATTATAGTCCACATCTGTCTGTTATTGGCCTATTGGCGGACTTGCACAACTAGTTACCTGATGTGCCATCCTCGTATTAGGGGCGGTGTAGGGTGGGATTCTCCTAATCTTAATTCAGCAGTTTTGCGATTAACTTCTAGGCTAGGGTAGACCCCCAAACCTAGATGACTCCACACATATATACTCGGTATAGAGAATGCGAAGGGAGGATGCAATTGGAACTATGCCACAGCTTAGCCCTTATCCCGTCTAGGCTCTGCACATGTTTCTAGCCAGATACCTTTCCACTGGCGGGGGTCATTTAATGGTAGTTGTAGGATTGGGTGAATTATTATAGGTAGTTGTGGAGCTAGGAGCCCATGATAATACAACAGTAAGCCAATGAAACATGACACATAATACGTACCTGTGGAGTGTAGCCAAGGAAAGTGGTCTATATTCGACCCACTACCAAAGGCAAAGCAGGCAACCAAGCTATTAGTGGAGTATCAGGAACAATGCATCCTAACACGACAGTAATAGAACAAATACTGGCCTCTAAACTTTCAGGCCAAATTTTCAACTTTTTACAGAGCTGTGTTTCAAAAGTCATGAGCAGGCACTAGTATTTTTGCTGTCTTGGCGGTAAGGGTGTTTACATAGTATTTTATATGGGAAACCTCTTAGATTCATGACAAGTCATAAAGCCATATTTCTCAACAAAATTGCTTTTTTTTTTGAAGCTATTCAGCTTCTGATTCTTTAATTCTTTTGTCTGCTAGCCTGCTCACCTACCTACCTACCTACCCACCTACCCCCCCAGACACCTAAGACCATGCAGGGAAAATATTATTTAGTTGGAGTTTAAATCCAAGCGCTTACTTTGCTTCATTCTGGAACAAATCTTAAAGAGATTGAAGCTATTACTGGCATGTTTCGTCAAGCTGTCCAGTTTGGAATTGAAAGGCAAAAGAGCGTGGATTCAACCCAGATATTAACCCCCGGTTCTTCTTGAATATGTGGAAGATAAGCAGCGCTCTGGACAGCCCCCAGTGGCTAAAGATACCGAGAAAGCTATTATTGAATCTGTTAAGAAGGACCGGAATGGACGTGAAAAAATCTTGTGAGATCCTTATATTTAAAGCTTCTATTTCTTCCTCCTTTGTTTGGCATATTCTTACTCGATTGGGCTTTTATTCTGTTAAACCTACTACTAAACCTGGCCTTACTGACGAACAAAAAAAAAATGCTTAGAGTTTTGCCTTGCATATAAAGATTGGACGCTCGAAGAATGGAAAAATGTGATTTTTATAGATAAAACCTTTGTTTCTCTTGGTCAGCGGCGCGGAGGCTTAAGAATATAGCATATAAAAAATAAGGTTTGTGAATTATCTTGCATACGCCGCCGCTGGAAAGGAAACTCTGATTTTATGGTATAGGGCTGTTTTTCTTATAATAATAAAAAGGCCCTATTTATATATGGAAGCCTGAAACTACACAACAAAACAAAAGCAGAAGGCAACAAAGGAGATTAAAGCTTTGAACAAGGAGTTAGAGCCTTTAAAAAAAGAAGAATAGGAGCTTACCAAACAATGTCTCGAATAAAACTTCGTGAAGGCAAAACTCCAGGTAGAAAGCCAGTATGGCAGTTTGCCAAGAAAACCGGCCGCTTAGAAAGAGATTCAAAGGGTGGAATTGACTGGTATTGATATTATAAGGTTTTATCTTTTTTCTTTATAAGTTTCTACGCAATATCTAACATATTTCTTTTTTTTATAGGAAGTTCTTGTGCCCAAACTAATCCCCTTTGCAAAAGAATGTATGATTAAGCGTCCAAATACTACTGTATTAGAGGATGGAGCACCTGCTCATCGCCATTACTTTCAACATACAGTATATGACATTTATAATGTGCAACAAATTCTGGATTGGCCAGGGAATTCTCCTGATTTAAATGCAATTGAATGTGCGTGGGGATACCTTAAGCATCGAACAACCTCAAGAGGGGCTCCAAGAGATAATAAAACAGCAGAATTAGCTTGGATAGCCGCTTGGAATAAGATGCCTTAAGAGGATATACAGCACTGGATTGAGCAGTTGGTACGCCACATACAGGCTATTATAGAGCTTGAAGGAGGCAATGAATACCAAGAAGGCCGTACAGGCAAGGATAACCGTGATTTTAAAGATACACGGCTACGGGGTCACTTATCAAAGCGAAAAGAACTTGGAGAGGGTCCTCTCTTTTAGAGGAAGGAAGAAAGTCTTACTTTTTCGGGTCTAAATAGCTTCATTTTTTGTATAATAATCTGTCTGCACCTGGAATGCCATGTCTATTTGGCCATACAAGTTAGTATGGGTATCGGTACGATGGCATTACAGCCAAGACTTTTAGCGTCGCTCATGACATTTGAAACACACCTCCGTATTTTATTTCCATTTCTTTTTGGTGACGTGGTGGCTGACTGTTTTCCAGCAGGTACCACCGATCGGAGTCCCGATGGTTTATCAGTACTAAGGATGGCTTTGACAAACAACGTGCAAGCATCAACCATCCTCAATAACATCATGGCTGGGGAGAAATTAGAGAATGTATTTGAGAATCTGGGTTATGTTGACAATTAACTTATGATAATATTGATTATTCAGCACCTTTCTCGACCAAATGTTTTTGATGGTGCAACATCATCGGATCGCGTATATTTCCTATATGGGTTAGTTTACATTCTTCATTTGTTTACCTCGCCTTTATTAAGCGAGATGTTTTGGTAGTCTAGTTGAATTAGAGACTTAATTCTATGAAGGATCGATACTTGCGAATACGCGTATTTTTTATGGTCGACAGGCTATTACTCCGACAGTGAGCACAAGAATCTATCGGCCAGACCTATTGTATTAAATACCACTGGCTCAGCAAGCAACTCCGACTCTCCACCATATGCAGCAGATGGGTTCAGGACAAGAATTGAATGCCATCGCAGGTCCAGCATCGGGTCAACGAAACAAGTCAATCGCCATCTTCGCGATTGAACCTTATTCGACTCTGCCTTCATTTGCGCCTATGCCCCATCTTCACCTTCAAGAATCCTTTTTCGCCTTGACCAGTTAAGCAAGGTCATATCCAGTAGACCACCGCTATAGGTCCTCGATACAACGGGTGGCATTCTTAAATCCGTCCCGCTACTAATTTCACTCTGCCGGATTGGTGGAGCAGTGAATGGGCTCGGGAATCTCGGGAGCCATGATGTTTTATAAGCCATACAGATTCTTATATCCGTTAAGCGAACAAAGACATCTTTGGGTCCCGCGGTTTGAAGGCCGAAATGGCGAAACTGGATATCCTCACGCATATGGCCAGCATTCGTATCCTGGGTGTGCAAGGGAAATTTAGCCGGCAGACTCCCTCTCTCACAATGGCTTTTGAACGAGTTAGACGCCGCTGTGGATGACTCAGAGGATGTTGATATGCAGTAACGTCAAATCAAATATAGCATCTGTGAATAGCTGAACTTGAGCACGATATTCTTCCATGGACTTCCAAGTTTACTCGCTTCAATGTGGCGCTGAAGAAGCGAAATACACAGAATCAGCTGGATTCTGGACTAATAAGAAGACCTACTTGGATGACAAGGAGACAGGGCTCCGAAATTGCCTGTCGTACCATTAGGCCGGAGAATGCATAGTGCTAATATCAACTTAAAGTCGTAAATTCTGGCTAGACGTGCTTGTGTAGCCCATGGAATATGCTACCCGAAATAGACTTTTTAAATGAACCACTCAGTCAATAGAAGCAGGTTGACTTTTTAATTCTTGTTTCGTTTCTACTTGATGGACAATAGTTGGAATGCACGCGAACCCTGGCAAGAATCGAGTAGTGAAACAATATTACCTCGCTGTCCAGAACACAGATGGAGGACAATATAATCCGTTGCCAAATCTGACAGTTCGGCTAGTCACAAAGATGATCAGCTCTAGTCTCAGAGAATTTCCGTAAATTTTCGTGTTGTATGTTCTTATTCGTGTGTATTGACCATGCCTGACGTTATGCATGACGCTATGCACGATGACTAATATCTAAGTATATTAGTTAACAATAGGGTATATGAAAAATCAAAACCTGTTATAGTTGATAAACCATGTTAGAACGTGGCGCTTGAAGACAATATTACTACACACACGCTGAAGACGTACATATGTGATTCATTCTCGCCTTGTTCCTAGCTCCACATGCCCTGGTACCGATGGTGCGACTGGATTTGAGTACGAGTAGTGGCAGATACTGCAGATTTCATGCAAGGATATGTACGTATACCTCTTGAAAGATCTTTTGTCTATGTCCAGTATCGACGGCACCGAAGCTTCAATAACCAACATCCACCACAAAGCTGTACACTATATCTCTTGCATTGATAGCTGTCCTTCTAGCTACAGTTAGTGTCCGGAAAGATCGAAGCTCCTGCCGGGAATCTCGAAGACAAGAGGAGCATAGGCTACCGTAAGATATTGGGGAAACTGGAGTAAGGATTTCTGAATTTTTCAGCCATTATTGAAGTGGCAGATAATAAGGAAAGCTATAGTTACTAGGCAGAGCAAACGTACTTTGTGTAGGTGTATACAAAAATATCAACATAAAAATAATCAGTTAAAATCCACCCATATTAACCATAACATGACAGTATTAAAACATAGCAGCAACAGCAACAGCGGCCGCCCCAGCCAACGGCATACCCGTAACAACGGCCTTAGCGTTCACAGGTCCAACAGCAGCAGCAGCACCAGGTGATTCTGTAGCCTGCGGCTTCGTGAACGACTCCAACCCTCCCGTAACCTTCAATCCATAACGCGTAACCTTATCACTAGCAATACTTGTCTTAGTGGACGTAGAACTCGACCATTTCCCACCACCCTGGGTACCCGTCACCCCGACACTCATGGAACAAGAGGCAGACTCAGAGAAATGCTTGAATGAGCATGCAGACATGTGGGTAGCAGTGACTGCATTGGACTTCGAGCTCCAGGCCGTGTAAACACCCGTCAGACTGTAGGTCTCCTCGCCCTGGATCATGGTCCAGGGCTTATCGATTTGGCAGAGGGACTTGGGCGCGTCCTTCTCGCAGCTGATGTGATAGGTTGTTGCTTTCGCGTTGATACCTGCTACGCTGCCGACCGTGCCAGAATAGGTTGGTTGTGTGAGGCCGATAACTGCTCCGAAGTAGGGGACCGTAGTTGATTTGTCGTCTGCTGAGACGAGGCCAGTTAGGGCTGCGGCGAAGGTGAGAAAAAGGGTGGAATGCATGTTGATTGTTCTCTTAATCCTTATGGTCTGAGGTTTGTGTGATAATTTTGTGTATAATGATACTATTTAGATAACGTGCTTTGTGATTCTGTATTTCTGTATCTCAGCACTGCATTGCGCTTAAAGAACACAATAAAAACTAAGAGAGTATAAATTTGTGTTGGCAGAATCAAACAAAGAAACTAAGCAGAGCAGGGCACGGTACCCAAGCGCCCCTTATAAGCCGAGGATGGTACTTTTACTAAGTAGACTCTTCCTACCATACCGTTAAACGCCGGAACCTTCTCAATGTAACATAGCAATCACAAGCTTCATTTAGCAGCCCCACCCTGATGAGGCTAAAGTAGCCAGGTTGCGGTTTAGCGTGTACCAGAAAAATTTCCTAAGACCCTGACATAACGAGCTCTTAAGGCAAGTATTATTTAGGTAGTACTATTTTTGTCCTTGTATTATGGTTACGAGTCCTCGATAGCCCCCTATACTGGGCTCCGTTTAGGATTTTAGGGATCGAATTGGATATATAACCAGGGATTACGCTTTATATAGAATTCGACCGTGAGTATAGGGGTAGAGGTATATTAGAGAAGATATTTAAAAAATAAAAAGCAGACCTACGAGGCTACACCGAGCTGTACGGAGTACGGAGTAAGCCCGAAGCCCAACGGAGTAATCATGACAATCCGGGAGATGCCGACAGACACCAAGGTCTTTGACTTGGCTGTTATCCCATCATGGAAGTAGCTGCATAATTGTTGTGACTCACGGGGTAAAAGAGGGGTTTTAAATGGCCGTACAATGGGGAGATGTTACACTACTGAAATTAGTAGGTACTAGGGCTTGGTTCGCGGGGCTTTAGGACCAAATATCTGCTACGTCTTCTAGTTGCATGAGCCTTTTACTTCCGGTGGCCCTATAGAACCATTGGATGGGGGGAAATTACTAACATTTCTATTTGGTGTTAGTGTCGCAGCGCACCGTGTTATAAAACTATTATCTACTTACTACATTAAGTCATAGTGGTAAAGGCTACGAATCCAAGGTTTTGTTAACAATTTAGGGTCTCAAAATATCAATTACTAGTGCCTTACCAGCCTCGAATATTGTACTAGCATTGTCTCCGCGTGGAATTGATGGTGCAAGTGTTAGGTGACCCTAGGGAAGAGGCCCATGTCTGCATATAACGATGTCTTCTTTGGCATGGTATTTTGATTATTTAGCCAAGCTAAAAGATGATTTTCCTTGGATATCTTGAAGTTCCCAGAGTGTTTACTGCCACTTTAGTTGTGCCAAGCCCGAGATAGTACACTACTGTCAGAATAAACTAGTCCAGATCGGGACATCATGTGAATATGTACCCAATATCTCATATAGGGGTTGGGCAGAATATCCTTCTGAATACCATCAATTCAAACCCCCCAGAAAATCAAACAACTACCTGTCTTTGGTATAATGCAAAACATCCAATAGGTCGCCTTACCATATCCGGAATAGCCAATGGCGGACGGGGAGATCATGACAATATCCAGTTTTAGGAGAAACCTCACGCCACTAATTTTTTCTTCTCCATAGCCACAAATATGGCACTAAGAGCCCGCCGTGTATTCAATCGCTTGCCAGCCGCTCTCATGACTATTTTTCTTTGATATGCGCGCCATTCCGGGGTAGTTGGACTTTGGTATGCCTCCACAAAATGGAGGTCCTAAAGAGGAATATTCGCCGCTCCACCCGTAGAACCGAAACCAACCGTGCGAACTCCGAGTACACCCGGGACGAATGGTATCGTCCAGGAAAAGTCCAGGTTGATGCACGAGAGCTTATAGGACTTTCTCCACTCACACGATTTCACTGGGTAACTTTTTATCAGTTAGATGGCAGATCTACGATCGCATTTTCATTTTGTAAACTGACGGGAGCTAATCTGATAAGACGATCAGGTGATGGGTCTATTCCATGTCATGGAGATTTTATGATATTTTTGTAACAAATGGTGTGCTGCCCAATGGCAAGAAAACGACCTTTCAACTTCCCACATCATTTCAAAAATTTCTGCTATGTAACCCAATCGAGGGCTCGGCTCCATGGATCTCGGGCAGTCTGACCCGGCTACAGCAAATCTTGGAAATTGGCCTAAGACCAACAGACCCGTCCTTGACGTTTAATATGCCGGTAACTATTCGCGAACTGAAGCGTCTAATTTGGAAGGGTTAAATACTTTCTCGGAACGTCGGTGGAATGAGAGAGATCTCTACAATCCTGAGCGATTCGGGCATGCTGTTGATTAAATTTCTGCTCCCCTTACTGTTTTTGAGTATCTGAACCACACGTAAGCCCCAAGCAGCCTTCGCAACTCATTCAACTAGAGGAGTTTATTCGTATAAAGTATGAAACGAGAGTTAGCTCTACTTATTATTGGGTGATTTCTTATACACAGGAACTCGCATGGGCCGTGTACAAGGCGAACGCCTTTCCCGGCTGAAGAATCTTGATGTGGGTGTGCGTCCCAGAACCTATCTGAGCAAGGTCAACTTTGCCAGGCTCACAACGTACTCAGGGCATGAGATCTAGTTCGCCTGAACCAAAAACAAAGGAGGGGACCCCGGAAGCTATATCCCTCTCTGTGATGGAGACCCAGAATGCAGAGGGCACAAGTAAGGTCGGAAATGGTCGTCACCGCCAAGCCGAGTGGAGGTGAAGGTGTGATTAAGCACATGTCTTATCAGAACCACGCAGATATCGCACGGGATGACGATGCGGTCCCCCGGGCTGGTTATGTACCGGCTTGCATATTATGCTTCCGAGAAATGGGCGGAGTTTAAAAAAGTTAGAGAAGGATATATATATTCGACTTTGGGATTGATGTGAAGGGGCCGAGGCTATTAGGCTGTTAAATAATTATTGTATTGACAAGAGGAATCGTAGATTTGCAGAGGGTGATTTTGAATCAGCAGCAAAGTAGGTCTGAGCCGCCCGCTGCGTTGACCGAGATTATTCTGACTTTACAGGCACTTCTGGGAGATCAAGGATACTAAAAAGAGCGCAGCAAAATAGAGAAAGAGTATTTTCTAGCTGTTGAGCGCGACGGTTTCGAATCCTATATGGATCCCGATTACGCTATTTCATACAGAAACTAGCATCCTGGTGATTTCGAGGGGCACATTATAGCTGTGCATGTACCATAGATCATGAAAAATCTAAAGGTGAAGTATAACATTAGATATAAGGTTAAGATGCGTATACTAGGTAGTCTTGTCTGGATGGATCTTTTTACTGCAGGAGATTGTAATGTGCAAGCCATATTTATTTTAGCAAGGCATTATCTAATACAGAGGTATACAGGGACTATAACACCGAACAAAATTATACAGTAGAGCGCTTGGTCTAAAGAGTCAAGAAGGCCAATTTGCGATAAAAGACCTTAATAAACGACTTCGTTTACAGTCTGACATTTCTGATCTGGCCATATTAATTGTCCATATTTTGGGTGTGTCAGACTAATCAAATATATACAGTTCTGTATATCACTGTTTTCCTTGTTATAGCATTATATCCATTTTATACTGGAGATGCGAACCCAATAAAATGGGTTGCATGAAAACAGCAAATGTATATAAGGAAATAGCCTCTAAGCGCATGGACCATAGGCAAATATCATTAGCCGATCTCGTAGAACCAACATATAGCTTCGTCAGTCGTAGAAGATAGTTCCATTTGAAGTTATTAGAGCTTCTGCCGGCTGTCCGGGGATAGGAATGTCTCGACTGTCATCGACCGGGAAAAAAAATACTAGTCATTGGCTTTTCTATCTGATATTATCATCTCTTATCTAATAATTTTCTCTGGAATTGGCTGCAAACACTCACTGAGAAGCCCGATATAGAGCGTAATACAATAAGGCATAAGAACTGAACGTGAACGAACCTGAGCAGAGCGTGGAACTGTGCCTTAGACATCTAATACATAAGATACCATGGATAACAGAAAAGATTTGCTATTAAGATCTGACATTATTACTGTGTTGATGTCAGCCTGGGCTTAGGATACTTAGCGCAGTCTTCAAATTGTTTCTGTTTATCTACAGCTTGCCATACTCTCACGTATTCCAGACTTGCGTTGGTTTAGTGATATATAGTCAAATTAAAATTTTACCTAGGTGTGTTTCTCCAGTAATAATTCTAATATGGAGGGAAGTTTGGATAACCATTGCCTATCCCTGTATTATCATCTACCGCTCTATTGGCCATCTCAATATAACCACTTAACACTCCATTGGCTATCCCAGTATAGCGATTTGGCTCAAAAGGAGACACAGGTCTGCTCAACCACGCATCAAGTACGCTGTCCCTGTTGTCGATGATTTCCTGCGCACGACGTGGCATAGTCCAGGGCTGCATAAGCGAAGTTGCAGTCCAGTTGAGTATTGCTATTAATCGAAGATTAGAGTCTAGGCCTCGTGCTTGGCAGTCTTCGACTTTGATGCCGTAGTATCGTTCAAATACGCTTTTCCATTGTAATAATTCCTGACTCTGATCTGCGTCCTGAATCTGCTCTGCGAGCTGAATCCTTCTCATATCTTCCACGATATCAGCACTACCCTGTAGAGCACGTGACCAAGGTGTCCTGGGTTGATTATCTAGCACTAGACTGCGCGGTCGCTGCGAGTTGGCGTGGGATTGCCGAGAGACGTGCGAAACCTGAGTGATAGGCAATTGCTGAAAGATGTACAATTGCTGAGAGGAAGGCGATTGTTGGAAGGTATAACGATTAAAATTATTCCATTCTCTCGACAATTCGCTTTCAGTGCGTGAGCAACTTCGTGTGCTTGGAGTCTCTGGTGAGGTACTACTATCCTATGTCTGCGTATAAGCTACAAAGCCTTTTCAAGAGTGAATCCGCGATGGTTGACTTACGACTCCGTTTTGCATATTTCTGCAATGACGGCAGTTGTTTGGTCCCAGCCTAGTACTAGATGGCAAAAGAAAGACAATGTCAATAATAGAATACACTTTTAGATAAGAGATTTAAAAAATTAGGGCCTTTTTGTCTCACGGGTCCTTGCGACGGAGCTGTTAAAGTAGTCGCAGATTTTCTGTGGCGAAGGGAGATAAATATAGGGATGTGCCAAGCACAAGAGAAATATAAGAGGAAGGTGTCTGACCACCTAGATGGAAAGAACATAATTCTAGCAAAGTCCTTCCGTATGGGAACCATGATCGTCCCACTAAGTACTATATTCTTCATCCGACAGCTCTGCAGAATTTCCAATTATGTTTGACAACTCCTAACCCAGTGGGTCACAGAGATCAGATGGCATTGTCTTTCTAGTAATAAGTCTGCTGCCAGTCCTGACACTTGGAAGGCGCTTCGAATGGAGAGGACAACACGGGAACAACATGTATCACTCCGGGGTTTTGTATTTGGATTGGATGTAATATTATTGTTTCTGACCGTTGTTTAGCCGATTCTAGGGAATGTAAATTGAATTCGTCTATATTAACCCTGCTCCAGTGCTTCCGGACAGTCTATCGTAGATTGCTTTCAATTAAGGGAGATGTCACAGGACGAGAATAAAGACTACTATGCTATTTTAATGGCTCCCAGGGAAGGTTCTATCAGCGTATGATGGCCCAGTTGACGAAGACTAGGGCTCTGGAGCCTATGGTATGATCAAACTGCTACAGGAAGAGAATTGGTAGCGTAAATGAGAGTATATCTTGAGGTTCAGACAAAGTATCTATCCTGCTGAAGTACACAAAGTCCAACATTAAACAGTCAACGTGGAGTACTCTATCATACTAGAAAATAACTGGTATTGTCACACGAGTCTAGAGGTGTTTTTATTAAAGGCAAGAACAGCCAAGATAGTTATAGGTACATCTACCCTACCATTACACCGATTTCATTGCACGGTCCAACATTACTGCCACAGTCATACCACATGGGCAGCCCTTGTATGCGCCCTTAATGGAGTAAGAAGTAGTCAGCCTAGTCTTCTGTTGTATTTATCTGTGAATTGTGATTTATCTCTTACCCCAGTGCAAGTAATGCGGTCCGGGTTGTCTTGCCGTTTGCAGTAGTTTTCGTAGCAGCTGCCATTGCGGTAGCCACAGTTATTGTTCGCAGAATCTGTACCCGGGTAGGGGGAAGTGCTTGAAGAGCCAATAATGCAAGGCCGATCAAGAGGACAGTTGTGAAGCGCATGCCAGTGCTTAGTATATGGATATATAGCAATTCTTCAAGTTTGGTAAAAAGCGAAAAAGGATGTGTTTGTGGTTGCGCGATTGGAATTTTTGAGAGAGGTTGGAAGCTTTATCTATAGCCTTCAGCAGCTTCCTGGGCTTTTGTCATGGTCTGGAGTAATCCAGCTGTAATTTCAACTATCTAACACATTAGACATTTTTGTAGTTTCCAAAGTGGTATGCAGAGATATCACCATAGGTAAATTGCATGTTAATCGCTCCTAAATAGATGGGCACTCTGGTCAGTGGATAATTGACTAAGAGAAATATTATACAGCTGCCCAAATCCAAGAATGCTCCATTTGAGGATTATTCATGGTAAGATTCTGATGATCTATCATATGGCAATAAGCATGCAGCGGCCTGAATACCAATCGAAAATGGCGGCTAGTTTTCGCCACATAAGAAATGGTTGACCTCATATAGTGGTTAGGAGAAAAATATATTTACGAAGTGGGTTTCTCCACAACGACTAGGTATGTCTTAAAACCTGTTAGAGAGAGTCAGCCGGTCTTTTATTTTACACAGCTGAACAAGTAGGAGTCAATAGATGGAGTTTACCCATTGTCCTCTTGCTAATCGGGAAGACCTTGATATAACGTTTAAAAAAGGGTTGCGTCAGCTTTCCTGACAGTAAATGCCCTGGATAATATACAGATATTCTACCTTCGTGGTAACGCAAAAGACCTTGTAGGATTTCGGGATTTCTAGATCAAGATCGTTTAGCAACGAAACATTTTCTACAGTACAAGTAAGCATGTCGACATCATTTCATACGACGTAGCTCTGATGTCTTAGATCGAAAGGAGAATGAAATTAGCCACCAGCCTAGGAAAACTGTACGCACTCTCTAGAACTATGCCTTATACGGGAGGTGCATTGGCCGAATATCCCTTCGAAGTAAAGCATTATGCAGATAGAAGAGGCGCCCTCGCTGGAAATTCCATGCATGTTGGGTATACTTAAGCTGTACTTTGTACTTGGCAATTAAGACTTTGAGATATAGGCATACGAGGCTGTTGAGGATGATCATTATACTTTGAGCTTCTTCTCACGCTCTTAAACTCTACCCTGGGACTGTGGGAGAGTCAGGGTGTTTGGTGTGTTCGAATTCTTGAAACCGCAAAACCTCTCGCGCATGTGAACTACTCAGAGCTGGCCCGAGTGGCAAAGTGATTTTGAACACACGTTTAATAACGGCGATTAGCTACACGGTGCAGTTACGAAGTGGAATTCCTCCTACCTCAAGCCGAAGGGAACCCAGAGTATTGGTTCCATATGGCAAAGCGGAAAGAAGTGGAACGCCTGGCATTTATGGAAAATTCAAGACTCAGCTGGCAAGGTCTTTCTCATTCCCATGAACGGGACTTGTACACTTATTACAATAATTCTATACCAGTATTTCTTTTTCGAGGGTGCCATCGATAGTATTAGAATAATATTAACTAAGTATTATATACAATGAAATTTGTACGTCTTTGTCCATATTATTTCTCCTGTTTTGTTTGGCTCAGTAGAAATTGGTCATGCACATCGACAGAAGTACTAGACACTGAACTCAAATGACTTCATCAGGCATTGAAATGATATCCAACCCCCTACTTATCCCTAGAAGTCCATGTGACTTATTGAGGTAATTAATGTGTCCCCAAACGGTCAACCAGATTGAGTGCGTATACTTCAGTATAATCTCGGCACCAAGTTCCTACCGTTGTTTATGACTTCAGAATTACCTGATTAGCATATCAATCTTCTCGGGCGAGTGAAAATTTTTCGTCCTTTTTCATTTTTTCATCCATGACGCGAGATCGACCGTTGTATTTTCCCTAGATGTACCTGTAGATGATAATATAGCTCAATTGCAATACAATCGAATGTGGTATTATGATCTGGTGTATCTCCCGCCTATCAGCTTCCTGTTATTGTTTTTAAAGGGGTTCCTAATGTATATTGTAGGGGCAACTTCAATGAGAGGAAAGAATCTCAATCACCTGCGGTTAGCATAAGCTGTTCAGGCAACCGGACAGTATAAACAAACAGCAAGTGGGCCAGTTATGTCCCGAGTGGGACAACCATGATGGTCCCAAGGTCTGATATCTCGTTCTTATCTGATGGCTTAAGCGGCTTTCAGGAACCGTGGTGGTTTGTAGATAGAGCCAGGCCGTGCCATGAAGGATTCCGGCGACGATCGGCTTTATATCTACCTGAGAGACTATATATAGCTTGGATGCCTCTCATTCTTCAATACTAATGTATACATTCACAGGTTTTTCATTCAATTTGGAGCTTTCCCCTCTTTAATTAAAAGCATCAGTATTGCTCAAAATGAGGCAAACAATACCGGCTGTCTCAAGACTGAATCACGACAACATGATCTCCCTCCTCATCGAAACCCGTGAAAGACTGCAAAATCTGGGACTCTCAGAGAACCCCCCACTAGTGGAAATCAACTATCCCGACGTTGGGTGACAGGCAGATCCTGCATTCCCCGAATAATATACATTTGAATCCAACAGCGGAGTTCCCGAACGCATCCTCCAGCAGATCCGAGGCAGAGCATCAGGAGCAAACACGCCGAATCACTCCAGCGAAAACGACATCGAAAAGCCCCCTCTGTACCAGTTGAATTCGTAACGTTCACTATCAGTGACCCAGAAAACCCAATGAACCGGTCACGTCTATACAGTGGTACATCACCATGGTTACGTCTGTGCTAGACGTCTACATAACATGCGGCTCGTCAATCGTTACCGGCGGACTAGGTCTCATCGAAGACAAAGTATCCCTCGGAGTCGCCATTCTAACCTGCTCAATTATGGTCTGTGGATTCGGGTTGGGCAAATCCTCTGGTCCCCCTCGTCTGAGTTCATCGGTCGTCGACTACTATATCAATCATCTTTCTAGGCCTGTATGTAATCTTCAACATTCTGAGGGCCTTGACGCCCAGCGTTGGCGGCCTCCTCGTCTGTCACTTCCTCTGCGGTGTATTTTCGAGTTCCGGTCTCTCCTCGCTGGAAGTACCCTCGCGGATATCTGGTCCATCGCGGAACGCGGCATGGCAATCGCCTACTTCGCAGCAGCGCCATGCTGCGGGCCCGCCATCAGACCCATCGTCACTGGCTGGATAAACGTTGGCACAGGTCATCTCAATGTATTCTTCTGGGTGAAGCTCGCTTTCGCAGGTTTTATGCTTATTCTTGTCGGGCTTATCCCTGAGACTTATGCACCAGTCATTCTGACACGTCGCGCTGCGGCACAGCGCAAGTCCACAGGCAACCAAAACATCATCACCGAGCAGGAGAAAATAAGCCTACATTCCAGGACATCCTACCTACGAATCTCATCCGTCCTATCAGCATGATCATGACTGGGCCTGTCGTCAACATCATGTGCATGTATATTGTGCTGATCTACTCCATGTTGTATGCGTTTTTCTTCGCATACCCCGTCATCGTCGGAAAGCTCTACGGTTACCTATAACGACGGCCAGATTGGACACCTGTTCATTCCTATTCTCATTGGAGGCGGATTCTCCATTCTCCTGACTCCTCTCATCGAAAGTCAGTTCAAAAAAAATCTATAAAATTCGCCCCCCGATACCAGAAGACCGACTGATTGCTGCGCTAATTGGCACCACTTTTATGCCTATCGCGTCCTACCTTCTCGGCGCGACCGCCTTCAAGCATATTATTTGGGTGGAGCCTGTCAGGAATTGCGTTCGGCTTCGGAGTGGTGCTTTGCTACCACGTTGTGATTAATGAAATCATCGATTCTTATCAGATGTATACTGCGTCTGTGCTGGCAGTGAAAGTTTTCCTGAGAAGTGATGTGGAGAAGCATTTCCGCTGTTCACAACGCTATGATTGGGGGATTTTAGTGGGCATCGTGGTTGATGGCGTTTATTGGAGCCGGGACGGTGTCTATTCCGTATGTGCTTTATGTGTTGGGGGTTGGTTGAGAAGGATATTCACCAGGGGGTAAGAGTCCTAGCCTGATAGTTAATAAGTTTATGATTGTTGGTGTTAGGGAAAAGCCACTACAGAGGAAGATGTAATATATTGTTAGATTAGAATATGTAATAAATAATTTGTTTCTCACCTCATAACCTGTGCATACTGCCACGTTCAATACAATTCTCTACTCTTCTTACCAATGCCAAACTAGATGCACCTTCTGGTTCTTAATCCTTGCTTCACGCTTATCCTGGCCTATAGTTCCTCATATTTAAATTATAGACAGCCTGTGAGTTTATGAATTCTACTCCATGGACTATGCAATGCATTATCTCACAGACACACCACGAGGTAATCATTGATATTCAGTTTATACACAGTGTCCTCAAGAACCACACATATAGAATCCAGAAATTATGCAGAGCCTTCGATCTTGCTATAAGCCTTCTTGACCTCCTCTCTATCCGCCATCGTCTTTGCCCACTTCGCAATAACAGGATACCTATCCAGCGTCAAACCTCCAATGGCATATTGGCTCACCGACAGTTCAAAATCGTAGTCAACAGCAGTCACCTTACCAGGCAAGATATTCTCACCTGAGGACTTCTCCAACTGCTTCAAGAACATCATAGCACCGATAGCTCTGAGCCATGTACCGCTTAAAAGCATCATCATTTTTGACGGCGTTGTAGTGACTACACATCTACATACCCATACCAGTTGAGCTGTCCCATCATCAGCCCCGGGGTAGTCAACAAGAAGTACTCCCACTTCTCAAAATCCACAATATCCTGCTCTTTATCACTTACAGGGCCAATTTTGTTCGTCTTGTCGCATACGTATCGCACGTAGCTCACACATGCCCCGGATTCCCAGGAGATCACGTCGGTGTTTGGGTCTTCCAGGGCAGGAACACGTCATTCTCGTTGAGTTTCAGGAACACAGGGCTTTTGGCACCGGTTTCTGGGTCGTCACCGAATTGCCATTGCTTGACTTCATATGGAACGTTGAGGTATTCTGGGGCAATAGCAATTTTGATAGGGCTGGGGCTGTTAAGATGGGCCGGAAGGGGTTTGATTATGGTCATTTTCTGACGAAGGGATATGCTTGCTTTATTCCTATTCTAAGGAAAAATAGGACAGAGTATTAGGAACCGGCAAGATAGCCCAGATATGGTCGTGAGAACTGAGGGCCTTAAGGGTTTACAATTATTAATCAGTTGGGTGGGGATAGTTACATGGCGTGTTGGAGACATAAGCACATTTCAAAATGTCTTCCACTATTCGTAAAAATATGCGGTTGTTGGCTGGTTCTGCGCTATTGAACCTTAGGTCATCCTGCTTCGCTATATACCAGATTCACAAAAGGAACCATACTGATATTATGCTCAGAACGTAAAACCCCACTTCTGTACGGAGTAGAAAGTTCTCACTGCTAATTAATCTTATCCATCCACAATAACCCAAATAGCTTCCATATAACTAAACAGGGAGCTGACCAGATGAAAATGGCTTTGCCAAGCCGCTGGTAGGCTAACCTGTTTTTAGAGGTCATGTGACTCGAAATCCTGGTCTGAAGTTGGATCCACATTTCTGGAGCTCATATGACGTCACCGCTCTCCACCGTATGAAACCAACAACCCTCCAGTCTGCTGAACTTCAAACGACAATCCCTTCGAATATTTTAACCCCATATGAAGATGCCTGAATCCTTCTCTACGATCCGTAATCGTCGCGGCGACGAACTCGCCAAACTAGCTGACGAACACATCCAGAACGACCTCTCAGCCGACGACCGCGATGCGCTTAAGTCCGCGGCCTCCAGGGTTTCTATGTGGACGACCATTGGATCAGCAGTGGGTGTTGGTCTGGGACTCTATACCGCTTTTCGTCTGAGGAGCACACGACATGCGTTCTTCCAGGCCTTTCGGGCAAGGGAAAAACCCACACAGGTTGTCTTTGCGGATGGACGGACGGGTAAGTAGAAGCTGAGAGCACCCCTCCATTATGGATCTATTCTAATTGAATACGCAGAATCGATTCCAGATATCACGCCGCTGTTGAAACCTACAACATTTGGAGACTTTGCGACGTACTTCTTTGCTTCCGCGGGTGGTCTGTTCTTGGGAGGAGAGCTTAGTACGTGTTCTATCCGGAAGGCCGTACTGTAAGGCATTCTGCTAACATTTTCTGCTTTTGTTTATTTAGGTTTTCTTGCCGGTGCTACAAGTGCGAGCAACAGTATTGCATCCGACCCTAGTAGGAAGGAGAGGATTGAAAAGGCGTTCCGGAGATTCCGGGCTGAAGTGCTCCGTAGAGAGGCGAATGCCCTCGATTCTGGAGAGGATGTTTGGGATAAGATGTTTTAAGTGCGGTATTGTGTAAAAAGGGTAATATATAACAAAATAATTAGTTATTCAGATGGATCACAGTTGGACAACGGTCAAAATGGAGAAGGAATATTTTTTCTATCAGGTCAATCTCAAACCAAAAGCCTGGGCATGGAATCTAGGACAAGGATATGAGGTGTATGACGCAGAAATATCTTGTATTCAAAAAGCATTAAAGCAAGCATACAAGGCTATTCAAATCCTAGCCCTTGATATCTATGTACTTCCCAGACAACCGAGGAACACTAAAAAAGCTTCAAGCACCAGGCCCCGATTTTGAATAAAAACTAAAGAATGTCTAAATAGGCAACTAGAATCAAGGACAAGAATACTAATATTCATGTCTAGTGGGTTCCAGGCCATCTTGGGAATTTTGGTAACGCCAAAGCTGACGAAGTAGCTAAATATAGGGTAGAATGGACAAACTAATATTATAAACGTCTGGTCTCACTTAGTCATCTCCAAAGGCAGCTAGCGAGGTGCCTAGAGGATTAAGATGAAGATAGTAAAATGTTAAGAAAAGCAATTAAGACAGGAGCTTTAATTCCATAGCTTAATGGTCAAACCCCCTGCACATTCCTAAGCCATTACGGTCAACCATCATCAAGCTGAAAGTAGGGCATGGCTATTTCAGATCCTGTCTAGTTAGAACGTCTAGATACGACACTTATCGGGGCAACTTATGCCAGAACAATCAGTCCCAAACGCCATACCATCGAATTTTTCAATGCTCTACATACAGAGACTTTAGAAAGGGATATATAGAGACGGTGGACAAAATGATAGAAATTAGCCTTGTGTTTTTATTAAGAAAGCAGGGCAAGAACAACTGATTAAATTCCTAAAGGAAGCCGGGATTCTCACTAGAAAGTGGCTCCAGGATCCCTGTGAGAAAGACAAAAAATAATAAAACACAAATCTGGAATTTAGCACGTTTCAACTCCTTCAAGGACATTCCCTTCCAGAATGTTATATTGCCCAGCCATGTTTGATTTTACCCATTATGTACGTATCTATTTGAATCTAACCACCCAGTCAAATCCTACCATTCCTGAAGGGTAAGTAGAGCATGCATAGTCTCTGACTGAAAATGCTGTATAATGTAGAAGAATAATAGTAATAAAAGTTAGTCATTGCCATACCTTTAATAGCCAATCGGGCCAAAAGGGACAGTAGGGGCAGTAGGGGCAGTAGGGACAACAGGGACCATAGGCCCGAGAAGGTAAACAGGGCCCAGCCCTTTACACACTACTGTCGATATACAGGGAGGTTGATAAAAAAAATTATTAATCATTCAATCGTCTAGATCTTTGTATATGTCAACAATTAACTATGGTAATTTTGATTATTCAGCACCTTTTTCGGTCAAATATTGTTGATGATACAACATCATCAGATCGCCTATGTTTCCTATATGAGTTAGTTTGCATTCTTCATTTGTTTACCTCGCGTTTATAAACGTGAGATGTTTTAGTAGTTTAGTTGGAGACCTAATTCAATGAGGGATCAATACTTGCGAATACGCGTAATTTTATGGTTGACAGTATATTAATGTATTCATATTTTAGGACATGAATTATAGTAAAAACTTAGCTAGTTCCTCGTCCCAACTCAAATATGAGAACACTTTGATAATGAGTATATAGCACATTATATTTAGTAAAATTATCCATCACTAGATATTATACTTAATTAGTACAATATAGCTAATCTACATATACCCTAACTCTCTAACATAGCCACTACTGGCTTATACTGGCATACTACTCCGCCATGGTTCACTATAGTCGTATTGGAAGGAGTGAAGGATTCTAAGGGCAAATATTTTGCTTGCTGACTTGATGAAATTATTAAGCAAATTCTCGTAAAAATAGCCCAAAATTTCAATATTGATTCATTTAAATAGACACTTGAATATGAATCTGTCTCTGTATGACGTTAAATTCAGACAATCGGGCGACTGCACTGTTGAAATAGTGCTCTCGTTTCCTTTCTCGGCGACTTTGAACATGTCAAGCCTAGACAAAAACAATTCGCCTATTAGATGGAGATTAAATTTACTTGTTTAGCATTATAAAGTAGAATGGTTCATATTTTGCATGTTTCTATCACTTTCCGTTTTGATAGCATCTAAACGACCCGTTCATACAAGGATTCTGTTCCTTCGGACATAAGGAGTCCGATGTCCGACAAACACTTGCTTTAACTCCAGGTATAGAAGTTTGACAATAAAAGGAATATATTGCCGATTTATAATAAAGTTATTTGTCATCTACAATCGGTATCTATATAGGAGCACCAAGACCCTTGGTACATGAACCAACAATAGGCAGAACTCATCATTATCAAAAAGTAACTATTGCAATCAATCCAGTTTAAAGAATCTACAACTGAAGTCAAGATAATCATGGCGACATTTGATGCAACCGCAACCAGCGAACAGGTTATCGAAACCTTCTCGTCGCAAATCAAGGGCCGTACGTTCGTCATTACCGGCGCAGGCCAGCCCAGCATCGGGAGTCAAATAGCTACTTCACTAGCCAAAGGCTCGCCTGCGCATATCGTCATCGCGTCGCGGACAGAAAAGAAGGTCTTACCGGTACTGGAAAGCATCAAAGCCATCGATAGCTACGTGAAAACAACATTCGTACACGTGGATCTAACAGACCATGACTCGGTGCGGCAGGCTGCCACAGAAATTCTCACAGCGGCACCCAAAATCGACGTCCTTATTAACAGCGCCGGTGTCATGGCTATCAAGGAATATACAATTGACAAACAAGGTATCGAAGCACAACTGTCTGCCAATCACGTTGGCCACTTCCTATTGACAAATCTTCTCGTACCGGCTCTTCTGGCTGCGTTATCCGAAACCGGTGCACCTCGCGTCGTCAATCTCACCAGCTCTGGCTACCGCATTACTCCTTTCCGATTCCATGACTGGAACTACTCAGACGGGAAAGAGTATGACCACTGGACGGGGTATGGCCAGTCTAAGACAGCTAATATCTTGTTTGCGTTTGGGTTGGCAAACCGACTGAAGTATCGCGGCATAACATCAACGGCTGTGCATCCAGGATACAACGGCGATACACAGCTAGGTAGCCACTTGAATTTTGAAGATTATAGTGATATAATTCCCATTATGAAGCGTAATACCGGCAAAGACTTCGAGTTCGAGGAGCCCCGATTCAAGACGTTTACCCAGATTGCTGCAACGCCGCTTATAGCTGCTCTGGATCCGACCCTTCCTAGAAAGTCGCCGGCTTTTTTGCAGAATAGCCGCATTGCAGAAGTTGAGGAGCATGCATGCAATGCAGACAGCGTCGAAAAGCTATGGAAGCTGAGTGAAAAGCTCGTGGGACAGGAGTTTGAATACTAGAACTGTGTCGGAAATGGCCTCTTGTCAGCCATTTACTGCAGTCTCTGCAATAAAGTGTACTTACCTATAGATCTCTGAATGTGTATAAATATTCGCTTGTGTTATCTACCTAATTAATGTATGCTATTCGAGCAGTGGGCCTAGGTGGTCCAGCGACTCTTCTATACGGAATGAAATGCTTATACTGTTGTACGACTGGATACCATTTTGCTTATTTGCTGTCATTAATAAGATAGTAGCATGGCCTGTATAGAAGCTTACAAGCGCGCATCTCGCACTCCACATGCTCTCTTTCGTCTCATACTTGAATATACTACAGGGCTCTAAATAGAGAAGTACGATATACTCACCAGATGTAAAACCCTCCGAAAACATAAATCCAGATCCCATCAGTCGAAGTCTGCGTAACCTCAAATGTGTGACGAGTGCTCAATCCCATCTCGCCATCTTGACAAGATGAGGGGATGGTTCATCAATCTTCAACCGATCCTCGTTACTATTCAAACTAATTGGCCCCCACGACTACTCGGTGTTTAGGCAAACGTGTAAGCATAAAGAGCTGGTAAGAAAAAATGAAGTGGTATGCGGAAATAATGTCTCGGCTCTTAAATTTCGGCTATAGATGAAAACGAAAAATCTGTGATTTATGTTGAAAACCAGGATGCCTAAGGCACCTTCGGGTATCCTAGTCCTGAAGCCATCTGACATATCACACGCAAGGGGCTAAGGGGCTAAAGGACACGTAGATATAAGGAAGTGTTTATCTACGCTCTCTCTCCTAGATAGAATAATATACTTACCATGCAATACTAGATCGCACTGATAGTTTTAATATACTATCTAGTTACTGCTATCCTAGCACCTCACAACATAGCTTCTTCCCCGAGATTCTTAACAGGTTATAAGCCCGGCTGCGCGCTGGGTACTGCTAAGGTTGTAAAGCTAGTAAATAGTTAGGCCTAGGTAAGCCTGTAGTAAACAAACTGCGAAGAGTTATTGTTAGTGTTATTAAAGGGCCCTAACTTCGGTGATAAACTACAGAGCTAGGAGTTTTAATTTAAGGAGGTTATATTTCCTTATTACTAGCCAGCTCTTGCGAGGACGTCTATTCCCTTAAAGTATTTACTAGCCAGCAAAGCCTATCGCAGTACGCGGTTATATTACTAGGATAATAAAAAGGTGTTCGCACCCAGACGCTCTGTATTATCTAGTTAATAATAAAGATTACAAAGTTAGATATACGCAGTGTCTTAATAAAATAAATAAGTACACAAAGGACATTCTAGTAGTTCTATAAGAAAAACTAAATACTATACTTATCTTGTTTTTATTTTACTTTGTTGCTCCTAATGTCTAATATATATAACTTCGCCGAACTACAAGAAGTCGCATTGTTAATTATAGAATCAGACTCGCCTAACTCGCCCGCTGGAAACCGTGGTTTATAACCCTTTACTATACTAGTTCCAGGAACGACAACACCTGCATCGAACACGACCTCGCAGGTTTAATCCGACTATAATAAGAATAATAATAAAAGGCCTTCCACGATTAATACTTTACCCCTTCGAATAATATCTGATAGCGTGAACCTAAATAATATCTAAAAAATAGTTCCAAAACTGTCGAAAGATAATATAAATTAATAGTTTAATATCTTTGAAAAAGCAGTGGATAGCAAAAAGCTTTGGTGGATTATTACAGGTCTAGAATAACCAGACTAACATGCAAACAGAGCTATTACTATTTTTATTTAACAACTTGTTCCCGACAGCGAACACGACCTCCTAGACTAATATAATACTGCAAGACAGCAGTTTAAGGCCTTAGAAAAGAAATAGTAATTATTACAACCTAGTGTTATACAAGAGAAACTGGCTAAGTTTTATAGCTATCGTAAACTAGATAATATCTCTATTCGGGACGCTCACGACCAACTTTGTAAAACAGTATAAAAATTACAAGCGAAGTTACTATACATGCAAGAGGCCTTAAATAAAAAAATAATATTTAACTAACTTCTCGCATCGCTCCCGGAGAAGTACGAAGCGGTACGAGATACACTTAATACCTAAGGAGTCTTTAAAAAAGACATTAACAACGCCCTTGAAACGCTGGAAAAAAAGAAGGATAAGTTAAAAAGTGCGAAAGTTAAAAATATATACCTGGCTTAAAACTGCTAGAAAGGTTAAAAGGGATCTCGCAGCCGATAATATAATCGCAATTATAATTATAGCTGTTTAAGACACCGAGACGCACGCGATTAAAGATATAATAAGGATTCTTGTTAGCAACATAGTATCTCTAGTAAAAGCTTTAACTATAAGCCAAGAAAGCAATCGCATCGAGCTGCTGCTAAAAAAAATAAAGAACCCTGTTATATTATATGTGATAACAAATACCCATGGGATAAGTGTCCAAATCGCTCCAAACTTAAAAAGCTATATATAAAACTTTAAAAGCGCTGCTAGAAAAAACAAAGAAAAGCACGTGTGTATAGTGAAACTTGTAATCTGGCTTTAAAGGAGAGAAATCTAGTTTAGTTCCTAAACTATCTTAATCAAACCCAGATTCCGATTCTGACTCTAATAGTAAAGATGCGTACCTAACATAACTTATATAAAAAGCTTTGTGTTAGCTGACAATGAACTTGTTCCCCGGGTTAACAAGTATAAATAGATCGCAGACACCAATGCAACATCGCAGCAAGATGGGATTAGTAAACAGGGGGAGATGGTAAAAGAGGTGGAAAAATAACTATAATAGATAGGGATATGCGAACTATGTCCGCAGGACTAGTCTAAGGGGGGAGTGTTAAAAACCAGGATGCCTAAGGCACCTTCGGGTATCCTAGTCTGAAGCTATCTGACATATCACACGCAAGGGGCTAAGGGGCTAAAGGACACGTAGACATAAGGAAGCATTTATCTACGCTCTCTCTCCTAAATAGAACAACACACTCACCATGCGATACTAGATCACACCGATAGTTTTAACATACTATCCAGTCACCGCTATCCTAGCACCTCACAACATAGCTTCTTCCCCGAGATTCTCAACAATTTAGCCTATTTACATATTTGATCCTTTGACTGTAAGAGCCATTGAATCAGATATTAAGTCACTCAGATGCAGATTTCCAGGTTCTTTGAGTTTATCTATATTGCTTGGCTCTGAAGAAATCAAGTAATGGAGGTTAGTTCGTGGATTTGAGGTTCCTCATCAGATGCAGGACACAGGTCGGCTGAACCGGATAATTCTCCGACGGCTGCTATCAACCCAAAAAAGGATAATGGTTGTTTGACAGGGGTAGCATATACACATATGCACATTGTAATGCATCTATCACTGTTGATAATTCCTGTTCACTTATTCCAATGGTCTATCTATTACTACCCTGGTCTAAGCAGCCTACTGGGATTCAATAGGGTATTGAGGTAGACCCTTTCCAGGAGTAAAAATGTAAATTCCAGTTTTAACGTCACCACACCTCGGATTAGGGCAAGGCAAATAGCCATGTATGAATGCCTCGGACAAAGACAAACAGTGCAGATACGGTTACATCGCCTAGATGATTTTCCTGCGGGGAAACCATATTTTGAGAAACCCCACCTGAAAAGGGACCGGTCTACCAACCAACGGTAACATGAGAGACCGATCAAGAATCGACCTTTCCTTGGGTTGACTTATATCGTCACAGCATCACTGGCGATTGGTCCTCAAACTAAACTTTTAATATTCCGTCCCGTTGCCAAAATTGGATATCATGTGCAATATGGGTGGGTGTCAGACAGTCCTTATTTCATTAAGTCTTTCCATATGTCCTGAAGAACGCGAAGGGAGGGATCTAGCATTCTCTCCGAGATTAAAACCATGCTTGATACTGGAGATAAATCGTCAGTTAAGCATGAACACATCATCTCCTCGCCAGCCACCCCCAGCAAGACTCCCTCTCTCATAACCTCGTGCAAACGATCCCCCAAGATAGCCGCATACTGTCTCGCCTTGACCTCGGGGATCCTGTTATATGGTTATGACCTCGTAATTGTGGGAAATGTATCATCGATGCCAGAATTCCAGTAAGAGAACTTCCCTCTATTAAGCAAATTGAAACTCTAACTCCACACAGACGGGATTTCGGTCGCAAACTCGACGGCAGCTTGATCATCCCTTCTCTTTGGCTGGGCCTCTGGAACGCTGGGAACCCCATCGGGGGAATATTTGGCTCCCTCACTGGAGGATTCGTACAGGATCGTACGGGTCGCCCATTTTCACTAGCTCTCGCGAGCATCATCTCCGCTGCAGCAGTCGCAGTGGCCTACGTCTCGAACCTCCCTAGTGATATTGACTCTCGCCGATCTGTCTTCCTGGTTGCCAAGATCGTTCAGGGGTTCGCTGTCAACATGATTATGTGTACCACACAAACGTACATGTCGGAGGTGCTTCCCCCCGCGCTACGAGGTCCGATCCTAGCATTCTTCCCCTTATTCACGTTGCTGGGACAGCTGATAGGTAGCGTGGTCGTCTTCACATCCCTGGATGCCCCGGGGTCCAGTGGATACGAGAGATGTATCGGGTCGCAATGGGCGTTCTCGGCTATTCCCTTCATCGTTTCGATTATTCTACCTGAAAGTCCAACGTATCTCGTTCGTAAAAACCGAATAGACGCTGCGAGGAAGGCACAGCGACGATTAGATTCAGCCTCTGTTGATTCGGATGCGAACTTGGCGCAAGTACGCCTATCCCTGAGTCTGGAAACCGAAGGAAATGGCAATCAAGAAGGGAGCTATATCGAATGTTTCCGTGGCGCTAACCGCCGACGCACCATGATTGTTTTGTTTGCCAACTTGATCCCTCAGTTCTTCGGGTTAGCGCTATTAGCCAAGGCTAGTTATTTTTTGCAAACTGTCGGCATGGGAGCTACCAACAGTCTCCTGTTCCTACAGGTTGGTATCGCACTAGGTCTGGTTGCTAATATAGTGAGTATGTGGACGCTGATCAAATTTGGTCGTGTGCCTCTCATGCTGGTGGGTCTGTTCATCTCAACCATCCTCTGGACCGCCATGGGAATTGTCGGCTGTTTTCAGGGAATAGTTACAGTCTGGTGAGTCTTCCTCCGAATACGGCCTGGTCTTCGGGTGGCTAATTTGGAATATCTCAGGTGGACTGCCGTCAGTTTAATGGTGGTGATCATGACCTGTGGTTTCAGTGCCTGGCCCGCATCATACGTCGTCGCAGCAGAGGCATCTGCTCTTCGTTTGCGCGGAAAGACTCAGGGTTTAGGCTGGCTGGTAAATGGCCTCTCTACCGGGGTCTTCGGTCTCGTTTTGCCTTACATATTCAACCCAGATGAAGGCGCTCTTCGCGCCAAAACAGGATTCGTATTTACTGGATTCTGTGCGATAGCCTTGGTCGGGACCTGGTTCATCGTTCCGGAAATGAAGGATCGGAAGCCCATGGAGATAGACCGTATGTTTGAGATGGGACTACCTGCACGACAATTCAAGTCTTGGTCCCGGTCATTCCCGGATGAAGAGGACGAACCTGTCCAGACTTCTGTCTGATGTCACACTCCTATGCTGGTAGACTGAGTCTTGCACAGTCACAATATAGATCTAAACTGGAGGGTGTGAGAGTGTGCATTATATGACTCATCTCATGGTAGAATTCGATTGATGACAAGCGTGGTTCGGATCAAATAAATATTTGCTTCCGTGTTTGCTATGCTACTGGCGTTAAGTCAAAGTCACGCAAGCCGTTTGTTGAATCGCGTCTACTTAGTGCAGCCTATGCTCCAAATAGCAACATTCGTACTCAGTAAATACATGATGGTAGCTTCGTGTGGAATGCAATTTAATGTACACGAGATGATTCCAGGAAACCAATGTTTTGTAAACTTTGCAACGCAAATGGGTTCAAAATAATTGCATTTAACATAACTCTGTTCGAAATGCAACATCAATCATACATTCCAAGTCATGAAAACAACTAACCCGTTTTCAAAGTCGAGACTAGCGAAATAGCTTCGGAATCCTGTTGGCAGCATTGTGATTGACACTGGCCAATACTAGCCGGTCGCCATGCACCATTGGTTATGCAAAACAACGGTGTGGGGGATATAAGGCTACTGACAGTCAAGTCATAGGGTAGAACTCCACATAGACAGAAGTGGTTTATGCAGATTTCAAGACTCTGGAGCAGCCTGAATAGCCTTGTTTTTACCCTTCTTGTACACCCGCTCATCGTTCGGGTCGAAGCCACCATTTCCCCACTGCGCCCATTCCTCTGTTTCCCTCATGTAGTCCTCGGGAGAGAAAGAAGTGCCATCAGCTTTCTCCTTTTCCAATAATTCGAAGAAACGGTCGTAGTCGATGCGAGAGTGCCACTTTCCGTTGACATGGAAACGCTCCGATGCAATCAACACACAGCAACTGTGTGCATGCTCTGCAGCGATGCCGTACTGGAGGCCACGGCGCTCAAGTTCTTTGTTTAGGGCAACAACAAATGCAGTGACCTCCTCATAAAATGGGACATTTTGCATGGTCAGTCCCGCTCCCGCGCTGGTGCTTGTGCCACAGTATGTCACCCCCTTAATCTCAATAAAACAGGGCAGCGCTTTTTCAACAAGATTGGCGTACCCAATTACTTCATCGTCGACATTAAAGCCTTTGACTAGTGTAAGCCGGAATACAGTGCGTTGCACATGACGCTTTTCTCGTAAGATATCCAGGCAGCGTTGGAAGCGTTCCCAGAAATCCCGGTGAAGAGGGCGGTCAATCTTCCGCAAACTCTCGCGGTTACTTGCGTCAATGGATACATACAGTTGCGTAACACGCTTCAAGGCCTCCAATTGATCAGGGTGTTGGGCGTTGCAGACAAGGAAGCTAGAAATATGCTCGGTGTGCAGCATATCCAGGAACTCGTTGATGTGGGGATAAAAGATAGGCTCGCCGACCAAACTGAGAGCACAGTGTCGGATACGCATAGCCTCTGCGAACCGTTCCGCTCGCACACCGGGCACACCACGCATCATCTTAATCTTTTTATAGTGGCCTTCTTTAACTCCCTGAAAAATCAACTCAGGGGAATCAACCTTCCAGCGCCAAGTGGTTCCAACGGGATTAGTACCATGTCGCCAACAAAAGATACATTTGTTGCTACATGAAAGAGACGGAGTCGCCTCCATGCAAAGATGAGACCGAATACCATAGAAAGAATACTTGTAGCATGAGCCACGGCCACGTAGGGCCGACTTGGTCCAACGGCAAATTTTGACACCAGAGTGGGATCCAACAATTGTATACCCCTGCTTAGTCAAAGCGGCGTATGTGGGAGACGTTTTGGGGACCATTTCCTTCGCAGTCAATTGGCTAGGCAATGCAGATGACTTGCCGTCAGTGGTAAAATCCACTGGGATAGGCGACCCTGATCCGCCCTGGTTTTCGGCAGCCATTTTGATGTCTTCCAAGTCCACAACATTTTGAGCCTTCTTGCGGGATTTCGATTTGTTATCGTCTGAGGCATCCTCAAGGTCCTCGTCGTCACTTTCCAGAGGATCACCACTTCCGGGAACACCCTCACCCAGGCCACCACTTGCCAAGATATCGGCCATGACATCTTGCATTCCATGAGACCATTCTTTGAGGGCAGACTCGGCGTCATTCTTCACGTCACCAAATCCCAGAGGATAAGCTCTCTTCCGGCCAGTGAGTTTGGCCATCCATCTGTCCAGTTCCTTGGCCTGTGAGCAGAATCCTTCCTCTTCTGTAGGCCAACCTTCCTTATCCCCAAACCCAAAGACGGCATAGCCAGCCAAGCTTGACAAAGATCCCGTGTCGATACGGAAGTCATTGTGGGTCTCATTCAAATGGTCCAGGAACGTATTGAGAACGGTATCGATGTTATATGTAGGGATCAATAAGCAATACAAGTAGCGAGTTCCTGGTGATGTTGGCGGAGGTTTAGGCGCAGTAGTAAAGTAGTCATCGAAGTCAACGTATGACAGGTCATGGATTTGGGGAGAAAGAATGCCGCGTTCATGGTTCTCAGGATCGGCTTGGTTCTGCGTGGCAACACGGAGGTCCTCTTGCAGCTTCTGTGCGTATCTCTCGGTGGTCCCTGTCAATGACGCAAAAAATATGATGGGCTGAATAAAGGACAAAGGGGCTCCCTGATCGGATCCCCCACGTCGACCAGCAACTTTCAGCGGCTTCTTGCCAGACAGCCTCTTGGGACCCGATGCAGATTTTGCGAGAGTCTCATTCTCCGCTAAACGTTGGGTGTTCTTCTCTTCAGTACCCTGTTTGATATCACCCAACGTTTCTTTTTCGGCCTTCCGTGGCGACTGACTCCGAGGCGATGTTGGGACTGACGATGCGGCGGCGGTTTTCGATTTAGGTTGAAGTTTGCGATAAGCCCATACAATAATAACTATTGAAAAGACGGCCACAAGAACAGGAAGACGGTAAGAATGCCAGAAGGTCAATAGACCTGAGATTCAAGGTTATGCGTCAGCCACAAACGGAAGCCAAAGAATTGCTCTTAGCAACGAAGCATACCTTCGAACACATTGTTCGCTGCCATGACAGGCCCCCCCCCCCAAAAAAAAAAATTAAAATAAATAAAGAGGCGATTCTTCCCCGGTCGTAGATCAAATAAAAACGAGCAATGAGTTGGATTGCGTGTGGAGCGCTTTCAAGCTTAAGAGGGGCAACAGGGCGTCAGTTGAGGCATTGCACACTCAGTGTCTATAACGAAGGTATTGAAGAAGAAAGAAATTGGAAATACGCTTTGCAGTGCTGTAAGACCCTATGGGGATTTGAACGATGGTTGGATCGGATGCAACCAGCAACTGTGGTAGAGCGGTTGAAGTTGTGTCGATGAATATTTGGTGCTAATTGCACCCACTATTGATATCTTACTAATCAGAGGAAAACGAATTTTCTGAGTGACCAGGCGACGACGCTGATTGGTTCCCGCATATTTCCCTTCGATCCACTCTTCCAGAAAAGGAAACCATCACTGTCGTCGTCAGTTTGGCGGGGCACAAAGCGTATATAGCAGAGCTTAGGCATTCAGTCAAGAGGGCATTGTAGAATAGGTAGCAGGTGGTTTATATACAGTTTCCGGTCTGCAGCATATTGTTATCCTACTTGTAGATATTCCGCTGTTGAATCAGTTATTACTGGAACTATATCTGGGAATTCAAACGACTGGTTACATAATGAGTTTAACTGCGACTAATTTATTATCATCCTGGTCTTACTTCGGACTCCGGTCTATCCCTTCCTTAGCGCTCCTGCTCCACGAACCGATTTCGATTATTCAGCTTAATACACGAACATCTTAAAAGTGACCGAATCACCCCATGTAATCTGTATTAGCTATAAAGGACCCGGTGGTCGGATAAAACATTATCGGTACTTTTCGATTCTTTGTCCTGCAGACCACACGTGCTTTCCCAGCCTCCTACTATTGACGTTATCATCTCTCTAGCTTCGTCGTCCAATCTTAGTGCCGCATTCATACAATCAGTGCAATGTCCAATAAAAGAGGCGTACTGCCCGGAGACCGTTCTCTTCCACCTGATCGTCGAAAATGCGACGCAATTACTCCTCGCCATGCTGTTAAGTTTCCTGTAAAGCACAGAGCCTGGAATCTCTTGCTCAGTCTCCTGCTAGCAGGACTTTTGGTTACGGCAACCAGCGCCCTCAATCTGAGGCACACCCTCAGCATTGAAGAGAGAGTAGAAAAGATTTTGTCGGAAATCCCGTTGATCGGTAGGTATCTTGAACAGTACTATGTATGGTGAGAATTCGTACTTAGACCTTGCCATAGATGGTCACGACGATCTTCCGATTTTGATCCGCGAGAACTTCCAAAATCGTATTTATCAGAAAAATTTCACCATCCCTTTTTCTCAGGGCAACATGGTCGGCCATGTTGATCTGCCTCGGCTTTCGCAGGGCCAAGTGGGAGGCACTTTTTGGAGTGTTTTCACAGAGTGCCCCGAGAACGGGACCGATTTCTCGGACGCAAATTATGCCGCCAGTAAGAGCATGAACGGTCCTTTCCTTGCTTACTCGTACTTAAATCAAGAAAACAGGTGTCCGCCACACGATAGAGGCTGTTGATGTGATGTTCCGTCTTCAACAAGCCTATCCGGACACATTCTCCACGCCCCCCAACGGCTCCACCGCCTTGCAGGCTTTCCGAGATGGAAAAATTATCTCCCCTATGGGCATAGAAGGGTTGCACTCGATTGGTAACTCGTTAGCCTATTTGCGCCACTTCTATGAGCGAGGTGTTTCCTACGCAACATTGACTCACAACTGTCACAATCGCTATGCCGATGCAGCTATCGTTGAGCTTCCAGGTGGAGGCATCAAAAAATCAGAGCCGTTGTGGAATGGTGTTAGTGACGCCGGCAAGGATCTGATACTGGAGATGAATCGCCTTGGGATGATTGTCGATCTGGCCCACGTGAGCGTAGACACAATGCATGACGTCCTTGGAGGGAAAGACGGCTGGACTGGTAGTCAGGCGCCGGTGATTTTCAGCCATAGCTCTGCGTATGCAATCTGTCCGCATCCACGTAATGTTCCAGATGATATACTGGAGCTGGTCAAAGCTCGGGAGTCGCTTGTTATGGTCAACTTTTCTCCCGACTTTATCTCCTGTACCGCCTCGGACAACCCCAACGGCATTCCCGATCCTGACCCTACCCACGCAACGTTGGAACGGGTGGCAGACCACATTTTGTACATTGGCGCCCATATCGGATTTGATCATGTGGGACTCGGGAGTGATTTTGACGGGATTCCATCTGGTCCTCGTGGCCTTGAAGACGTGTCCAAATTCCCCAGCCTGATTGCCGAGCTCCTCCAACGCGGCGTTAGCGACGAAGAGGCAGCCAAAGTAGCCGGTGGAAATATTCTTCGTGTATGGAAGGAAGTTGATCGAGTTGCACTAGAGCTGCAGGCCAAGGGGGTTCTTCCAGTTGAAGATATCTTGGTATGATGTAAACAGCGTTTGTTTGTTCTTCCAACTTTCACCTGCTATTCTGTGTCCTTTTTTCAATCAATAGTGTAACAACAGGGCATCGCATAGTCACAAATGTACTCCTCTGGTCCCTGATAGTATCATCTCGCCAGCAACTGAAACGCTGCCAGTAGATTCCTCCCCTGGTCTCCTACAAACTTATATCTCCCTGTCCCTTTTCCCACTCCTTCACGAACCTCCTCCTCCGTCGCCCACTCAAACGCTTCATGTTCTGTAGGCTCTACTTTCACCTTATCCTCCCATCGCGAGTCTTCCATGCCACCCCCCTCCCCACCATCATCGGAACAAGAACCAGAGGCCTCCCAAACATCCAACAAGAAGGTAAACTTCGCCACATGATAGACCCGATCCGGTTTCGATCTCACCCATTGATCGACCGATACGAGCTCCACAAAGTGAGATACATGCAGCCCGGTTTCCTCCCTCACTTCTCGCGCTGCACCCTCGAGGATCGATGCATCGGTGCGCTCACACAGTCCGCCAGGACCCTCCCAGTATCCGCCATAGGAGTCAGACATGGAGCGCTGTAGGAGCAGGACGCGAGCAGAGTTGGAGTAGGAGTTGGAGCTAGGATCTGGGGTTAAGGCTGTGGATGTCTTGTAGGTGGGGGAGAAGACTAGACCTCCGACTACGAAGTCTGTGTATTGGGGTTTCAGGGCGGAAAATGTTGACAGGGGAAGGGAGTACTCATGGAGATGAGGGGAGTAAGTAAAAGGTGGTGGTTGTGGGGAGGTCATTGTGAAGGTTAGTGGTGTGTGGATTGAGAGAGTGAGGAGTGTTGGTTGTTATACTAGTATGTTGTCGTATTACTTTGAGTCCCTTCTTTGAGTCACTTGCTGGGGGTCGAATGGTGCAGAATTAGTAAGCATGCAGCTGTTGAACCAGTGTCTATTTCCATTTAAAGTATTTGAACTTCTTCCTCACAACTTATCCATAAATCATCGGTCTGTAGCATAAAAAGTATACAATCACAACTTATTACCAGACATTGTAGATTATCTCTCTCACGGAATCATGAACTCCGCAAAGAACAGTCCAACCATCTCGAAGTCGTCCAGGCTATCACAACCGAACCGTCTGTCTTCGTTAATATTATTGCTATTCCAATTTACTTGCAGGAGCACTTACACTGATCTGGCCGCACAAGAACAATTGCTCCACTCTGAGGGCTAATACCAAGGAATTCATAAGCATGGCTGTGCCCTTTATTATAACTCTCGTCGCCAAAGTAGATTTTATGTAGGACTAGCCGTTTGTCGGCGTCATGCGTGGTTAAGTATCACAGCTAGGAAGCGCACCCTTGGCCTGGTTCTTTCCTGTAGCAGGGTAAAAGCATTCGGGGATTTCCTCCAGCTCCATGTCGTGTCATTTTCCATATGCCACGAGAATGGACTTGATCAAGCTCTCTATATCCGAATCCTTGGGATGGAACTGAGGTATGGGGCTCTTGTTTGGGATGAGGTAACGGAGGTTGTGTTTTGTCTTCAGAATTACATACGGTAATGAGCAACGATGAAGATTTGTACGCCTTACCTTCCCCAGTCGAATCTTGTTCTCCGCCAAGCTGATACCTCCCACGAACGCCATGACTCGCCACCAGCCACCCCGACTTCAACGCCGTCATCAGTTGCAAGGTTTGGAATCACAGAACCGCAAGACCTGGGCACTTGGTAATCTTATCCCCACTACGACGTTTTTAACAAGAGTCTCCGATCAGTCCATATTGGAGGTGATCGCAGATGTATTATTATACTCAGTAATCATGCCAGCTATATATTTCCCTGATTTAATAAATTCTTCCTGGAATTCAGTCAAAAGAGATATCTCCTTCCGTGGAGAAGAGTTTGGAGAAATACCGATTGATCTTAGTAAGATCAATATGCACCATCTGCCTCTCCAGAACGCACGTCTCTAGTAACGACGGCATCTCCAATCCCTTTAAATCCATGGCCAATTTCCAGCCAATATTTGCTCCAATCCTGTAAACTGAAGTTTATGACCGGCCTTGGGCGAATGCGTATAACATGCATCTCCCGCGAGGAAGACGCGGTAGTCCTTGTGAAAATGGCCGCGTGGAGTTGTCCGATCGAGTAGGCCGGCCGTCACCGTCTCTGTAAAATCCACGTTAAATTGGCAGAAGATGTTCCTTGCTGCCTGCTGGATATTCTCCAACTTCACATCTTTCTGTCTGGTGCCTTCTGGAACCTCGATGTAGAACCGTGTGAGATTGTTGCTATCCCCTTCCCGTGCGATAATTTGCACATTGTCTGCTTTGGAGCGAATGCTCGACTTCTTTCGGATGTCCGGGTAGTCTGGTTGTGGCACCATGCACATCACGCCCCAGACGGTATCACTACTGTCTTCGGTCATCGTATATTCCAGTAACTTGCGAACAGTAATATGTGCGCCGTCACATGCTTAAACATGTGAGAAGAGATCCACCCCATTTGGAATCAAACCAGGAATATACACCGGAGGAAATCACGCGTACAAAAACATATTTTGCTTCAAAAACCTCCTTCATCCCTCCCCTCTCAGCAGTGACCGTAACAGGATACGCTTGTGCATTACCAACCAATTGCCCATCAACCTCCACATCAGTAACATTATACCCGTAATCAATCCCCTACCTATTAAACCTTGTCATCGCCTCATTCAATGTGGGCTAACCCGCGCCTGATTCAGAGTCACCTGTGTCTGATGCGACAACCCAGGCTGAGAGTCCGCCGTCCAGCCTGTTCGTTGAATCTTCCCCGACCTATCATTGTCCGCCGAGGACACAACTTCGAGAACATGGTACGACTCAACAGGAGGACCTCACCTATCTCGAAGCTCTCGAAGATCTCCACCGTGCGACAACGCACCCCATCTGCTTGACCCATCGTCATCGGTCCGTCTCGTCGCTCGAGCACTTTGTATTTGATCCCGTAGCGGGCGAGCTATGTCGCCGCAGAGGCCAGCCACTTCCGCATATTAGGACGTCGACCTTTCGGGACATGTTTGGGTTCGTACTAGTTTTAATGTTTTTGGCTCCCGGTGGTGTATGCAACTGTGAGTGAGATGAAGATCTAGCTTTGTGGAGGTCAAATGCAGTAGAGAATCGCCAGTGCTCTATGTTGCTAAACATCGTCCTTATGAGGACGTCTCCGCGATGTGTCCCGAAGTTCCGGTATCGATTCCGGGGGGAACTGCATAGGGGAAGCCTGCTTCGTATCCGTGCCGAGGCGTGCGGGCACCCAGCAGAGCCACTCCGCTGATACTGATGCTATAATCCGTCGCACTAATGGTAATGGTAGAAGGATACTCCAGATTATAGGAAATGGTAGTTGTTGGTTCAGGATCTAGCAACCAGCTATTCAGACCATAAACAATAACACCATTCACAAACATCGACTTCCCAGCCCAAAACAGCAGGTGTGTTCAACGTGACAACATCATTATTGTGCTCTAAAATCGTTATATAGAAGGTACTCAACACCCTTAACTGAAGAGCATCGCCCATATCCACAACAACTCCCCGAACGCCAGCGCCGGTGCATATCATTTCCCTCGTGGGTTCCATCCTAACCACGATCATGCCTAGAGACAGCCATGCAATATCTTACAAAAGTACTCGCTGCGGCCTGGCCGCGATGTCGGAACATGCCGTTGGTCGTCGCCGACGGCACTGAATAGCTTAAATGTCGGTCGTAGATCGTCCCCAATCTCACAAACAGACGCCAGATTGCCGCACCTGTAGCAGTAATTTGGTGCACTCCAGACAGTGACCACGTTCTGGTTTGCAAAATGGTACTTGTAACCTTCATTCACCAGCTGATGGGCGCGCGCGATCAGTGTCAAATCATTAACGTGGCAGAATTCATCAGCCACCTTGTCCCCGAACAACCAGCCTAATCCTATTGTCAGTAAAAGATATCAAAAGCCCTAACGAAGCAACCTTACCAGCTCCTCTTGGGCTAACCGCCCATGTTTCCACGTCGTCCGGATCAGACCAAACTAAGTCGCAGAAGGCACCTTCATGAGGAATCTCCTGGGCTCTCGCAACCACCCGTACTTGATCCAATGTCCTGATTTCTGGGCTCAGTCCTCCATGCACACATAGCACTCTTCCATCAATAATAGCGCCCAGTGTCATAAAGTCAAACACCTGACAACAAGCCTTCCACACGGATGCATTCCCATATTTCTGGAAGCATTCTTCGTAGAATCCATACACTTGAGTGATCTGACGAGACTCGTGATTTCCACGCACCAGGGTCACTCGATCCGGGAACCTGCGTCCGAACAATCAGCATCCAGCCACTGGACAATAGAAACCCCCATCGTTTGGATTACCTACTTTGCTTTTAGACATAATAGCAAAGTTAAAGTCTCCAAACTAAAATATCCCCGATCAACGTAATCACCGAGGAAGACAAAGTTCCTGTTGACTGTAATATCCGTCGACCCAGCACTCGAGGACCGATCACGTTGGCTAATATTGGACGCCGACACGTCGCTACCACCCGATATAGAGTCCCGCTGTTTCAACTTCTTCCGCAACTTTGGGTCCGATATCGAGTAAGGGGGTTCAATGTCGTCAGACGTGATTATGGATGGCGAAGTCTTTGGTGGCTCAACCTCGGTCTGGTCAGGCATACCACCAGAAACACGGAAGAGCTCTAGAAGATCATAAAATTGACCATGGATATCACCACAGACTGTGACGGGCGTAGAAACGGGCTGGATGTTTGATTCTTTTATCGCGCGCAGCGTCAATCAACTGGCCATTGGCATTCCATCGGCAGAAGCTTACCTTCCATCATGTACTCTTTGACTATTTCACATAGCTGTTTCATATGCTGCTCCGACAAATATTTGCAGTCCTTTGCAGCCTCTAGCCATTCATCAGGGCCTGCATTGCGCTTCAACTTGGCCGGCCCCGGCTGAGGGACATTGCTATCCACCATGTTCTCTATGCTAAGGGACGTAAAACGATTAACTAGGTGCTTGGTTTAGAGTCGTAGAAGAAGGAGTGGCTATGATAAAATGGAAAAATCAAAAGGTTGGCAGTGTCTGTTCTTCAAAAAGCTGTATATCATGAATGGTGATGCCCGTCTTTCCCCGCAGCAGCAGTTCTTGGGTACCGAACTGACGCCAGTAGTAGCATTTCTGGTCGCTCTGGTCCGCCGTAGTCTCCAATCATTGATGAGGCTTCAGTTCCTATCTTCTACATCACATCGACTGCCCTGGACCTGCCACTTCATGGGCGCAGAGCTCACAAGGGCCTAATTTATTTATTTCAACTCAAAGGCTTGAGTGTATTTCTAAAAGGATCTCTATTCCAAATTTCGTCTCCACAAGGGCAGTCTCTTGTCTGCGTCAGTTTGCTCTCATCTGACAAACACATCATGACGCAAGTACCTACTGCTAAATCCACGGGGGGTGTACTTCAGATCCCTGCGGCAGCCACTCAGAAAAACAGCATTGCAACCCCCAAGAAAGCACTTAAACCTGCAGCGCCTCGACTCAAATTACTTGTGAGGCGACTGCCTCCCGGCTTAACGCAGGCAGAATTCGAAACTGCATTGGGTGCCGATTGGAAAACCGGAGCTGGGAAGGTGGACTGGTTTCAATATAAACCTGGCAAAGTTTCGAAGGAGTGAGTGATTTCATTCTGGTGTTCTATCCATAGTGATCTAACCCATAAGAAGCCCCGCCAAACCTTCCCGCCCCTCACGCGCCTATATTCACGTTCTCTCAAGCGATCACATTATTGCTCTTTCGTCTCAAGTCCGTCAAACGTCCTTTACTGATGCTCGCAATACCTCGAATGACCCCGTTCTTATTGGACCTCCTTCCGTCGAATACGCACCGTACGCTAAAATCCCCGGGAACCGTGTGCGAAAGGATGCGCGTCAAGGAACCATCGACCAAGACCCCGAATTCATCTCTTTCCTCGAGAGTTTAACACAGCCTATTGGGAAGCCCGCGGCCGTCGAATCCAGTATCGATGGAGAAGAAAAGAAGGATACGGTGATCACGACACCGTTGGTACAATACATCAAAGAAAAGAAGGCCAACAAGTCGAAGGAAAGCTCTAGCAAATCGTCCAAACACTCAAAATTGGACAAGGATGGCAAGACCGAGAAAGTTCAAGCCAAGAAGCTCCTCCAGCGTACGGACAAGGACTCTTCTCAGTCGGGCTCGGCAGAAAAGGCAGAGAAGAAAGGCAAGGCCGACAAGGCCACTAAAGAGGCAGTAAAAGCTGCTACTAAGGCTGCCAGTGTCTCAAAACAGAATACCAAGTCATCTGGGGCACAGAGCTCCCCCCGGGAGACAAGCCAATCAGCCTCGACCACCGAGCGAAAAAGAGAACGTGGGAATGTAGCGGCCGCAGCCAAGATACTTCAGCGTGACCTAGGACTGGCTCCATCTGGTGGTCGTCGCAAAGGTGGTAAGGCTACTGCCGCTGCTGAGTCCGATACATCGAAAAATGAACAAACAGAAGCAGGCAAGAAGGAAACATCTGCAAAACCGTCCAAGGGAACCGGGTCGTCACAGAATGCAAAAGGCAAAGGTCAAATCGCGCAACCCATCGAGACAACATCGTCTCAAGGACAGCCTGGAATAAAAGCATCTCCCGCACCACCGTCCCAAGGTAAATTATCGAAGAGTACAAAAGGAAAACAGGCATCGACAGCCCCAAATCCTACAGCCACGCAAGCATTCCTAAAACATGCCAACCCATCACAAGGTGTCACGGAACCCTTACTAGAGACTGCATTCTCGCCATTTGGAAAAATACTGAAGGCTGAAATCGACAAAAAGAAGGGATTCGGTTACATTGACTTTGCCGAGCCAGACGGACTACAGAAAGCGATTGCAGCCAGCCCGGTCTCGGTTGCTCAGAGTCAGGTCGTCGTACTAGAGCGAAAGGCGAACCCTGGAGGGGAAAAAGGCCGTGGTAAGGGTCGCACTGATACACAGACATCCCCAAGCGCTGGAGGTGGCAACAACAACAACAGTCGTGGTGGCAGTAAGACAGGTGAAGGGGGAGCTGGATCCTCTCGTGGGTCACGCGGTGGTCGAGCCAAAAACAAAAGTGGCACGAAAGGGGGTGGAAATGGGAGCGCCAGTACAGAAGCCAAGACTACTACTACTGCAGAGGTGAAATGAAATGAATTGTACTACTAGTTACGACGTTTATACCCGAGTTTCTGTTGACATCAATTACAATCGAACGTAATGCGAAGATATTTCCGAAGAATAGATTCATTCTAGATTTACATCAGCAACATGAAGAATAATTCTAAAAAAAGGTCTACATGGGAAAAATTGTTTGATAATTTCAATATTATTGACTATTAAATATGCATCACCAATCTCTTAAAAAACAAGTATAAAATAAGCACCTTTCAGACCTCCTCGACACCCACCAAGTCCGACCGACCGAAGTCTAGACGTCGAGACAAGGTAAAGATCATCACCACTCCCTGGACCACGTACCCTACTCGGAACAAGCCCGTCTTGCGACAGTTCGTAACAGAGCGAAGATGCGAGGTCGAGGCGGGAGTAAAAAAGGCTTCACTTTAGGGCATCGAGGACATAACAGTCATCAGCAAGGGTAGGGATTCTGTGGCTCTTTAGAAGAGCTCAGTATGAGACGTCTACTCTAAAGTGATTCTTTGAACTGTAGCCAAAGTCGTTAGCAAATGATCTCGCTTTCGTGTTCTGGGAGGAACTCCCAATAGTAGGGAGGGGTGAACATACGTAGAGTCGCTTGATTTTCAAAATTGATGGGGGTTTGGGGGGTATTTATACTCTAATTGTGGCACCCTCGGCCGCACTAGCTGGAAGCGAGGTCATGTGCGTTTGCAATGTTTGCTTCCCCTCTCTGGGTCTCCTGAATTGTGTGGGCCAATAGTGATGTTTGATAAAATTTTGCTCCACTGCTTGAACCATTTTTTTCTCTTCTTTCTGTCTTGGCATCTGAATTTTTCCACCTCTTCAGTTTATATTATCAAATGGATTCTTGTTATTCGAGGAAATTTCGGACATGTGCGGTACGATGATGCCGGAATTCTCTCAATATGTACGGAGATTTCCGTACAGCTTGTGCATAATACACTGCATTGTGTGGTCGACTGCCTGACTTGGATCAATTCAATCCCGGACCAACTGTCTCGGCTTGCCGAGCTTCGTTGCGCCATGCGAAGTATATACTCCATACACAGTACAAGTACAGACTTGCTTCACATTGCTACTGATACTCGTAGTACCTACTCGGATTCATGGCTTTTGCTTTGTTTGTATATCTACTTCCTTTTCGTTGATCATGTTTATAGAATCTGTTCCTCAGATACATCAATTAATTTTAATGCCGCTTGAGTATATACATTGTTTTTATTTTAACTGTAGATGGGCTTGCCTTGGAAGTATGTTAAGGAATACTACATAGCTAGGTTGGTTTACCTGTGTTTCTCTGGTTTCTGGCAAATTATTATAGATCTTGTGGTCGGGTGTGGCCATTATTTGTATTTTAAATGCTGAGGGTTCAGATGATGAAAGAGAGATATATATATATACCTATACAGCCTTGATTTCTAGAGCCACTGCGACTTTCCCCTTCTGAATGCCACCACGAGTCAAGGCAGTCATCATCTCACAAAACCAACGTTTTAGAAAACGTTCTCAGGAATGTTCCTTGGATTCAGTTATTTATCTATCTATATTTATTTATTATATCAATTCCGTGGAGACTATCTGTTAACTATATCTTACGTCTACCTTATATATACGGCTCTTCAGAAGCCGCTAGAGGCACATAATCATGGTTGTAATGCAACTTATTTCCCTGTCCTTATGGCTACGTGGCCTACTCTGCGCCGTCGGGAATGGTGCTGGAGGAAGCCTTTTTCAATGACGCGTCAGCACCCCTATTATCCGGCAGGTCTTTTGTGATTCGCGAAACAAGGACGGCTTGAACAAGCTCAAGGGAACGAGGGACTTGGCAACAACAATACAGTCTCAGTACGCAGCCTACATCGCAGGTTGGTCTGTACCTTGGACTCGGGGTGGATTCCACTACATAAATATTTACTGCGATGACGCCGAAGTTGTCTTGATAAGAAACAATAATGGTTCGACTTACAATGAGCAGCGTGAGACTCCCTGTATACTTCCAGCGTCCAATCTTAGCAGCTAATATGGATCGTAGAAACTGTAAGGGCCATCCATACCAGAGCGAGGCGTAAACTTTTGTCATTTAACCCTACTAGTTATACTATAAATATACAGCCTCCCAGGCTACCCACGGCTCATGCGTCTACTGGCTCTCCCAAAGGGAAAGCGCACAGTTGGACAGGTGATTCTGGATCGGGGTCCGATATGTTTGCGCACTTTAGGACGGCCCTTCTCCGTAATCAGAGAGGCTTTGGCCTTGTGCCTGCAGACCCACTTATCAATACACATACCGAGTACGTCCAAGGCGACTTTCGACAGGCTTGACGAAACCATGGTGTTCTGTCCGGTGTCCTTTAATAATTGGATCGCGACCAACACCCGCCGCATAGAGAGCGGTCTGCATTACTGCAATCTACATGTCAACATCGGCTTAAGCCCGACTGACGACTAGAAAAGGGCCGCTGCGAGATTCATAACTAAGGCTAACATCACCGGCCCCGCTCCCCGGACTACTAAGTGGCTATCTAACTTCTTGACGTTAACCATGATCCACGAGTCAACGCATGCCAGTGTTCGTCACTGAGGGTAACGCACTAAGTTAGTTTTTTTTCCTTTCTCTATTCCTTCTTTGTCTTAACTGCTCCAGGAATGGATCACGCAACCTCCAGGCAAAATTATATATCTAACATAATACCAGTCGATGTGAAGTATAGAAAAAATAAAAAGGTGAGAAACTTAACTAACCCTTGCAGTATATTAGCAATTGCCAGCGGGAGAAACAGGTTTGATGACGGTGGGGACCTGCATTGTCCACCTAGCCACATGGGTTAACGCTCTGTCTTGGTTTTAAGAAATATATGCAAAAGGAAGACTTATAAGGGATAGTTCCTATTGGATAAGTAGAAAGTGTATGTGTCTTTACAGTACAGCTCTTGGAACGTTACCCTCTTGGTAGCAGTAACTTTTTCAAACTTAAGTCTAAGTGCAAACTTGAAATCTATAAACAAATGCGTGCAACTAAAGGTAGCAGAAAGGAACAATCTAGGTAATCTTCATAGAACCAAAATTGGTTTCATTCAGTTAAATATATGCCACCTAAACCCTGGGTATACTCGTTATTAATTTGGTTCCCTCGTTGTTCCATGTCACCTTGTTTCCAGGAAAGCCAAAATTCCTAGAGATCCTTATAATTCTCCTTTAATAGCAACGGCATTGGCTCCAAATATTTATTGTTGTAATTATAGAAAATATATAGCGCCGGACGTATTAAAAAAGTGGTCGCTCGTTGCTTTCTCTAAGCGTAGCCTCGCTTTATAGCTAATTATTATAACCAAAACTAATCCTAGCAGCTATAAAGATGGTGCTTATAGTGTACTTATTATCTAGTCTCTGTTCCGCGTTGCATCTAACCTGCTTTAGGTTAGGCAATTACCCTTATAATGCAGCGTCCTCGAGTCCGGGCAGGCCTTTAATAAAGTGTGGAAGGGCATGGCTGATAGGGCTAGCAAGATATAGCGATGTAATGCTAGGGAAAAAAGCTAGACTAGGAGATTAGAGTCTGCCAGCGAACCCGCCAAGGGCTACCTGTATAACTCACTTGGTTTAAAAAATAAGTGTTCCAGCGCAGTGAAGTCTTGACAGCTAAAAATATTTCTGCTGATAGTCCTACGGACCAATTCCGCAGTTAAAGGTAGAGATGCAGTGATTTAAGAGTTGTGTAGTATTGGCTAAGATATTTCACAATATTAAATACCTGGAATTGATCTCTGATATTAAGTATAGGGCAACCTTGTTCGGGTTGCATGAGATAATTAGTAGCCTTGTTAACAAAGACGCATCGACTGTTATAAAAAAAAAGAACCTTTAAGCTCCCCCTTACTAAGTCCGCTGTAAGTGATACGAAGTGTTTTAATTTTGGCAAGAAAAAAAAAAATCCCGGCGCCCAATGCTACTATACATGTGGAGATTAAGCATCTACAGGCCTGTAAATAGTTTAAAATTAGTAAGCACACCATGCCCAGTCTAAGCAGGTAGTATAAGTACCTTGCCAAGGCTTATAAAAAAATATCAATGGTCTTAAAAATAAGCGCGAAATAACTTACTAGCTGTGTATAACTATAGCAAGGAAACACTGTTAATTGAAAACACATGGACTTGAGGGCTACAATTTTCTAGGTTGGGCAAAGTAGTAAATAATATAGTATTTAGATTGCTACTTAGTTTAATTCTCAGTGCATGTGTAGCTTCCCAAGCATGTTCCGAGTGTTCTTATTATTAGTATTGAAGCAGAATAGCGGTATTAAAAAGCGAGGCCTCGCCGCATCTCCAACCACGTATCTTAAAAGGTTAACACATTATGTTAGTGTTGCATCACGTGGTTGCCTTCATTACGGTATTGGGACATAATGCATGTTGATCCTGAAGTGGGTCAACACACAATAAACACACAACACAGAGACCGAAGGCAGTGGGGGGGCACTGTAAGGCACTGATAGACATAATTCTGTCAACAACCCACCCATCAACAGCCCCTTTTGTTGACCCATTTTAGTCAACAAACATAAATCCACAATATTACATAACTTATAGTCTTTAACTTTAGCTTTTGTTCTTTCCCCTATCAGTTTATTCCTGCCCACAGGTTCCCTGGAGTGCGATTAATAACCCATGGATCCCGTTGATGCTGTGTACAGATTTGATCCTTTCAGTGAAGATGCTGCCCAGTACGACGATTCTGATGGTGAGTTGGACCAGATCGATTGGGATGATCCAGCCTCTTTCTTTGAAAAACTCAATCTGCCTAAACCGTCATCTTATCCAACTGCCGACGAGGTTCGCCAAGAGAGTCGGGAGAGAGCGGCCAAAGTATTGTCGACCTGGGAATCTCTGAGCAAGATCATTGAGCGTCATGAAGAACGGATCCAGAAACGATGGCGCCAAAAATCTCAATCCAAACGTCGCCAGATCCTTCAAACTGCTTGGCCAAATATGTCAAAGGTACACCGACCTGATTTCGACGCGTTCAAAAAGGGAATCGGCGAGCAGGCTCGAGAGGCATATTTATGGCCTTACATTAATCTCGAGGACCTGGAACGACCAAGACCATTGCTCCTGTTCCTTAATGCCCGGGCCCGCCAACCACCACATTGTTTTGCCCATGCCGATTTTAATGCTCCCCATCTTGGCCACGGCTCAGGTGCTGTAAGAACCGCCTTTCTTAACTTGCATACCATGGTGTTCACCGGAAGAACAACTCCGGAAACATACGGAGAACTGCTTGCATGGGAGGGGAATGACCCCGAGGTTTTCAATTGGGCTACCACCGGAAAAGGATTCCATCCAGGTCATGGCTTGTTGGTTTTGGAAATCCAGCAGCGACTCTACGAATTCCTTTTAGAATGTTGCTGCCAAATTCTTCATGATATTCCTCGGGAGTCCATGATCACTGACTTCCCTGTTCAGCCGGAGCCCACGATCAAAGATGAAGGAGACTGGCATTCGCTCGCTGCTATTGCGGCGGACGCACCTTACCGTTTCCCTGCCAAGCTTGATTTACGGTCCCTTGAAGATCTAGTTGGTGCGAAACGTTTCGCTGCAGAGGACCATCTCCTGGCATTACGGGAAGACCCCGGATACTTTGTAGATGTTGTCAACGAATACAAGGACCATCGAATGGAAGTCATTCCGGATATTGATGGCAATACCCATCCGACTCTAACACCATATACTCACCGTTTATTCTGGAACCGCGTTTTGCAAAATGTTGTCGCTGAAGCTTACTTCGCCCTTGAAACATGGGACACTCTTCATACAGCTCTCGCCAACTTGCGTCAACTTCAATCCCGGTATCAAAACCAGATATCTCCCAACAAGGACCTCCCAAAGGCCCTGCACGAGGAATTTGTGAAAATACGGTATTTCCTGGAGCAATTTACGCTCGGTCCACTTGGTCAACTTAAGGACGCCGTACCCCCCTCCCCTCCACTTCGATCGCTATTCGAGCGCCAGCCACAGATTCAAGGCTCTACAAAATTGCGAGTACAATCCCGGCCGGATGTATCTAGGTCAGAGAGTCAGGCTGAGCTGCTATGGATAATGGAAACCCTTTGGGGTGATAGTCGAAAGATGTACCTCGTCGGTCGAAAAACCCTTATGGATAAACTCGAGCGCCTAGTTCAGAGTGATCCGAAGAACAAGGATCTTGTATCAGCGCGAGTTGCTAGTATCATTTCAGACCTGTCTGTCTTGTCCGAATGCCTTTATCAGATTGAACTGTATCAGCCCTGGGCGGCCACGTTCGAAAATGGCTTCGCCGAGCGTTGCGACGAGATTAGGAAAGAATACTCCGATTTAGTCCGTGGCTGGAGTGATTTTCTCATTAGCTTTGAAGGGACACGTCTCGGCGATCTTGGAGCCGTGGAAAAGCGTCGATTCTACTATCCCGTCGAAAAGCGACGAAATCGGGAGAATGTCGAACTCATGAGATCTGCCGAGGCGAATCTGGACGCGTTCTGGCTTGCGGTAGACAACCATATTCCCATCAAATGCGGTATGACCCGACGCAACGCTACGTACCGGACGCTTTCCCGAATTTCTGGAAAGCTCCAAAGAACGCCGGTCTGGCTAGAGCCAGACAGGCAACCCCCCCAAATAAAAACTTCGAAGCAAACCCTTTCAGACCACCAATTTGAGCTCGAATATCGAACCGAAAAGACCACCGAGTTGTGGACTCTGCCAGTACCCAAAAGGAAGGTGAAAGCCCGCGGAAAGCTAAATGTTTCCGAAACCCTGGTGGAACCTTCGCTACCTCCGCAGACTGATTGTCCGCAGATCGACTGTCAGCCCACGTTCAGAGTGGACAAGCGATCTTTAAAAGTTTTCTCAACGCTTTTCTTCCAGCCCTCGCAAACAGCTCTGCCGGGAGAAATCCCGTGGAATGATTTTCTCCACGCAATGAGTTGTACAGCATTTTTCGTGCAGAAGCTTTACGGATCGGTATGGCAGTTCACCCCGAGAAATTTAGATGTCGAGCACAGCATCCAATTTCACGAACCGCATCCCGTGGGGAAAATCCCATTTCGATATGCCAGACGGATTGGACGGCGTCTGTACAGAACTTATGGTTGGCATGGGGGAATGTTTACTCCTTTTTAGTTAAAACTTGCGAGGGTCACATCAACACCCTCCTAGCCAGTAATATATTATGAAGTCCTTTACGAATCAAGATTATATGTGAATAAGATTTCCAAAGGGATACAGTGGGAGATAATTTGTTGTAGATAAATTTAAAATCCAAAATGCAGCAGAATCACTGTGTCAGGGCTGGCATTTAAGCAACTTGCTTTCTTGTCATGGTCAATAGTTTATGCTATGGTATTCCCAAGCGGGATTCCAAGATCACACGCAGGCGGAGTACATGGAAGGTAGGAGGTCTAGGAGGTAGGAGATGATGTATAAGGCCTTAGGGAAGTGAAGAGGGAAAGTTAGAAGGAAAGTAAGAAAACAGAGAGTATCAAATTATATTTAGAAATAGGAAACAAAGAACTCATCTTAGATCTGCTGTGAAAAATCTGATAATCTACAACACTAGGCTCGAGAAGTTGGAAGCAAGTTAAATATGGAAGGTGTTTTTTTTGGTAAATATATCTAGAAGCCCCTGATATTTTGTATAATGTATCATATTATTGAGGCTGCTAGATAAGATGGTTTGTAGATTTTCATTAATAAAATACAGGGCGCTGGCTCGTCAGAAATTTGATTTGTTGTGGCCTTAATCTATGGGATAGGTTCATGCACAAACTCCTATCCAAGGGCAATTCAATTCTCACAATATTCAAAATGGCCCGTTGGGGCGGCCAGTCGGGCTCCTTTCTACATCCTCTATACCCAGGTCTTGTCCAGATCTCATAAAACAGATCTGGGGGACTCTGTATAGGAATGAGATCAACAGCATCTCCGGGGAGCAACTGGATAACCAGCATGTTGTGCTGTTGCTCTGGTGCTATCGCGCGTATCGGGCCACGAGTGTATCCGACGAATACAAGGTGGACTGGGGTGATGGTCCTAACAAGTTTATGTCTAACGACCTCTCTCTTGCTACTAGGATTTTTAAATACTATTTACACGCCTCCAGAAGCGGGCCAGCTGCATTTTAGCCAGGACAAAAAGTACAAGCATAAACTGTTCCACCCCTATTAAAAACCCTGCTATAATTATCTCCTAGCTACTCCGCAGACTGATCTCTTTATCTAGGCATGTCTAGTTTATAAGTTGATAATAGGGTTCTAGCCCGGCCATAATAAAAAACAATCAGGCGCAGAACAACATACTATATTTCTCAATCATTAGTGGCCAGCCCTAGAAACTAATTATCTAGGTAATATTATACAAAAGTGTTGAGACTGTCAGTGTAGCGGCAGGAAGAATTTAAAAGTAGATTTTACTTTATTAATACTTAAAGGAGGGAGGTTGAGGGCGATAAGATCCATGAATTTCGGATGGTTAAGCTTTTTCTAGATCGACCAGTATCAGGGAGGATACAAAGTAAGCTTTACCATGTCGCTTTTGTAAAAAACCTAACTATAGCATTCAACGATGCTAATTCTTAGCATCTAAGATTAATAGCTACTGTTAGGAGCGCTCGGAAGCGCGATAGCTAGATCCTTAGCTAAGATGCTTAGTCAGGTGCGAAGTGTTTATATTCTCCCCGCGGGCCTGAACTCTTGAAGGCCAGCGATTAGTTCTGCAATATACGTGGTTCTATCTTCTCTCCCATATATAGACACTCCCTTTCGCACTGTAGCGCCCCATTCAGCTCGTTACCGACCCCCACACATAACAGCTACCTAGGTAGCAATAATGGATAATAAGGCGGGCTGCAGTATTGGATTGCAATTGTTCTAGCTCAATATATTTATTCCAACATATCGAGGATGGATTTGTATTAATTATTATATGCATTAAATATCAATCCGTACCTTATTTGTGATATACCTATTTAGATGGTAGGAGGGCTCCTGCAAAAGTACGTTAAATACTCGCCCCCGGTTTCAGTGACAGGAATAGTATCAGTAAACTGCGTGGCCACTGTGGCAGGGATAAAAAGTTTGGCTTCAGGATGAGGATTATGCTGGGCAGCAGGGCCAGGGACGAGGAGGCACTAGAGGTATTCTCACGCGGATCGAGACCCATGGCGTGACCAATGCGACCCGGGAGGATGGCGGGGTCGTAGCCTCTAGCCTCGAAAGCCTTCTAGGTGAGAACATAGAGGTAGCGCAGAAGGGCCTCCGAGTGCATGCGGGTGCGCGCCTCCGCGGCGACAGCCAGCAAATGGCGAATGGTGCGATTCACGATGTCCGCTCTGGCGTCAACGCAGACGGTCGCGCCAGCTCGAAGTGCATGTCGTTGGCGACGGCCCAGATGAACATCGAGACGGTCTCGGGTATGGCGACTACACAAGTGGACTAACCCAATGGAACAGGTAATAGCAACCTGGCATCAAGGAAGCCATTTCTGATGCCCCAAGGATGCCCCAAGGAGGCCAAAAACAAACGGCTTTCTGTCTCGACTGATGACGTTGGTGAAACTCACATGCAAAACTTCATCGCCTCCTTTCCCGGTCCTTGCAGCTGGGCAGTGCAATTGATCACTGGGAATACCAGGACCTCACCAGAGCCCTAGGTAGGAATATCGATTGTGCCAAAAACTGCGAGCACCTCCCGCCTGCCTCATTCGGCCGTTGCCGCTTTAAGAGGGTTAGCCGGGTGAGTCAGGTGATTTGCTCACCTATTGGCGGTGATTCGCTTACCTATTATCACCAACAACTCACCCTTCACTCACCCTCGCTCGCCCTTCGCTCACCCATACTCTCTTCGTGCCGACGCTGGCTCTTTAGTTGCTTTACCAAGACGGTTAGGATATACTGGCTAAACGAGATTACAGGCATGGCTGTGGTAAACCGGCCCACAGCTGTCCCCCGAGAAATGGGGGACGAAGTCTGTTCTCTTCTCTCTCTGCTACCCCCTGAAGCCTCCTAAGATCGTGCAACGTGTTTTTTCCTTTTCTCTCTTCTTTTAGGTTGCATATTTATCTTCTGATTTCTTCAAACTACGATCTCTTTTATTCCTGGTTAACGATATCGTTGAGATAAAAGAATTAGCCTAAATGTCCAAATTTGGGGCCATCATGCGGGAAAGGCCTTGTCGTATCCTACAGCAGAGGAGTCAGTCCTAGAGTACATAACAGGACCAATATTGAAGGCCAGCGACGACGGCGGACTCTTTAATGCTATTAACTCTTCTCACCAGGATGACTCAACTCTTTGTACCTCGGACTCTCCACTTTATGATCTCGCTACAAGCTATGAGTCAGGGTCTTCAACGCCCAACACTAGCCCGGAGCTTTTACCAATCGATCCGGAGCTACTGCAAGGAGATAATATCCCCTTAATTGGACTAGATGGACAAAAACCAGACCTTAGGGATGCAAAGGAACTCAGCGAACCCGAATACTGTGGGCTTTCTTTAGAACCCAAAGTCTCACCTGTGTCCGATGCCTCCCATATCGACAATTCTCTGGATACTGAAGATAGTATAGACGAGAATACGGACACGGACTAGGTCAATATCATATTAGAAACTTCTATAATGGAGATCCGAGAACAAAAATCTCGGACCCCATCAGCAACTGATGCGTTAGAGTCCTTGCGCAAACCAGGGCCTTTGAGCAGCGACAACATTCACGCCGGAGAGCCGATCGGTCCAATAACTAGAGCCAGAAAAAGATCTACCCGGACTGAACAAGTTCACAGAGAACCTGACAAGACCACCCGAATAACAAGATCCTATTCTGAGACAGAAGACAAGTTTCTCAGGAGCTTAATAAAGAAAAAGCTAGACCTGCAGGATGCGATGGAGAAATTCCAGGAGTTTTTCCCTGGCAGGTCAAAGGCGTCACTTCAAAGACATTGGTCCCTCCTACAGCCATCTCCACGGCGGTCAACCCAATCAAGATCAAATAGGTGTAAGGCACGCTTTTAGGTTTAGAGTACTTGCTACTATAATATTTTGTATTTTTTAGAGTCCCTCCGAAGTCTCTCTAGTCTTGAATATTGTAGATTTGACTAATAAAGTACTTTTTACCACCTGTCGCCCGACACCGCCTGCCGCTCGAAATATCTCCTCACCGACTAAGCAACCGTAGATTTTTAAACCACCATAACTCATTTAATATGGATCCTCTGAAAGCAGCGATAGAAGCAATCGATTCCTTGAGTCTAAGAGAAAATTACTGGAACCAAGCCTGGAAAAACAGTGCCAGGCCGCTTTTATAAGAGGCACCAGAGAGACCTTATCTCTTACTATACATCTAGTATTAATTCTACACGCAAGCGGGCTGATTCTGCATTCAAATACTCTCTGTACTTTGAATATCTGGACCAGAAGATGAAGGAATATGAGATACAGTAGCAGGATATGTACAACATAGACGAGAAAGAATTCATTATTGGTATACTTTCTAAGACCAAGAGGATCTCTTCCAGGCGTTAATATGTCGAAGCCTGATGGATACTGGAGACGTGGTACCGCTAGGAGGTGGGATGGATCTGCTCGACAAGTCCCGGTATTTCTCTTACATCTTCAACCTCGATGGTCTCAACTGCAGTGTTCACGTGGATTTTCTGACCCAGTTCAGTATCCTTACTTAGCTGTCTTCTCCAAGTAGAAGCATTGAAGATAGGCTTGATGCATGGAGCATTAACAGCTAAAATAGCAACAACCTAAGCAGGAGCCATGTTAGTAACTGCAAATCTATATTGGGCGAAATAGTTAACTGACACCCTCCCGGTTTGCCCAAACTGTGCTCTCGTTGATGCTATTCAGATTCTTTAATGACATTATACAGCGCATTAGGGCAGCACATATAACGAAAATTCCGGAGCAAAGCAAGGCAGCAACTGCCAGTTTTCTAACGCCAAGAAAATAATATATAAGTGAATATTCTCCAAATGTTTCTTGGTGTATATATGAACATACCGTAACAGACTAACTTTAAGTTGGGCTATTAAAGGAATGGGAATGTAGACAAGGATTACATCAGTCCTGCGAGTTTTAATATATTTTAACGAGAAATATAGATAAGGGAAGATGTACGCCACATTCGTCGCCGCAATAACAATATAATTCGAGAAATCAGTTGTGCATTCAACTAGATAGCTTCAGCATGGCAACCTAGGCATTCCTTAATAAACTTCAAAATATACGTACCACCCGGGTCTGGATAGATCTGCCAGTGTTTGTAAAAAGGCCGGCAGTGTAGGAATATTGTCATAATTACAGATACATATGTGCAAGCACACAAAATTCCACTGCCCTTAACAAGCTTTGTCTGGATAAGTCCTTGACTTTAAAGGGTTAGCAGAAGGAGAATAGTGGCACTTATGGCAACAATGGGATACAGACGTGATGCGATGGTATAAAAACAGCATGCATGCCTTCAGGCACCAAATCATTGTAACATAAAAGCACCACCCAGCTATTAAGCACTTCGACCCTATCTGAAGACGGTAGATCTCGGCATTACTAAATAATGCGCGTTGGTCTGCAGACCACCCGATATTGGATCCATAGCGACCTGGTTTTGAAAATTGATCAGTTTGAGCTGTCGGATATTATGGGTGATCGATTATACCAATAAGCTCCAACATAGCTAACTGTGCCTGTTACCTGGTCAGATTAGTAAGACTTATAGTGTCTGTGGGTACTTACAGTCCAAAATAGAAGCACAAGAATGGTGAAATAATCATCGCCATCCCATATCCCAGACCTGGTTGTCATCAATCGGGCGAAAATTCTGAGGAGCAGGATGAGAACGCCAATCCCATACTCTATCCAAACCTCCACCTGAAAAGGAGTCGCAGGTCCAGCCATTCCAGTAGCTGTGTAGTGTACTAACTACACATTAATCAATTTTTCTGTAGATCCTATAGACGTTGAATTTGAAGAGTATGAAGAGCGGTAAGTCAGATTCTTAGGGCCGACGACAACGTTGTTAAATACACTACCAAAATATGGACAGCATTATATGGCTAGCACTAGTATCCAAGGTTCCTATTTCTTTAAATTAAACTTCTACCATGGCTGTTGTTCTAAGATTTTTCCTTTTTATTATTTCTCTTTTGCCTTGCCGGACTGTAATAATAGTATTCCATTACTGCACTTGTAGTTGTGCGCCCACGCATTTGATAAAATAAGACCTTGTGCAGAACAAGCAGAAATCGTACAAACAAACTAGTAGCCTCAGGTGGCAACGACTTAGAAAGCTTAGTTGTCCCAGCATTGACTATATGGCCTAGAGCTCTGTTACACTAAGCTTAAATATGAATGAAGATAAGGTTATAATAAATCTGATTCGTTTTATGGCCGACTATAATGAGATCATTGCCTTTTGAATTTGAGTAAGTGGTATTGTGGCGACAAGGTGTATCGATTACAGTATTGCCAAGGACAGGTATAGTTTTCTATGACGTTTACACCCCAGCCACCGCAATTGGGGGAGCAGCGCAAAAGGGGGGCAGCCATATGGGTGGATGAAGCGATGACTGGTAGGTCGATCATGGTTGAAGGTCATGGACCAGTCTTGTTATCGACCTCTCCCAGTTTGGGGTGACGGATCATACAGTAGGATGCAAAAAGTTTGAACCCCCTCCCTTACCTGACCGCCCACTTGACTCCCCTACCGCCTACCATTTGTATCTATAATATCAAAACAGGCAGACGCATTGATGAAGCTATAGAAAACTGGGGGCGCGTGCTGCCGCACGCCGTAAGCCCTGAAACGACATGAAACAATATTGATTTTTTTTTGCCGCAAGCATCGCCAACTGTTGTGGAATTCAGGGGAAGTGATGCGCAGGGAGCTATTCGATTAGCTACAGGCCAACTAGCCTAAATAGGAAGTAGATGTCATTCGGTTGGAAACGCCATATCTCAACCAATTGAGCCTACTAAGCGGTTCTCTAATCAGGTGAACATGGGTTGGCCAAGGCTCGGAATGGGGCGTCCTAATTGGGAAGTCATGTGATGACCCTCCACTCCGCCTTCAACTTTTCAGCCTAGCGGGCTCGCTCTCTGAGAGACGTACATGAATATATTAGCATACGTACCTTCGTTTATAGCCAAGAATTAATCCGAGTTTTAGGAGGCAGGCTGATTTCAGAGGCGGCCGTCTCCTCTCACGTGGAATCTTGCTGGCACAAATTTTTCTGGCGTCACTGGACGAAGATGTATACATTCAAAATAGGGTAACTTTGGAGGGTGGACATAGTTCACATCGAATTACCTACATAATCCCTGGCCTATTCTGCCTCCCACATTTTTTGTTTGGGCTATTTAATTGCACAGGCACTGCAGGTCTTCTTTCCCAGTAATGGTAACAACCGATCTTCCTCTATATTACAACAAACGTTGGGTCATGAGGAGGGTTAGTAAGAAATATCCTGGTTGGTACGGTTACTTACAAATATCACGTAGTTGCGATTTTCTCTGCAACAAGTACACTAACATTCTCCATAGAGACATTCAACTTTGGCTTGTGTGTCAGGAAAGGTGATTGGATGAAATCTCTTGCAACATTTATGGCACACAAAACACGGATAGAACTTATCTGTTGGCGAAGCATATCTTGAGCTAATTTTGAAGTAGCATGTTGCTCCTCGAGACTGGAACTTCCGCCGATATGAGGTTGGTGTCCTGTTGTACCTAAAGCCAGTCTAGCCCTATAGTGCAAGAGAAGTAAAAAATTGCTTACCTATCTGATAACGTAGCTCATTATTTGGCATGTCTGGATAATCCGTTCTCTGTGTATAATGAATTATTTCCCTTGTTGTCCAACCAGACTGTGTGGACTCGCCAGATAATTGTTTATCATCCGAGTTAATTGGAGCTTGACAGCAATGGCTAATGTGACCTTGGCGTCTTTCCTGTCAAATCTGGTAAAATTTGTCTGATTTTTTGTGCAAGGATTTATCTTGTCAAAACTTTAAGGCGAAAGGACAGATTTATTTTCCATGGGATGATGGACTTGTCCTTTTAATATACCAACACTGGCCCAATTCTTTGGCTACTTACAAGGGTCAGCAACCTGAGAACTTTGCCCTAGTAGACGGCAACTGGCCTATGGGAGGCTATCTACTGAAGTTTTATGTGATGTATTTAAAATTACATCTTTGCTTATAACTCTCAGTGATATTTTTGTAGTGACGCATTACTACCCATAGTCTGATACCCCTTTAATTATAAATGTACAAGCTACCATTTTGCTCCAGAATAAATACAGAAGTGACCCTATTAGTACAGCAGTTACCTTAACATCAACCAAAGCCACCTCAGTTGTTCGTAGCTGGTTTTCACCCAGATGTAACTCGGCTATCTAACACCACTTAGCAAGTAACATCACGCATACTAGCGTGATAAGTACCTACACTTGCAGAAGGCCTTTTACTCCTTTTATATGAGCCTGACGTGCTATCGCACAACTTAATAATGTTTCCAGGTAAAGCTTCTGAAGTTTCTTATCGAAGTGCTCCAAACTATAGGATTCAACCCAATTCTTAATTATCGCTCTTGCCAGACAAAGACACGGCGCCCAAACTCCGCAGCATAAAAGTGAGGCAGCCTAAAGACCGCCTGCTTCTCATATAGGCATCACACATGTTGTAATAGAAACGATAGAGGGCCATTTTCTAGCCAGATTCTTATAACCAAATAGTGGTATCCCAAATCTCACCACTCCTCCAGGCACACAGCACCTATAACGAGCATTAGGCATATATAAATTATAGGGAGAACTATTCCGAAAATATGGAGAGGTTCAGGTATCGAGACAGATGAGTCCTTCGGAGATCATTCTTCAGCTGTTCTATGAATTTCCCGAGATCTGGTCGGACGATGTATATGTGCGTGTAAGAGAGAGGAGTACGTGATCATATAGCACTTGCGGTGAGGTGTGCATAGCTAAATTGTGCTTTTTCAAACATGTTATCATTACCTAGCTTTAAAGTATTTCGTGATGTTTCCAACCACTAGTATATATAGGTAGACGGAATACATGAGGACTATTCAACTCCGAAGCCCAGCCCAATTCCAAATCCTCCGGGACCCATCAGAGAAGTAGAGGATTGCTGCCTTCCCTATAATGAACTAAGCTGACCGGAAGCGTGGGACGACATCGTCGTGCTGCACAATCCGTAACGTGGTAGGTAGTCTATAGGACGCCAGCCCCCTTAAGAACAAATCTGCCCCAAGACAATGGAGATTCGGTCCCGGACATGTCTTGATTCTTGGCGACTCTCAGGACAAATCAAAGTCGCAATCTATTTGATCGCATGCCCTATTTCCTTTCAAGAGGATCCTTACAAAAAAGTAACAGTCATAGAACAAGCATTACAAGACGTTGCATTTAACATGCATCCTATTATAATATACTCTACTTGTAAATATGCTACCAGCCTATCCTTCCATGAATATGTCGTCAAAATATTTATTGTTGCATACATGTACACAAGTTATGAGCGGCCGCTCAATAGGGTTATTTTAAGACTCCTCTCCTCCTGTGAAAATCCTCTTGTGACGAAACTGGCCACATAAAAGCTAACATGAAACGAAGCACGCCATAGGGGGAGTGGGTTTATGAGTTTTATCATAAAACAATAACTCTCCTGGGCTGGCTGTCTTAAGATGAAAACTGTCTTAAGACAGATCCCTTGTTTGTCCGATTCAATTAGTCAGCCCGTTCGGATCTGATGCCACTCTTAACATCACTCTTAAAATAAAAATAGTTAACTACATACAGATGCTAAGACAGTGCCGACGGGCACCCGGAGCAGAGAGGGAATAACACGATGGCTCGCATGAGACTTCTCCCGTGAGCTTACACGAGCTGTGTACTCTGTATGGCGGTATTCTCCAACAATACTCGCCTCTTTAAGTAAGCAGAGCCCCACGGCCGCGGGGGAGAGGAGTATAGCCGATCGACCGGCCGATCGACATCCCCGCATTTCCCTTCCACAACGCACTATCTGCCATAATAATGGTGTAAGGCCGGCCATATTTCTCTTTTGCATGTAAAAAACTAGTACGCCTCATCAATAACCACTCGTGTTACTGTTTCGACTTTGAAGCCAACAGCCGAGCGATGTGGCTCACACAATGCCGCGAGCCAAGGTACCCCCTGCCAATCGACTGCGGGCCCAAGAGGCTTGTCTCGCCTGCAGAACAACGAAGAAGAGATGCAGCGGGACTTTCCCATGCTCAAAATGCATTAAAGCTGGCAAAGCTGATAGTTGTGTTCCTGGTAAACGGAAGGACAACTATTTGGCTCCCCAGCATCAAGAAAATGGATTGAGTTCTACCAGTGCCCCTGATCATGTTGATGAGGCTCCCTATACAACAAACTGGAATACCTTAGTAGATACGCTTCATTATAGTGCTTACCCTGTATCTCATGGATCGGTAAAATCAACAGTCGACCCCGGATCTCCGGAAGCACCACACAAAACTCATCCGCGGATGCTGCGGAACCTAGAGGGGGAGCGAGGTATGAACACTATCCTGTATAATGTAACCGATCTGCCAGAGAATTTAACATTATGTCCTAGTCTATGTTGGTAGAGCTGCATCCTTATCGTTTCTGCAGTTACTTCGTGATACTGTGACACAGCACATCGGACCATCCCAGTTCTCCCACAATGTTAAGAGCGAGGACATGCTCGAAACAGAAGCCCCGCATGATATTCCGTTGACTATGGAAGGTGGTGCAAATTCTACTCGGCTGAAAGATTTTATTCGAGCATACCACATTGCTGTATGTGTTCTGCATTATGCCATGTTGATCTACCCTGCCCATCGTTTGCTAGTTCATGCATTGGCTAGACCAGCATAATTGACAAGTTGGCTAGACAAGCGGATTCATTCATATACTATCGGACGCAGAAAATTTCGAGATGGCAAATGATTCAGGACAGGGGAAGGACCAGAAAACTAAAAGGGCCTTAAGGGACCTCATAATTGCCATCGGGGCGCAATCTTCAAAAAGTGACCCAGACGCGGTACAAACAGAGCGCTATTTTTTTGCGCGCGGTCAACACAGTGCTTTTGATACCATGTTGGAGAACCCGAGCCTTGAGATGGTACGACTGTTCCTTTTAATGTCTTTTTACATGCTTGGTGCCTGTCGTCGGAACGCAGCGTTCATGTACATAGGCGTGGCTGCTCGTGCGGCCATGGCGTTGGGTCTTCATCTTAATGACTCTGGAGCGATCTCAGTAAGTGAACAGCACCAGAGGTAGGATATTATGAATATTTCTGCCCAGATTACTGCTAATATCATCTGACATAGGGTTCGTGCGTGGATGAGTCTGTGTGTTTTGGACCTTCTGGTTAGCTCGATCCTAGGACGACCACCTGCAACTGTAGCTTTGCGCACAGAAACACCAGGGAATCCTCTCATTATGAAACCTCAAGAATACAGAATAGAGGAGAGCCTATTTGCTTCCTTCTGTATGTCGCAAGTCCTAGATGAGATAATAGTCCGCCTATACAGTAACAAAGCGGCATCAACCGAGACGGCAGAATCTGTCCTGGAGAAACTCAAGCGATGGAGTGATGATCTACCAGAATCGTTATTGACATCACCGCCCAACGAATGCGAGAGTAATACTGCCCAGGTGCATATTATTGGTAGTTTACATATCGCGTGCTCGTATCATTTTGCCGTCATCATCATCACACGGCCTTTTTTGATATCAGTGCTTGGGGTACGCTTGGCGCAGCTACACCGACCTTCAGAGATGGCACCAGATGGAGTCCTTCATGAGGATCCTGCGCATGCAAAACTGGCAGTTGCCTGCACAGATTCTGCTTTATATATGATTCAGACCTGCATGGAAGTTCACCATTCTGGCCTACTGCTGGGAAACATGTGCATTTTGAAGTAAGTGAAAGCTATAATCCTGTAGAGACTTTGAACTAATGGCCGCTGAAAAAGAGCTTTTGTATTTGCTGCAGCTTTAATTTTGGGCTTTTTCTTGTTCTCGAAGAATGAGCCAGACTCGGTGCTGGAAGAAGCTTTCAATGGTGCTCTTGAAATTCTCCAGACACTTTCGCTGCAATCCGCCCAAGCTGCTCATTATTACGAGATCATTTCATTCTTGAGAAGTGCGATTATTGAACAGCGACAGCAGCTGACGCAACAGATGCACCAAAATAAGAGCCGCTATGTCAGTAAATTGTTCAGCCTTCACTATCGCAGACCCACAGCAGATGCTGCAGAAAATTCCGTGGCATCTGTGGACGATAATCCTGACATGTTACCAGAGAACGCCCTCAATATATGGTCTTTTATGGGCCCCGCTGAGATCAATAGTGCACTTCCAGGCTGGGATGGCATGGAATTGCCTCTATGGGATAGCTTCCCCTTTGCCGGTGAATCTTTTCAACTGCCGGATAAAGTAGGGGAATCGAGTTCAATATTTGACGAATAAATGATACGAAATTGTTATGAGCTACTTCAATAGGTGAAATATTAGGTTACTTTTCCCTTATTTGTATTCTGTCCTCTAGCGAGCACTTATCAAACAGTACCAAGTTGGAAGTGAAAGATTTTCCTCGTATCACATGGAATACCCGACATATTAAGGCTGTAGGAGAACACCAGGCCGCGTGATACCCACCGGAATTCCACTACTTTACCGCCAGATAGGTATACGGAGCTGTATAAACCCTCGACTCCGACAACTATTCAACGACACTATTACAAAAGCTACACAACCACTATAGAGGTTGCATTAACTGTTGTCATAGTCTTTGTACTCATAACCACAGTAGTAGACCACCTGTCACCATATATTAAAAAGACCAATATTTCATTTAGAACGAAGCATGCAATTGTGGCTACACCTCTTTACTTTCATTTCAGTATTATGAACGAGGAGAAATCTGAAGGCATACCAAGATTACTACCAGCTAATGTTTACTTAGTTTCCTTTTCTTTTATTTGGTGGAACGAATTTAAACTACCAAGAGAAAAAAAAGCTAATAGTAGATATCTAAAAATAGTAAAGAGGATAGACGTTTAGATTTTTTAATAGAATAGCTATAGCGGAATACACGCAGGGAGTATAAAACCGACCTAATAATAGCAAGAGTAAACATCCGACTTTACTAAAGCTACAGGAACTTGTAATTTACAATTATCCATAATCTGATAAAGGAGGAAGCATTCCGTTTGAGGTCGTAAACCATATCTCTAAGTAGTGAGAATTGGTACATCAGGCAGAATAGCCGCGATTGATTTGCAAATGGGATTAAATTTGACGACTATACCATTCACTTCCTAACACGCTATATATACTCTATGCATCTCCTACACCGGCAATTCCTGCATTCCTCCTAGAAGAACCCATCTAGCAAGAAGCGCCTGAGGGCTGGTTCTTGCAAGACGGACGCTTACCACCGGAGATATTAACACCAGTCCATTTCCAGTTCGTGCAGCTACCCTCGCCACAGAGAACATAGATGGGGATAGCACCGGCATCCACGGAACCAGTGATACCGTTGAGAGTGATGCCGGTAATGGGGATTTTGTTGGAGGGCTTGCCGGTGGGACCGCCGTTCTTGTAGTCCTGCTGGATGACAATGCCGTTCTTGTGGATCTTGGAGAGCTGGATACTAGAGTAGTTGACGTCGGACACGACGCCGGTTTCATCGACGATGGTTTTGATACGGATGCCGTTGTCCGAGTTGGTCACGGTGGAGTCGAAGATGGTGACGTTCTTAACGGTGTTATCGTCACGGCCACCGATGGAGCCGATGGAGATGCCGTGGCCGCCGGAGCAGGTGGCGCCGCTGAATTCAATGTTCTGTGAGGTGTAAGAGGGTATGGTATATGCTAAAGGAGAACAATGGAATTGTATACCCTGCCGGAGTTAATGGCCAAACAGTCGTCCTGGTTATTCACAACGGCCCCGCGGATCCAGACATTATCACTTCCACCAACGTCGAAGGCGTCAGTGTTATGGCCACCTTTGTTGTCGCCGTCGGAGTTGTCAATGTGGATGTTTTCAAATAGAGTGTTGGTGGCCTGAACACTGATAGCCTGGATGGGGGTATTCTTGATAGTGAGGCCGGAGATGGTCGAATCCTCGAGCTTGTGAGCGTACAAGAACTTGGGCTTCGTCTTGCCACCATTGCTGCCCTTGGTGTCCCACCAACGGGAGCCGTCACCGTCGATAAGGGCACCCTGTGCCATGTTGACGGTGATACCTTTGCCCTCGATACGGATTAAGGGGCCCTTCCATTCCTTGTAGCCGAAGGTAGTAGTGCCCTCGAATGTGATCTAGACAAGGTTTAGCGACGCTGAGAAGGTCGATGTAAGGCTGTTTGTTTCTCACAGTGGCGCCATCATCCACTTTGGAGAGGTCGAGGGTCTGGCCGGCGGGAACTTTGACATCTTTAACGATGATAGTAGAGCAGCCGGAGACATTGGAGGTGGCCTCGGCGGAGATGATGGTGCACGAAGAGGTTTTGTTGGTCAGAGAAAGGGCGGGAGCAGCAGAGACAAGGGAGCCGATGGAAGCCAGACCAAGGGGCTGGAAGCAACGCATATCGATGAAATAGGTTCTGATCCACGGAACGTGACTTGGGGGAACAAATAGTTGGTCAATGGGGAGGTAGGAAAGAGAAAGAGTGAAGGACTGAACGTAACACGTTGGTATGAGAGAACAATGACGGCGTCTCACAAGCAGCCTTTTATACGTCCAGGATAATCTTCACCTCCAGAGGTCGATATCGGAGATATTACCCTGTGAGGCGGCGGCTTGATTGAATGCCATAATTCATTGGCGGAACGAAAGTCATCTCCAACTCCGCTCGGCAGCTCCCAATGATGCTTATCAACTTCTGACACCAGGGCAAGGTTTGACGGATATGGAGGGAACAAGCAATAAGCATCCTTAATGGATACCGTCCTGCAGTAGCTTCTCAACACTTCCAACTCCATCGTCCGCAGTCGATTGGTCTGACATGGCTTCGGGCCTACATTGCTCCTCTGTATCAAAGTATCTCGGAACGTGAAGTTGATCGTTTCCTAGTGGCGCCCATTGCACTCCCCAATATGTGTAGTGGGAAATCCTCGGAGAATCTCGTAGGCTCTAATACACTAACTTCGCACTCTTGTCTTCCGGCTGAGACGGTGGTTCCTCCGTTGCGAGCGTAGGGTAGCTACAAATCCAATACATCTGTCAATGAACCGTCTCTTCAAGGGCTGCGGAGCTATTTTACAATTTCTGGATCTGTTGTTTCGTGGTCTGGGTTTAGATAGAATAAACAGGTATTTAGCCGAACCAGCTCGGGAAGTGTCCGAATCATCCATGCTCGGCGAGGTATTACCCGGACGTCCTTTCCCTAACTATGCGGCATTAACCAGATTCGAGGCGCGGCGTGGGCTGTGGCTTAGATATGCAGGGGATAGTGTGCACTATGATTAGTAAAATCCACCAGGAGCGTCACAAAATCCTTTCATTTAAACCGTCCATATGAAATATATTGAAATCAGCAGATATCTGTTGCGGACACCGCAAACATGCAATAGTAGCCAGGCGCTAGTCTTTAAGGTATAATTACAATGGTGGGTCTGGTCGAATCCACTGCGGTCCTAGAGTGTTTCAATATGACTTTCACCTTGACGTGAGTGGTTGGTCGGAGACACTAGAGACTACCCTATTTCACTTTGACAACTCTTACTCCGGCTTCAGGCTAAATCAAGTAACGTGTTTGACGGCGATGATTAAGCATCACGGCTTGAGTTCCTATTTTGTCACTTTCTCCACAAGATCATCTATTTTAGTTTGGCATTTTATTGAGTTGCTATTAGTGGATGCAGTCCCCTTTGTACATGTATCGTGGAGAACACAATGCCTAATCAGCGGAGAGGAGATTCATGTCTCGGAATAATCGTCAATAGTCCATGGAATCTGTACTTAAGCATCACTAGGGTAGCGTTAAGAAGGAGCAAATTGTCCATTACGGGTCTGGTAGCGTATGCCGAAAACTCACTGGGTTTAGGTGCCCTCCACTCAGAGAGTTTCCAAGAACTATTGACAGCTTCTAGTTTTGAATAGATCATGCTGAACGTATTGCTTGGTTGCCTGTATTGTACACAAAACCCCCCAATCAAGGGTGGGTTTTGTACGGAGTACACATTCCAGAACCCAATTCTGGGATCTGATACCATTTCTGGGAATGATCACCAGTTTATGAATGTTCATCTACGAGCTTGACACAGCGATTGGTGGATACATAATTAAAACATCGAAAATCCCACAAAATGACGCTAATTTACAATTCCATCCTCCACCTCGGGATGATCAATCATATCCGATCGCATATCTTCCAAGTACCCCTGCATAACAGCCTTGAGACCAGCATACGACTGAATGAATTCCCAACTCTGAATCCCATAGCTTTGCTCGAACAGCTCCCACTCCACCTGAGGAACGTCGGAGACCATTTCTCTTAGCGGGCCGAAGTTCCAACTGAGCAGATCGAGCAGCTCACTCGGCGTCTTACTCAGACTCATCAGCAACGGGATGTTAACCACGACAGTAATATGTAGATTCCGCAGCTGGCGAGTACCACTAGGGGATAGAGACAGCGCCAGCGCCATAACCCGGTCCTGGAATCCCAGGAGACTTTCAAGGGTTGAAGGACTATGGATAAAGCGCGGGGCGCCCTGTATTGAAAAGGACAGCTGTATGGACCGTACCCATTGGATGGTTGAGGGTAAGGATGCGTATGGAGGGATCACCTTTCCGCAGAAGAGCACGTACTTGTTGTCGAGGATGACTTCATAGGGAGTGGAGCCGTACCACTCCGAGACGAGTTCGTTGTAGATCTGATGATTGGTGCGCAGAAGAGCTGGACAGCAGGGGACATTGTCTATTCGGAGACTGGCGGTCTTGTTTCTACCGCGGATCAATGGGAAATTTCGAATGGTCACGTTGGGGATCAGAAACCGGTAGACGCAGAGGCGTACTTCAACGGGGAATCGCAGAAATGGAAGTGTGATCGGGGATGACGACGCCATGGAGTAGGCGAACAGTCAGTGATATGTTAATTTGGAAGCTCATTCGGTATGATGCTTTATCGAGGTTTGGATGGACATGCATGCAGGTCGGAATGTGGTTGAAGTTAATAGCAGCTCCCGGCAAGTGGGGTTGGATCGGGTGATTACGATGTGACTAATGGCCGAAGGTCTGACGTATGCCTGCGGTGTATTTATGTGCTATACCGCCCAGGTAAAGTATAAATTCTAAATATACATTCATCAGAAACTAGAATAGAACATGTCTATCCACACTTGTGTATTAAACTCTTGACTGATGTGATTGACGCTTCCGCCTTGATGCGCAATACCTGCTGTAATTATATACACCCTTCTGTTCCCTGATGCTCGAATCAGACCTAGAAGATCCAAACATATAGTTAAACAAGAATGCCGAAAAAACAAGGGGCAGAAAAAAAAATAAAAAATAAAAGAAACAGTGTTCAATATCATTACATCACCGCATTCATGCATCATCCTATTCATGCATCATCCTAGCTTCCGTGAGAAGAGTGCGATCTCCGTCGAAAAGACCATCCTGACTGCTTCCTTGTGTGGCCAGGCTCCTTGGAAGCCCGAATCTTCCGCACCACCTTCTCCATATCCGAGAAGCAATTCCTAGGTAGTGGAGTATGTCCATATTCGGCCTTCAATTCCCAAAGCTTTTCTGCCAGCAGCGCGTGACCCTGGGTAACAGCTGTCGACAGTGGCGTCATGTCGTTCTTATCTGGTAAACTGAGGTTGGCTCCTCGGTTGTACAGTGCATAGAACTTCCTCCACCAGAGGTCATTATTGGCGAAGCTATTCACTAGGACAAAGAGCGGTGTTCTTCCGTCTCTGATGCCCGGAACATCAACATTTTTCATATTGCTGATGAGGGAAAGAAGCACGTCGGCCCCTGCAGTTCTATTCATGGCCGCATAATGAACACAGGTATATCCATTCTCCGAATAAGCCATGCAATTTGCTCCATGATTTAGGAGCACTTCAATCGTATCTTGATGTCCATGCTGAACTGCGACCATAAGTGGCATCAGTCCGTCACGTGATGGAGCATTGATGTCTACGCCGGCCCGAAGCAGGGTTTCAACAAGGGAGGTGTTTCCTTGCTCTGCAGCTAGCCTGAGAGGCGTTCTACCTTCGCAATCAGGGGTCTCAAGGTCTAATAGCGGCTCGTAGTCCTGGAGCATTCGGACTGCATCAGTGAAATTATTCCGAATGGCGTGGATGACAGGTCTATCACCCTCGTGCGACTCCTCGACCATAACATTGCCATTCAATAACGCCCTGAGTTCGTGTCCATTTCCATATGCAATTGCAGCAACAACGGACGCGACTGTTGCAGTGATATCGGTACTCTTTTTGTGATCCAATCCAGATAAATCGAGCGATTGAACACCTGGAGTTACCGAACCTCGTTCAGATGGAGCGAATTCTTTGATTTCAAGGAGTCTGGTTTGGACCTCCTCGGCAAGAGGCCTTCTATATTTGTCAATGGAAAGTATTCGGAGCAAGATGTCCTTGCACGCCTCGAGGAATATAGGGAGACAATTTTGATGTCGAAAAGGGAGAGTAGTAAGCCATGTCTCGATATGAGGGTTCAGGACGGGGGGCGACCCTCGGTGAAAATAGTCATGTTCGTAGCCAACGCAGCCATCATCAGACAGAGCCCTCCGCTCATCTAACCATTTCAGCCCGTTTAAACCATCTAGGCCTAATGCTAGAATGCGGACCAAAATGCACCCAAGGGACCAGACATCACTTCTTCGCCCAAACCGTCGGTCAGTAGAAACTTCTGGGGGCTGATATGTTCGTGGAACACGTTGCGGATCATCATTGACAGGATAAGTATTATTGTCTACGAAGTCTGTAACAGTCATCTGGCGACGGTCCGACACACTCATAATGGAGATGCCAAAGTCAGAGATCTTCCATTTGCCCACAGGGCAGTTGACACCATCAAAGACAAGAATATTCTGAGGTTTTAGGTCCATGTGGCAACATTTTAGTCCCGGGGGTTGGAGGTGACCATGCAAGAACGACAATGCTCCTGTTAAATTAGACGCCTCTGTGATAAGATCCTGTGTAGTGAACTCGGAAGGAGGCCTATATTTACCACCCAGGAAGGCTTCTAGGTCCATTTTCGCCAGGGGAAATATAATATTAAAATCTCTCCCCACTGTCACCGTGGCGAGAAATGGAACAATGCGCTCGTGGTTTGACAGACTAGCCCGTAATAGGGAGAGGTTTTTAATCTCGTGTTGGAAGTGGCTGCGTGTATAGAAACATTTGCGGGCGACCATGATATCTTGCTAGACGCATTTTTCATGAGCAGCGGTGCCAAGACCTGGGTAAGAATATGGACAGCTTACGGTATATGGTGCTCCGTGGAGAAGATGGTCTGACTGTGAACGAAAGTGGCCTCTAGCGATGGTTTCATAAACGATTTCACCAAAACCACCTTGTCCGATTCGCCCTCCACCATCACGAAATGGAAGTCTCCACTCCTTGGACCTAATGATGTTTTCTCCTTCCTCAATATCAATTGGACAGAATATATATTGATTGTTGAGGAATTTCTCCGCCCATCGTGGCCCGAGAAAGCTCGGATCTTCCAAGGTCTCCAAGGTGTATTCCGGAATCTTTTCGTCTCCACGATTCTGCTCCAAAAAAATCGCAGCAAAGTCCGGCCACCGATCCCACTCAATATATACTAGGGTTGAGAGCGTCTGCAAATAACCACTTCGGAGTTTAGGGATCGATTTTGATTTCAAACTGGGCATCAAAAGCTCGACGAACTTCTTCAGCAACTCTTCGGTCCACATGTCGAGCAGGCTGCCGCGGGAGATGAACGTGTCCAGAACCTTTCCACGCTTCTCCATCTTCTGTTTAAGCTGCGAAATCAGCCCTTCGATGAACTCACGACGCTCATGTTGCCGCTGCAGTTCCCGATCGCGCTCTTGCAGGGAGGGTCGACGCGGCATGTCGTATAAGTCGTGGGCGGGATGACGATCGGTCGCAAAGCTGGGAGACTCAGCAGTAAGATCTGTGGGGTCAAATAGATTGTGAGAGTATTTGAATTAAGGTTCTTGTAGGGATCTGGCATTGTCGGCAACTGTCCATCGATAGTATTCGTGCTGTGTGGAGTGCGCACAAGACAACATATAGACAGAGGGAAGAGGAAGAGAGGGATTGGCAAGGAAGTGTCAGCATTACGGGGTCACCAAGTATTAATACTACTAAATACTACTATGACACTGCAGCCTAATGGCTACATGGCAGTCGTGCCCCAACCACTCCCCGTGGGGTTTGGGACCATCATCCCTCGGCAGCCTCACCTCCCTTCCATCAAAGTGAATCATATTTCCTTGCATTTAGCTTCCATTTCGCACCACAACTCTATTTTCTGGCTACTAATATAAGTACTGCTACTACACAGGATGCTTGATCTCTAATGTTAAGTGTCATAGGATCTTACCCGTTATTCCACGTAAAGTATTACGTGGAAGCTGCCGAGGTAATACATTCGTCCAGCACGCCAAGTACAACGCCAGTTGCAGCTTCTATATACGATGATGACCTACAGACTCAAACAGTGACTGGTTCCATATGGTATGGTAGATCGTCCTCCTGCTTTCGGCGCCCGCAAATCCGGCTTAGTTCTGATATATGGTGCTTCACATGCGTTGATGTCTTTTTGTTGACTGCCAATCTCCAGTAAGCTACCTGAACTAGTATCAAATATCCAAGTACTTACAGATCTCATTTGTTTGCTCTAAGCTTACACGGGCAGTACCGCTAGGGACCTAATATTCTGTGAGAGACTGGAAATAGCTGACGCTGCCATTACTTACTAAGAAAAATACTAGTACAAAAGCGATGGCGTTCAGACCGCTACAGACAATTAAGCGAGTTAGAAGATACTTCTCATAAACTTCAAGATGAACGACTGGAACTCACGTAAACAAAAAGAGCAGATTTGAGTGGCCGTGAGGTTGCAAAGCATCCGTCAATATGGGGACGAAGAGTACCAGAAGTCCAAGGCCTAGGAAATTGACCATTACGCTGAAACTCATACCCACCTCTTGTGAACCAATATTAGCCTAATACCTGTATATTCAGAACCGGGGCGTTGCCACTTACCACGAAATGCTAGGGGAAACACCTCCGCGCTGAAAGTGAATGGAACAGGCCCCGCTCCGATCCCGTAGAAGAAAACAAACACCACTATGCTGAACGGCGCAACAAGGCCGAGGCGAATATTTATATCAATGCGGAAGAAGAAGCTGATAGCCAAAAGCGTGAAAAACATCCCTCCTAAGGAAATAAGGAGGAGAAGGCGGCGGCCACGCCAATCAATGTATCGGTATGCAGGAATGGTAAATAGAAAGTTAGCCAACCCAAATCCTACGTAAAGTGATTAGCCTATTTGACATAGATGGACTACCATAGTGTCATTTAGTACCAAAGTTAAGCCAGGCAACCGATGAAGAGTCAAGTGCGTTTGTCTTCTTTGAGATATCGGCCTGCGAGCCGCCACCAGCATCGCGGAACAATGTTGTAGAGTAGAAGGACAGTACGTTAATCTAATACCAAGATGATTAGATCTGATTTTTTTAATAGAATAGTTGAGCAGGGAAGAATCTGTCTCACCCCACAAAGCTGTTGCGATGCCATCACCAGGAAAGCTGCCAGACAGGCCCTGCGGTTGCGCCGTATACTCCACAAGGACCAGACACGTCTGAGAAATGACATTTTTCCAACCTTTTCTTGGTATAGATCCTTTCTATACCATTCGCTGGGTTGCTGACTTTCCTGGGAGTCTTCTTCGTGGGTCCTTCATTGTACTCAAGAAGCTCAGTTGACACCTGAAGTTGACTATGGACATAGTACAGGTCCCTTGCCGCCTGGAGATCTGTTCCTCGAAGTTGACGAAGGCTTAGGAACGCGTTTTTGTAATCATTTATACGGATAAGAAACCGAGGCGATTCCGGACATAGGAACACCAAAAAGAGGAGAATGATGGCGGGAATCGCAGCCGTGCCTAGGAGTATCCTCCATTGGCGGTCTACTATCCAGACAGTAGCAAAGCCAATGAAGATTCCACTGTACATTTATCAGATAGTTACTTTGCTATTCAGCCATGTAAGAACTCACAATGTATCAAATAACTGCCACATCATCAACAGTCGTCCCCGAAGATGATCTGCAGCAGCTTCTGCCGCAAAAAAACCGGAGCAACGGATGCCTTGGCCCCAATCTGCAAGATATGGTTCGTGAGTCAGCAAGGGGGAAAGTATAAATAATACTTTGTTAAGATGAAAAAATCATACCCCGATACCAAGCAGTAGTCGACAAACAAGAAGTTGCTCCCATGTGTTGCAGCGCGCGGTGCCTATATAGAGTCAGACAACCATTTTTTTTTTATTATAAGAGCCGAACCCGATATACCAATTACGCAAGCCGCGCAGAAGACTGCCGATATGAAAAGTGCTGGTCGCCTGCCAAATCTCCCTTCCTGCAAGGGATCGCTTAACCAGGTTCCACTATGTGTAATCTGTCAGACGTTGTCTACTTTAATGTGACGACCAACTTACATAATACTGCCTGATAACCATGGCGCAGCGTCGATAAGCCCTGCCAAAAGTATGTGATTGCTCCAATCTCCATTCGGGGCTTTCAGTTCATGCTGCCAGCCGGGAGAGCTGGCGTTGATAGTTGACTGTTGCCAGCCTCTATGGACATTGGTCAACAAATAAAGACATTATAGATGGACACGGATGCTCTGGTGGTTCTCATACTGAGTAATCGCAGCACACGTAGTGGTTAATATTGTGACCTTTAGTTCCTTCGTTTGATTAAAAAGACCAGATTTGTCTTCCTCATCAAGAATCTTCCTCTCCAGCCCCGTCAAATCAGCGAGAAAGAGGTTGTTTGGATCATGTGCCACTCTCGCTCCTTTTAAAAGTAGTTTGACGTCGACAACATCTTCCAATCCGTCATGATTTCTGTAAAAATGCTCCACGTCTCTTTGAAGGTCTTCCGGGTATCGCTGTATTCGAGGAGTAAGACTTCTATAGTAACACGAGCGATTGTCAGTATTTCGAAAGTGTCACAACTTGATCCCATAGGAGGAATCCACGTGGAAGGCAAGGATACATACTGTCGTGCACCCTGATGACGAACCATCGTGGCGGTGCTACTGATGCCCACCAAAAACAAATATTTAACAAGCTCGTATAGGGAGATTCCCTCAGTCAGTCCCAATTTGAAGCATACAAAAGGACTGCCTAAGGTAGGTGATGTCAAATCTTTGGCAATTCAAGAGCAACATTTAACTCTATGCATGCAAGGTTGTGTGCTTCAGCATCACTTACTATTTAGCCGAGGGTAAAAGATACATTTGACCATTCGAGAAAACCACCAGCCATGTATTAACCACAATCTCCCATGAGAAGCATAGTGGTGCCCTGAAATTTCATGAGGCTCTTATGAGGTCAACTGTTCTTCGCCAGCCCCCAAAGCTCGTATTGACGTATGTCTCAGGCTCACTCACGAGCTATATTTAAGGTGGTATCATGCAGTCACTCTCCTAGTGTGATTAGAAATGTTTATAACTGGGTGGTTGATGAGACTAATGCAGCAAGGCTGTGCCCGGGACGGGTGGGCATGCACGCCCATCACACGGAGCATTGCCATTAAAAGAGATTAAATACCATAAGCTATAAAGGAAGCACATAAAGAACGTTGAAAGGGGATAGAAATTAGTACGGCCATATTGGCGAGAAACCAAAGCGGAATGAATATTGTTTGCTTCCCATTATGCTTTGACAGAATGGATCAGTTTCGGGAATGCCAGACAATGCTGCAGTGTATTCCAACAGAATCCCAGTCTCTGTTTGTTATCCTACAGTTTGCTTTTTTTTATTATTTAGTTTTTTGTAGTGGCAGAACATGAACTCCCTTTCCCACCGAAGGATGGTATACTCAACCCCCGCACCCATATGGCTCCCAGAAATAAGTAAGTAAAATGAATCTTCGCATTGCAATTAGACATGTCTCTTCTTTCAATAACCGTACATCCTACATCCTCATGCAAAAGTCTTATTATTGAAAGCCTTGACCCCGGCTGAGCGCCTTCCCCGCTCCTCCCCCGCTCCTCGTGTAGGCACTGGGCAATTCATCTACCCAATCTAACAAGTCAGCTCCAGTGGAGGCCAATCATAAAGAACGAAGATCCCAGTGGGGCAAACACACTAGTATCCCGTAGTTTGGGATTAAGTGTCCTAGTAGTGCAGCAGATGACGAACCCCATCCAGTCATCATTTGCGCAATACGTATCCCTCGATTCCCCGCTCGAAGGCTAAGCGGCTCTGCGCATGCTTGGAACTAATATCATCTTGGAAGCCGAGTAGCACATCGTAGGGTGGCTTGGGTGTTAATGCATTTTTCTGATAACAGTCATCTGGGTTTCCGTCGTGCGCATCGTGCGATCAGCTACCATAATGCCCGAGTACGTTAAGAACACCCTAGGCGAGGCCGAAACAGGGTATATTAGAAAGGAAAGGCTCGAGTCTCGGCTTTTGGCTATTTTCAAACAGCCCATCATGGTTCAGGTAGGATGGATTCTGGTGGGTCGCTAAGGAAGTACAATCGCTGAAATGGCAAATCATGTAGCATATCAGCGAGCGCTTTGTCTTCTATGCCCCAAGGCTTGTTACTCAGGTGAGTGTGGGTCACGAATATGTAAACCGCATTGGTGCTTACATTTACCAGGATGAGATCGAGTAAGCGGCGAAGGGATTGTTATAAGATGGAACCAGGCTGACAGTGTATACAGCGATCTACGTGAAGTTGAGAGGGTAAATTGGTCGGCATTGTGACAGGGTCATTTGAAGCGTGTTCGCGATGATATTAGCATGTGTATTGGGTTGTATGATCGTAGAGGCCTGGAAGCCTCTCTGGCCCAGGAGTCGTCTTGTCTACCAGCAGCCATGTCATGTAATCCTCGCTGGTGGCTATGTCATTCCATTTTGACAAGGCGTTTACATCTGGTCTGCCTTGAAGAGTACCTAGGATGTTTCTCCGGCAACACTGAATCTCTTTCCCCCTATTGCCAATTTAACATAAATCCCCAGTGCCCATACAATCCGCTAAATCGAAGAGAGAAGCGACATAGATCCTTCTTTTACTAAACTCGGACCCATAAGCTGTCATCCCTGTCTGATGATGCCCCCTTTTACGCGTCAGCTTGAGGCCGGCGACTACGATGCAATCCTTCCGCATTTGCGGTATCCTACTTTTCTCACTAGACCAGAACAGTCCAACATATACGTCTACGACAGCGGTTCTAGTATCGAACACCATGTTTTTACGAACAGTGATATGTTTGAAGGACACATTTTGACCAGACCAAAACCAGAAACGAGAATAGTGTATGTCTCATCATAGCCGCCCTCTCGGCCTTAGGTAGCTGACTAACTGTTATACGTAGATCAATATGCTCGCAAAACTCGATGAAACCATTGGGCATTACGTACACTGCAATGCGAAATCTGATTAATCATTACAGTATCGGGCCAGCATTCTTTGACCTTCTGCTTGCTTTTGGTGACAAGCCACAAAGCTCCGGGGCTGGCCATGGGGGAATGACTGTGACCCACAGAGGGGATGGTTCATACGGTAAACTTTCCAGCGACGTGAGAACCATATCTGCGCTTACATACACTGGTAGATATCCAATATCTATTCACCTACGCAGAGGACCACAGAACAAATGGGCGCGTCCTATGGACTATCCGACAAATATGTGTGTTTCACCGATACGACGCATCTGGCTCGGGGAACTTATGGATACTACTCCATGCGAGACCCTGCTCCAAGGTTCAACAGCATCTCGAGGCGGCTATCCGTGAGCAACGAGATGAACTGTTCTCCGATTGGTTTGCATTGCATTCAGTGGTTCTGTCATCCTATCTTGGTAACTGGCGATGGTGTATTGGCAAGCTCGGAGAGGAAGTAGAGAAATCCGTATGTTTGCACTGGCTCTATACACGCCTCAGACTAATAAAGAGCAGGTCGATACAGCTCTCACCTTCGACCCAGCCGACACGGAAGACAATAAAAGGAATCTGATCAGTTTGCTTAAACCACAATATCTTGGCGATAAGCTATTACCACTGTCGTCAAGGTTGGGCGTTGCATTGGATATTGTACAGAAACTCAAGAACGTCAATACGAATATTTACTCGAGAAGACTCACATCCGACACTAGTTCCAAACATGCCGCCGACGAACTAGAGTATTATACAACAGTATTGCAAGGATACCTGGGTAGCATCTCGGTTTTGGAAAAGAAAGTCCAGGGAGTCTCAGACCTCGTACGTATTCTCACCATCGTCCTAACTTACTAGCTAACGAACTAATTCTCTCACTAAGCTGGCAGTATCTCTCAATGTGAATTATCAAGCCGTGGCGGTAGAAATCAATAACAAAATGTTGAAACTGACAGACGCTGCATTTGATGACAATGCCACTGTTAAGGTCGTGACGTTAGTCACTCTCATCTACTTGCCTGCAAGTTTCGTCTCAGTATGTTGAGCAATATTCCACTATTCAACCCAGCATATCATTCTAATTCGTTTAGACTCTTCTTGGGATGAATCTGTTTGAATTTGACGGTGGCAATGGAAGAGGATTTACGATATCCGGCCAGTTCTGGATCTTTGTCGTCATCGCTGTGCCATTAACGCTTCTTACCCTTGCTGCTTGGTATCTTATTATTCGACGGCGATCGAGGCTTAGGGCGAAGAGCAAGGATCATGATATGGAAAAGGCCCAATAGAAAAAGTCGCTGACGCATGGAGTAACACATGTTATCTAGGGTGCCTTTGGCATTTTATAGACTTTGCATTTTCTCTATTGTTTTGACTGGGTTTTTTATTTTCAGGTTTATATACGGTGCATTTGGATCAACTTATGGGGGTTACCTTATTGGGGTCTATCTTATAGTTTACCTCTCATTGCAACACTGGGAAAGGGAGCATATTTGTACAGCATCAGATAGTCTACTTAGTTATGACGAGTATCTAAATACGTCGCTCAAAATAAGTCATCGATAATTCTAATCGTGAATAACCCCGAAGCTAAGCTACGTACGACGCACTTCTTGTTAGACTCAAAAAGACAATAGCCACACCTTGGGGGCATTTTCTTCCTCATCGGAATGAAAATGCCTTTATATGCCCTATCCGTATACTGATAAAAGTTTTGGCTGGATCACAGGAGAAAGTCGGGCCAGGTTTAAATGTTCCCTTGAACCCGCGATGGTTAAACTCCGCGTTGTCGCTTTTGCACGGGCTTCGTGTTGTCAAATATTCTTATTAAATTCTGTACTATTATAGACATACCTTGGTCAACTATTTTTATTTCTTTAATAAAGGATAATTTTATAGCATTATGTAGAAATCATTAATAGTCCAGGTTCCGTTTTGCTTATTGGTCAGACTGACGGCATAATTTGAAGCTTTTCTCGCTGACCCCGTGTTTAAGTTACTAGAGCCCAAATATTTTGTCCTTTGTATTCAAAAGAATTCTGATCTGTCTCGCAGCCCAGGTGAAGACAAAAATACAATATGTAGCTATCATGATCTGAATCATTTACTTCCAGTTCCCCTAGACTACCAACCACTCTTCGGCAGGCAAACATATATGCTGGGAGATTGTACCCAGTAAATTCTGTTATTACCAAGGAGCTTTTCCATCATAGAAGAGATTGTAAGATTGACATCGTGCGAGGACTGTTCAAGCATAGATTGCACTTCGGAGTACGTCAGATGATCATCTCAAAATACGTGGAGAGACACATGTAAGTGACGTAAGATTGGGCATATGTCCTGGAAACGTCATAAATGTTTCAATGTCGCCCGTCTAGGCCAAGATACTGTAAATAGTCTCCTTGAAGACAGCATGTCCATGGATCTCCATCTGTGCCATAAAATTGAACGTTAGCCAAGCAAAGGCATTTCAGTCAAGGGAAGAATTCGCTCGGATGGATTGTATGTTACACTGCCGGTCTCGAGATTGTTTATAGCCACATTATAGAGAAAGCTTCTCGAGATCCCAATGAAACAATACCAGATTTGAAGTGGTCGAAGAGATTATATTTTTATCTATATCTAAGATGGTTATGATAAAGACTCGTAAGAGATGCGAAACGTAGTGTAGAAATATTATTTGTCAGATTGGTAGCACCACCTTGAATAGAGGTAGGAGTGTTATTTTGATGGCTAGAAAGGTAATACATGACTGAATCTGGGGTCGTATACCATCCCCTCAATCTATCTTGGTATTAATGTCATTCATAATTCTTGGCCGCTCACGAGGGCATGCACATGATTATCTTTATGTATTGGCATGCGAAACTGCTGTAGAAGACAGGGTGGAGCCTTATTTGAGTTGGAAGTAGCATGAAATGGGAGTTTGAGTATGCGCACGTTTAAATATCTTTGGCGGTGTATTGTTTGAAGTGAACATTTCTACAAAGCTGTGTCCACTATTACTACCGCGGTTTAAGGAATGAAAAGGTAATGAAAAAGGATAGTCGGACTAGTTTGTGAAAATCTCGACATGTCAGGTTCAGAGCATGCAGCGTTCGATAATCACATTTAACCTTTGTTATTAATGTGGCTTAGCCTCTCTAAATTAAGCCCTAGTGTCTTGCTGGTTGAAAAATCATTGGCATTGGCAATGGGGGAGTCGTCTTGAGCGGCGGAAAATGGCCAGTCACTTTCGAAGTCGGCTCTGGCAAAGAGGCAATCCAAGGGGGTGTCGCTGGGGCTGATTCTTCTTTCTGTTGGCGGAACGAGATCAATTCCTAGTACTCGCGAGGCTGGGTGCTTGTTTGCGAATCGCCGAATCCAGATGCCGGTGCCACATCCAACATCGAGGATGTGCACAGGCGATGTGTTTACAGGGAATTGTGCGTGCTAGAGGCCGCGGATGCGGACGGTGAATACTTCATGTTGGCTATCTTTTCATCGTGCGAGTGTTTTGTTGACGAAGTAGAATAGATATGGTTTCGGAAGAAGTTTGATTTACACATATCTAGTAGTCGGTTGGTTTCAATTTCCTACTTTTTTTTTTTAAAAAAAAAAAAGAACATCCGATTAGTAACTTTGCTGAGATTTTCTTCACGTGGGAGTCGTACGTTGTTTGGCAATGGAACTGCTTTCTCTTCCCTTTCTTGCGAACCTGCAAATGGGAATTGATGGGCATCGCCCGTCAAATTGTCAAACAGGGAGATATCCCGGACCGAAAAGCAGCAGCGTCCGAAGCCATCATTACTAGCTAGGCACGATTTTAGACCTCGACGAATCTGACGTTACCTACGCTGTCAATCCGGATACGTACTTTTATATCTAACTCCGTTCCTCTGCTCCACTACCCCTCCATGAGTTGTTATTTGTTAGCCATCCTACTTGTGTATCACATGGCTAAATCTAGCTAAGATTGGGCTAAACGCTACTATCTATGTGGGTGAAAGCACCTCTACCTTAGGCCTGGCACTGTAGCTAAAAACGTCTATGTATAGCCTACAGTTAAGCAGTGCCACGAAGGCACATTTCTGGACATGCTTTGCATGAGATCCAAATTTACGGCTTCATGATTTTCACACTTTTGGAGCGTCAATGCACCTTCTTTGCACGAAATCCCAGCCCCTTCCCCTGCATACTTGGCTCATCCCGCTATTTAAGGTAGGTGAAATCGACATGTCAATCGCTGATGATATCAAAGAGTTTGAAGTCGAATCATAAAAATATAATAACAAGCGTTGTTCGGAGCACACTCTGCGCAAAGCTACGGAAGCCAGTATCTTTTTCTCTTTGTCTTCTTATATCTGCTATAGTAGCTAACGTTCGGTGTCGAATTTGGCGGGTTCAGTGAAATATTTTTCATCACAGGAGTTCCTGTTAAGGCCATTAAGAGTCGAGTCGGTTTACAGTTACAATAGTTTCCATTTATCGAATACAATCTTGTGGTTGAACCATCGAATTCTGTTTTTCACATCGTTATATGTTTGTACTCGCCCCGGAAATATAATGCACCAATATATGGAAGTGCCTTATACGGTGCAACCAAACTGAGCCGATGGTCTCTTACAGTTTGAGTTTGATCATTCAGTATACCGGAATCATATGACTGACCGGGCATTTTCCACATCGGCACCCAACTTGCGCCTGCAGCTGGTGGATGGTCTTAAATATTCCTGTCGAGATAGTGGTTGCTGCGCTCTCTGCACTTCTCCAGTCTCTGTTGGATCAACCCACCTATCCATCCATCTTCAATTTAGCCTAGCTTCCCCTGCTTTCACTTGCCACCCGCTCGACTCAACTGATGATAAAGATCACATCAAAGCCGACCGCTATCCTGATTATCCACGGAGCATATTTCCTCCCTCCCGCATGGGATGACTTCAACAACCATCTAACCCACGCAGGGTTTGTCTTGCAATGCTAATGACCACCTAATCGGCAACGGGCTCGTGAGTTTGGTCCTGCTATCTGCACGGCTCTTCCAACCGGAACATACACTCCATGGGGTTCTCGACATATACCATTTCCAGTCTAAAGTTGATCTAGGTAACAACGGTGAGGGCACTGTGTTCACCAACAACGCCCTACTCGTTTTTAATGACATGAGATGTCGCAGGCGGAGGAGCTGGTAAAGTGCAACGGAGTTAGGCGAGATAATTCTTCTGACATCGCGGCATCTCCAACAAGATCCTTCTGAAGTGCGAGTTCTTTGACGAGACGATTGGCAATAACATCAAGACCCTGGCAGACCCAATATCGGCTGCTTATTGCGAAAATGGTAGAAGAAAAAAATGGAGGTACTGTCTATATTGAAATAGCTCATCGTTGACATTAAAATTATATACAACCCCTTAAACCCCTCATCGCTCTACTATTCCTCGCTAGTTCAGTGTCACGCGCCCTAATCAGTATGCTGAGGCACCAAAAAGGGAGGCAAATTTGGGTTATCACCTCCCTGCTTGGGAATGGGAAAATCCTTTAAGATGCCAGATTCCAGCATCTCGTACACACTTGGGTGGATGTGTGCTCCATTCGGAATATCTCTGGCTGCACCCATATTGGGTGGGAGCCGTCGGGGGACCCATTTCCCATTTTCTAGCTCTAGACGGCTAGCGACTGGGAGGATTTCTACCAGCAGTTAGAACACACTTCGAAACATTATACATACAGGGTAGCAAACCTAAGATCCACCACAATATAACAGACATGCCACTCGCCCCATGTCTAAACCGGAGCATGTCATGCGGTTTGTTCGTCTTCTGCTGTCTATGCCACCCATCTGTTCCAGGACGCTCATCCCTACACAGAGATTTGCTATCATTTCTAGCCACCTTTTCGACATTGGTTGTTGCGAAGGAGAGTTTGCTTTCGGAACCGGGTAGATTCAACACTTCCTGGATCATCCAGTTTAGCGAGATGTCGGAGAGTAGATGGTTCTGGCCTGGATGGAGAGGCCAACCACCGCCAACATCTCCGTGGTTCCCCGCGAACCAGACTTCTTTGAAATCGACACCAGAGCTATCACGTGGATTAAGGAGGAAGAGAGCGGGTTTGAATTTTAGCCGACGCTCGTGGATCGACACAGCGTGACGGATGTGTTTCGCTGACGGGCTGGCGATGTACCGGTATGATCTACGAAAGAAAGGAATCTCAAATTGTCCCACACTGTTCACGCAGTCGAAGAGCCCAAGGAAATGCACGCCGACGTTGGGCCGGCAAAACGTCGTCTTGAACTTTTGCATGTACCGCGCTAGATCATAGTCTTCTTTAGTCTGGGGCACATTTCCGCGCGAGTTCTGGTAGCGGCCGAATGTTTCCCAAGCGAAGGGGACCATTTCCTCGTTTCCGCGCGAGAGTAGTCCAATGTTGTGGATCATTTCTGCGAGAAAGCGCGCTGTGTATGCGCCGCGGCTGAAGCCGAATATGTATATATGGTCTCCAGTAGAATAGTAGCGCATGATGAACTTGTATCCGGCTATAACGTGGTCAATAAAGGAGGTGCCTATGGCCTGGTCGATGAGGGACCTGAAGCGGGCTTTGATGCTGGCCCAGCTGTTGAATCCGCCAGAGCGGGAGGAGGAGCCTTTGACGTATGTCAGGGTTCCGATTCCAGCTGTATTTGGATTGTAAGTTAGCTATGTTTTTATTATATAGAGTAAGAGGCGACGTACGCTGATAATACGCATATTGTCCTGGGATGTGCCTCTCAAGCATCTCGTAGATCTTGACGATGTTGGTGTCCCCCTCCGTACCCTGGTACTGATTCCCTGTCCCATCGAAGCAGAGAACCAGTCGCCGTGGCTGCCCTGAGGGTATAGGCGCGGGTTCATGATCGTTGAAGGGATTAGGCCCAGGATAAGCGTGAGGCATGGTGGCAAGCCAACAAGACTAGCTACTCTATTTGTTTCGTTGCATGCTCAGGAAAAGAAATTTGAATCTACAGCAGAGCGGGTATTATAAGTTTGTGTCGCTTTGCGGGCGAGTGGGCTGTAAGTACAATTGGGGCAAATTTTTGTTAGGGGGCCTGATTTGTATGCAGATCGCCAGATACCCGGGCAAGGCGTTCTACTCATGGGACGATGACTGGACGCTGGAAGGGCGCGCGATGCTAGTTCTGCAGCTGAGCCCGGGCCTAGTATTACAGCACCACCTTGTGGGCATTTGGGCCAAGCCACTGGATGTTTAGGCCGTAAATGATTTGCTGTTGTTTACGAACTTGTGGGTGTGAAAAGTTTTGTCGCTAATCACAAGTTTTCCAAGTTTTGTAGCACAGATAACGCTATGTCGTACCAACCGATGCTCTGAGTTTGTTGGGGGGAAAGATGCAAGGGATAATTCTGCAACTGTGCATACAGAAACAAACTTAACCTTGTTCTAGAGATCACGGGATGCTATACTCCGTTACACAAGCATCACGTCGCATCCAATCGCATACTGTGGTCTCTTAAATCGGAACTGGATAAATGTTTTATCTTTCTCCTGAGGCATTATTGTTTTACACTTTGGGGATGAGTGAGAGCTGAAAGTAAGGCTGATTATGAGTAAGAAAATTTAGCCCCCAGGCTGAGGCTCAGCAGTAGTTATCACCTCTTAATATAGAAAATAATTCAGAGACAGGGATATCTCAGCCCTGCTCGAAAGCCACGGGGCAGATATAGGACTGATTTCCGCGGTACTGTTTACGGAATAGAATCGAGCAATAACATCTACAACTATTAGTAGGCAAAGTTACGCATGAGCAAGAACTTAAACTAATTAGCGTCAACAACCACCATTGTCCCCCATAGAGAGAAGCCAGTGGCCGTGGGCATTTAACTGATGCCGATATGGATGGTAGTTGGCAAGGCTCGTAAAACAGCCGCCTAAGTAGCTATTTTCAGCCGCCTGCTCACCATCACATCGTTAAATGAGTGTCTCAATATATTAATTTTGTACACCACATGCAATTTCGAAAGAGAATATTGCAGTGGATTTCGGATAGGAAATGTGGGGCTGTAACCGTCCATAACAACTGTTTTAATACAGTTCGTAGCGCGCAAGCCTATTGGATCAGATGCGGCAGCCTGTATTGCTGGCTGGCACCACCATGCATGAAACATTACGGTCCTATCGGAGGCTCTGATGCCGCCAGATTACACTGTCGAAACACGCTGAGCTCATTAGGTCGTAAAGTACGGAGTACCTCCGATGCTATGAAGGACTCTATGGTTATTGAATAGTATCATATTCCCTTCAGACCAGTCATGGGCATAGACATCATGCGAACTAATAGTGGGACGCTGCAATCTATAGATAATACCACGAACGCGTGCAAGGCCATCGATCACACTGCCGTCGGCGAGATGGATCTTGCACACGCAAGATGGATGGATTTGGAGAGAGAGCTTTCCTCTCACGCGGTTTTTCCAAGCCATAGCGAGGATCTGGATTTTAGATGGGGCGACGGAAGGCAGGTCAGACTCGGGAATTTCACGACCTTCGGTGTATAGACCCGCTCCAGTGAAGGCTCGGGTTCTTGACATCCAGATATATCTGCGCATAGCGTGTTGGCGGGGTGTTAGGTTGGAGATGTTAGGGGGCTGGAAAATCATACGGATATGGTGCATATTCAACCTTGCTTATTTTAACAAACTCCTTATCCTCGGGAGACACACGCTCGATGCATCGCGATGGACCCTGCGGTGATTGGGGTGTCGCAATGTTATGTTCTCGAGGCCTTGGTAGGACTTAAGAAAGCCATTCTCTTTCACCATGGCCTGAGGCTGGTCCAGTACTGCCTTCAGATGACGCAGTGACTGTAAAATTATTTTTCTCCCATGGCCGTACGGTTTAAAGCGCTTAGTGAATTCGTACTGCGTCCGAGGCGAAAGGCTCTGCTGATTCTTGAACAACACAATATGTTGATGGTAAAGGGTATCGCGGATAGCGGCAAACTCGTCATCTGCGAATGGTGAGTAGCCTTCTTCCTCTCAACTGCCCCTCCGTACTCGTAATGTTCTCTAAGTCCATATTGTCAATCTTCACGCCGAAGTCCACCGCAGACCCGGGCGCCGTCTTCGGAGGCCTGATATTCATCGATTACTTTGTCATGCCGACTTATGGGTTGCGTGTAGGTAGTGTCGATAGCAACGGTGAGAACAGAATATCCAACCGGGAGGGGTATCCATCTCGATAAGCCGATTCTGCACACTCAGCTGTGGCCGCATACGTTTAGTGTGGGTCTAGTCATGCCCTCTGTATGCTACGTCGACACCTTACAATGCAACGTGTTCGGTCTGCATGTTCATCTTGAAGCCATCAAAGTTTACTTTCCACTAGTTTAAATAGTACATTGCTCTGATTTAGCTAAGCGGAATATGCAGAATGACTGGTCACTTTGGCCGGAATCATCTCATCCTAGCTGAGGCAATACAAACTTGGCAGAGGCTAATTACTAGATTCGAAGTTGGTAACGAATCAAGTGACCAGCCAGATCCGAGCTCACTAAAACACTATTACTTGTGTAAAATGTATTTTCCACCATCCACCAATGATTGAAGTGCACTTATTGCTTATTCCTAAATCAAAGAGCGGACTTTCCAGTCCACCAAAATCTGTAATGCCAGCAATCACACAATTAAGCACCCCCCTTACAAGTGTCTCCAGACTCAAATATCTCAACTTCTTTGAGGGCGGTCGCCACAGCATTGGTAATATCCTCGACATTTTCAAGCCCCACGCTGAGCCGAATGATATGCTGCGGAACGCCATACTTTGGAACCTTTTCGCGATCCCAGTAGTTGGCAAGCTGGACGTAAGGAATCGCCAGTGTGAAATTGGTTCCGAAGCTGGAGCCTTTGCACACTTCAAGAACGTTGTAGAAATGCTCCGCGCTGCGTGGATCACGGAAGATGATGCTCAGGACATTCCCGTACCCGCCATCTTTCCGCATAAATGACCTGTACAGATGCGCTGTTTCTCCAATAGATGGATGATTAACCTGGGAGATTGACGGATGAGATTGAAGTAGATCGACCAGAGGGAGAGTGTTTTGGTTGCACTGCTTCACACGCCAGGACATACTCTGGCAGTTTTTTTGCAGGGCTTCTACATCGAGAGAGAAATATGTATTCTCGTATCTGGATGATAAGATAGTACGAATTGTACGGCGATAGCGCGAACCAGGGTTGATCACCAGGCTTGAAAGAGTTAGACTTTGCGATTCACGACTGGATGCGGTGTTTAACCCCACCTTCCTCCAGTGACATTCGAAAAGCCACTAAATGTCTTTGTCAGGCTGGACATCATTACATCCACATAAGGGATGGCGTCAATATTAGCATAGCCGGCCACGGTGTCGTCGCAAGCTACAATAAAGCCGTATTTATCGGCTAGGGCACGTATGCGGTGCAGGTTGGGCGATGACAGTTTGATGTTACTGGGGAGTTCACAAAAGAGAGCCAGAATCTGTTGCCCAGATTTGAGCATACTTTCTAACTGATCCAGCTCCTCTTCGGTGCCGTTCTTGTAGGAGAGGACTTTTCCCCACGGACTTTGTCTGAGAACATTAACTGTCTCTGGATATAGCCACCTAGAAGAGCAAATATTAGATGTATCTGCGATGGGGTTAGTTTCCAGAGTCATCATACCCGTATGCAGCGACTTTGGAGTCTGCTGCGAATGAGGCCAGACCTTCAGAAAGGGCATAAATGGCGTTCATTCCGTTGGGGTACAGGAAAACGTCCTTAACATCCACGGATGGCTGCCCTGCTTGCTCAGAAGTAGCCAGTTTCGCGAGAAGAGACTTCACCTCGTCCATGCTATCATCTGCCGACTGCGTCAACATAAGAGACTGCTGGCTTAGGTGACGGCTCCTCTTTTGGGGCGCGGGGGTCCGAAACTTCGGCTCCGAGGAGTCGGAGTCAAGATAGTCCAACTCTTCTAGGCAGTAACTGGCATGTCGAGTGGACAGTCCGGAGCCTGTATCGCGCCAAAAAGCCATGGCCTGCTTCTTCAAGTCGAGGGGGAATAGCACTGCCGCGAAATTGGCCCAATGAGTCGCTGAGTCTCCCCAGTTCGACTCTAAGGGCATAAAAAATCGGACGATCTTTATGATACTAGACTGGTTTTCCGAAGAAGCCGTATGAAGACCTGCGGCACAGCACCGAGCAGCATAGGCAGAGCGGAAGACCATGCACGAGATGGTTTTATCAGTAATTTGAAGTCGTCGCAAAACGGCATCTGAGACATCCCGAACAGGTTTGTTTAAATAGAATCTGAAGGGAATTAGCTACAGTATTCCTCCATAATATCCAGCTACTCTACCGTGGGTAACTCCATTCTAGTTTCTCCAATACCCAGTACTCTTTCCGCGATAGTCCAATGACTGAGGACCAGGTTGGTAGAGACACGCTGACGGCCTAAATAAGATTATTACCAGTTCACACAGTTAATTTTCTGTAGCCGACAATGGGGCTACCTACATGCAATTCATCAGAAGGGTAGATATTGGCTTTCCCTAGTGGTAACGTCCGAGGTGCCAGGGGAGGCATCCACGGCTCTGAGGCAGCACCAAGGTCGCCCATGACGGTAGATCAACTTTCTCCTGTTTGTGAAATGAGCACACACACACAGAGGGCTCGTTGGATGGCTGGTCAATTAAGTGAGACCTACATGCCAACGAGTAGTCCTGGTGATTTAAGCTCAGCAGTTCGGTAGCTCCGGGAATGGATTTACATTACGTGATGGTATGACTAGGTGTATGCGACCAGGCCCTCATTCCGTACCTATAGCAGTCAATTCGCTGATCAATCTTAGCATGACAGATCACCCGAGCTGGGAGATCAAGTGCGCAGCTGAACTGCGGTGTAGACTATTTGTATCTACACCGTATCGGTAGTCTCTGTGCAATGGCTGCCTAAGCATCGCTTTGGCGATGACAGACTACTGAACCGGATTCGACCAGTTCTGCGTTTTAGTCAGGGCAACTACCACTGTCCTGCCCAATATGGCTCTGATGTCACATTCCACTCAACATTGGAATCCTGTTTATGAATGTTGTGGAATTCAGGGGAAGTGATGCGCAGGGAGCTATTCTGTCGACAATTATGGTAATATTGATTATTCAGCACCTTTCTTAGTCAAATGTTGTTGATGATGCAACATCATCGGATCGCGTATATTTCCTACATTAGTTAGTTTGCATTCTTCATTTGTTTACCTCGCCTTTATAAATGCGAGATGTTTTGGTAGTTTTGTTGAATCAGAGACCTAATTCAATGAAGGATCGATACTTGCGAATACGCGTAATTTTATGGTTCACATATTCTATCAGCTACAGGCCAACTAGCCTAATTAGGAAGTAGATGTCATTCAGTGGAAACACCAGAAGTCGCAGTATCTCAACCAACTGAGCCTACTAAGCGGTTACCTCTCATTGAGGTGTTCAACTCTTGATCTAAAGTGCTCAACTAAGTAAAGGATTCAGGGGCTGAATTGATCGTCAGATACTCCGCACCGCTAAAACTGAAAGGAAGGAAAGGACGTGTAAACAAATAGGAAGTAAATCACGTGATGTGGGTTTCCAAAGGCAAATGGGGCCAATGGGGCCAACGGGGACAACGGGGACAACAGTTCCCCCATCCCCTAAAAAATTAGATACTAATTGAAGTCATTTATGTATCTCCATACAACTGAAATATATTATTAAAAAATGAGTGTAGAACTATCTACTAGGATATTTTAATCGATTATGGCCCTGAATATTGCAATTGCTGCATGTCGCGGGCCTTCGCCGCCCGGGTCACCCGCCCGGGCTTCAGCCCGAATCTCTACTGCCTCCTTTACCTAATGTCAGATATACGGCTAATCCCGAAGAGGAAATAGAGTACGATTGGTAAAAAGGTCTTATTTGAATGAATTGAGCTGGTTGGGCTCTTCTTGATTATGTTGATTCCTCTGTTGTTTTCGTTGTGTGCTCCGCGGAGGTTTACCCTATCTAGTCACATGATTCTGGTCCACCAAAGGCCATATTATTTGACACCTAATTATCTAGAATGCCTTATTATTAGTTAGACTGCCTTTATCTTAAATAAACTGTCTATGCACTTCTTCTTCTTCTTCTGGCACTTGCCATGTCGATGAAGTTCATTCCTTAAGAGAACCATTTGTTGCATAGCAATGTCGTTGCCTTTTATAACGTCTCTATCTAATGGAGGACTGAATAAAAAAGGTGAAAACAAAGGAACAAAGTCGGACCGAGAGGAAGCTGAATAATGAGTAATATTGATCCACTCTGGTCGACAGAGAAATGTCAAGGAGCTACTCGTTGATGAGTCAGGAGGATTCCGTCCACGGTCTATTTTCCACCTTTCAATTGTCATTTTATCCGAAGGAGAAAAGAAGATGGGAAAGGAAAGATAAGTAGACAGCGAGATGCTGCTTAATTGAAGTCTGCTGGTGAATTCCCTGACCGCATCGGCCACTGCATTTTATGCCCAAAAGAGGCAGGCGGCAGCCCCACCAATACGGAACCGGCGAAAGCCGTGCTGTCGTGTATCAACCGGTCAACATCCAGCATCATTTTTCACCTTTTAATGTATCTGCTTGATTGTTTGTTCCTGGAAACACATAGGCCTCTTCATTGTACTCTCATTTCCAGAGCTTCCCCTTTCCAGCGCCATGTCTACAGCGGCGACCGCCAAGCGCCCCGAGATCATTGACATCGCGCGGGGTCTGAACCATGTTCCCATGTGTGAAGAGTACGAGCGAATGATCTCAGGGATGATGTAAGTGATAGGCATTAAGACTGTATGTAACGGCTATTGGAAGGAACCTGACATTTCAGGTACAATCCCAATTTCCCTCGACTCTTGGAAGCACGCCACCGCGCTCGTGGGGTAACCCAGGACTACAACAACCTTGACACCAAGACCGTTCCATACGATAAGATCCACGACGTTCGTCTGGGGATGCTTAAACATGTTGTCGGACAGGTGGGATCGGGCACGTTCGTGGAGCCACCCTTTCTGCCGGACTACGGATGTAACATCCGGATCGGCGAAGACTGCTTCATCAACTTCAAGTTAGCGTCCCACACGGTATGGACAAGTTATCTGATTGCATTCTGACATTTCTAGCTTCACCGCCCTAGACACCAGTTTAATCATCATCGGTGATCGAGTGCAATTCGGCCCGAACGTCAGCGTTTTCACTGCGGGTCATGACGTCAGTGTCTTGTCGCGACGGAAATTCGTTGAGTTTGGCCATCCAGTTCTAATTGAGGATGATTGCTGGATCGGGGGGAATGTTATTATTCTCCCCGGAGTGACCATTGGAAAGGGTACGACGATCGCAGCTGGATCGATAGTTACCAAAGACATTCCGCCCTATTCCGTGGCCGTTGGCAGTCCTTGTCGGGTTAAGAAAACCATTCCGTCCCCTGAGGAGGAGGAGCAGAATCCTAACAATCCTTACCGGAATTTGGTTCGTGAAGATAGAGCAGAGTAGCTGATAAATGGCTGCTTTGTGGTATGGAGATTTCAATAGACTTGGTGTAGAATGTGATGATATCATATATGACGCACGTTGATATAGAAACAGGATAGATAGGTTTAAAAGAGAGTTCGACTATTTCTATTACCTGTCATTAGTGATGATGAACCAGTCATTTAGATAGCTCAATTCGCGCACCACAAGGCGCTAGGGTATCCCAAAGTATGTATGTACAATATATACTATTGTTCAGCCCACAACTATCGTCCTAGTCACAGGCTGCGGGTGTATAAGCCATCGAGCTTACTAGCTTGGTAAGTTAAGAAACGAGTGAAGGAACCGAAGCCCCGAAATTATTTGATTTAGGAAAGGCACCTCTTTCTTTGTCTTTGTCCCCCGCTACGGGTCTTGACATTTTCCTGATCTGAATGTTGCCTCTTGTAGCAATCTGGAGCTTACTTCTCCCTTAATACCCTCCTATTAAAATCAGCTTAATAAGGTTAATTATGGTTCGTTCCCCCGGCGCTTCAAAGACCGCGAAGAGAACCAATTCATTGGCATTTGCCCGGACAGACTGTCACACCTGTCTATCTGCAAACCGAGCATGCGATCGTCAGCGTCCACAGTGTGCCATGTGCTTAGAACATGGGGTTCGCTGTGGTGGATTCGCAACTCCTCTTTCATGGGATGACAGTCGGACTTGGCTTGGTCATCCATTACGGAAAAATGTTCGATCACAGGAGGAAGATGAGGTGGTATCTAGGAATTCAAATGCCATTAACAAGCTGAGAATTTCCGTTCCACAACATTTTCAATTTGTACTGAACGGGAGAGGCAGGAAACGCCGCTTGCGGCGGCTGCCATCTGCTGATATCGATACTACCAGAGGACAAGCAATAACGCAGATAATTCCAAGTTCGAGGAGCGGGAGAGCCGATGACATTGCCTATGACATAAGAGAGGTAGCTCCGCAGCAAACAACGCAGCTATTTGATAATTATGGTCTGTGTCCTGGAGTTCTACTGTTGATGTTGATTCTAAGGTGATATAGGACCATATCTATTTGATACTATAGATTTCTCTCTGGGCGAAGATGCCTTGTCGTCTTTGTTACTTCCCGATACTCCCATGATTTCCTCAATGGACACACCGGAGCAGAGTTTGGAAAATGGACTGGGTGGTGCTATCAGCCTCACAAATGGCTTCCAGACTGGAGATCAACGTGCCTCCTTTGCTGAAGGACGGGTGGGCTCGGCATCTGGTATGGACTTGAGTAGGCTTCCTGCACCCAACGCCTTGGTTGGGAGTCAACACGAGACATTGTTCAAAATGTGTAGGACTATCCGATATGGGAAGAAAGTCAAGGTATTCACAGAATACAGATGATAGCGAATTTTGCATACTTCCCATTACGTATGATTCTGAGTCGAATCCGTTTCGATGTGGGCTATCGATATCGCAAGGATCAAAGTTGCTATTTCATTCTATTCTGGCATTATGTTGTCGACATCTCAATCTCCTTAGTGGATCTTGGTTAACCGAAACACAAGAGCATCACAGTGAATCGTCTAAGCTCCTGGACCAAGCGTGCCAAAATACTCAACTAGCGACGAAGGGATTAGCGCTGCTGGACCCTATACTTATTCTATTTACGTTAGATGTATGTCGCCCTGATTGAATTCATGGCTATATACTAACCGACTCTCAGTGCACTCTGTCTGCCTCTGGACGCTGGGCATCCCATATATCACGAGCCCATTTTATTCTCGATGAATGTGGCGGCCCTCCAGCCCTTACCAGCCAGCGTTCTCGGTCTCAAGTTGCCATGATGATATGGTAGGCATTTTACATAGATCCATGGATTTAACAGATTCACGAGCATGCTAATAAACCCATAGGTGGGATGCAACACTTGCCTTGGTTTCTCGACAGGGTCCTATACTTCCCCGACCCTACCTTGACCACCTCCGGAGTCATGAGACAGATGACCAATGGTCCTTTTACCAGCTCTCAGGATGTCCCACTGAGCTTGTGGTACATATATCCTCCCTAGCGGAGCTGGCACAGCAAAAAGAGCTTGCTTCCTCTATGACATGGCTTGCTTTCGACTTGACCCCGGTATTACACATCGAAGCACAGATCTGTAGCTGGAAGAACCCTTCATCATGCAGCTACTTCGCTACAGATTTTGAATTGAACCATACGGCAGGTACAGACGAAGACACTCTCCATGCTCGAAAAGATCGATACCATTGCATCGAGGCCTGGCGGCACGCTCTTCTCCTATATATTGAACGTGTTTTTAAATGGGACCGTGGAGTATCTCAACCGAAAACTATGGGACGTCTAATTCGATCGACTCTGGATCACGTTCGATGCTGTCGGCGCACATCTATGACGCAGAAACAATTGCTTCTGCCCGTTTTTCTGGCTGGAAGTGAGACTCGGGATGAGGAAATGCGGAGCGTTGTGCGACGTTATTGTCGCTGGTGGGGCCAAAGGAGTCGCTACCATATGTTCCACTCTGTTCCCTCGTTGCTGGAGGAAATCTGGGCCGCAGAGAGTTGGTGGGGGGATGTGGTGGATTCAAAGACAAGAGGAACATCTGGGCAGACCCCAGTCCAATATCTTTTGGGATAGGGTACGATGTTTATGGTTCGGATTGTTGCATGTAGCGGCAGTGAACGATATCTAACGCTTATTAATGATAGCATATAAATGAGAGATATAATTCTGATATTGTTATGCAGGCCCAGGGGGGGGTTATATATGGGTTATAAATGCCATATATCCTTAGACAAGAGTTAAAGAACATACCAAGTATTTCGATATACATAATGATGAAAGTGAGAAACTGGAATAATCATTAGCACCTGAAAAGGAGAACTTGGATTGTCCAAGATGTTTGTATTATCTGTAGCAGTCTATCCTACTGCTCGGCATCTAATCCCCCTCCCATAAATTTCCCTCCAAGCGAAACTATTCTCTTCGTTGCCATGTCGCCGATTTTTATCTCGCCCTGAGCACGACGGGATCAGTCGTACCTGAGCAGTCTGCCAGGATGTCCCTAAGCTCACCGAAGTCAATTCTTGGCCCATGCTGTTACTGTACACACCTATGATGTCTAAATTAAATTGCAACATCTCCCATAAAGACTTCGGGTTACTTGCAGCAATATTTCAATGCCGTCAGAATACCACTATACCACAAAAAGTAGCGCTGTTTCAGTTTGCATATAATATGGTATATCTGTTTTACCTGACAAATACGTACTGATGCTAAGACAATGCAGACCAGAACAGAGGGATAGCCTGATGTTCTAGCATCCTATTTGTTACCTTTAGCGATTCCTTTTGTACATAGCCTATTATATAGGTTCTACGGGGTTCAGCCCCTGACACTGGGCGCCTGATCCTGATGCATATCGTCCTGAAAAGGTCCTGGGTCGATCGGCCACGGAGATGGCGATATCAGTTCTGGCGGTTTGGGTTCGTACATGGTCAGTGTATTGGGAAGTATACGACGGCCGTGGTGATTTGGACGATTCTGTATATTATGGAGAACTACGAATTGAAATCTACAAGCTTAACGAGATAAAAGGATACGCATTCGATTAATATAGAACTAAAAACAGACCGCATCTACGGACTATGGCCTCTCGTTGTTTCCCGACAGCCTTCATCACCTGTACAACGACAAATGGGATTTTCAGAGTCCCTTTCGAAGGTTAGCGTGCGCATAGCGGTTGAGCGCGTCGAGAAAAAAGCTATTTCGAAAGCCACCTGGGCTAGAGAACAAGCTATCAGAGTCGGTTTAAACTGTTGCATTGACCAATTAACGGAGACCTTACTAAATTTCGGGGAGATGGAGCTGCCAAGGTGGGTATCCTTTTAAGGTCAATCGCTTCCCCCAAACAACCAGGAAATCCGGTGAGTGTCCGGCCTTTTGGTGAAGGACCTGCTCGACCTTTTCTTCCGAAAGATCCACTGTGGATAACATTCCGGATCTAGAAAGTGTCCCCAAGCTGTTCGCAAGCTCAGTGATGGTGTGCTTGCCATAAGCAGAATGTAACAGGTTGACCTTCAATTTCCTACCCTCTGTTGAAACCTCATGGACTGATTCACCTGAAGGTGTAACAATCAAGTCTACATTCTTTATTTTTTCAGCATGCATCTTCGAGATTATTGCTGAGCGTATGGCTTCATGTCGAGCAAACATCACACCTGGTACAATGAGTCAGCCCATTGCAATATCATCATCATACGCCTTAGTAAATTACGAACCGGAACTTTCATAGATGATCAGTGTTTCACAACCATGGTTCTATTGTTGCCGAAACTGCACAACTACTCTTAAAGCGGCCTTTGGATGAGAAAGAATTTCAAGAGCTCAGTATAATTGATTGTCTTGGTGAAACCTTTCGGGCTGCATATCGGTTAAGCCATTGTTTAGTTGAGCGAGATCGTGAATCCGACCACCCAGGACACATCGCCCATATTAGGAGAGAATCAAACCTGACTGCTATCGACGATGCTTGTTGCTTGAAGACAGCAGTTTTCATTCTCCTGCTGAAATTTTCAAGACTAATTCGGCTTATTCTGACCTTCTGGATTGCTTCAACGAATGGAGCTTTCAAGTACCGGCGAATGAACGACCAGACATGGATTCAACACCTGCCAATAAGAGCTGGCTGGTCGCACTTGGAGAGACCTATTTTCAACACACCATTGACAGAAAGTGGCGATGCGACAACCTGAGTTGCAGTTTTTTCCTAGCTAGTTAGGGATATTATGTGCTGTTGTAGTTCAGAGGAAGATTGATTATTGTCAATCCCATATGAAAATTTGAGGTTTTAATATACAAGATGGATTTCAGATAGATTTCCAATCATTCGGAATCCAAACAGAATTAAATCTGTACATGAGACTATCATGTTCTCTTGGACGAGCCTCGGTTTACAACACCAGCAACAGGCTTACCTGTGAGATATGACTGGAGAGATGAGGAAATATAGTGAGGCCGGAAACACCTGCACCAACTAGTATTATCTTCATTGCGGATTATGAGAAGACACAGTAGAAAATAATTATGGTCAACCTGGTTGGGCAGCAAGATGGTGCAGTAGATTCGGAGTGAAGAGACGCTTATATATTAAATTCTCTAATCCAGATCACTCGAAAACCATGGCTTCGCTTCATCAGGTAGAACCCTCTGGACTCATGATGTAGCCGTGGCGATATGAACTAGTATAGTGAGATAATATTTTGATTTGAACCGGTGAACTCGATATTAGCGTCTTAAAAAAAAAAAAAAAAAAGAGGAAAAAAAAATAATCTACCAAATCCAATATATACATCAATTTTTGCATTCCAGATGGAGTCCACAAGAAGGTTTTGATTCGGTGTATACCGGGTTTCGAAGCACCAAGCTGCAAGCTCATAATGATTTACTGGGTACGTTTCCAAATTTCTTGGAGAGCCATCCATATGATCACTGAAGGATCTTGTGCACTGTATTCTGGTGAAACTCATATTGGGGAAGCGAATACAGAACTGTCAAGCATCCGAGGTGGTCGCACGTGCAACGCGCTGGAAACTTTCGCCGCAGTCGATGAGTCTTATTGTGTTTCTGTAGCGTATCTTTGCGAGCATATGTATACTCTTTTGCTCTGGGATGAATATTAGTGTGACCAACGCATACTGGGCATTGAAGTCCACTCTCGCTCTCCAACGGAATGGTGTCCCCGCAAGGCTTTTTGTAATTGGGTTTCGTCGAACCGGATTCGCTTCTGCAGTGGCTTTGGTACGTCGAGGCGGTGGAGAGCCAGGCGCATCTCAATGGAACGGATACGATCTTCAAGAGGTTCCTCATCACTGACCTTGTCCACATCTCTATTCTTAAATTCAAGGTCTGCGAGGGCTTTTCTCTCCGGTATCACATGCGATGTGTCTGGTTCAAACACGATTGGCTTGCGATGGTAGTTTCCATTAATTACTATTTTGTTTCCAATATTGTCGAAAAAGTCTCTGTGCTGTTCATCGCGGTTTCGTGCAACCTTTTCCTTTCTGATCTGACCTTGTTCTTCGCCTTTTGATACTCAGTATACAAGTCCGTTCCTCGGGCTTTGTGCAGCTGATGGTATAGTGCAACCAACTCGGCCGCAGCTTGTCCCGCTTGCACTTCAATTTACTGAGCTCAGCGTCGTTCTCAATCCCGTTCTTTCACTCGTTGCTTAACCCTTGCGGCACAAATGCATCCCGGGTCAAACTTGAATTTGTCGCAAGCTTAATTAAATCATCTCTGCTTGGGGTTCCCATAAAGGCGGACTCGGTATCATCTTGGACATGGACATAATATGCAAACGTACTACTTCTTCTATGGCCCATAATGATGTTCGGGGAAGGCTCATCTAAATGTCCTTCACGATCTACGTAAGCATACATGAAGAGGTGGTTGTTCATTAGGGAGTACTTACTGAAATTGAAGCGGCGCCTTTACGGTATTTATACCAATATCCCTTGTCCTTGGAACCGTCCGACCGGCTAGTTTCAATCTCGTCGTCCCGCACTTTGTGGTATGGTAAGGCTCTTGTGGGATCAATGACTCACTTTCCCTCAGAGTCATTCACAGCGCGACGGAATATTGGAATCACTTTCATGCTCTCCTTGAAGTGAATAGGGGTGCTGAGTCGATGATATGGTACATGGGTATAATGCCAGATGTCTCGGGAACACTTTATATGCTTACTGGCAAAGGCATAGTCGAGGATGGCAAGTTCCAGTATGTCTTGTATAACGCAGAGGGCAAGGTTATCATTTCGTTCAGTATAGGTGAAGACCGACCTTCGACTAGTTAGAAGACTTCAGTAGTAGCACAGACTAGACTTACGCAACAACCTTGTTTCTCTTGCCCTTATTCAGCTTATGCTTGACTTTCAGAGGACGAGTCTGGCAAGTCGGATATTCTAGATGTTTCACCATATAGAGCTCGAGATCTTTCCATTTAAGCGCGTCATTGCTCGTTATATACCCGGCAGGCTCAACTAGCATTCCAGGGCGTGCAGACATTGATCCCATCATTTTTCTCAAGGTGCTGTGCTGCAGGCGACACCGAGCGGTTGCAAACTTCACCTTGTTAACAGCCATAAGATGATAGGTTTTGTAGAGGAGAATTTGTTGCGAGGCATTGGAACAGAAAATCGGGTTTGTATGTATAAAGTGGAAGCCTTCTGACAGTTGAAAACAACTTGTAATAAAAAGCATCTTAAATAAAATACTCCACGAAGGCAGAGACCAGCCCTTTTATCCTTTCTCCTAGACCCATGATGTACGCGCCAGGTATATTGTTGATTATGGATGTATAGGCCACAGCTTGAGCGAACTTTAGATATGGCCGCTTAGTACGCCAAAGGCAGAAACACCCAGCGTAAAGCCACGGTTTCTGATCCAAAGACCACGCACAACCGTCCTTTCCGGTCACCCACAGTTACTCCGTATAATACTATATCAATTGTTGCTCCATAATACCATCTCGGTCCTTGGCATCGCCGACCCGAATAACCTCGGGGTCTTCAAAGTCTTCAACCATATTCCCTGTAATACTCTCCAAATACCCCAATACCTTAATACCTATAGTATACAGACTAGTATGGAACGCTCCTGTCTCCAGTGCCATCAGCGCAAAGTACGCTGCTCCAAGACTCTCCCATGTGCTGCCTGTTCTCGTCTCGGTGTTTCCTGTCGTTATCCCTCCGCCGACCGACCCCGACGAGTGCAAAAAGCCACCATCACCGACCGCGTTGCCCAGTTGGAACGCAGTCTGGCCGTGCTGGCCAACAGTCCATCGTCATCCTCTCCCTCTGATCCCAAGCGAGATACCTCTTACCTGCCCGACCTGCCGCCCTCGCCCAGTCGGCGCCAAGAGCTGCTGGTCCCCGACGGTATCTCCACCCGCTACATCAACGAGACCTTTCTGTCGCGCATCCTGAAGAAAGACAGTCGTCTGCATCAGGTCATCAGCACCCGCGACCATGCGAATGCCACCAATTCCGTCCGGGATTTCCGTCCCGAGGGTCTCCTAGCGCGGTCGCGACTACATGGCAGCTCTGAATCGGCGACGCTGGACCTCTCAAGCTGGCAGGCCACACAGCTGTGGCAGATCTATCGCGCCAATGTCGATCCGGTCGCCAAGATCCTGCATTTACCGACGGTTGAACCTCTGGTGTATTGCACCATGAACGAGGGCGGCACTGACGACAGTCGCGCGCTCCTATTTGCCATCTATTTTGCCGCCGTCACCAGTCTGTCGGCCACCGACGCGGCCAATCTCCTGGGTCGTGACAAGCGTTCGGCCCTGCTGGACTTTCAGGGACGGATTGAAACCGCCCTGGTCGATGCGGCGTGCTTCGATCTGCCCTCCATTCTGTCGCTGCAAGCGCTGGCGATCTACATCGTAAGTTTTTACCTTAAACTCTTCAAGACGCTGCTAACGGGCTAGACATGTCTGCGCGCCCACAGCACCAGTCGGTCCGGATGGATCATTAACGGCGTGCTGATCCGCTCGGCACTATCAATCGGACTGCATCGTGACGGCTCGCATTTCAACCTGTCACCGCTGGAGGCGGAGCTGCGTCGTCGTCTCTGGTGGCAGATCCTGGTGCTGGACTACCGTGCGGCCGAAGACCACGGGATAGCGGTGCATGGACTGGGCAGTCGCGCCGACACGCATCTTCCCGTACACGTTGACGACTGCGACCTCGGCGCCGACATCCGGGTTCTCCCCTCGACGCGTGCCAAATGGACCGAGATGACTGGTTTCCTGCTGATAGCGGAGATCAGCATCGCCTTCCAGCGACTAGCCGCCCAACCAATTGAGACAGCACAGAGCCTACAGACAGTGCAGGATCTCAACGTGTACGTAGAACAGACGTACCTACGACACTGCAACGTGCACATCCCCATCCAGAAAGCCTATTGGCTGGCTTCGCGGTCCCTGCTGGCTAAATTCGAGTTCTTCGTCCACCAGCAAGTTCTCCATGCCGATCAACCGCAGGAATGCGTCTCCTCTACCGCGGAACAGACCCTCGTGGCCGCATGCACCTGTCTGGAACTCAGCGCCCAGCTCGTCACCGATGATCTCCTGCGCGGCTTCCGCTGGCTCTTTGCCAGCTACAACCAGTTCCACTGTCTCACGTATCTTGTCTGGCAACTATGTGCACAGCCGTCCGGTCCCCAGGTCGCGCGTGCCTGGTCTATTGTCGATTGCGTCTTCGATCTCACCGAGAACGATCCGGGTCGGCCGGACCCGGGGCCCATTTGGAACGTGTTGCGATATCTGCGCGAGAAGGCCCGTCATCGGAGGGAGGGGTTGGCGTCTGAGTCGGAGACGGCAAAGCGAGTGGAGGGGGAGGTTGAGGAAGAGGGCTTGGAGTTGGTTCCGAATTTGGATGCGTCTTTGTCCGAGTGGGTAGATTTTTCGGAGAATTTGGGATTATTTCGATTCGATCTGTAATCACTGTTGTATTGTGGATATTTCATGAATAATGGCCTCGGTGCTTGTCCTGGCCGAGCGCCGAGCCGATCTATCTTTATATCCTCTTTCTCATATAAATCCAATATGTCTGTCAATTTTATTATTCTCTATCTGTATCTGTCAGTCTAGTCTATCCAGAGCATCATCATGACCGAAGAACAGTGTGATAAAGTGAATGAAGAAAAGGACCTCCCCCCCGATGGAGGCCTCACAGCGTGGATGGTAGTTATGGGAGCATGGTGTACCTCATTTTGCAGTTTTGGCTGGGTTAACAGCGTCGGAATATTCCAGAGTTACTACGAGTCGCATATGCTATCGCAATACTCGTCCAGCACCATCGCCTGGATCCCTTCGCTGCAGATCTTCTTCATGTTCGCCATGGGTCCTATTGTTGGCAAACTCTATGATGCCTTCGGGGCTAGATATCTCATCATGGTGGGCACCTTTTGTCACGTCTTTGGACTCATGATGGCTTCTATCTCTACGCAGTATTACCAGATTTTGCTGTCCCAGGGTGTTTGTAGTGCTATTGGTGCTGCTGCTATTTTTCAGCCTGGTATTGCACCATTCTTCTATCCATTCTTCTATGATTGATGACTGACTGGTCGTAGCCCTCAACTCCGTCAGCGGCTGGTTCGACCGTCGTCGAGGCATCGCCTTCGCGACGCTATCCACCGGCTCCAGCGTCGGCGGCGTTATCTTCCCTATCATGTTAGATCGACTCGTCCAAAAGGTCGGGTTTCCCTGGAGCATGCGCATCTCCGCATTCATGATCCTATTCCTGCTAGCCATCGCCATCCTCACCGTGAAGTCGCGCATCCCTCGGACCTCCAAATCCCCTACCTCCAAGAACAATAACAATCTGCTGCAACCCTTCCACGAACCCGTCTTCCTCCTCACGCTCATTGGATACATGCTTCTGACATATGGTGTCTTCATTCCCATCAACTACGTCATCGTCGAGGCAGAACTCAACGGCATGTCTACCAGTTTGGCGGCGTATCTCCTCCCCATGTTGAATGCAGCGAGTCTTTTTGGTCGTCTTAGTGCCGGGTTTGCATCGGATAAAATTGGACGATTCAACGTGTTCATTGCTATGTGTCTCGTCGTCGGCGTGTTGGTATTAGCATTGTGGGTTCCAGCGTCCAGTAACCCGGGTACCATCGTATTCGCGACTACCTTTGGTTTCGCGTCCGGAGCCTACATCAGTCTCTCCCCCGCGTTGATTGCGCAGATTTCGCCCCTCACGGAAATCGGGTACCGGACTGGCTTACTGTTCTTGTTTGCGTCGGTGGGTGGTCTTACGACGAGTCCGATTGCAGGGGCGATTCTGCAGAATGCAGGTGGGAATTTTACGAATGTGAAGATCTTCGCGGGGGTGTTTTTGTTGGTGGGGACGGCGGTGGTTACTGCTGCTAGGTTGGTGAGGACGAAGGGGAAATTGGGGGTGAAGTTTTAGTTGCATATAGTATTGGGAGATGGGGGTATAGATTAGATTTGTTTACGGTTTGGTGCATATGTTATTAACTAGTTACTGGGAGTAGCTCTACGATAGCCGGTATATCTCAAGGAAAGAAATTATTTGCAGGAGATAACCCAAGTCTGTCTTTAAAAGCTTTCTTTTAATAACCAAACAAAACATAAACCAAGAATATGTAAACAAATCATGGCCGTCTATACTCTTCCGTATTTTATCATACAGGAAGCTATAAGATGATTTGCTACTGTGCTGGGAGTTACGTTCTGGGATTGGTAGTGCAAAGTCATTAATCTCACTCTTGGCCTGGGACATAGCAATTGATGTAGGTTGTTTAAACTTAGCAGGCAGTTGGAAAACCCATGATGTCCATAGCCACAGTTTAGGTCTCCACTATATACTGTCGGAAAGTTCTCTTTCAGATGGTTGACCCATATATGAGAGAAGAATCGCACCGCGGATTCACACTTATAATAGTCTATGAGAACAAGAGCCTTAGCAAGCAGCTCGAGGGCTATTTCGTGGGGTAACTTGTGGTATCGACAATTAAATATCGTAAGCAGAATCAAGATTGCCCTAAGGTCCCAGCTGTTGTAGTGAACCTACCTGATCCTTTCTCAAGAAGAGTAAAATTTTCCTTCTAAGCAGTAGTAAGAGCCTTTCTGAACACAGGTGAAGTGAACATCAAATGTTTCTCAGACGCCTGGATACGGAATTCAGTGTCTGCTGGATCCTTGTCACTCTCAACTTGCTGCATGGTGTTCTTTTATCTGCTTGTTCACCCCCAAGTTTGCAGGCATCGATATTTCAACAGAAAGCTCTACAGCAACTTTTTCTGGGGATACTTGAGAGTTTTCTTAGCAGCTGCTTCAGCGCCCTCTTGTAGGGCCGACTTTGCAACGAGCACATCGAGACCAGGTCTATCAGAGTTCCTGTTCATTCCTTTCTTCTTTCTCTGAACTTTTTCATCATTTTGATGAAGTCGTAGTAAGAGTTTCTGAAGATACAAGGGAGAAGGCGAGATTGTTATCCGGTTCTAAGGAAAGTTCCATGAACGTATTATCTGTGATCTCTTCCCAGACTGCGAAATGTCGATTCGGGTCTCGTAATATTATTATCACTTCCCCATCTGGATTGATATGTTGTGTTTTGTCCATTGTCCTTGGTCGTAGGGATCGTTCGCGCTGAGAAATAAGAACCCTTGCACTGGAAATGAGCTTACTTGAAAAGGGTTGAACTTTTTTAAAAAGTAGTTGACATCAGCAGCAGCATACTTGACTTGCTACTGTTTTCAGTCAAAGACGTGATTGGACTTAGGAATATGATAGAACGGGTGGCAAAATAGTTAAGACTTATTCGAGATTTACAGGGCCTATGCTAAGGGGTCATAATTCATACATATAAACTTATCCAAATGTAGGTAAGACCTCGTGCGTGTGACAACTCATTGACATACACCCGATACTCGGCGCTTGAACTTTGCGCCACTTACGAAGACAAAAAAACAAGAAGCCAAGAAAGCCAGAATACACCTCTTTCATAATTGACAAAACGATTTAAACAGAAGGAGTGGGTAGGGTATCCATGAACGCAACAATTCCTCAAGCAATATGCACTTAGCGATTGGGCGTGGCCCTGGAGCTACTTTATTTACCGGACCACCTACGCAGCTGGGGAGGATTGGACGACTACCCTGCGCTTATCGGCATTTCTACGACGATCAAACCATCTAAGACTGCCTCCAGCGGGGAAGTGCTGCCAGCGCAGTTCGATGCTTACAAGCTTGCTACGAAGGGTATCGGAATGTCATTATGAGGATCCGAAACTAGACAGTGTCTGTGCCCACATCATCCTCAAAAAGCACCAAGAGTGGGCGACGAGCACGGATTAAGTACTTACGCCAGTCCACAATTCGGCCACAGCTTGATGCTTGATGAGAAATACCCTCAATCTATCTTAGTATCCAAAGAGCCTGGAACTGCAGAGTCCATAGTTGGGAAGTCAGGCTATGCTCCGTGGACAGGACCGTATGGATATATCAATATCTTGGATGTCGTGGACCACGATCTCGAGAATCCAGAATATGACGAGGGACCGTTTATAATGGGTTTAATGCGGCAGGAGCTGGATCGTCTTTTATTTTTCGCTTATAACTGCGAAGAACACCTGCTTTGTGATCAACATTGGTATGTCAACAGTCCAGAATAAGTTTTGTATACCGATGGAAGAGGTGCGAATAACTCAGCCTAAAAGACATGGTTACTCATCGGAGGAAGAGTATGATTATATATGGGTATGTATATACGAGAACCCTATTCATTGCTGTTGGTCAAAACCCTGTGTAAATGATAGGAGAATTCTACTCTTATAGCTGATCAAGTGAGGTTGGGGCATCTTGTAGCTCATTCTACATCAATATCTTGTATGGGAGGTCAATTCGAGTGTCAAAAAATTCGCAGTACATCTACCGCCATGTATGGTGTATTTATTCTCCTGGGAGATCCACGTGGGGCATTTCAGACGATCCGATGGAGCTACAACTATAAGGCGAGTTAACTGGAGGTATTAAGAAGCAAGCTCCTCCAAGGGTTGGCAAATACCGGATTAAAATAGAATTGGTTGAGGTTAGACTAAAGGCTACAATGCATCTTCATGTGATAGCTCCTTACAACAGCGATATGAGCTGCTATTTGTTTTATAGGTAGTTTATCTCATGAATGAAACCAATCATCACCATATCTGTTCTCTATCCCAACGTGCAGCACCATGCAAGATACGAAATACAAGGGTTGCACTAGGTACCTGTGAGTAGAATTATGATCTATTCCTATAATATAACATGAGGGTTTTATTGATTCCTTTATCACCTAAAGTGCAGCCTTACTATAGCATTGAGTGCTACACGTGCCAACTATGCAAAGTGCTTAATTACTTGGAGTAGGCACAAGGATAAGTCTCGTAATAAGCAGTTGCTCGTTTCCCCTTTGTGAGGGTATGGCTTGAGAACAAAGTTCTGGTGAGGCTTGAGAACAAATTCTGGTGAGGCTTGATAATATGACACTGTATGACAGGCAACCCCTGAAAGCTACACATTGGCGTCGCTGAAACTCTATATTGGTGGCAAATTGCCGCGCCATCCAGTGACTCTGGAAGCGTATATGCGTCTGAATGGATTCCGAGTGGATCATTTATCTCTACATTCTATGTGCAACCTAATATAAGTAGGGAATTGCATGTATGTACTGGTGCCTGCTCAGACGCGTTTACAGAGTACATGTTAATCCTTACATCTGGACATTAATCTATTAAATAAACCCTTCTTCTCCGTAAAACCCATTGACCGATGAATCTCCTCCGCAGACACCTCCACATCCTCGGCAATCCCCCTGCGACGTTTCCAGTTTCGCTCCGTGTTGGTAATGTGGCCCTCGCGCCACATGCGGCCATACAACCGACGGGACTCATCGCGCGTGCGCACCCGCAGGATATCATACACGCTGGCGGCCGTCATGGCGGCGTCGCGTTCCCCGCCTGTCTGGCCGTCAACGACCCGTACGTTGACACCCTGCGATCAGAACTGACTCCCCCACATGCTGTTCTCGCCGGCCGTCGCGAAAACGGTTATGCGCGTGGGTGACACAGGGTATGAGAGAAGGTAGGCGAGCGCGTTGGCGTCGACCCCACTCAGGATGGGGCCAATCACGAAGTCATCGTCGCGCGTGATAGCTTCGTTGATCTGGGGTACGTAGTAGGTGTGGAAGTAGCAGTCGTTGGGACCGGTGTCCAGAGGGCCGGATATAAATGCTGCCATATTCCGCGAGTACTGGTGTGTGAGAAGTAGGTTACAGATTGTGAGCTGATCGGACTATTCCGATTGCAGTAAGCGAGATCAGATCCAATCCGTGGTTCATCGGCTCTTTACGAACTATGGAACTATAGACTGGGAGATCCTAGAAGTACTGCTTCCCACCTTCCAGATCAGGGAATTCCCGATCAGGCAGGCATGATGAAATCAGAGTCCCTACTTAAACCCCTCTGTCCCCTACGTTCACACGCCACACCTTTCATCCATACATATCACTATGTCATCCATGGAAAAAGTTTTCGCCGGCTATGCCGACCGACTGGCCAAACTCGAAGCCAGTGACAACCCCTTCGCCCAGGGCATTGCCTGGGTCGAGGGTGAGTACGTGCCGCTATTTGAGGCGCGCATTCCCCTCGTCGACCAGGGCTTTATGCACAGCGATTTAACATACGATGTACCCGCCGTCTGGGATGGCAGATTCTTCCGTCTGGACGACCACCTCGAACGCCTGGAAGCCAGCTGTGGGAAGCTCCGTCTGCGCATGCCTCTACCCCGCCAGCAGGTCAAGGACATGCTCGTGGAAATGTTGGCCAAGAGCGGCATTCGCGATGCCTTTGTCGAAATCATCGTCACCCGTGGGAAAGTCGCCGTGCGGGAGGGTAATCCCGACACCATGGTTAATAGCTTGTATCTCATCGTGCAGCCCTACGTCTGGGTCATGGATCCAGAGATCCAGAGGGGGGGCGGAAGTGCCATCATTGCACGCACTGTGCGCCGTGTGCCCCCCGGCGCCATTGATCCCACTGTCAAGAACCTGCAGTGGGGGGATCTCGTCCGCGGCATGTTCGAGGCCCGCGATCGTGGTTCCACTTATCCGTTCCTCACGGACGGAGACACCAATTTGACCGAGGGATCCGGGTTCAATATACTCTTCGTCAAGGATGGTGTCATCTACACCCCCAAGCGTGGCGTTCTCGAGGGCGTCACCCGCAGGAGCGTCTTCGACGTCGCCCGCAGCAATCGTATCGAGGTGCACGTGGAAACCGTCCCCGTCGAATTGGCCTACGCGAGCGATGAGATCTTCATGAGTACGACAGCGGGCGGCATCATGCCCATCACCGAGCTGGATGGGAAGCCCGTGGGTAACGGCAAGGTTGGCCCGGTTACAAGTAAGATCTGGGATGGATATTGGGATATGCACTATAATCCGACTTATAGCTTTGAGGTCAAGTATTAGATCGAGTATTAGGATCTGTTGGTAAATTTGTGCTATAATGTTATAATAATGTTATAATGTCATCAATAGCCACTGTCTAGTCATGACGTATGACAATTGTAGATTTAATTCTACCCAAGTAATTCCGTCTTCCGGCAATTCCGCTCCGGATGCGTCTCCAAACCTAATTAAGTCCATCCAAACTCTCCAACCGATCCGCGTACCGGTTCAACGACCGACCGATCAAATTGACCAGTTCCCAGATATAATCCGCCGTAAAGAGCTGGGCCCAGAGGCGCGTGACGGAGGCACTCAACCGCGTCGGACGTCCCAGCAGCCACTCACGCGATACGCCATGCCTCGCCTCCATGACCATCTCAATAACAAACTCCAGCAATTTGGACTCCTGCTCCGTCAGCTCCGGCTGCGGATCTAACACAGTCGCCACCTCCAACCACTTCGCCAGCAACACGGCACACTCCATCGAACACAGCACGTACTGATTCGACCACGACGCCACGTGCGTATGAGCCACGAAATTGATCCCCAATTTGATGGGCGTGCTGAGCGCATGCGCACAATGCAGCGCCGCGCGCGTTAATCGATCACTCCGTTCCACGCACACATTCCCCAGCAGCGACTGCGCGATCGCATCCGGGTCCCATGTCTGTAGACGTCGCGCAGAGCTGAAGTCTGCGTTGAGTCGGATGTACGCGAGTCGAAGTAGCGCTGTTGATGTAAATGAGATCGGCCCGTGCGGATTGAATGGATCAATCGATGATTCCTGGTTGTGTTCCCAGCATTGACACCATTGTTCCAGTGCGTGTTCTAGGGATGCTATCTGCGTTGTAGATAACGAGCTCGTCTTCGTGTGTGGTAGTCGACATGTTTTCTGGATCAGCCAGATGTTCTGGATGATGGAGTGAATGAGAACGTATCCGCCCATAGAGGAGAAACTCTCTAGATGTCTGGATGTGGACATTGCGGGTTGAGAGAATAGAGAGGATAGCGCGTCTTGAAGTTTGATTTCAACCACGGGCTGTGGGAGACGCTGCGCTCGTTCGGAATGCCATTGCTCCGCCGTCGTGGCTTGCCATTCTTTCTCCGTGCAGGGCAGATCCAGCGTCAGTTCCTCGGTGAGGACCAGCGGCGGTACGTCGAAGACGATAGTGTGGATGTTGAGAATGCAGAATACCACGAGTTTCGTACGTTTGCGTTCCTCCGTCCGGATCCAGCTATGCCATGTCCCGTCATGGGACGGGAGTTCGTTGATACCTCCCTGTCGGACTAGCGTCTCTAATACCCCGCGGATGAATAGTCCTTCGGAGTATGCTGGGTTGCGTTCGAACCACGAGGAGATTGATGTTAGCATCACCAGCGCTTGGATAGTGTCAAGATGATCTTGATCCCGCGATGCGGGAGATGGAGTAGCAGGGGGTGGTAGAATCCATTGGTAATTCCGTCGGATGTGCTCCATGGTCACGGCCTTGGCGACAAGATAGAGATTCATGCTCGTGTCAGGTTCCCGACAGTATCGAGCGCCCAGCGCAGCCATGGAGAGGAACAGCGGTAGGGAGAGGGATTCTACGTCCAGAGTCGCGATGTGCTTGAATGGGTAATGTTTATGGTACCCCGTTAGATACCCTGTCAGACATCGCGACAGGGCGTGTCGTGAGGGGATGAAAGGGTCGGTGATGACATTCGCGTAGTCTGTTAGTAAAGCGACGTAGCGGTCGCGACACTGCGTCGTCACCGAGATAGAACTCCGCGGTTGTCGGGACTTGTAAGGCGTGTGCGATTCCTCTGGCTGAAGTGAGGGCAGTTGCGTGCCGTGACGAGGGAGTACCGATCCCGGTGTGGTTACGCTTGCAGCGTCTCTGTCTCTGTCCTTGTTGGACTGGTCGTAGACAGGAGTAGAGTCGAACTGGAGGGCAGGGAACAACGGCAGGGGTTGGTAACTAGGAGAGAAAGGATGGCTTGGCAGCGGAATGCTATCCAGAAACGAGGTAAAATCATCCCCGTCGTACGATGCAGAGGCGCCGAATCCCGTGAATGATTCCCCGAAAGTAGTCGTCTCTGAGGGAGCTCTCGCCGGCGTTTGATCCGACACCGCATGGCTTCCAACTCCGGACATGACGTGCGGGAAAGTCGCATTTCCTGGTATAAAATGCGCATTATGTTGTGTCGGAGTCGACATTGGTTGTTTTGTCACCGCAGATGCCAACATATCCAGGCCATCGAAGAAAGGACGAGAACTCGATGGGGACGACGTCTGACTCACTGCCTCGGAGGTATGGGACAGACGCTCATGACGAGCCAAAAGATCCCTAGTCTGTCAGTTCTACTCGGGACTCTATATAGGGTTTTGCGTACTTCCGAGTGAACGACTTGAGACATTTATTGCACGCAAATGGCTTCTCCTTCGTATCTGTCATAATTAGTCGAGATCGCGAATCAATTGGTCAGACCTACGCGAGCGATCATGACGCTGCAGATGCTCCAGTCGGGAGAACGTTCGGGAGCATCTTTGGCATTGGAAGGACCTGGATGGTTTGACCATCACGCATTGTCGTGAGGAAGAAATCAGGAGGTGATGCCGTATTCCGAGACTGTCGGATGCCAAGCATTTATGTCGGCAGTTGGCGGCTGGGAAATACCGTTGGGTACAACACCATGGTGTAAGTTTATTCCATTTGATACTATCATGCTTCTATTTTACTATAAGATTGTCAGTTTAATAAGAAAGTCAGAAATGGCTAGAGTAGTGGATTTGTGTGAGTTTGATGACGTCATGGTCGAAATAATCCCGTGATTCTTCTACATTGGGTTCCTTCTTGACTAGGCAAATCAACACCTCAGGCCAACCACAACGTCTAAGACAGTACAAAACGGTGGGGACGCTCAAAGTCAATCAGTTTTTATATTCAGCCGCACAGCCTTGTGGTCTACGGCCCAAAGTGACGGCTGAAGAAATCGTATCGTTGTAATTCTATCGCTGCATTAGCCCGTCTGGAGATTCTTGTCATTTTCATATCTCCATTCAAATATCTTGCGTGTTTGATAGCCCCACATTTGATTGATTTGTTTTGGCTTCCTGAAGTTCTGTATATTCTACATTGTCTACCATGCTCAATGTGGCAATGGTCTATCTATAGTCTATTACTTCTCATAATATCCTACGATCAACCAGCTATGGAATACATATCATACCGACTCCTCAGCCTAAAGGCAAAGATGCGGACTCCCCCAACATCGATTTCTAAATAAATCCATAAAAATAAAGGAGAGAACTATACTGGTCCATTGTCAAGGGACGTACTAACTCTCTTTGAGCCTGGCGTAATCTATTGTGACCTCGAGGATTGAGATTTGGATCAAGTCGGTGCTCTGCAGCTGAATGAAATTTTTACTGAAGTAGTGACATTTACTCCATTTCCAGTAGAACAGTAGAACGACACGTCGCCTATCTCTAGCTTAAAGCTAGCAGCGCTATATTCTATTTACTTTACAAATAATATAGTCGTAGCCCAGAGCCAGATAACGTCCTACCAGAATACAAAAGAGTACCTAGAATAAATAATCAATTGACCCCTACTATCAGTAATAAAATGAGAATAAAATCCAAAAATTCGGTAATCAGATACAACAGTAAATACAACGATTAGCCTAGCTGCGTGGCTATATGAAATATGGTGGTGATAGCATTTTGACGGAAGTCCAGGTGAACATTCTTGGAGGGACGCCGCAATAGACTCCTGAGGAGGAGAGTGATTGTACATCGTTCCAGGACATATTCAAGGCTCCATGCTCATGTGTGTAGCCTCTTGCTTCTCCACGACTTCCTATTGAACTATCCCCCTTTATTTTTCTCTAGTCATCAGTTGAGAGGCTATCATGAGAATAATCGTTGTTGGAAGTGGTATAGCAGGGCTCTCCCTTGCTATCGCCCACTCCAGATCCCACCCACGTCCTCGTGCTGGACTCGAATCCTCACCTGGCTGAACTCGGTGCCGTTATCCAGATAACCTCCCAGGCAGTGAAATGTCTATTTCAAAGGGGTCTTCCAGATGACGTCATGATGGAATGCATACGATGTCGAGTTAGGAACGCTATCCTTAGGATATACATTTTAGTGACAAGAGGATCAGACTATCTGCAGCAACGACCAGATCTGCTTCTGGCAGTTTGCCGCTGTATAACTCCACAGCCCCATTTTCAAACACATACCGTAAAAAGCAAACTGAAAAAAAAAAAAAAAGATGACAGAAAGACAAAGATACAAAATAAAAACGCGCAAATTTGAGTCTTCGTTTCATAGGGCCACGAAATGTCGCAATCATGGTTACGACATCTACAGAATTTGAAAATATTATCCATCTCTTAGTAGTAGGTGTTTCAGCCACTATTAATACCAGTAGACACGATTGGCGATGTGCTATTTTCTTCACTTGCGTTGAGGCTATGGCTTGTGCCTTCACCCTCCCATCAGCCTCCCTCAACAGCTGCATTCTTCGTGGTTTCGTCCCTTCTCCTCTATAGGACTACCAGTGAGTCATGTCTGCGTGGCACTAATGCTAAATAGTACAGCTAGCTCACGATCATTAAGAATCTTGACGGTAGTCGGAGCTGCGTGTATGTTTGTAGCCCTCAATACACTGCGAATACCAGATCCCGTTCCGATAATTACATCGAAGTCCCTGGGTGGCTGTTCCTCATCATTTTCATCAATATATAACAACTCCCTGCAGCTCTTTGTGATGTTCCCATCGTAAAAGCAAAGCTCGATCGTGTCTTGCATGGTATACTACTGGCAAATATTGAAGTCGACCATGTACACTTCGGAATTCCCAGTATTCCGAGGGAAACCTTGGAAGTTACACAAAGCACTGCTTGCAATAATATTGATCTCCCGGTTATCGATGGTATCGCATTTAGGGCGTATGCAAAACATTCGGGACTTCTTGGCGCGCTGCAACGCGAAAATAGCACATCTCCGTCAAAAACTTCGCTTCTATCGTAGAAAACCGATTCCTCCATGGCTCCAGCGTATTCTGAAGATATTCAACAGTTAAATTACGCAATGTGATTGTTTAACTTAGAATATTTCGGTATGATACTAACTCCCGCCTAGGTCGGCCACTTGTCCCGAGGTTCAGCTGTATTAACACTGCGGCGGCCATAGTCTAGCGCCTGACCAGAGCGCTCAGATCCTGCGCTTCCTCCTCCTAGGTTGGAGAGTTGAAGCCATTGCAGCTGAATGCCATGTTGGCCGTACAACAGTGTTTAATATACAATCAAGTCTCCTCCGCTGTGTCTCGATTAGGAAGCTGTATTTCCGTCAAATTGGCCGTGCCAGTAAGCTATCTGAGGCCGATAAAAATGCCCTGTTTGAACACCTCCTTTCACAGAGATAGCGTCGGCAAGCCGAGTTGGTCTAGTGGCTGTTTCACGGGCGTGGTAATTTGGTCAGTCAATCCACGATATCGCGGGTGTTAAAGCGGGAAGTGGACCCGGAAGGAGTTACGGCGTATGTCGCACGGCGGAGGATTTGGTCTTTATAGACGAGTATATATACAATGAGAAGACTGGCTGGCGCCATCATGGTTACACTTTAATTAGTGGTAAAGCGCGATACACCGTCCTCCATCTGCTGCAAGTCCTGAATATACCAATTATTGCGCGAAACAATGTCCCTAGCATGTGGTGGCCGCCGCCCTTATATTTCCCCTTGCCTTTACATTCTTCCAAAGCACCGTATCACCCGTGGCTGTTGCCTTCTTCCTTATCTGACTTATCTAAGCAGCTGTAGAAGGAAGAATGCAATCACCTGCTGGCCTGGATAACGAGGATCTGCTTCATCAGGCGTTGAAATCCGTGGAATATGGGTTCTCCGGAGATCGTACAGCACCACGCGCTCTGTCGGGGTTGCGCGTGGCCAGGGACTTCACCCGCTTAGGCGGCATTCTGGGTATAATATAACGATTCTTACCGTTGAATAGCTTTAGTTTGCCCGTTTTGGGCAGTAAATTGGTTGTCTCCGGGTCTTAATATGGTGCTTTTTGACGGATATCGTGTAAAATCGATGTTTTTGACGGAGATGTGCTATTTTCGCGTTGCAGCGCGCCAAGAAGTCCCGAATGTTTTGCATACGCTAAATGTAAACTAGAGCACGGTGATCTGCATCAATATTGCATAACGCGGTGGAAGTCATTTCAGTGTTGCGATTATTCATGGTGACCTGAAAGGTTCACGAGGTCTCAGGTTGAAAGCGGACTGTTGTAGGGCAGAATAAAGTCATATGTCACAATGCCTCTTCAGTCAATGAGCTAAAATATTGTGGATATTGGATATGGTATCCGATGGATCTGATGCAAATCTTGACCAGGCATACTGCTTCTTGTGAGATGCGTCGAATATATATCCCACATTTCCTGCTACAACGTAGCGCTAGGGTAGCACTCAGGCACCAACATACTAAGCACTGCTTTTGAAAGACTGTTTTTTGGTAGACCACCAAAGCATGGCCTCCATTGAGAATAAACATATTGTTTCAGTTTATATTAATCTCCGTGCAACTGGATTTGAATAAGAGAATAAATGAAGCATAAGCGCCAGTAGAATGCGAAGGCTACACAAAAACTGATAATGCAACTAATTTATACAACCTTCGAAAACAGTGGACAATACCACAAACAAATATTATATTGCTGAAGAGTGCATGTTCCTGTCATTAGAATCCTACAGATCCTGTTCAGGGAAAAAAAAAAACCTAAATTTGAGCAATGAGTGCCTACAAGGTAGGGTTCTCGAATAGGATATTCTCGGCTTTTAATTCCGGGCACTTGCATCAGCAACACCTCATTTCTTGAAGTTGCACCATGCAAGTATATGACGAAATCCTGTCCTCCACTTCTCAATTATTGATGGTGCACTAGCAAAATAGTTTCATAATTACATTCACAGCCCACAAATGCAACATGGTGCCAAGTAAGGTAGACGTCGCTGTGGTCGGAGCCGGCCTCAGTGGGCTATCTGCGGCCAGTGAGCTCCAGTTTGCTGGTCTATCATGCGTTGTCCTTGAAGCCATGAACCGTGTGGGAGGTAAAACACTATCGATACCTGCATCATCCCAGGGGGGGCTGCGTTGACCTTGGAGCCGCCTGGATCAATGACACAAGTCAACTCTACATGTACGCCTTAGCTAAGATGTTCGGCTTCGATCTGGTGATCCAGAGGCAAAAAGGCCTCAATGTTTTTGAAGATGCACATGGCAAGTACCATGCCATTCCATATCCTAAAGAGGTAATAAATGTATGGGTGACTCGATTGAATTTACACTGGAGAATGTGTTAATATATTTTGATGGAATATGGTCTAGGACGATCGATTCTATAAGGACTTATCCAGACAAGCAGAGATTTGCCATCGCGCGCATCCTGATAACAGTCCACATGCGAAAGAACATGACCGCATCACTTTTGCTGACTACGCGAAGCGTTTCTCGCCCGAGGCAGAATACATAGCTAGGACGATTTCCAGGTCCCTTCTAGGGGTCGAACCGAAGGATATAAGCGCGTTATACATGTTCAACTATATTAAATGCGGCACTGGCCTCGATAACCTATTGTCAGATGCTAAAGACGGGGGTCAGTACTTGCGGAATCGTCAGGGTATGTCTCAGAATTTCTGCTGCCATCGTTGTTTCTTCGGGCGAACTAAGATCTTGTCATTCTTTATAGGTAATCAAGCCTTTTCTATTGGTCTTGCTGAAGGCTTGCCCCCCCGGAACGGTTCAGTTATCCTCCCCTGTTACGAAAATAGTTCAACATGGTCATAATTCCTGCACTGTCGAAACAAAGACCGGCCTTAAAGTGTCATGTAAAAGAGTTATCATATCCGTACCTAGCTCCTTATACAATCTAATCGAGTTTTCGCCTGCCCTCCCTCGGACTAAGAAAGACCTCAGCAACAGTACAATGCTAGGTTACTATGCAAAGGTGATTTTGGTCTACGAGTTCCCATGGTGGCACGAGGCCGGGCTTTCTGGAATCTTCAGCTCTGTCAATGGCCCTATCTGTGTCACCAGAGATACCTGCCTTGTGGAGGATAAGCAGTACTCGATTACCTGCTTTATTGTGGGAGATATTGGACGTGAATGGTCTAAACGTCCCCTGGATATAAAGCATAAGCAAGTCGTGGACCAACTACATGCTGCGTTTTCGACAAAGGTTAAGGATATTCCTCGACCTATCAATGTCATCCTGCAAGACTGGTCTAAGGAACCTTGGGTGCAGGGAGCTCCTAGTCCTGTCATGCCGCCTGGATTGATAACCTCGGATACTGGAAAGGCACTTCGTGATCCGGCTGGGAACATTCACTTCGTGGGGACGGAGACGGCGGTCATATGGAAGGGATATATGGAAGGCGCTGTCCGCGCAGGCTTACGTGGTGCAGGTGAAGTTATTGATGTGCTTATGCCTTTCATAGGGAGGCTCAAGTCGTTTCTCTAGAGATGACAATTATTATAATATGTGTTTTGACTGGCAAATACGCTAAAGTAATACTTATTTCTTGGACTCTTTTCTTGTCTGTATCCCAAATCACATTGCAACGGCTGCTCTTCAGCGTCTACATTGACCGAATATTCCTTATATACGAATTAGGTTTATCTGGCATATTAATAATAATCATTTCCTTAATTATCTCACCGAGCACGGCATGAGATTCGTCATCGTACTCCCGCCATTCTACCAATTACAGTCCATGGCGCAATGCTTCGTTACAGCAGGAGCCGATGATGTGATTGCCAGCGCGGGGTAGCAACATTATATATCCTAGTCGACTCTCTGCTACACATTATATTATCAACATCTGCAACATACTCCTGTGTAAATTCAAAATGGTCGAAGTCCAAGCCATCACTCAACCTGATATTCAATATCATCCCGACTACGCGAAGTACACCGCACGCGCTCAACGACGCCAAGAGACGGAGAATCTCCCCACAACCCTACCCCCCGGATTCCCCGACAAGCTTTCATCGCCATTAGTCTGGGAAGGAAAGGATATCGAGAAGCGCGATGACTGGATCTACAAGTTGAATGATGAACAGAGACAGGAAATCGATGCTGCACTGCAGAGTTTCAAGTGTATGTTCCCTGAATTTCCCACTCTTGCAACATCATATCATCCCAACGATGGAAGAAATATGGGAAACTACTAACGCGTCACAGCACTAAATCTTAGCCTAGGACATGTCAATCAAGACACATTTCCCCTACCCAACCTCCGACCAGAACTGCGTAAGCTATCCAAGGATATCCACACTGGACGCGGATTCTTTGTTTTACGAGGTCTCGATGTCGATCGTTACTCCCGCGAAGACAACATCATCATCTACGCCGGTGTGTCGTCGCATGTAGGCAACATCCGGGGCCGTCAGCAGGATCAGCGCTCCAGCAATGGTACGTCGATCGTGGTCTCTCACATCAAGGACATCTCGCACACCGCAGAAAAGGGCACGCTCGGAGCCCCGTCCAGCACCAACGATAAACAAGTCTTCCATACGGACGCTGGTGATATTATCTCCTTACTGTGTCTGCATCCAGCGGCGGAGGGCGGCGAGAGCCAGATATCTAGTAGCTGGTTTGTGTACAATATCCTAGCCAAGGAGAGACCGGATTTGATTCATACACTTTCCCAGGACTGGCCTGTAGATGGGTGAGTATGAAGCTTTAATTTCTTCCAGTTGGGCCGGTGCTCATGATAGCAGATTTGGCAATCCGAACCGACCGTACACCACACGCCCCTTGCTCTACCACCAACCGGCAACTGCGGAGACCGAGGAGCGTGTCGTCATCCAGTATGCCCGTCGATATTTCACCGGGTTCCTGGACCAGCCACGCTCGGCGGATATCCCACCTATTACCGAGGGACAGGCAGAGGCGCTGGATGCTCTGCACTTCCTCGCAGAGAAACACAGCGCGACGTTGGATTTCCAAAAAGGAGACGTGCAGTACGTCAATAACCTGAGCATCTTTCACGCTCGGAAGGGCTTCCGTGATGGGCCTGGTAAGGAGTAAGTGCCCTTGTCATTATCCTTGTCCCCCTGTTGAGCCACACGCTAATTGACAGACGTCATCTCCTACGTCTATGGCTGCGTGATCCCGAGAATGCGTGGGATACCCCGGAAGAGCTGCGTGACCGGTGGGATAGTGTGTACAAGGATGTCGCGGAGGAGGAACAGGTGTTTCCCTTGGAGCCGACAATACGCAAGACCGTGGGTTCGTGACGAGCATGAGTCAGAAGTTTCCCCGAATTGGAGAAGTGGGGGTGCTTCCCCAACGGACGGGAAATCAGCAAAAGAAATCTTCACAGACCAATAATGTTATTCTGTGCTCTCTGATTTTCGTCAACGACCCGATGGTACGGTTAATGGTTAGCCATAGCGTAGATGGTCTTCAATGTAATTAGTTAATGGAGGATCTAGGACTAGTTTCCCATAGAAGCCCGGTGACTGGGTTTGTTCGCAGCGAAACCCGCTTCTCCAATTCTGACAAAATATTCGGCATTTTGCCCGAACTAAAATGTCTTTGAGCTGGCGTCTCGTATAAATCACCTCCTGCCACTTTGGGTCCTTTGTAGGGAAGGATATATTTTGGTGAAGAGGCCTATTGACGGGTCATAATGGGCCTAGAACAGACTGCAAATGGCAGCAGTTTCAGCTCGCGAGAAACCGTATACAACTTGAATAATAAGCTCGGTCCAAAAGATGCAGTCTTCTCGGACATCGAATATCTCTACCTCGAACTCGATACGCCGCTTCCAACTCCCTCGATCACCGTGCCTCCAGGGCCTGGTCAATCGCCCGCACCTGAATGCCCCGATCTCAAACAATACACCTCACCATTTCTATGGCCGAAATGGCGAAAATCCATCATGACGTGGATCGCGTGTGCGGTCACAGCCCTAGCGGGTTATTCAGCCGGTGAAATCAGCCCTGCATCCTCGAAATTGACCGAAGAATGGGACATCAGCCCTGTGGTATACAACTTGGGGATCACTATTTTCTGTATCGGATTTGCCTTGGCACCGATGGTTCTTGCGCCTTTTTCGGAAATCAATGGACGACGACCGATTTTCGTGGGCAGCGGAGTCATCTTTGTTGGTATGTGTGGCGTATGTGTCAAAAACACGTAGAAAACAAATATGCTAATGTTAATTTTCAGCATGTATCATCGCCTGCGGGGGTACTCACTCCTTCGCCGGATTTCTAATCGCGCGACTCGTCCAAGGCGTGGGTGCTTGTACGTAGACCCGTTCTTGCGGATTCATTCTCCTCTAACCCCAACATTCTAGCAACCTTTTCGACCATGGTTGGTGGCGTTATAAGCGACATCTACCATGCCGAAGATAGAAACACCCCCATGGCTCTGTTTTCCGGAGCAGCGCTTTTCGGCACCGGGCTGGCACCGTTGCTATCTAGCGTTATCGTCCAACATACGACCTGGCGCTGGGTCTATTACTCTCATGCTATTGTGTCGGCCGTGTTTACTATTCTCATCTTCTTCTTTTTCAAAGAGACTCGTGGCAGCGTCATTCTCAGTCGGAAAGCAGCGGCGCTGAATAAGTATTACGATGCTTTGGAAAGAGCCGGTCATGTGGGCGTCATCCTATGCGACGGCCAGTCAGGAGAGAAAGTCCAGGTCCGACGAGTTCGATGGAAGGTCAAGAGCGATGAGCAGCGCGTGTCACTGGTCCAAATGATCAGTATCTCCTGCTACCGACCCTTTCGTAAGTGGTTGTATAATTCTATAACTCCGGGAGAATGGATCTAACGCACAGCAGATATGCTAATCACCGAGCCTGTTGTTTTTTTCTTCTCGCTGTGGGCTGCATTCAGCTGGGCTGTGCTTTATCTCCAGTTCGGATCTGTTCCGTTGGTCTTTAAATCGAATCATAAATTTACCATTGAGCAGTCTGGCGCCGTGTTTACCTGTATGTGTATTTATTTGTTGTTGTGATGAACCAAGCTAACAAAGCCAGCAATGTGTGTCGGTGCTATCCTAGCTACCGTGATCAGCATCTACCAGGAGTCAATCGCCATGCGATTCATCACGCTCCCCAAGTCCCCTGAGCGTCGGCTGTATTTCGTCTGCTTCCAGTCCATTCTCATGCCTGTGGGCCTTTTCTGGTTCGGATGGACGTCGTATTCGTCTATCCCTTGGATCGTCCCTACACTAGCCATTGGATGTTCCACAATGGGCATTTTCTCGATCTATTTGGCCGTGTTCAACTACCTGGCTGATACGTATCATCGATTTGCCAGTTCTGCTATTGCAGCACAGTCTTGCTGTGAGTACCTATTTCCAGACATCTACGCGAGAGGATATTGATGACGTCATAGGTCGGAATCTCCTTGGGGGTTCTTTTCCGCTCGTGACCGCTGCACTGTTTAATAATTTAGGATATCCTGGCGCTTCCAGTTTGCTGGGTGGAATTGTAAGATCTCCAAGTATATATTGATGGGATGGACTGACAGTTTAGGGCACGCTGCTTACCCTTGTCCCTTGGATTTTGGCCTTTTACGGGCCTGCGATTCGTGCTAAGAGCAAGCTTGCAAGTGTATGTTCTCCAGACTGTTGAGTTGTATTATACTAATATATTTTAGGAGCTGGCACATTAGAATTCGGTACATATAATTCTTGTGATCTGGATAGACTTTATACATTTGTTTCGTGGCCTTGGTGCCTGAATCAGTTACTCACTGTTGTGTAGATAATGATTTGCTTCTGTTCTTTAGATATAGAATATAGAGAAAGTGCTGTTAAAATAAAGTCCAATTGTATGGAAACTACTAGAAATATTCAAAGTCCACACATAGTTCCCAATTTGCTCTGTAGTTGGAAAGAGAGCAGGCCCGTGTAGCTTCCGTTAACTTCCATTAAAAAAAGTGTGTACCTGTAGACCAGCCAAGTAAACAAGTCTTTAGCCGAATTGAAAGTTGCCAATGCAACCAAGTACGATTAAATCTAGTTTGGCCAAGTTACCCTTGGTCACTGGGTTTATCTTCGCCTTACACCTAAATAACTCCTGTGAACCGTGCCTCATGTTAATCCACCTTTTATCCCTACTGGCTGGGCTATATCCTGCCCAAATCTTGGCGGTGGGTATCAAAATCGGAATAGACTAACTCTATGGTCACCAGCGAAACCAACCAGATCCACATTGACTTTCAACCTACTTTTCTATTTTTCTACTTATATACCAGAATTAGTCTTGGGCCTATTAGTTCCCGATAACGGGGTTCTTCCATACATAAGAGGGATTTTGGTCTTTTCGTCGATGGGTGGAAGATCAGAAATCTGTCAATGGTACAATCGGGCGAAGACGTAGTCGTCTTCTGCCGGAATGACCGATCCTTTCGGTTGTGTTATCCAAAACCACCTCCGGTGACTGGTGATCGCTTCACCATAGCCATCGATCCTAGCACCCAGTACTAACAGTGAATTGTACAGAGCGGAGCCACCGTACTATGTTAACCATTGAAAGGTACCTTAAAGTACATATAGGAATTTGGTTCTCCATAGTAAGTGGTATGGAAGTCCAGATCTCCAGGGCAACGAAAGGTGGAAGACAGGTACAAAGTGCAAGCATGATTCAAATTGAAGGCAAAGATTCATTAGTACGTAGGTGCCACATAAAGCAGCCCAAAGAAGTACTGCTTAGCTTTCTACCACCAGAAGACAACACTTTCTTCTTGCAAAACTTTTGTTAATATAGGAATACCACAATTATGGCTCTCCTTAAACCCATGGGCTTTTAAGCGGCCGAATGGTAATTTTTCTTTTTGTAACCCTTTCAAGTCCCTTATCTCTTCCGGTTCTCAAACAGTCAGCCTTTACCTCATTTCATTTTCTTTTTGTCGTTGAATGCAAGAGAAGGGGTATTTTGGAAGGGGAGAGGCCCAAATTCTTGCCTATATGAGTGAGTTGCGCCTATCCCTTCGAGCACATATCGCAATTTCTCACAGTTGACTCGCGATGGTGTCCCAGGTAGTTTACGTAACACTTCTACAAGTTGGATAAGGATCGAACTGTAAGAAGAATAAAGTATATGGATATTAACATGGCTAATCCTACGCCAATGGAACACCCAGACACTCCGTTGGGAAAGGGAAAGAGGAAGAGGATCAAGACATTGGGATATCCTCGCACATAACTCTAGAAGCCGTCCACATGTCCTCTCTGGACAGAAGTCCGACAAAGTCCACCAGTCTTGAAACGATCCCAACGATGATGGGATTGGGTATTGATGCCAGGACAACTTGGGACAGATTCAGTCCCCCTCTGCTGGATACTTCAGCTTGTATTTTATGGAATGAGAGTCTGTATTCTCAAATGTCCACCTAGAACTATCTTTTATGAACAGTTCCTGTAGTGGAAATTTAGCGAGACCCTTCTCAGTGCATCTAAATTCTAAAATAGTAGATAGAGTTTGGCATTCAGAATTGATACTAGTGGTGGTGATCCTGGAGGGCCAGGACGAAAATGTTTTTTCCGACTCGTCCAAATCATTCCTAGAATGGGGTTAGATCGTATACAGAGTTTCAGTACCACCAGTCAATGATAAATGATGGCTCGCCACCCAGAAGAAAACATCGAATCAAAACAGATAGTGACGTCACCACGACACCTTTCCTCTCACACGACCACGACCTTAAAAGCAACGTCCAACACAACTCCGTTCCATTCTGGGGAACACTTAAATATCCCATCATCCAGAGTAGTCATCATATCCCACCGAGATGTTGAGATATCCGCTCATCAGAACTGGCCCAGCCACCAGCAGAAACCTACAAGGCATTATATCTCACTATCCATCGGTGTATTCCTGTCCAGCTTGCCTCCAGTTCCGAGCTGTACAGTCCGCGCAAAACCCCTATCAGTCTTCTGCGACCGCAGAAGAGGAAACCGACTTCGACCGAAATATCCTCAATCCAGAACGATATGAGACTTGCAAATGGGGCGCCGACGACGAAGTGGGTCGTCACAAGATATCCTACGATCCGTCTATGACCACCCCGGAAAGTGAGATGACAGCCGAAGAGGAAGTATTCAAACTTGAAGGTGAATATCATAGTCCGCTCTATGTCAGTCCTGCCAATCGGGAAGTCAGTGAGCTGTTGGATCCGATGGTTGGGGGCGCTGTTCACTGTGCGGATAGGTCGGGCCCAAGTGCAAGGGGCTGGACGAGGAAACATAAGGAGATTCATATTAAGAATGTACCGGGAAGTCGGTACGAGCAATATCAGAAGAGTCTGGAGAAGTTGAGGTCGCAGAAAGCGAGTGCTGAGAAAGCTTAGCTTACCATATTTCTCCAGGACTATCTGCTGCAGCTGCTAAAAATTTGAAAATGGCCCTGGAGTGTTGGACAACAGTATTAAAATATCAGAATGCATATTGAGAAACATACAATTGTGGTTGTGCCTTGGTATGTATGTAGACTATAGGCGTGTTCGTGAAATGCAGTAGACGAGGTCGTGTTATCTACTATAAATGAGGGTAACTAGTATTATTCCAAAAGGGTAATTAATTCAAAGGGCATTTCCAGCAGCAGGGAATATATTGTAAAGCCTAAAATAATGAAGACGACGAATAACTACCAAGTCGTGGACTAAATAAAGTAAAAGCAAAGGGCAGGAAGCCGCACATATCAATGAAAACTTCCCCTAGCTTAGTTTGAACCGTAATGGTGAAAACTGCAGGGTGTAATAATTTTAACAATATGTTCAACTGAGCCGCGCCTGGAATCGAACGCGGGCTGCCCTGGACAAAGGGTTGACAGTGCTACCATTTCGGTTAAAAATATGACTCTTAGTAGAATGATCATTTTGATCTTTAATCTTACATTGTAGATTAATTTAGAGCCAACAAATTGAATATTATGATTCGTGCCAGAGTCGCCCATATCAACAGATGTTTACATCGTGAGGCCAACCAATAGAGGACTGACACATAGTTTCTTACGATGACAGCACATCAGGTCAATCTCTATGCAAATGAGCACGGCCGTCATAGAACGCCTCGTCAATCCACAGTTTCATGATCTTCATAGCCTCCACTATGGCAATAATTATAAACCCACCGTCCGCATTAGTGGCCGGACATCAAACAGCAATTTTCCCAACACTGGATTTCCATACCCTGATATTATGTCCTACACCGAATCATGCATAAAGACAAAGAAAATAATAAGGAAAATCCACCTTATCCATCTGCACGATGGGGCATCACGCCAAAAGAAGAGGAAAACATCAATCCATCACTTGATAAGAATCACCCGGTCCATAAGATTCCGCTAGCCAAGCAGGAGAAAATGCGAGCGAAAGGTATCAACCCGGTGCTAAAAGCCGAGATGGATGAAGCATTGAAGGGAGAAGGAGGATTCTGGACGAAATTAGGAATGACGGCGATGGGAGGAGGATGAATTAAATGATACTTCCTTATTCCTAACTGTGCTTTTTGTCTGTGACTTTCCATTCCCCCATGTTTATACTATCTTGTCATGTTTGGATTACTCATGCCACATTACTGAATGAAAGACGCGCAATATAGAGCGGAATAAATTGCTGAAATACCCAGGACTCCTAGTGCCATGATACCTGAACAATACCTTTACAACCGTGCACTTCCCTTCAACTTGGCTGCAATCATCTGTCCGATCTTCGGGTCTACCCGACTAAACATCGCAATGGTACCCTCCCGAATCTGAGGCGGCACTTCCTCTAAAGTCTCAGATACATTCGCTACCCACTTGCGCCTCTCCGTCTCGTCGAACACCTTGGTCCAGAGCTCGCGCGGCTGCACAAAGTCCTCATCATCGACGGGAATTTCATTCAGACCTAGAACCGCTGCGGATCGAAGCCACTCGCTGTGTCGCACTTCCTGCACTGTTTGGGTGACCACACCGGGCGTCAGAGTGCTGCGTACATAGTTCGGGTCTCCGCCGTAGTTCTTCGTGATTGTGCCCTTTCCATCACGCTCGAACGGCGCGTAGACCGGACAGATGGCGCGGTTCGGAGGCAGCTGGGTGTAGTTTGCACCGAGACGGTACCGTTGGGCGTCGGGGTAGGCGAACATACGGGCTTGGAGCACTGAATCAAAGTTAGTTTTTGTCTTATATGTTTCCGGAGTAGAAAAGGGAAAGCATACCGGGATCCGGCGTCATTGCAACACCAGGAACCATATTTGAAGGTGAGAACGCGGCCTGCTCGATTTCGGCAAAGTAGTTCTCCGGCTGGGTTTGTCAGCATTTCCTGCTCACTCTAAATTGTGAAAGGAGATTATTACATTCTTGTTCAATGTCATCTGCCCGACTTCAACGAGCGGGAATTCCTTATGCGGCCAGACCTTAGTAATGTCGAAGACGGCACGACCGTAGGTCTCCGCCTGTTCAGGTTCCATGACCTGGATGTACAGCTTCCAAACGGGGTATTGGCCGCGCGCAATGGCATCCCAGAGGTCCTGGTTGTGGAAGTCCGCATTGACACCCGCCATGCGAGTAGCATCATCAGGAGTCATGCTGGTCATAGTCTGAACTGGACGGAAGTGGAATTTGCAGTACCGGAACTTGCCATCGGCGGCCACTAGCTTGAAGGTGTGTACGCCGAAGCCTGTCACGCGGCGGATCGAGTCTGGGATACCGCGGGAGCCGAAGAGATGCATCAGGGTGTGCACACTTTCCGGTTGATTGACGTGGAAATCCCAGAACTGACGAGTTAGCCATGAGGACAGTGGTCCAGGATGTGGCGATTGCTTACCATGCTCCAGTCCGGTCGGTTGGTAGCTGGGTGTTTCTTGTGGCTTCGGTTCAAGGATGGGAAACGGATGGGATCACGAACGAAGAAAACGGGCTGTTTCAGGTGAGGATTGGACTGTCCAAGGGGGACGATAGCTACTTACAACATGGTTGCCGACAATGTCATGATTGCCTTCCTCGGTGAAGAACTTGACGGAGAAACCACGAACATCACGGACGGTATCCGCGCTGCCCTTCTCACCACCAGTTGTACTCAGTCGGAATAGGACTTGGGTTTTCTTGCCGACGCCATTGAGAAATTTCGCGCATGTAAGATGGGAGATGTCATTTGTAACCTGGAATTCACCCCAGGCACCGGCAGCTTTGGCATGGACGACTCTGCCTGGGGTTAGGAATTGGGTCTTCAAACAGACAACCAAGGGTTAAATAAAATACCTCTCCGGAATCCTCTCTCGGTTGAAATGGGCCAAGGTCTCGAGAAGAAGAGTATCTCCCAGCGTAGTCATGCCTCCACCTCCGAAGGTAGGAAGGGTAGTGCTGACGGCGGGATCGGGAACGGGCTGGCCTGGCTAGGTTGTTAGTCAATGGCAAAGCCGAGAAGCGAGAAGTGTGCACATGCCTTCGGCCAGAGTATAGACAGGTTTAGACATGGTTTCGTTGAGTGAGTTCAAATTGCTCTGAGGGAACGTGCACCAACACAGGACTCTCGCCCGGGGGGCTCCATTCTATTTATATTGCGGGTTCATTTTGATTTCCCACTCTAACACACACCGAAACACACAATCAGTCTCGGGCACCCGAATAGAGCCGATGAGCATTGACGAAGAAATTTCTGACGATCATAGACCGAGAGAATTCCGGTGTATTCTAGCGTCGAAAGTGGATGATTCCAACTTAGCTCGTGAGGGGAAGCTTCTGTCTCGGAGCTTCCCCTCACGGGCTTCCCCTCACGAGGGGAACCATGCGTAATCACCATGCTGCGGCCTCTCATTGGCCAGACTGGCTCCCGTTGGATGAATCATCTGCACATGATCGTGGCCGACAATTTCCCGAGCTGGCCGATTGGGCTCTCCTGCAGGATCAAAATTCTCGACCTCAGCCCTATACAGAATATCCCTCACATCCACAATACGTAGTGAGTACAGATTCAGGGTCTTCATGCCGTCATTTTTCCGTGTAACAACTGTTCTCCTCACCGGATAACGGCACAGCACAGGACAACGGCATGGGATCCCGGCAGAAGAATCAAGATGCCCTCTCAACTGGAGGCATTGATGGCGACCTACGATGGAGAGCAAAACATATAAAAGCCTGATGAGACGTGAGCTGAACTGTTCTTCATCCACAACCATCTTACCTTCTTCATCCTTTTAAAGCTTCTTTCTTCATCCTGAACTTTAATTTTTTCCATCATGGCTTCAGTTGCCAACGGCTCCCAGTATGACTTCATAGTTGTCGGTGGAGGTACTGCTGGTAACGCTCTCGCGGGCCGCCTCGCTGAGAACCCCAATGTCCAAGTTCTCGTTGTTGAGGCCGGTGTGGCCAACCCCCACGAGGTCGAGGATATCACTACCCCCTCCAAGGCTTTTGGCCTGCGCGGAAGCAAATACGACTGGGCCTACAAGACTACCATGATCAAGCGCGACGACTACGAGCGCGTTGAAAAGCCTAATACTCGCGGCAAAGTCCTCGGAGGTAGCTCCTGCGCCAACTATTTTACCTGGATCCCCGGATCCAAGGGCACTTTTGACGACTGGGAGGAGTTCGGTGGTCGCGACTGGACCTGGGACAACTGTGTCGAGTACCTCCGCAAGTGTGCGACTTACCACGACGATGAGAAGCTCTACCCATCGGACATGCAGAAGATCGGAACCGGCGGCCCGCTACAGATCTCGCATGCGGAACTGATCCCAGAGATGCAGCCTTTCCGCGACGCCCTGACCCAGGCTTGGGTATCCAGTGGAGAACCCTTGACGGAGGACATCTACTCTGGAGAGATGCACGGACTCACCCACTGCGTAGACACCATATACAAGGGTGAGCGTCAGGGCAGTTTCCTCTACCTCTTGAACAAGCCCAATGTGACCATCTTGTCCTCTGTCCACTCCAAGCGTCTCATCATCGACCATTCCACCCGTGTTTGCACCGGTGTGGAGGTCATCAACCCGGCAACTGGTGCCCAGACCAGCGTCTACGCAACTCGGGAGGTGATCCTGTCGCAGGGTGTTTTCGAAACCCCCAAGCTTTTGATGCTTAGTGGTGTGGGCCCCGCCGGGGAACTCTCCAAGCATGGAATCAACGTGATCGTGGACTCGCCTCACGTGGGCCAGCATCTGCTCGACCATCCAATTGTGCCCTTTGTGCTGAAGATCAAGGACGGATTCGGCCTGGATGACCATCTCCTGCGTGCCGGTCCCGCCAACGATGCTGCCGTCGCTGCTTATCGCCGCGACAAGACCGGTCCTGTTGGCTCTGGACTTCTGGAACTGGTCGGTTTCCCTCGTATAGACGAACGTCTGAACCAGTACCCTGCCTACCGCGAGGCCAAGGCTGCCAACCGTGGACTCGACCCCTTCGGACCCGGCGGTCAGCCTCACTTCGAGCTCGACTTCGTTGGCATGTTCAGCACCGCCTTCCAATGGCACTACCCCGTCCCCAAGCAGGGCAACTATATGACTGTCATTGTTGACCTGCTGCGTCCTGTATCCGAGGGTGGTGAAGTGACCCTGAACAGCTCCGATCCTCTTGTGCAACCGAACATCAATCTCAACTTCTTCGGAGATGATCTTGACATCCTGGCCATGCGTGAAGGTGTGCGATGGACCTACGATGTGTTGACGAAGGGTGCCGGATTCAAGGATATCGTCGAGCAGGAATACCCATGGGAAATGCCCCTGCACTCGGACGAAGCCATGAACAAGGCTGTTTTGGAGCGCAGTCAGACCGGATTCCGTATGTATCCCCCCCCCCTTGTTTTTGATTATTACTATCGCATCAAACTGACTCCATCCTTAGATCCCTGCGGCACTGCCCGTCTATCCAAGAGCATCCACCAGGGCGTGGTTGACTCGAAGCTCCGCGTTCACGGTGTCCGCAATCTCCGCATCGCAGATGCCTCGATCATGCCTGTGATTCCTGACTGCCGTATCCAGAACTCGGTTTACATGATTGGCGAAAAGGTATGAATTCTCCCTTGAGTATGATTAAGATTTGGCTGACATGATCATACAGGGCGCGGATATCATCAAGGCTGAGTATAAGGATCTCTATGAGAAGAAGAATATCCCTTACTTTGTCCCGAGTCGTTTGTAAGATCTGAACTATGAGGGAAAGATGGAGTCATGCAAATTTAGAATGGGAGTTTGATATATAGGACTTGGTTAAATACTGTTTGATTACTAGTGAGTTTGCTTTGTTTTAAGAATTTGATAGTGCATGTGAAGCCAAAGGGCCGGTCTTTCTATATAACTGATCACTGTTCTCCTGTAAGGGCACTGGAGTTACGGTACAATAAGATATGCTTCATTCTCATGCCGTGAATTATAGCATCAGCGACTGCGTAGAATTCGCTCTGCCAACAGAATATTAGCTTGAACAAGCTAGTTGGGATAAATCTCAAATATATTCTGCTTGCTATGTATAGAGATTATGGACCTTCCGAAATGTGCGCCTGCTGGTGTAAAAAAAGGGAATCAAAGCCTGATTATTCAGGGAGATCATGTTCAGGCCCAGCTGAACGGCAGGTCCATATTTAGAGTGGAGTTGTTTCTGTGTCTCAAGCAGATTCAGGCCCCAGGTCTGAAAACGCTAGAAATCGACCCAAAATACGAACCGAATCCGGCGACCCTGGCTGAGGAAAGCCAAATGGAGGGCTTGGACCAGGTTCCCGTATGTTCAGCGCGAGTGTGAGAGAGATCCGTAACAATTACTGACGGAATATCTAGAATAAATTTCCTAATATAGAATATTCACTCTAAGTTACTGTGAGGATATTTGGACGTCGTTGCAATACCTAAAGGATCGGCTTCCTCAACTAACTACGGCGCTTTGATTGTTCAGAGGTATTTGTCGTGGATGACAGAAAATCCGGCTATGCTATGAAGTCGAAAAATAAGCAGCATCAAGTGTAGTGCCACCACTCTGGATCCATCCATCCTGCTACACAACCAATCACATAGCAGCTAATGATCCATTGCACATGGAACAAGGCGGGGAGAAGGTATAGCATGATAGTAGAGCAGATCAGCAGATCATAATGATGTATACTCGTATTCTCCTCCAATCAGTTTGATCCATCTAAGACATGAGCCACACCCGAGTTACGATATAAGCCCGATAGCAATTATTAAAAACCCCATCAGCAGCCTGGTCATATATCCATCACACAAGCAAAACAATAAAATGCATTTTCTCACCATCCTCTCTCTGGCCCTGGCCTCTCTAGGTCACAGTAAATGCGGCACTATGGATGCCTGCGTCGGCACGGAAACCTGCACCACGATGACTCGCACGACCACCATAACTACCTGTCTGCCGACCCCAACCTGTCTTGGCGTCTACTGTATGACTCTTGTATCTCTAATACCTATGTGTGTATACTGTAAGCTAATGGTACTAGTGGATTGTACATTTGGCTCAGGACTTTCCTGCTGCTCATCATACTGTGCAGCGAATAAGTGTCGACCCACTGATCCGAAGTGGCCGAACTGCGCTGAGGACTTTGGATTGTGCCAGACGGATGAGGGCTGTTGTTATGGGAATAAGTGTGTAGATGGGATCTGTCGGAAGAATAGTAAGTAGTTTATGTATGGTTTATAACAGATAATTTGAGGTCAACTGTCTACATTTACGTTATATTTTGGACCAGTAAAGATATATATTTTTATAGATAATATCGTTGACAGTAATAATTCCTGATCGGGTCTGGTCTGATCAGGAAGTATAGCTTGAGCGAGCGCATTAAGCAACACCCTGAGCTAATCACTTCACTGCTCAGCCTCGCTCGCTGCTTCTGAGCATTCTATAAGAATACAATCTCTCCCTTCAAACACCAGAGCCCTGAATCCTATGAACTTCACACTTGATATTATGCTGTATTATTATATGGAAGGATTTGACAATGGCTAAGATCTATTCTCTTTGTTGCTTCTAAGGCATAGGGCACTAACTGGCAGCTCTTTAAAAGAACATTTACAGCAAGTAGTAAGATGTCTTTTTTGTGTATTTATTATCAGAGATCTGGAAAAGTGTCATGGGTTGCATTGTAATTATCATTGAGTTATAAAACCCTGTTTATAATTAAGTTTATTTCTAGGACAGATGTCTTTCTCAAGCAAGTTAGCTGAAACTGTTAAGCGTAGGGGGCGGCAACGAACTGATTAAGGCTTTATGGTACTAGACGCCTAGCATAAGATGCAATATTGTAGGATTCGGAACGATATAAAGAGGAAGGTAGGATCTTATATATATTGCAGGAGCTAGTCGCTGGCTTTCAAGCCCGAAGATGCGGTTATAGATACATGCACCTGACGAAGCACCTAGAGCTGATATGACTAATCTAGTAGTTATTGTGATGGTTTGGCTGTCTCTGCGCTAGTAGAGATAAAACCACTTGATATGAAAAGGTACAAGACGACTGATCGGAGATCAGTCGCATCTAGCGCCATATATAGGAGCGAAGGCCATGCCTGAGCTATAAATTGGGTTCAACCCTTGACAGTTATTGAGGAATCACCGTAGGGCCTAACAAAAATATCCAAGGTCTCTATGGCGTAACAACTCCTAACAAGTATCAAGTGGAATGTTAAATTCTTCCTCAACTATGGAATAAAGTTTCGCTATTCCAATCTTGAGATTTATTAGAAATCTCCACGCTTTAATAGGTACATGTAGGTGCTAAAACATGCCTGCCCAATCTAGTTGGTAGCTGTAGCGCAGCCATATTGCTTTACTGAACAAGAGATGTGTTAAGACAGTACCAGAGTATTAAAAGTAGATAGTAGTTTTATGACTTACAGTTAGACCCCTCGTCGTATAGACAGTTGTCTTCTCCCCAATAGACGTTACCGTACCCTGCGGGGATATTCATATTAAGTGAACAGTGCGGGGTGTTATTAGAGTCAAGGCAACCCTGTATTAAAGTGTACTCATCGACTATAGTAGGAACTCCAGTATCACCATGGCAGACTGACGCTTGACATACTATTATATAGAAGTAAATTATTAGAACCTTTCTAGACATTATTTGTATTTGCTAGATAGCGGTTACTCACTAACTGAAGTGCATCTACAACACCAAAAAAAGATGCTGCTGCTAAAAGAGCACCAATATGGCGAAACATATTGAGTGTAGATCTGATAAACAGGGGTTATGTTTAAATGTTGTATGGATGGATTAATTGGGCAACTGGAAATGGGGGGTTTGGGGAAATCAATCAACTGCGGTGAGTGGTGACAGGTTCTTATATCTCTTCCCCTCTCAAGTAATAACCTCAACTGTGCTACTCTAGACAGAGAAAATAAAGAAGTAGAAAACAATAATCTTTCCTAACTTGGAGTTTCCGTGATTTTGAGATATTCATTGTGCTACGGAAACTATGGGGCGGCCATGAATCCTATCTTCCTCTTTTTTTTTCTTAGTTTCTTGAAGCGGAAATTAATTAACCTTCGAGTCCAGGGCCATGCACTCTGTTAATGAGGATGGGTCATGAAAGTATATAATAATGATATTCCCTTTCCTTAGAGTTTCATATTTGGGAAAGAGGTAGTAGAAATATATCGTCTGCATTCAAGTTAGCCAGGACCATACTAAGAAGCCTTGCTAGGGTGATTGCTGCGCCAGGAGATAGTAAGCCAAACATTGGGAAGTTCTACAAAGAAGGTCGTCTCTTTGCTTGCTAGAAACTGGCCTCTCTGATAAGGCGGAGAGTCGTCAAATGGACCTGATTCACTTTAGTGTGTGTCAATTGCATTAAAATGCATATGCAGTTGTGAAAGATCATCAGTAAAGTAGATCATGACGGTCGCTGTGTAATTCTGTGAGAGCTTCAATACTCTCTGTGTTGTTTGATTGTTGTGTGTTATGTTGACCCTTTTTTTCAGGATCAGGCACATCACTTGATAATTTCTCATGATATTCCAGTATGGACAAGATTTTTCTGATACCTACCTGACTTGCGGCCAGAGGGTGAAGTTATGACCTTGACTTGAAAATGAAAGTAGATTTCAAGGCAAGATTGTCGTGCTTATATGGGACCGGAGGTTCCCCCTTCCATGTAACTCCTTCTACGTTAATATCTTACGGTTGATTGATTATTTTAGAGACAAGGACTGTATGGGAAGAGTTGCTCTCATAGACAAATCCGTCTCAAACTCAGTGATGCAGAATTCGAATTCGCAAATCTCATTGGAAGGATTGAGTGGTCCGCACAGTAACGAAGTTGAGAAATACGAAAGACGATATAGAACAATGCCTAAGAGGGGGATACTTATAAAGCAGAAGTATAATCGAATAATTAGAGGTAAAATTTCACAAGTCTTTAATAGTATGCTCTACATTATCCCTCCACTGGTATCCACGTGTAAGAGCCAGCCACCAGAAATGGAAGAGAAGTCAAAGGCGTTGGATCCGACCTTTTGGCCTGGACGGCAAACATGGCTAGCTTATAAGGGGGTGAGCTTAGTATGCGAAAGGTACTACCGATAATACTTTTATGTCATGTATCAGATTTCTGCACATAAACAACGTCCGTCACTCTAATCCCAAAGGTCAAGACAGTTGACACCTACACATCGCAATTCGCAGCCTCCAAATCCGCCCCAGACCGTCAAGATGGTAGGAACCAGGAAGATACCAGAAAACTAGTCCATAGTACTGATACTATCGCCCTTGTGGCAGCCTACCTGTTTCTGAAGGATATTTCAGTAAACTGCAGTAGTTCGCACCGACGGTATGGCTTGGATTGTTCGCCACAACGCAGTTGGTGAAGTTGTCATGTAGCAAATTGTGGTCTTCATTTGAGAGCCCTGTCGTATTCTTGGCAAAGTAGCGATCTGATACTTCACACCAACTTATGCTTTGGCTCAAAATTTATATCTGGTTTAAACCACAGCAATTTTGTAGTGCGTGTTGTTCATCTCTGTCTTCAATACAGTACATGCAATAGTTGGTTGATGACGGGATCGAGCTCGGCGAACTCGGGAGATTTTGAATTGCTGTCGCGGCCATGATGAGGGCTGTTGTTGGAGAGTCATTGGGGAAGAAATAGCGATGGTTCAAATTATTAGTTTTTCGTGTGACAAAAAACAAAGGTAGAGCAACAGGACCACTGAGTCCAACCACCACCGGGCTGTGTCACTGTGACCCGAACGTTTCATGCCAATTCAGGGGCCGTAGAATAAGCAGTGAAAAAGCTGGACATTGCGAGCCGTCGCTGGGGATCTCCGATGCTAGTCTCAGGAGGCTGCAGTAACACTGCGTCCACCAATAACACGGAACTAATTAAAGCCCTAGCTAGGGTCGATCAGAGATCAAACAGGGAGTCTATATATATCATCCCATTCAACAGTGTTACGTGACAAACACCGTTACTCTATATTCAGGTATCTAGAATTCATACTATCTAGAGTGCATTGGAAATTGCATTTTAGATTAATCGAAAATCAGAGTGCTAATGGCCGTGGCGTTCAATCACTATATTCATTTTATCTCATAGTTATTTTATTGTAGATCCACCAAGAATATCACAGAAGCGGGCAGCTGGATAGTAACAAGAAGAGGGGTCGCTCGCTTAGTCGTGACATGCCGTGCACTAATTTGGTACCACGTCAATTACTTTGACATTCTTGATGAACCGAGCTTCAGGGAGTCTGTACTGGTTACTCACAGGCACCATGGCGCTGCACTACCTAGAATCTCTACGTTATCGGATGACTAGCATCGCCTTGATCGGCCAAGTCAAAAGACCAATTCTTCATGTCATCTCAAGATTCATCAGGTTCCTTATGTAGCAGGCTTTTGAGAGGGCATCAGTAAATATCAATCGGGATAATGTTGCTAAAGAGCAGTAATTGTTGTTGAACCCCAGAAAACTAATTTCAGTGCTTTCCAATACCAAGACTTGTCGATATTCTCTCCATTGGGCTATGTCTCTCTCGACCCCTGCATGTATCAATCGAAGAAGCCACTATGGCACCCGATATCTAGCCCGGCGGTTGGCCCCCTTAGGAAGTCCAAAGCCTTGCCATTTAGGCCACTACATCTGGATGGTCTTTCAGGATAACCGAGCCAACAAATAAGGAAACGGAAGCTTTTGGTTAAGCAACTCTACATTCCATGCACGCAACCAGTTTTGGTCCCGGCACACCTGGTCTGCGACAGCGTTACGTCTTGTTCGTTTGGGAAGGGGAGAACTTTTCGACCCCTAAAGCAGAAAACATTACGTACCATTCAAAAACTATCTACACGAAAGATTATAAATAGGCGATTGAAAGACAGTATATGCCCCATCCCATATTGGGGGCACATCTCCGGATATCTCACTTATAGTTAAAACAATCTACATACAAAAGGCAATCAAAATGCAATCTTCCATGCTAAAAATCTCCTTACTCACCCTTTTAGGTGTCTCCATCGCCCTTCCTACCCAGCCTGCTTCAGCAAACAATAAAACACTTGAGGAGAGGCAGATCTTCCCAGACTACATATGCTGTGACGGCGGCTGCCTATACGAGATTATTGGTGATGGGGATCCACACACAGACTATCTCCACAGACAGCTGACGCAAATAATCAACTGCAAAGGAGGTCCTGGGGCCGATGGCTGCTCTGGGTCATATAACGAAGGCAATTCCTTTGCCTATACAGTCACGGGAGGAGCAGCTGTTTCGTTCTTCAATGGCGGATTCTCAGTATCAGAAACCTGGAGCGAGTCGGAAACATATACCTGCATGGGAAAGGAAGATGCAGATGCTGTCTGTATCTGGTATGATATGGCTTATGTGAGTACTCTGCTATGATCTAGTGACACATTAGTTTATATTCTAATGCATTTCGATAGACATCATACACAGTGCAGGTTGTGAATAGAGATCGAGTTATGGAGAGCTGCTCCACGCAGCCCCTTGGACCGTAAGTGTTCAACGAACGTTAGGATCTTTGCTATGCTAACCAACAAAACCAGACTAGTCATGAGTAGCCCTAACACTAACAATAAAGGTGGTGCAGGCTACTATTGTGTCTATGGCCAAGAATACTGTCGTGATAAAGGTTCTGAGTATTGGTGCTTGACTAATGATGATGTATGTTGGCCTGCGGGATTCCAATGAGGCACACTAATAAAAGGTATCTCTAGTGTTGAACAATAACCTCGTCTTGCACATTAAGCCACAGGCCATAATTCCTGGAGGAGGCCGGCCCTTGCGTTCTTACCATCTAAGGGCTTCCTATTATTACTAGATCATTCTCATAAAAGCTATGCTATCTAGGATAAGATGCTGGCAATGGTATTTATTACAAACCTGTGCTTAATGTACGCTATATGCAGTAGATATGTTTTCTGTATTAGTAATTAGTTCACGCCCAGTACATTGGGGCCATTGGCGCTATATTTCTCTTTATTTAGCAGCCATCCATATCCAGTAAAACGATGTGTATCCCTATTTATTGGGATACGGAGATTAGAGAAGCTTGATTTCGCAGCTTTTCAGTGATTGATGACTTCCGTGGCAGGTAGGGATACAAAGTTGGAACTACAGGATCTTTGCTAATGGGTAAAAAGGGATACGATTCAGCCCTGTATGCCGTTGTAAAACAGTCATCTACGTTAAACAAGGTATCTAGGCGACAGCGCCTTGCAAGCGTCATCAACTTATTTTGGTTATTTAGACCTCGACAAAGAAAATGAGTCGTCGACTAAGTGTGCTGAGAAAAAACATAGTTTTGGGTTTATCGGAAGGCATCGGAAGTTCGCAGTATTTTGGGAGAATTGGGAAATTGGAGCAACAGAACAATGCATTTTCCCCGCTATCTAACGACGACGGGACCGACATCGTCAGAGGGGGCCAGGACTAGAATGCCTCTTAGCATATTGGATTAAAAAGTCCACAACTGAAAATTTGATAGCGAGATGCATTCAAACCGACAGCTACTAACATGACGCCCAAATAAACTGTACTATCCGTGATAGGATAATACGACAACGTAGGGCCATACGTAGGGCCATATTGGAAGATATAAGTTGGATCGTCACCCTGGACCTCATCGCCTTAGCAGCAATAGACCATGAGGTTTCCAATTTTCTAACTGGACACTTTGAGACCATATATTTTCGATACATGGCTTGTCTTGACACATTCCTTCATTGGCTAAAAGATCTTCTGGGAGAAGCAGAAAGTTCGAAGGCCGCTCACGTCCTCCAACATTTCACTGGGGCGAGGAATATTGTCGGGCCCAGAACCCCGGATACTGAAGCTGTGGTGACCAGACATTGAAACCATAGTCTCCTTCTATATCCATGCCTCTTGGCGCACATTCATCACTCTGGCCAGACGAAGGCATTATTAAAGAGCCACCCCCGGCAATATCATACAGTAGGACGCCACCCCTGCCACAATTGCCACGCCACAGGGAAATCAACAATAAACAGTAAGTGGCTTCTCTGCAAAAATCATCTCCGTACTTATTGAATGTTGCGAGGTGGTGATGGTGGATTAGATAGATTCCCTATTCTCTCTAGCTTTTCATCATTTATTTCTTGGTTTATATTTGTTTCGATTTTGTGCTTTGCCACTGCATGAGATAGGTATATCACTGGGTAATTCAGGCGTATAGGTTCTATCGAAGATATTAACTAACATCTTTCCCAGATTATCTTCAACATGTTTCCTTCCCGGAACAACTCTGTCAAGGCTTAACTTACTATGACCAAAGACTCCAATGCACATGGGACTGTTACTCTCAGCGAGCCTGGCTGGTGTATTAATGCAAACCTCGAGCTAAGCATATTAAAGTAGACCCAAGGCCGCCGTGCACTGCTTTTAAAAACCATCGAGTTTAGTGTCACTGATCACTATCCAGGGGTCGAAGAGATGAAAGGTCGTCTCTGGCTTCCAGAACTCCTAATGGAGTGACAGGAGCCCTGCCGTTGTACGCGACGGGTGTAAGTGCATAACATGATAAATGTTGCAGTTTAACGATATTTAGATGGGCAGTAATCTGGGATTACGGCAGGAGAGGCTATGTTAAGGAGGTGTCTAGAGAAGTCTCCTTTATGAATTTATCGGACCGACTGGTTATGATCCAAACAGGGGTCCACACACTCCTTTCACTGTTTGCAAATCGGTGAGGAACTGTTGGATAAACAATGCAAATATGCGCTCTGCTCAATGTAGTAGCTGCCACAAGAGTAATGTCAGCGAAAGTAGTGTTGTAGGTTAGAGGAATGGTTAATTGTCCTTGTTCCGACCTAACATCGACCAGCAAAGGCGACGGTGGATTTCGTGAATTTTAGCGTGGTCGAGCTGAACTGTATCCTGGCCCTGAACCTAGGTGGTTGGCTCCCTCCCTGAGATAGAGCCAAGTGAAACTACGGATGCCAACACTGACCACATCAATTGCCCAGCAATGGATGGTAACTTAGCCAAGAAACTTGAAATGTTGTTGTTCGTTCCTGAGACGCAATAACTGAATAGTAGGTGTACCGGTGCACCGGGGGTGCTAAGCTCGCACTCAGGAAGCCGATGACCTAGTTGCTTATATGCATGGAAGGGCTTCTTGTATATCTAGCATCGTGGTACAAAGTGCGATGTTTTGTACCAGTAAGTATTCGCTTGCTTGAGGCATAGATGGGTGCAAGTGTGGTATGGGATGTAATGATAATTGTGATATATTGTCTACCCTTTTAGTTGCATTTTTCTAATTCTTTGGCTCCCTTGAGTTGTTCCCATCCATGAACCTCTGGTCCACAAGTCCATTCACTCGCCAGAGATCCGTGTTCCCTTCCTTTTCTGGCAATATCCCGGCACTGCTAGCACCTTCTTCCCTGTAAACTCGGCTGGATCTACTCCAAATAAAAGCCATGTATTTGCATAAACGCCATTGTCATTCTCAACCTCAATAATGTTAATCTGTAACACATCAGGGTCTGATTAGGTTGATGGGAGGGGAGTTATCAGGCATAGGGATATCAGGGCTAGTTGTCTTCCTCAGTAGAGATTAATGCAGACATACTCATCCGGACGCTTCTCCGACATCCAACCCAAGTACTTAACCCGCGCCACCAGATCACCCGGGGCATCCGGACAACATCCTGTCCATATATCTTTTAATACGTCAACTGTGCTAGCTCCGGACCTGCTGGCTGTGAGAATGTTCAGTCTAGAAAACCCCGACGCCATGGGATATGTGGCAGGAGCTTTTTTGTTTGGCGATCAGGGGGCCGTCAATTTGGATTCTGAGCGGCTGGTCAGGAGGTGGGAGGTGATACTAGTTTGCAGGAGTGTGAATGCAAAACGGGATGTAAAGAGGGAGCGCCATTAGTATGCATGAAGCCACTTGATTGCCTCGGCTGGAGTTGATTGAGGAGCCGCGGTGACTAAACCCAATTGCCCGCATGAAGGAGGGATGCTGGATCACGTTTGGAAAGCGTTTTCATATGTCTGGTAATGTGACTCAGGCGGGGAAGAAGGCAGTAAGCTCATCGAGCAACTTCACGCAACCAGTTGCCTAATATAGGGAACGATATATCATTGATATCCTAGACCACAATAACTACCATACTTTGCTGCCGGCATCCCAACCAGCCATTCAATTTACGTTCCCTTTCACATCTTGTGTGACTCACACTAATTGATTCCACTCTATCCTGTCACAGCGCTCTGACTGGCTTTGCACGTGCTAACTGGATTGAACCTTGGACACTACTTCTCATGGCAAGAACTTCTGTACCCATAGCCAATCCCATGCCCTAGTTATTCTAAGCCGGCATTGCTCAGCCACGACGCCATTTAAGAACAATGTGTTGAATACCGCTCGACCACAAAAAGACACCATGACTACTAATAGCAGTTTTACGAGTATTCTCAATGCTTGATCAGGGTTGACACAAATGGTTGCGGCGGCACCCCTTCCAAAGCTCCCCAGGTTCTCTTTTAACTAGTGGAGCAGGTCAGCGCGTAGTGACTGGCTGCCTCCTGGTCCTAATTCCAGATCCTTTCTGACTCAATCCCCTGTCCTGACTATTTCAGACTGGGGTTGCTTGATCTGTAGGAGGTGCCATCGAAACCATCATCTACTCCGTACATTAGATCTATTCGAGCTGAATTCTTTTACATAACTCCTGCTCCAGATGGCTGTGCCCAGTCTAGTGGAGATTAATTCTCACTGGCGGGGCTGAGTCTACTAACTTCCACCCTACAAGTAGATCCCCACCTCCATCTCTAGACGCGAGACGCCAGGGCTGCCCAGTCGTCTTGAGCGATACCCAGCCACGGAGATCTATTTTCGCCCCATGTATGCACCGTGGACTGACAATCCAATGTTATTGGGAGAAATGCGCACGGGAAATGAAACTTCCTGGACGTCCTTTTATAGTATCAACTTGAATTGAGTACCGATGAATTGTGGCAGATCCCATCCCATTTACGCGCTGAAAGACATCTGGTATTTTCTTGGTCTTGATCCTACCCGTTGTGATAATGTCCCCTGGTCTGCCTATATATATTATTTGCCATCTATCCCTTTAAACCCAGCTTCATCTCTCGTCCCACTACCACCATTCGTCCTCTGCTCCAGCCAAATCTTGCGATACTTGCTCCCGTCATTCCGCCTCAGTCAACCACACTGTATGTATCCCCGATGGCCATACATGGCTCCCATTGCGCCCGCCATGCTGCTAACCTTGACGTACAATATGTGTGTTATTTACACTGGCTACTAGGAATATGGTTATGTTTATCGCACACATAATCATCCTTGCCCGCGCTTAGGCCCCCAAACCACCGTCCTGGAGTGACTGTTCCTGGAGACTGTGGTGCTGGAGGCTGTGTGAGCCCTCCATTATCTGACAGGGTTTGCCCTCGTTGCCGTTGATCATCCCACAGCCTACCTGCTCTGCCACTCCCCATCCAGATTGCTCCCCGTCTCGATCATCCCCTTCTAGATCCATCCCATCAGGAACTGGAAAGTTCCAGGACTGGCTGTGTCTGACTTGGTTATACTGTCTGATTCTTGCAGGTCCCATGCTGATTGATTTTCTGTCAACTGCTTGCCTTGCTGTTCCTGCCTGTTGTCGCTTAATTTTCTACTATTGATGTTATCTTGCTATATCTGTATTTCCTGGCGTGGTGTGTTTGATTTAGACTCTATGGGGTGAATTATAGTTGTTAGGACTAGCCATAAGAGTGAAGTTACCATAGGAGAACAAAACTGTCGCAGTAGAGTTTGATATTGGCCGTACTAGGTAGTGGTCGAATTATATCAATTATTCTGAAACCAGAAGGCTGGAGATTAGATAACCATTGGCCTTTTTCAGCAAGAAGGCGAAGCAATGGATATAAGGAAAAACGGTCACAAGGGTGGCAACTACACAAGAGGGCATAGGACAAATAAAGTCTACTAACCCTGTAGACTAATGGTACGGACAAGCATGCTGAAAAAGGTAAGCTATCAGAAGTTTAACAACGGAACACAACAGTCGCGGGAGAGCTTTGTGTAGGACCCATGGAAGAGAAGAAGGTAAACCCAATCGTGCCAGATCAGGGGCCAATTGGAAAGCAAGAAGTAAGAGTTATATATGTAGTAAATGAAGAAATGAAGGTGAGTAACCAAACATAAACGTCAACATCCTCGCGAACGCGCTAACCAGAACAGGGCTTGGAATGTGTTAGGCTATTCGATCACAAGTAGGATAGCTAGTGCTCCGGTGTACTGGCTGCGGAAGCATAGAATCTGTCTCTGCTTATTATTCTTCTCACTCTGATAGGTACAGCCTCTTACGGGATGGCAATGCAATAGACGCTAATGTATCAGGAGAAGCGTAGCCAATGCAAGTGGCCTAATTAATGCCACATCCAATAAACCTGCCAAATTAGTCCTAAAATATACCCTACCGCTTTGTGGCTTAATTAACCTGTTCGGGTTCCCGACGGCAACGACGGCCTTATAAGTAGCTTGTACACGCCCCAAACATTAACTCTCAGGGCACCAATCTACTAAAGTCGAACTGTATACTAGTCGCCCAGAACACCAGCGAAGCCATGGAGGACACGAAGACATATGAGTTGTCAGATCTCGACAAAGTTGGCTTCACCAAGAGTGTGAAAGTCGTCCTGTTCTATGACCTCCAAGCCACTGCTGACCCAGTGAATGTGGTTTCCTTATTGGAGGGAGTGAGGAACGCAACTCGCCACTTGCCCTTTATGGCGGGGCATCTCCAATTTAATGAATCCGGAAAGCTCTGCATCGTGACCTCCGCTGACAGCTCGGTTGAAGTCAACATACGCCGGTTCACGAGCACGGAGTGCGAGCCTTTCTCGGTCTTGGCTAAGGGCTCATTCTCTCCCAACGATCTGGACTTGACTTTGTTTTTGCCTGATGAACCAACGACTAAGCACCCGGTCTGCTTAATGCAAGTGAGTCTCATCGAGGGGGGTCTGGTGGTAGGGCTTCGAGTAAACCATGCGGTTGGAGACTGGGTGTCCCTCGACACCTTTTTCTCGCTCATCTGTCAGAGCAGCAAGGCCCACCAGGAAGGGCAGGCCATGCCCACCTACACCGTGGACCTCAAACGAGACCCTTACAACACCCCCACGCCCGACCCAACCCTCTCGCAACAAGACCGACTCGCCCAACTCCCGCTGTTCCACGTCCTGCAGAAGAGCCAGTTCCAATTCAAGCCACCACCCCTCACCCGCGCTGGCATCTACCGCATCACCGAGCCCACAATCCAGCAGCTCAAAGCCCAATGCGCCCCCTATGTAGACCAGGTTGAATACATAACCTCCTACGACTGCATTTCCGCCCTTATCTGGACAGCCCTCACCCGGGCCCGCCTGCACATCCGCCCCGACCAAACCAACGCCCCATCCCGCTTCGTCCACCCCATCGACGTCCGGTCCCGCGATCCGGAGCACAAAACATCGCCCCGATACTTCGGCAACGCCGTCATCGGCTCCCTCGCCGGACCCGTCCCCGCCCACACCCTCATCGCCAACGGGGACCGTGGCCTCGCGGCGGCAGCCACCCGGATCCGCCAATCCATCCACAACGTTGATATATCCACGATCGGGAACATGATGGCGCTGCAGGCCTTTCTCGCGGATACTGAGATGCTCCTTCCGAACGCCGACTTCGCGGACATGGACCTGTTTATGAACACCTGGTATACGGGAAGCGTGACCAAGTACGATTTGGGAGGAGTGGCAGGGCCCGTGGCGTTCCGGGTGCAGGCGGGGATGCCGGGGGCGTGCGCGATGATTCTTCCAAATCTCTCTAGGGGTGCTACAAGGGTGTTTGAAGTCTTTGTGCAGGCGCCGGTGCCGGAGTATGAATCCCTAAAAAGAGATGCAGGGTTTTTGAAGTACTTTGAGCATGTTGTGTGAAAGAATAGTTGGCCAGCAACACCAAAAAGCACGCCACGCTCGTTTTATTGCTATAGGTGTACGGTCTCCTGTCTTTGGCGGCTGAATTACGGCACCCGGCAGATGTTTAGTAGCACACTTTCTCTCTCAGTCTATATGTGTTGCTTGCCGCTCTCTATACTCTCTGTTTATTGTGTTTAGTCGAGCTCGAGCAGTGAAAAATCGCATATCCCTCGCAGGATCTGGCATAGCCGAAAGTACTCCTTCCTCTCACTTCGTTCATTTTGAGGGCCACGCAGTATTTTTTGGCGGGTAGGGCTCGCGAGGGTGATGCTGTTCCCTTTCTCTCACTTCGTTGCTCGTTCGTTTCAGGGAATGCTCTTGATTGGTTCTTTGCTTTTTGTTTCAGAGATGAGCAAGGTGTGATGACGAGCACGGTGCCGGTTTGCGTTATTCGTGATTTGTTCTGTTTACTATGTTTGAATGTGGGGGGGATCGATGGAGCGTGGTAGTATGTGGGGATATCTACTCCATGGCTTACCTCGATCCTCTTCCTTTCCTCTCTATGCTCAGTAATCTCATTGCAGGCAACGTATAGTTGATGTGGCTTTATTTCCTTTCTTTTTTTTTTTTTTTTTTTTTCGTAGGTCATAAGAATTACCATTGAAGAGGTTGTGTATACTCAAACTAGACAATTATTACCCACATAAGGGCTAAATCCACCTGGCACCAGTAGATTAAGCTCCTTTATACTATCTAGACCCACTTCAAGTCGCTCCGGCGATTGGTAGAGAAGGTAGCCAATAAACAGCACCGGAAAATCAACCAAAATGCGCGAAAACTTAGGGTTAAAGTGGTGCAAACGAAGCTAGGACTATTAAGGCTGAGAATCAAGGTCTCCGTGACGTAATGAGACTGGAAAGGAGAAAGATGTGGCGTGGAAAACCACTAAAAAGTTACCTTTTGATACAGATACCCAAAATTCTCTCATCTACAGCCCCGGGGAGATTAACAGGCGCATGAGAGAAGAGCAGAGCTCGAAGCCCATCAGCAACTTGAACATGCTCAGAAACAAGAAGGGAAGCTCCGAAGGGCTAACCAGAAAGCCGAGAAAGCAAGGAAGGTGGTAGAAAAGAAAAAAGAGGCTGAGGTTTAAAAGCGAATGTGAGAGAAGAAGCGAACAGCGAAACAACAGGACAAAGAAGTCCAAAAAGAGCAAAGTCTTATGAATTGGCAGCTTCAAAGTGGCCTCAGAAGGTATAAGGAGCACAAGCAAGAGTTGCAAACCGCTAGAAAAGATAACTAACTGGGAGGCGGTCGTAGAGGAGATGGTCGAAGAGGAGAGAGGCCGACGAAAACAATGGCGATAGTACCAACTTTATTTCCTGCCGAGCTCACACCAGCGGCGATCTCTTTGGCAACCAGTCAGAGCCGCCATACACCATTAAAATGGCCGAGAAAGGCAGGTCAACCAGCAATAATCCCCCAAAGGATTTCTATTGGTGTTGAAACCGAGATGGAAATGGTACAACGCGAAATCGAGGCTGGACCGCCTCAGCGCAACCGTAGGCTCTCAAAACATTTTCTGGATTTCAAAATGTAAACCTAATTAATTTTCTACAGTGAGTCAACTACGTTACAAATTCTCCTAAAGAATTGATATGTTATTGCTGTAATATCAGCTTGCAGAGTCTGATGAGTATTTTTATTGTGATCCAGCAAATCGCCGGGAACGGTGTATCACTAAGACCACTTCTAAGATGTAGAGCTTTCAGCTCTGTATCACTTGCGCTATATAAAGGTAGGTCAAAGGATCAGACAGGTTAGGCAGGTATCCACGGTAGCATCGTGACAACCATGCGTCTCCCCCATATGCATTTCACCACCCTACCTGTCAGGATTCGGGTTCTGCCTCCCTCCACCGCCTGTAGATAGTTTAGTTCTGACCTCGCGTCGCTCTGTTTACAAGTTCTCCAAGCGATGTCTTCGTCAAAATAGAATCCAGTTGTTCCGCCATGCTCACGCCGTGACACTACCTACCTACAGCAGCTGTGGCCTATTGTTACATAATAGGATATTTCCCATTATTAGACATCCTTTAAGCTTTCTAAAGGAATCCAATAGAATCAAGGTGCTTCGCTTCACCTACTCCTAGGCTAATATCCCTAAACTCATCCATGTCTTTCTTGATACTCTCTAGGGCCATACAGATCATTCCATATGCGTCTGCACCCAGAGGGAGACGAATAGGAATCCATTGCCCGCGGCTAACAAGCCGATACATAGCTGCAGCAATTGCGTCTGGCTCTGTCCAGGAAGAACGATTCTCCTCCTTGCTCATGTAGCCCAGCAAGGTGTTGGTAGGGTGACTTGGGTCTGCATAGGCAGGATGCCTCCCCTGCGCCCTAGTCTTCAGCGATGTATTTGCGTAGTTGGTTTTGACGCCGCTGGGTTCGATATTGCAGAGGTGGACTGTGTAGGTAGTTAATGCCTTCGAAAGCCATCCATACCTGCAACTAAACATGATCCAGTCGCAACTTACTATTCCACTCAACATGTAGCTCCTTTGCAACGGCTTCAGTCCATCCATCCATGGCAAACTTGCTCGCATGATAGAATGCGCTACCAGGGTAGCCGATGAAACCACCCATGGAACTAATATTAAGAATCACACCGCCCTTGTTGGTATTCCTTTCCCTCATTATTGCAAGAACACGCTTGGTGATATCTACCATACCCCAAAAGTGCGTGTCAAATAGCATACGTGACTCCGTCCTCTGCTATCTTAGTATCTCCCACGAGAGTGTAGCCTGCATTATTGACGAGAACGTTAATATGGCCAAAATTGGTTAAAGTCTCACTTAGAGCAGCCTCTATCGATGCGATTGAGGTCACATCCAATGCCAGTTTAAGAACATTATCCCTATCTGGAATTGTGGACAGGGAACTAGGGTTGCGGGCTGTCACCACAACGTGGTTAGGGGATTGGCAATAAGCTGCGCTAGAGATTGACCGATACCCGAGGAGCAGCCAGTGACTATAGTATTCTGGAGTTAGTGGGAACATTTATCTTGGGGATGTAGTATTATTATTGCTATAGTTCTGACTGAACCAGACAGCATCTGCGGGTAGATGATATGGTGTTGTGTTTGATCCATCCATTATAAGCAAGTTTGTCTTGGGGCGTGGTTCTGTGTTTAGAAAGAGAAGTCTTGTCTCATTTAACTGGCATCATTTCGGAGGCTGTTGCTTTATGTGACGTGGGTCTGTCGCGGAGGGGGATTTACAATAACCAAGCCGGGATGTTAACCCACGCTAATTCACCCACCACCAACTATCATCCACAAATTTCCACAAGTGCTGACAGCCTTCTTCCGATTTGGACAGTCATACATATTGATCCACAACTGCTACCCGGTACATTGCATATTTCTTGCATGGTGTCGATTAGGCAGCAATTTCGTCCTACTGTGGACTGTGTAATCATTGTGTATGAGTGTCAGAATAAAGCTAGTCCATATTGGGACATCATGTGAATATATATACCCAATACTCCTCATAGAGGGGTTGGGTAGAACATCCTTCTGAATACATTCAATTCTCACCTCCATACCAATATCCCATATAATCGGACAATGAGTAACAAGGCTGAATCGAACTCAGCCAAGCAAATAATTGTTACTGCGACCCCTCTTATACAAACAATCTCACTAGTTAGGCTATACTGCCACCTTAACCGATCTCAAGCTTTGGCTCCATAAACATGTTACCTAATATCTTAAGAAGTGGAGGAAGTATATCGCTTACGGTGGAATCCTTCCTGCGCTTAGTGAGATTAGTCCTTGTCATTAATGTGTCATGCTCAGATGGGCGCTTTTCGGTCACGTTGGGATGATGTGGACTACGAGCCCACAGGATAATACTGACATCATGGAATGAAATTTTTCATACATACACACAGAATTCCTGAACGCTAAATCACGCTATCAACGGCATATTTTAATCGAGGTACTTCTAACCTAGTGCCAAATCTAAATGAGCAAGTACGGAGGAGATCAAATTTCTCTAGACATATCAAGCAGTTTCTCATAATGGAGAATCTTAATCGCCAAGGCCGTGGTCAAGCCCAAATTGCCAATCCGAGCTCCTGCCAATGCAACAAAAGTGGCCGGCTGGAAAACTCCTGTCTCGTTCCCGCAACTACCAGAGCCTTCTGAAATCCTGTCGATAAAATACAGTATCTATTCGAGTCTCTTGACAGGCTGAGAGGCCCGCACAGGATAATGGATTGGTAGGGATGTTGATTTTTTCAGCGAGAGCCTCCTCGGTGCTATGGAGTAGGCCCTTCAACGCCCCTTCACCGCATTCCGTGTACAACTGGGCTCCAAAATAGAGAAAGGTTTTAGGGGTCGAGTATACCCTGCTTGCATAGAGGCTCAGTTCTCTAGACACTGGACCACTCAATCTTCTGTCTTTCGGATGCGAATGTCACCGCCGTGGCCGAAGTGATAGAACGCCCGAAGCATATTAGCGCAAACCTCTGGAGCAGTTCTAGGTCTGTCCGAAGAAGTACATTTGCATGATTTCCTCCGAATTTTTGTTCGAAGCTATGCTGTCCAGAACCAAGGGCACGTCTGCAACGTCGGAGAGATAGTTCTCCGTAAGAGCTAGGTAGAATATATATATATATATACTTGTGTCCGCGTTCGCAGGGAATTCCTTTGTTGTAAGAATGGCGTCTTCGTAGAAGTAGTTCCAAAGGCCGCTCTTCACATCCACTTGCATAGAGACCTTTGCATTGTTGTTTTAGCCATTGACAAGCTACTGAGTGGGATGTCTCCCAGAAGCCACTTCAGTTAAATGATGTCCTCATCATAGGTAATTTCTCAGATGAGGAACCGTGCAAAATTGTCCTTCAAAGCGACATCATGACCATCAACCACACAATGATGATTCCAAGAGTTTGATTTCAGGTATGCTTCTGCGCTTAGATTGCACTTTGAACCAGATTTTACAGTTGCTGGAGATGCTCAAAAAGCACAGATCAGGTTTGCACATGCCGACTTGTCCTGACGCAAACTTATCGCTGAAAAATGACCAAGGTAGATCCAATTTTTGCACGATCTCAAACTTTTCCTGTCTGCGTGTTAATGCCATTGATTGCCGTTAAGGCCTGCTTAACCTACTCGGGACATATTTGGCATGACTTAGAATCCTAGGCCTTGGTTCACTTCATAGGGAATGTAGGAGACCCTGATATGACGGGCATCCGTCCACTCCGCGCAATAATTGGATGCAGGCTAACTTATTTCGTGTTATTTCTCCGTCCAGAAACATTGCGCTCTTTTGAGATCCTCAAGGCCCTCATAGACGTGAGGCATTCTGTCTTCCTTTATCTCTGCTGGCTGTATCCCAGTGCTAACAGTCAATTGTCCCAGTTGTTTTGGAACTTTGAAATTGATTTAGCGGATCTGTTCCGGTCCTTGCATGACGCATGATATTTTGATTTTCGTGGTTCATAATATGCCAACCTAGCTTAGTCCGAGAAAAAGAGTGGGTTCAAACGGTGGAATAGGACTCAATGGTCATGCTAGATAGGCATGGTTCATATTGATATTTTAAGCGACAGATTAGGTCAAACGAGTTAAAAAGGTGTATAACATTGATACACATCATGTAAGGTAGTCTTTTGAGAGCTAGCATTGCATTATTAACTTCTTTTAACCTACTATATATCGAATATACAACCCTTCTCTCTTGTAATTTCATACTACGGCCCCTGCGCCACATCCACCATCTTTCCCAAAAGCCCTTTGAAGTCGGGATTCCGCCATCCGCTCCAATCCCGAGTCAACAACCCGTAGCTCTCATCCATATCCACCGTCTTATCCCTCACATAATAACTTCCCTGGAGCGCCCATACCGCCCAATCTGCATCATTGTTCTCCATGTATTCCACTAAGCACTTCAGATACTTGTAATCCTTATCCGGAATACCGTGATTCCCCTCCGGCCCTCCAGTCATCCCGACCCCAAACTCCGACAGAAAAAGCGGCCCCGTATAGTCCTTCCCCTGCGTCAAAAGGAATCCTTCGAACATTCCATACTCAGCGGATGCTACCGAGCATGATCCCGTTGGATTTGGGTTTGTAACTGTGAATGAGTAAGCGTGGAATTCCCAGACATGTTTGTTCCCCCATGCAGAAGTATCAAGTGGTCGTGTCCGAATGAAGGATAAATCGGTGCCGCCATTTACGCCTCCAATAATGACCAAGAGATTGGGATTTTCGGTATGGACTTGTTGGGCAGCTTCTGCGATCAGCTTATACCAGTCGTTGTGGTTATTAAGGTCTTGAATAAGAGGGAGAGCGCGGAGTTCGTTCCGGAGGGACATTCCAACGACTCCCGGGTGCGATTTAGCGAATCTTGCCATGGATTGCAGACCTTGAAGCCAATTCTCGGTATTGAAGTATCGGCTGTTCATGTCGTTGTATCCCTGGGCGGTATCCCACCATCCGTTTCCGTCTCTGAAGTCGCAACACCAGCTTGCTCGGGAGACGTGGTTGTCGAGGATGGTGTAGAGGCCTTTGATATGGAGGGAGTCGATGACAGCGGCGAAGACGTCTAGTCTGGTGGCGTTCTCTAATTGGGGGTTATGTGTGAGGGCTTGCGTGTAAAGGGACTCCATGTCAGCTGAGGATACCCCAGCGAGGTCAGCCGCTGCGGAGAAGGAACCCGCGACTTTAACAGTGGGATTTAGAGCCATGTCGATGGAATATGTTAACCGCACACAGTTGAATCCATTGCCTGCGATCCAGGTCGTGATGGTGTCAATGGATTGGTGGTGCAGGCCTTCGGGGATGTTGACCTCCATATGCCCGGCCCAGTTTACGCATCGCAACTTAACCCGCTGGTTGTTGGAGTCAAGGATCCATCGCGAGGAGGAAAACAGCTCGCAATAAATTGGATGGACTAGGGCCAGGAGGATTATGGGAAGCATGTAGTAAAGCATCGTTAATTCCTATGTCGAAGACATGCTGATTAGGAAGACCATACGATGGCCGAAGAATAGGTGAAGGATATATATTAAGCATAAGACGGTCGCCGGGCAATTCTATGCTCCGACATTTGTGGTTGCCTCTCACAGTTACATTTACGAGAATCCTAGACAAGCTCGGAACGGCAAATGATCAACACCTAAGTTTATGCAGAAATTGTGCTTGAAAATCTCTGTATACCCCATACATATGACTAGTGCATAGTGAATGAACAGCAAATGGACTTTAAAATAAAGGAACTGTATCACAAATAAAATCATCGTACCGTGATGTCTAGTGTAGAAGAATCTGAAGTCAGTAATTGACATACAAGATCTTGTCAGAATAAAGCTAGTCCGTACAAGTATTAGGACATCATGTGAAAAAGTCATGATGTGGTTGATCCTGAAGATGAGGGGTTAATGTATATATAAATACCCATCTACACACATCACCATGAATACAGAGAATATTGAAGCCCATATAGGATTACCCCTATATGTGTAACTGATCTTCATGGCGCCAACCCGATGTTCCAGATTTAGCGCAGTTAGCCCGGTTGTGACATGGCATGCCCTTTTTACGCCCAAGGAAGGATGGCTTGCGCTTATCTGCCTCCTAATTTCGCAGATTTTGTCAGCACTATACTCGTTATCATGGGAAGTTAAGCTAAGAGACTATTGCATAAATGGGGAGAGTAGAAAGTATTCATTCGATAGGCTGTAGGCTATGAGTTTTGCCAAAACAAATCCGTAAACTATAGAGAGCATATCAGTGTAGTACAAACATTGTCCTCCGATGATATAACGACAATCATGCTCCCCAACAAGCCCGGTGGAGACCATCTGCTCTTTCTGATCTTGAACTCTTATCCAAAGAGGTCACTGCGACCAAATATACGAAGGAATAGGAGGGGGATGAGAGCAAACCGCATCGAATTCAGCTGGATTTCGGAGACGGACAGTTGGGCTATTATTAGCGAAGAGTTCAACGAGGGTAGTGTCTGCAGGGTAATTTGTCAGAAAAAAGAACAGCTCCTATGGGGTCAATTAAAAACAAGGAGAGCATGTGGCCCATACCGTTGGGACTATATCTTGGCCAGCCCATCTTTCGTGACAGTCCGTCGGTCGGAGACTCAATAAATGCTGCCCATGTCGATTGGAGGTAATTGCTTGCATCCACTTCGTACCACTCTGGTTCTATGTGAGGCGTAAGATTTCTGTATGAACCAAGTGCTAGTGCAATATCCGCTGCGGCAGATCCCCTCGTCAGTTCAAGTTTCATATGTAATCAACGAGCACAATCCCCGACTTACCTTGATGATAGGACCGTACCCATGGGTAGAAAGTCACAGTTGGGAAGACACCCATGTAGCGGTACCGCCACACAGGAACCTGATGCTTTGCTCGGAATCTGTGTCTTGTTAGAAAAGCATAATTTTATGCGCCAGTGTGGTTCGATCTTACGAAGCTTCCATGGACATGGGGCAGTTGAAATACGTGGTTGTGAGAATGTCTGAAAGTGTCTTGTTGACACCCTTCTCGGACCAATTTAGAGCCCCGTCGCCCTCGTTGTCAGTGATTCCCATTAAGACTGGCTGTATGGATAGAATTAGCAAGTCTATTTCATAGTCGTATACACAATTGGGGATATACAGACCACCCGAGCGAAAGAGCCAGTTAAGCCAAGACGGACGTACTCTTCTGCAGAGTAGAGTGTAACATTATCTATCATCGGAGCACCTCCAGTTGTCCCGAACGGGTTCACAGTCAGGTTTGAGAGTGCTTTATGCAGATCTGGCGCTGGGACCGATTTCATGCAGCTTAGCTCATCGGTCCTGTTTTTTGTATTTCTACATCCCAGCGTTTCTGCCGCACGACTGAAGATGGCATCATCTTGAGGACCGACGTATTCAGGAATCCCGCTCTGTAAGATCAACCCTTGTACAATCGGGTCATCTTTGTACGAGTATGTCAGGATAGCAGCAGAGTCTGCGCCGGCAGATTGGCCTCCAAGGGTGATCCTAGATGGATCCCCTCCGAATGGGGCCAGATTCGCTCTTAGCCATTCCAGTGCAGCTCGCTGGTCCCGAATGCCTAGGTTCTGTTCGGTAATGGGAATCGCAGGAGAGTTAGGAAATCCAAATACATTCAGACGATAGCTGAGCAAATTGTCAATATTTTGAAAAACGAATAAACAGTAAATAAATAAAATACGATATGAGGGTACAAGTAATACTGTACTAACTTCAAGGTGACGACAATAATCTCCGGATGGTTCGCAACGAGACCCGTAGGGTTGAACACTGCCCAGCATAAGCTAAATCCATAGTAGGGAACATGAAGCGGATAGTATAGCCAACTCACATGGAGCACTGGTTCCTCCTTCGTTAAATGCGCCCCCATACAACCAGACCAATACTGGCAGTAACTGGGATTCCGGGCGTGACCGTGGTGTGAAAATGTTCAAGGACAAGCAGTCTTCCGACTCTGGGCTGGTGGGCGCCAGGTTATCTGCCAAGACGGTCTGATAGCGAAACTGATAGCAGACCGGCCCGAACTGCGTTGCATTTCGGATTATTTGATCATCGGCAGCATCCTCCAGAGGCTGTGGAGGACGAAAACGAAGGTCGTTGATAGGAGGCTTTGCATATGGTATCCCAAGGAAGGCGTTTACTTCGTTATGTACTTGGATGCCGTGAACTATGCCCTGCTGGGATTTTGCTGAGGGTTGACCTACTACAGCACGGAATAGAGAGAAAAATAGTAGACTGTGCACTGTTTTCATATTGTATTCAACTAAAGATTTCTTCTGCCTGGATATATACAGGCCACCCAAGTAGCTGCACCACGAGGAATTTATAGCTTTCCATGACTGAGCGCTCTACTCATGGTAGTGGGTCTGTAGAGCTTGAATTAGCATGTGGGTCCCATATCCCGAGTTCCAAGGGAGATCCGAAGTGCGAATACGAACTAGATCCACTGTGAAGATATACGGAGTAGTGTCGACTCAAAGTTTGGGCTAATAATAAGTTAATGTCAAATAATATGGCCGTTGGTAGACCAGAATCATGTGACTAGATCAAGGTAAAACCCCCGCGGAGCACACAACAAAATAATCAATCAAGAATAACGAAGAAGGATAATCAAGGAGAGCCCAACCAGCTCAATTCATTCAAATTAGACCTTCAATTTTACCAGTCGTACTCTATTTCCTCTTCAAGACTAGCTGTATATCCAACAGTTAATATATTACCCATTATTCAGCATCAGTTCGGTCGGACTTTATTCTTTTGTTTTCACCTTTTTATTCAACTCTCCCAGATAGATTCAGATAGAGACCTTGTCCTTTTCAATGCAGATCCATATTATTATATGTCGAGGTTACCGCTTACTAAATAGGCCTAGCGCCCTAGTAAGCAACCACATGACTGAGAACACATGTAAATTAGTCAACATTGTGATGGTTTAGTTGTCTCTGCGCTAGTAGAGATAAAACCACTTGACCATATAGAAAGGTACAAGACGACTGATCGGAGATCAGTCGCATCTAGCGCCCTATATAAGAGCGAAGGCCATGCCTGAGCAATACATTGGTTTCAACCCTTGACAAAGATAGTTAATTAATTTGATCAAGGATCTATTGTAAAGGGCTAGAGCCCATTTGAGCTCTCGAGCCAATGTCCATATTATCCCTGTTGTCCCTATTGTCCCTATTGTCCCTACTGTCCCTACTGTTCCTACTGTTCCTTTTAGCCCCATTAGCCCTCGATCCATGTCACTGACTTTCACCTTGTTTGTTTACCGCTCATTTTCCTCTTCCTTTCTTCCGTCAACGATTCCTTTTTGTACATTAGCCTATATTATAAGTTCTACGGGTTCAGCCCCTGACAGAATGGTTCATAACCAGAAGGGGTGTGCTCACAAGTTCAATATGTTTTTAGGGTGAATGCAATGGCTGATAATAGATTCTGTGAGAGAAGCAGGAAAATGAAAATAAGGGTTATTGAGGAAGTCAGGACGATACTGTCGCTGAAGGGAGTGAGGCAGTATATGAAGCACGGTTAGTACACGAGAAAGACGGTATACAATGAAAAGGGATTGTTCTGTTTAAAGCGAGCACCTGTAATTCCTGCTTCTACTTAGCTTTGCCTTAGTTTGCCTTTTTCTAGACAGTCGCCTGATATGCTGTTCTCTAAACACCGTCTCCACCTGGGCCTCCGAGTATATAACAGCATCTGTCTTTCTCCCTACGTCCTTCCCGACATCTTCTTCCTCCCATAACTACCTCCCATATTCTGCACTATATTTACCTGAGATCTCACCTTTCCCAGTCTCTCCTCTATAGTATCTGACATAATAGTTACACATACTTCGAACAAAAAGAAGATTTGATACATAAACGCTCAGCAGGAAAAGATACTGCCTAAGGCAATATAATCTGCCTTTAAGTATTTAGTATTTTGTTGTATAGGTATCGCCCTTTGTGAAGCATAAATTGAAATGGTCCAGATATAGCCAGTGAGCTATAACATCAAGTCGACTTACGAGGAGAGCCCCAAGAGTTATCCGCGCTTGTTATGTTTCTCTCTCTCTCTCTCTTTTTATTTTTTTTTTTTTTTTTTGAGTTCTCTTGAAAACGGAGGACAAGAAAAGGAAAAGTTATTTGACCAACAACACGGCCTTCACTACTTTCGACACGTACTTGCTGCTATTATTATTATAGCACTTCAGACGTCAGTATCTTTTGATTGATAGCTCCCTTGGAAATCCAAAGATCTTCCTTTGGATCTTCACTGAGCAGAGCAACGCAGGTTGAAGCCAAAGTATTTCTGGCCACTTCGGAGTGGGCGTAAACTCCACCATTAAAAGCAACGGTTGCATCTTTTCCTATCACCGCCCTGAGGAATCGCTCCCCCCCAGGATGCTCGGTGATGAATTTGCCAACATCGTGGACAGCGCGTTCGATGACAACCAAGTCTCTGCCACCGATAACCAGCCGCTGGTATGTCGACCAGTCGTAGTAGGGAGACCGTAAAAGGATTCATCATTATGAGGAAGAGCGTTGATTTCTCGCGCCCTCGCTATTTCGCTTTCCTTCGCGGTCTTGAGGTTATGAGCCAGACCGGCCTTCTGCCAGAGCGCAATGGCCCATTTGGTGCAATCATAATGGTACCATCGGATGCCATTGCGATAGTCATACGGGAAGGTATGATGGAAGTTATGATATCCCTCCCCCAGGGTAAGCAGAGCGACCAGTAAATTATCCCGGGATGTTGACTTGTCCCCGTAAGGGCGATCACCCATATAGTGGGCTAGCGAGTTGATAAGGAAGGTGCTCTGGTGAAGTAAGATTATTTTCCCAATGGCTCCGTACATGAATCCGGCCCGCCAGTCTTGGAAGACGATACCGACCGCGACCGTGGGAACAACCCAGCCCATCACGATGGCCAGAAGCAGAAAGTGACGACTCTGCCACATGACGATCGGGTCCGTTTCCAGATCAGAGATATCCATGTGTCTGGTACGCGGACGCTGCGGTTACTTGATCACCATCCATAGCATATAGGCGTGAAGAAATCCTTTCTTGATACTGTACGAGTCGTCGGCGGTATCCGTGTACCGATGATAAAGCTGATGTTCACGAGCCCACCATTTAATGGGACCTTCCATTGCGGCGGCACCAAAAATTGCCAAGTAAAGCTTTAACGGCGTGGACGCGTTGTATGACCGGTAACTCCAGAGACGATGGTAACCTGCGCCAGGGTGTACACGTGTGCCATGATTAACACTTGTTTATGCCAGAGTAGGACGTCTGGGGAATGGAAGTATTGTCTTTACCTGCTGTTATGCATATTCCTGAACTGAAAGCATAGCACCACATAAACCAGAGAACATGCCTGTTGGTTGGAACCCACGGTATAAGAACCAGGAAACACACAGGGAGAATAATCAAGGTTACTGCGGTGACCCATTGGATTCTTTGATGCCAACTGGGCTCCGAATCCGGCATCGTCAAATAATAACAATAATATAACAATAATATAACAATAATAGTAAAGCGACAGGTCGAGGCTGGACAATTTAATAGGTATCTTACAGTATGGAGAGAGTTGCTTCGACTCTGGATTTGCTGGAATCAAGAAACTCAAATGTGTCGGTTACAGTGAGGAAAAGGGAGGAATTGTAGTTATATCTAACACGCCACGCCACTCTTAGCTCAGTAATTCAGGTTTCCAGATTGGTAGAGGGATGATTTGTTCCGTATTGATTATTCCACAGTATCCACAATTTAGTGGTTGTGCTGTGAGAATATTGATCTGTTAAGTTTATTTATACCCCTTGCATGAAGGCTCATTCTAATGTTTGTCAAAGTCTTCTGCACTTGCAGAGTATCAAGATTCCCTTTGTTAATAATACTATAAAGCCGTTTCGCTGGCTTGCGGGGCGTTTATTTATTAACTAGAGAGATTCGTTTTCTGCACACTTCGAAACCATTATCGACACTATGGTAGCAGCTAAGCGCAACGGAATCCTTATACGGAATTTTAAAATATCCGGATTCTACTCTAAGATGTCTGCCACAGACCCTGACCTATTTGCGAAGGCGGCGGAAGCACTAAATAAAGTTAAATATCCCCAACTTATTAATAGTTCTAGCCTTTTGAATTTTATGAGAAAAATCAATTTGCCTTCTCTCCGCCACCTGGAGCTACAAAACTGTTGGCTTTCGGTCAAAGACCTCGAGGAATTTTTCTGTGCACACGCAGGAACACTCCAGTCTCTCCATCTTCAAGAGACGTGGTTACCAACAGAGACAATCTATGATTGGGGTATTAGTTTGTGCTCGGGTACTGTAGGGACGATTGTGGAGGGATTATCCACTATTCAGGAGTCAGGGATTTGAATAAGCTAACCATTAACAAGAAAAAATGTGGCCAGTACGAATACACGGAGTTGTTTGACGGAGTATTGTCTACACGTACTGTAAGTCAAGGTGTGGAATTAGAAAGGTGGTATTATTATTGATGTATGTAAAGCAGACCCTGGGAAGTGTTGGTCCAACTGTAATTAATGGAGCAGTGCCTGCAATGTAAGGATAAGCATTGGACTTGTGGCATGGAAAGTAGGCCCAAAGTGTGACGGCGCTATACAACCTGAATATATAAAGCGAGAACAGTTCAAGGACGCTGTCCTTGAATGCTACCTGACACAATGCATGATAAGCTAGACCCGACTTCCTCTCTACATCCGGACTAGGATTATAATAGAACAGACAAGGTAGCTTAATCTCTATATGGGTTTACTTAATAGCCACTTAACAATAGTTATATTGCACGGAGGAAATAATTAACTACTTATTAAATATTTTATTAATAAGCAGCTTCCCACTAAATATATATATAACAGGCAGATATACGGTACATATTCCTTAAAACCATAGAGATCGTCCTATATATTTAGCACCATGCCTCCATATATTACGTTATATGGAGTAGTTTACCTTTGACGAATATGGAAATTTAGATTGGTATCTCCACATTGTGCCGTTGCGTCGATATTTAACAAACTTCACCTCCACAAGTACCAACCCCGACTTTCACGCGATATAGGACAGAAGCTTAAGCATTACGGCTTGATGAAATAATGTTAAAAATAGTAGATGGAGCACTGATTGTTGCCTTGCACGCTGTAGATCTAGGTACAGTACACTGGATAGAAGGGGAATCCCCTATTTTGTAGCCAGCTATTCAGCATTGCTTAGACAATAGAAACGGACCCAGATCCAATTTATTGAAAGCTAAGGTCCGCTAGTTAGTTATTTTAGGGCGACCCCGATCTAGACCGGTGAGAGGCACGCATACAGCGGCTGCGCTCGCTAATGGGGGGCGGGAACTGCAGAACCCCCATTCAGCCGATGCTTCACGATATCCACCAGCCCGACAGTGATGGGCTCGTGGAATTCTAGGCTCCACTATTTTGCGAACCTCTTAGGGGTCGCGCCTTAGTCATATTGCATGCCCCGGTGAAGGTAAAGCAGCAGGTGGATAACAGCATGAGCCTGGCTTGTATATAATCCTTGTGACCGTCCCCGTCGTAAGTCATCCTGTTTATATTATACCAGTCAAAGATGGCCATCAATCAATTAACATAGCCACTAAATCTGTCGAGAAGATTTACACGCCGTAGTTGGTGGTGTAATCAGTATTCTCGTATCTACAACATCTTTAGCCCATGCACACTAGGTTTTCTGGATCACATCGCCTGGCCACGTTCATTACCCAGTACCATTCAGAAGTATGTTCCGGATACCACACCTCTTATCTAATCCTCACGATAGCCTATTTAGTGGGAAACGGCGTCTGCAACTTTATCGCGTCCAGTCCTTTAGAAGCAGGGTCACGGCCGCTCGCCTATCTTTATTAACCTCATTCCCATGTTCATCTCTGGGGGCTATAGTTCGGGCTGTTTCTGGCGTGCTTTAGACATACGGAGCTTCCATCGAATGGTTGGCCTTGTCGCAGTTATTAGCCACATACATGTTTTGATATTGCACAAACAAGATCAATTTCAACATCTAATACCATGCAAGTTATGGTGTCTTGGTATATATCCCTATTCCTAGTATCTATCTAGCAACTACTACTTAACACATGCTGCGAGTATATTCTTTCCCTATAGTCTTGCCGTTGGTGAAGAAAAGAATATATAAGTCTTTCTAGGATGACAAGGTTGTGCCCTTGTTGTGCTCTACGCGATTTGGCAACACACTCGTCATACAGAATAGCAGCGCTTGGGCCTATCTTCTTGGATCTGCTTATTTTTTTCTGTATTGGTCGCAATTATCCGTGTACTCTTGTAACATTGTTGTTGGGAGGAGATGCACAACACTTTATTAAAGCCTATGGGGAAAGTATGCTGTTTAACTCTACTCTTCCTCGGCCCTGGGCTGTGCGAGCGGGGGAGCGCGTGGATTTGGCGCCCATAATCGGCCTATTCTATTTGGCGCAGTCTCACCCTTTACTATTAGCTGGTGGGAGGACAACGACATCGGCAAGGCGATTCTGTCTCCCTCCTTCTAGGTCACGCTCCGGCTTCACCGAAAGCTACTCGTCGCCTTGGGCAAGAACGAGAATACACGGTTTGGATATGTCGTTTGGTCCCGCATAATCGGCCCATGCGGCTTTGGTGGGCAGATGGGAGACTACGTCATGTTTTATGGTAGCGACGGAATCGGGATTGCTACACAGCTGCCCTAATCAAGGAGCTCTAGGAAATATCGCAAGGCGCGCATCCGGACTCAGAGGATCTCCCTATTTGGCAGCTAGATAGGAAGGTGACTGGAGAGTGCTCACGACTGGTTACAAATGCTGTCAAGCAGGATGAGGGATCTGAGTATGTTATATAAGGGGGCCCTTGCTATTTTGTTTAGTTACTAACGTACAGTCTACGACACATTGGAGCCAGCATCAAAGGGAGACCCGCAACGCTTTGGGTATCATGACTTGATCAAAGTCCATAGCGGAAGGCCGAACTGGGAACTGCAACTGTATCTAGTAGAAAAGAGAAAGGCAGGATGCTCGTGGCAGGTAAATTTTGCAGCTACCAGTCAAAGATCCAACGCTAACCACATTGCAGTATCTGCTTGTCGCCCTGTCGAGATCAGATGTACTCTGGTAAGAGCGAATGCGGAAATGTATAGATCTCTTCGAGCAGGAATTCCAACCGTGGACCGGGAAAAGTAGGTGGTGGTCATATCTTACTCCATAGTTGGACATCAGAGGAAACCTTGTATACCACATGCTCTATCCTTTTCCTTGTCACAGGCAGTGCCGGAGAAGCAGTAATGGTGGAGTTAGCAAGTTCTGAAGAACTTTCCATTATTATATTTGTATCGTTTCAGTAGAGACTAATACAAATTATTTTGCTCAACATCACCGCTCATCCCATCTCAAGCTCATTTAACCCCAAAATTACTTCCACCAGCTATCCCATGGTAATATAGATAAGCATATTACGGCTGAGCTAATGTATCAAGTAATTGCACCGTGCAGGTCGCAATGCCGCAAACATCTCGCACAACCTATATGGTCACATAAACGGATGCATCAGTTGCTGCTTCACGGGATATTCCCGAGAAGCTAGGAGTCTGTGTGAACCGTTGAAACAAACTGGTTTATTCTTAGGGAGTATGAAGTAGACTACTAAATATGAGGATTATTAAACTCTTGCTTTACTAATACATATCTCCCACCCTGTAACTTCTAACAACGAGAGGTAACTTCTTGTCCAATAATCAGCATTGGTAGGTTGATTTCTCTATTCGAAAATCACCGCCGTTCCCCGCTGCCTGCTCCGAAGTATGTTTTATCTTTAATATACACCTGCGTGATATTGGTGTCTTGGTTCTCCTTTTCTCCATATGGCTTGAACTTACCCTCTGTGAAGGGCTGCTAGGCCTTTCCCCCATATGTGGTGGCGCTTCTTTTCTTCGCCTGCGGAAAGGGTGATCTTTATTTGAGACAAAATATTACGCAAGTCCTATGTTGTGCGCGGAACTATTGTTACAACTTATCCTTTCAGAAATTAACACTAAGCATAAGTCTTCCAAAAATGCTTGTGGGAATAATTCCTTTTAAAGCAAAAACTGCTAATATAAGGCTGTCGAAGACCATATATCCACAATCAGCCGACGAAGCGGACTACCCAATGTCGTGTTCGTGTAAACATAATCGATAACAGTCTCGGTTATCAAATCCCCATCCTCGGTGAAATTTTTCCCTCAGCGCCGAACCACAAGATTCTGCAGCTCAGGTACTTCAAGGTCGCTACCCAAAACCCAAAGACGAACTAGCTCTAACCATTTTACACTAGGGCTTGTTTCAAAGATCTTTCTTCGATAGAGCCAGTTAACAAACTCAGCGAAGACGTCAGGTTCAATAGACTGGAGGTGGACAGTTCCTGAAGTTCTTTTAGTGTAACGGTCCTTGAAGTACTTATTAAAATATATTGAGCATTCACACAAGAGCTCTATGTGTACATCGAAAGGAATGAGTTCATCGTCCACGTTAATATGGGCTATTCCGCCAGTCAAGGTTCTGTTATGGTTTAGTTAAAGGCATCTATGTGTTTAAATTATTTATACATACCTTCTGTCTAGCGATTCCGACATGCTCGTGGAGCAACTGCATCCAGGGAAAAAAAAAAAAAAATGTTAGCCCGCAAAGACGTGCTTGAAAAGGGGGATCCGCTACTCCAGTACGCATAATAAACTACAACGAAACTTTCTACCCCATTTAGATTTTTTTATGAGAAACCTGCTTCACTATCTGCGAGCCTGTTTTGGCCCTTTGTGTAGTGGATACTTTGGAGGTTGGCTTCTGCGCCCGAAATGGTGACGGCGTCTAGGTAAGTAGCTTATCTCCACAAATGGAAAACTAGAACCTACAATCTTGTATTGGCACTTGCAAAACAGAGCAAAAATATTTTCCAACAGACCGTTGATTCACAGCATTTCTATGCATTCTGAGGGCTACTATTGAAGCCACTGTAGAGGCCAGGGACCAACGGACTCTTCGTCTAGGCCTTTAAAATCGTCGAATAAAATAAATAAAGTTCGACCAATGGTTGTGCTACGGAATATACCAAGCACTTGGAGTGCTGTGAATATTTGTTCGTAAAGGACAAGAATGCTGTACCAAGATGGGGCTGCACCAAATAACCCACCGAGAATAATGGGAGCTAGTAGAGTCTGAAGTCGTGCGCACCTTGTTTGTTCCGCATCCCACTACTTGGAACGACATACTACCAGGACCAATTTTCTAGTAACGGAAGAAGGAACTTAATCCGCCCGATAAATAGATAACGGGGAATATGTGGCCATAGCTAGAGCCGAAGCCTAGTCTTGCACCCTGGAAGCCTTACTGCCTCTTGTACATAAACTTGTCCCGAGCCAATAGGTTATCAACGTTGCTGACCTGCAGACCATAAATTTAAATTATATCAATGGCTAATAACACAAAACGATCCACTACACTGCCTACATCCAGGAAAGATTTACACGCGTTGCAGCCTCTCAAATGCATTATAGAACGAGGACACTGGTAGCCTAAGCCATCTGTCTATCAGGTGACAATATCCAAATCAGCAGTGGCAGCGCCATCCCCTAATTCTGGCTACGTCTCGCAAACGACAGCACCTCACACCAAGTACTCCCCACCTTAATGTGAACCAGTCTCCCTCGCCAGAAGCGAAACCTGTCAATAGAGGTCGATTTCCAGTGAAGGTGGATAGTTGTAACAGCAGTGGTGTGGATGGGAATACTTGGCGCAAATACCAACCATTCTGGAAGTCTAACCAAGCTGGCCTGTCCATCATTGCACATGACCATTCCGTTAATCATAATATTGTAGCGATAAAGAAGGCAAAGCAGCAAGCCAACAAGAAGCAGCATAGTTAGCTGTGTAGCGTTAAGCATGACAATATTGTCCAGCTCCTGGATGTATTTTTAGCTGACTCCTCGCTTTATTTGGTATACGAGTCACTTGAAACCTCCTATACACAATGTCCAGGCGGCTTGTCGGGGAGAGCTTGATGAGGTAGAGATGGCAATTATTAGCAAAGAGGTAAGCATGTCGCAAAGAAGGATAATAAGCAATTAAAGAAATCTAATTATAGACAGGTATTGGGGGACTCAATTACATTCATAATAAACTCGGCCTCGCCCACGAACATGTGGATTCCAAGAACATCCTCCTCTCCTACACCACATGCCGCGTAAAGCTAGGTATGTAACGCGAATAGATTGATTACTACTTAGGGAATAAATTTTAACTTTAAATATATTAGCAAACATTGGCAACTGTATTTTGGGAGGGCAAAAGGAAAGAAATCTAACAATGTTAGGGCTGTAGGGGCTTTACTGGTCGATTTGAAAGAGCCTGGAACGAGCGGCCGCAATCCGGGAACCCTGCAGCTCGCAAGACCCCAGGACGTCAGTGATTTGTGCAATGAATTTATCCAACAGTCCGCAACATTAAGTGCAGAGGCACTCCTGAAAGTAAGCAAGCCTAGTGTCCTACCAAGCGCTGCTAACAAAATTAGCACGACTTTCTTCTCAAGTTCCCAGGAGTTGGCCGCATGAGGATTTTCATATATCGAGCATTGGACTGCGCAACGAGAACCCGCATAAAGGATTTGCAAGTTAGCGTTTAACTAGTTAATGATTGATTACTCAGTTGTAATGTACATAAGGCATTATAAGGCACAAAATGTATGCGTAGCTGCCACAGAAAAAGTGAGTAGCCAGGGAAAAACACAGAGGACGGCAATAAGGGGACTGCTAACTAGTGGTCTCCAAGGTTTTAGTGAGGTAATCAGTCACGCATCTTTACCGCTAAGATAAAGATCTGACATATTCCCTTGGAGATCAGCTTGGGATAGGCTCTATGATATAGCACCATACCACGCACGCAAGCGGGCCTCCCACAGCGACTCCCAGTGGTAATGGGGCACAGAAAAATAGTCGAACGGGTACAAGTGCGGCCAGCATTGCTGGCATGGCTGCTGCGATAATTGTTCTTCACGCAGGTCGCTAATCAGGGCCGCAAAGAACGGCCCTGAACGGAGGGGAAACGACGCCTGCTCAGAAGATGGATTTTGAGGGATTTTGTGGCGTCGCTTCGGTGATTAGGTATATAGGGCTTAGAAGACTAGGCACACTACTGTACTAAATCCATTTGCCGTAGACTCGCTCTCATAGTTCCTGCCTTTATCATCCAAATCAAATTACTCATAACCTCACACTGCTCGTGATTGGACACTGCAATGTGTGAAGCTATTATAAAAACGAGGTCAGACATAGTGTAAGAGAGGTCGATGATTCAATAGCAGAGCCGAAATACTAGGCGGCAGTATTGCTCAGCTCATGTTCGTTAGCTCCGGAAGGCGACGAGTGACAACTGAGCATTCTACTAATAATTTTCGACGTAAATTATGTTCTCTCTTCCAAATAAACTTATAGGTGTAGAGAAATAGCCTTGGCTCGGCTTAATCAGTTTCTCTATTCTGGACGTCGGTAGTTCTCGCGTCTAGTGTTGTGCCTAAAAGCACAAAAATGCGGTATCTCTTCAAAGGAGTCCTCCAGCAGAGGGTGGGAAAAAAAAAAGCCTAAAACTGGCAGATTTCCTTGACTTCTGGTGTTGAATGGCAACAGTGCTAGTTGACTTGAGGCCAAGTGCGTCCTCAGCGGGTGTATTGTGGGCCGCTACGGCAAGATCGGGCCTAATTCGGTTCTCAAGGTGCGCGCGATTCCTACACAAAAATGTTGAATGCTGACGGCGATGCGCAGGACTGTGAGGTACAAGATGGTGTCATGGTCGAGGAAGAGACAGACGCAAAGAATGAGCAGTTTATAAGCTTCGAGGGCCTTGATGAAGATGAAGAGGACGGTATAGATGTTGACGATGACGAGGATGATAACGACCAGGCTTTCTAGATGCATATGACAATAGACGTACGAATGAATCTGTTGAATATCTCAGTCTCGCATCCTACTCGCAAAGACGGTCAGGGTCCAAGGCATTGTTTGGAAGGCACCCGACCAGGCCGATACCAATGTCATGTACATGCGGTGATACCTTGAGACACTCGCCGGTCATCGACTGTCGAGATCCCGCATACTGTTCTCTCAGCGATACATTGAACCCGTCTGGATTTACAACTAGCGAATGTCTTCATTTGAAGCTCCAGACCTGGTGATACACAGATTATGGGTCCCCATCTCTCAATCGCTGGGGTCTGACTGACTGTCGCAGATTGCGTGTCATCAGATAATCACTGAGCTCCATGACCAGCCTCACTACAAAGTATTGCTGTCGCTTAAGCGCTCATTGGGATTGCTTCCTGCTCGACTGGACTCCCAAGGCTGCCTGAAAGCGAAGCTCGGGCGAAACAAGCACTAGGATATGTATGGTGAAACCCGTACAATCAGGAAAGCGAATACCTTGGGATGATTCCGGTTTTCTCCCTAGCTGGTGGCCATGATCATGTATCACAGGTGGTAGTAGTGAGACATGTGGAGCTTCATCCTGCTCCGCACACTATCTCTCCATCGCTTGGGAACTCTCACAGATGCCTTCAGTATGGCCCTCAAGGCTGACCCATAACGCACTCCTATCATATGCACAGAGCACTAAGAAAAGGCCACTGTGCCGGTCGTACGCTAGGTGCTGCGTGATGTGATTTACTTCCCTGTTTGCCCCACTGAGGGCCCAATCGGCCCTGTTCACTAAGCCCGAATCTCGAATAGAAGAGCTTGATGTTCCCTGTTCCCCACCAGCTATGATGCTTGTCTTCCAAGCGAAGCACAGGTTACATCATGCCAACATGCCTCTAACTCATACTCCATCCCAATGGTCCCAGGTCAAGCATTCAACCAAGGCCATGGTCTCTGCTGGCAAGTCGGCCGAATCTATACCCAGAGTACGGCCAATGATATACCGAACTCCAACTCACCCAGCGGTGGGGGCCAATGCAACTCCTCCTAAGCGAGGTGGTGATATGGCCCCGTATCCCCGCGCGTTCTTTTAGTTGGCCCCAGAGGACTGTTGGCTCCACCAGGGCTCGCGGATATATCGGAATCCAAGGGTGCCTTTTCCTCTTTTCCTTGCACCTCTGAAACAATCCGCAACAGAACCCTGAGCGGCCTTGGAAGTATATATAGCTGCTGCTTTCCAGCTCCTTGACCGCAGATAATGAAGGGTGAACTCGAACAGGCTCTGGCTCTTCTCATCAAAGCGGTGGCCTGCTATATCTTTGTTCTTGCTTTCCGGGAACTCCTCCGTGTCTTAGAGCCCTTCCTTGACCTACACGGCCTACAACAATGGCAGCAGCGCAACGGACGAGCCTTTGGGCGACCTTCACAACAGTCCTCGCCCTCCTGATCCACGCAACTCCGGCCTCTGGTGCCGGATTTACGTGGTATGTCAAGGCGAGTTCGGTAATCACCGGGATGCCTGGATGGTTTGCGGGTACTTTCTTCCTGCCAGTGCCGGCTCTGGATGTGTTGCGGCCGCCTTGCTAGTCGGGATCAATCCCGTTGTCCAGGCCCATGGCGGAAGCGGCCAGACCGGCGCCGTGATTCCGACCAAACGCGACGAGGGCCTGGTTGCCTTCAACCATGTCACCCACGAGGGCGTTGTCCACGACTTTATCAACTCGACGGCCTTGACCCACGACTGGCATTTCGTCCACGCCATCAACCAACCGGTCAACTTGACGGTGCGGCGGCTGCCCGATGGTCGCATCCATGCCCGGACGCAAGGATTCTCCAAGATGTCATGCCCCAATGGCTGTCCGACCGATCCGCCCATGAGCCTTGCCCCACACGCAATACAATCTCGCGCCACCACTTCCCATGTCGAGGAGATTGACTTCTCATGGGCCGAGCCTAGCGGATACGGAACGAAGACGCAGACCGGGTTGGCCGGGGCCGCGTCTGGCGCGGCGCAGTTTGTGGCCAGCCAGCCCAGCGGAACATACAGTTTCTGCTCGGATGCATACAGTGTGGACGGGTTGGATGCGGTTGTTGGGTTTAATTTCTACGGCGATAACTATGCAACTGATTTCCCCCCACCATGCGATTAGGCTGGAGGTCCTCCAATCTTGATATGGCTGCGGCATGGATTTTGATTGAGATATTACATGTAGCAGTGAAGCCCAGATGTTACTCTAGTACATATCCCACTTCGATCTTATATCAGTACTCTTATTGGTACCTAATATCTGCCAGGATACGCCCCGGATCTTTGCTTGGCCCATCAAGAGTAGATTCCTTCCCTCTAGTAGGTTCCTACTCCGTAGTTGGTCTCTACTCTGCAGTCGGTCCTTACCTTGCAGTCTATCCTGCTATGCAGTCTATTGGAAGTCCCTCTACTCTGATATTGGCCCGAACAGGCGACTGCCCTACTAAGGACGTCAACATTATCTGCTTCGATTTCCTCAAGCACAAACTTGGCGAAATATGGGAACCGATCCCTAGGAACTATGTAGTCTTGAGACAGTGCCAGATATGGGATAGACAAAATAGGACCAACATCGTCACAGTAAGCAAGGTACAAGACTGGGTAAGATCTGAGTTTTGGCATATAAGTCTGGTCTAATGTATCCACAGAGCTATGAACCAGGGCTTGGATGCCAGAGTGTGAGACACTCTTCTTAAGCCCCAGTTGGTCTTGTATCCGTGGTCTTGAGACCAAGCGGGGCATGTGACTTTTCTGCCAAGACCGTCAAACGCCCCTACAAAACCCCGTTGATCTCTTCCAGAGGGAGCATTGTATGTGATTTGTTTAACAGGAATCTAACAGGACCATAGGTGGCCTTCCTTGCGACAATGAATACTTGGCCGTGGTGGACTCTTGGAATAGTGGGCATAGGGCAGCAGCCATGCGAAGGCTGTAGCTTGGACAGGGCTCCAGCCTCCCGAGGAACCAGATGCGTGGCTTAGCTAGACATGGACTGCAGATACAAGGCCAGAGTGAGCATGCTCCCGCCCTTTCAAGATCGTTAACCACCAGCTAAAGATGGGCGGATGTGCTGATCAACCGCGATCACCCACCATCATCCAGCACTGGGTGAGCGCTCACCCCTGGAGACGTCACCAATAGTGTGATTGGATGATCTCGAACTTGTTCCTTGTGCGCCGGAGTTTTGCACTGACACTAGTCTAGGTACTGCAGACCTTGTCCTCCAATGGTCTGTACCGACTTGGCCGAAGCGGAGTCTAGACCCTCTAGACCCTCTAGACCCTTGACTTGAGAGAATGCTGGCACGTGACGGATTTCTATTCCCTCCCCAACCCATTTGACCTCCTGGAGGCCCAACCTCTCTACCGATATATTGCGCCGCGCTTCCTCCGAAAGCGGCTGATCAATGATCACTATGACATTGATATGGGCTGACGATAAAATAAGACGGCCTTTTGATTGCGTTTTCAGCGTTGATTGACTTTGAAACTGGCTGCTTTTCCTCTCAAAAGCCATGTCGCGCCCTTTGCACACCCGAATACGCTCGCTCCAGCTCACCCCGTCAATCACCCCTCGATCACCTCCCCGCGCGACTCTTCAGCCGACCGGTTGGGTATAAGAGAAATGGAAGGCTCACTCGCATTTCTCACCATTTACATATCCTTCCCTTCGTCCTTGGGCATTTCGGAACGCCGTCGTCCACCATGGTTAGGCCGCGAAGCATCCAGAAGCGTGTCTCGAATAGCCCACGATCAAGACGCCAACAACGAGCCCGTCGTAAAGATAGCTTGTTCTTCAAGTCCTTCGAGTACTGTCAGGAGGGCCGCTGGGGTCTTTCGCATCTGGTACACTCTCCAGACGTGCTCAGCCAGAAGCAGGTGGAGTCGGAGTCCTGGCGGCTATCAAACGGTTAACGGGCAAGATGGGCGGCTTTGTGGTCTTTGAAATCACACTCCCTACCAACCGGCAGTGACTCCGGACGCCATTCAGAATGGCTTTTACAGGAACTTGACCGCACTTCAGGGACATCGTAGTACCTGGTACACCGGGGGCGTTCCTGTCGCATCACACGGCCTCATTGTGGAGTTATACGGAGCTCTGTTACCTCGGTTGATGGCTGCTTGATCCGAAATGACTCCAATGCCTGGGAGTGTGCAGCTCAGACGGATCATATGCCCCGTATAACTGTCCATTCCAACATTCTAAGACTAGAATCAACGCTCAGTTTCTCGAAAAGTAATATATTTTTATCATCCATTGGTTAGCTCTAAGATATAAGCTTTTTCTACACTTTTCTCCCTTCACAGTAGATCTAGACCCTCATTACTGTTGAAGCAGAACCCAACGTGTAAATGCTAAAGAAAAAACAAATAAATAGAGATTTTGGTTGTAGACCCAAGGCTAGACCATTCATTCCTTCTTTGTTTTTAGGATTTCGATCAACTCATGTCATCGTAGGGCATCATGGTATTGTGCTACGACAGGGAAGGAGGTCATGATATCAGCCAGAATTATTCATCCATAGTGCATTATATTGTGTGGATGTATTTGGACTCATAAGTCTGCAGCACGGAGCGGTGCAGTTGACCTCGGATCACGCCGGCCAACTTACACCCCAGATTGAAGGCATCCTGCATTGAGACATTCATTCCCTGTCCACCCTTTGGAGTATGAGTGCGCACTGCGTCGCCTCCCAGGAAGATGCGATCTTGGTACGCAAAGTGGTTGGCCACTCGCTGGCCAACACGGTACACCGTCCACCAGTCACAGTAGGAACAGTCAAGACTGTACGGGAAAAGACTCTGCCGAGCGGCGGCGATGATCTGCACTCCCATCTCCGGACTTGTGGCCGAAGTATCGCAGAAGGAGGCGGGAAGTTGGACATACAACCGAGTCATACCGTTCTCGCGAGGTACGCTGAGAATCGTTCCGTATTGGGTAAGGATCGTGCAATGCTTGCAGAAGCTGGACTGGTTAGACCGGGCTCACATCTGCCTGGCAGGCAAATTGGCAACCAGGTGCTGGAAACTACAAACTTACTCGGGAAAATCTGTTATAAGCACGGCATCAATGACGCCCCAAACCGCATTGGATGGGGCTCCCTCCATTTGAAATTCCAGCTGTCGACGCACCCAGCTATGCGCTCCTTCACAGTCCACAACGTACTTGGCTTGATACTGCTCTCCTCGCCGCTGATTACTGGGAGCGTGTCGTCTATTGTGCTGCTGGAACGGATGACGGACTCGACCACTCCCCGCTCGGCCTGAACCTTGCCATCTGGTCGCATACTGTGGGCGTTGGTACGCCATATAACAAGCTCGTCACGGGGCAAATAGCGAAGCTGTACCTTGAGTGGATATGCATCGGGGTCGTCGATGAGACTCTCGTCCAAATCCAAGGCGACAGGGACCACTCCGCGGTCGACTTCAGCACCGGATCGCCGCCGAATCGCATCGATGAGGGTTGCCTTGTTGTTACACTGGTGCATGGTATACCTATTCATCCTGTCTTGCATGTCAGTATTTTTTGTTTTGATTGCAGCCGATAGCTGATCGGTTATAATAGGAAGGAAAAAGTCACCCACATCGAGATATCTAGTCCCATCATGGTCTGCCAGCGCTGTCGTGACAGCCGGTTGTCCTCTGCAGGAGCCTTTTGTGCATGATTAGCTTTGTGGACCCCAGTAGGGAAATCCCGGCATAAAATTGGGCTTGATGCATACCCAAAGGCACCACTCATCAAAGCGAACACCATGTTGCTGCAGAACGCTATACAGACCGAAGCTGTCTCAGATTTCGCCAGTTTGAACGTGAAACCCATCACAACGACCATTCAAGGCTCCGGTACCCTTATCATCGATAATACAGGTTTTAATTCCCAGATCGGCCATCCACAGACCTGTCATCAGCCTAGTCAGTCATCCAAAGTCCGGGCTATACTCGTCGTGAGCAAGGACTGATTCGGATTCCTCTTACCCGGTTGGGCCAGCACCAATTATGAGCACCTCCGTGTGACCACTGTCTTCAATAGCCATTGTGCTGCCTCAGTCTCTCTTGTGAGTATAGAGCTGCGCGTATGGGGTAGAGAGTTTCTTTGGGCCCAGATTTACTCCCTTCTGAGGACAGCGGAATCACCATTGGGCCCAATATATGACCGCAGCCTGGCCCCCGATCCTTTTCTCATTCCCTGTCAGGCGTTCCGTGATTTTTGCAGTTCCGGGTTTCGGAGCCCGAGACAGAAACCTGGTATTCACCTATGGATCCCAAATAGCAGATACTGGCTGTGATGAATTGTGTGTCATATGAAGCATATGGCTGGACTTCGTGTTTTTTTTTTTTTTTTTTTTTTTTTGGTTCTTGGGGGGGTGGGGGAATGATCCGAGAGCCTGCCCGTAGGTTTTCGATTACTGAAATAGTACTACTACTAAAAGTGTCCTCGAGCGTTCTCCTCCTCCTCCTTACTTTCCTCCGGCTATCCGAATTATCAACGGACATAGGAGCAGCATGATCATCGCCCCCCGTTTCCACCTCCTCTAGCTCGGCGACCAGCCCTGGTGTCCCAATGGCTGCGCGAATACTCGCATATGGCCCGCATTCAAATGTGGAGGACACAGGTGCCAGGAACCAAGGCCCCTCCTGCTGCGCAGGTTTGTGATCTTCTGCTTGCGAATTTGCCAGATACCGCACCATTTACCTTTGACTCCTGCGCTGGCGGGGGAGGGCCCATACCAATCATGGAGTCGACGCTAAACGCCAAGCTCCACGCACAAGGCCAGGGACCGTTTGGTTCATCCTCACGGATCTCTGCCCTTCCCTCGAGAAGTGGGCAGCCATAGCCAAACGCAGTGCCAATATCTCTTACATCGACCATCCCGTCGATGCAACCCAGGCTGTCCGTTTGGCTGAGGCAGGGAACATGAGTGCCGTACTTTCAGCCTCTGCTTCCATTATTTCGATGACCCGGACGCTGCCAAAGTGCTCCGAAGTGCTATCCAGTTAGCGGATGCGTTCGTGTATGTGCTGTTGTGATTCCATGAGTTAGTCTGATTTGCTTCGAACGGGGCTGATCCTCACTAGAATATTTAAGATGACAAACCGCACCCTGTTCGCATTCTTGAACACCACGTTCATTGTGCTCTCTCCATTCTTGACTTCTCTAACATGGTTTCGTCACTCACCTCTCCATCTTTTCTTCACTTACGTGATTCCCCTCGTTCAGATGTTCTTTGCGGTGGATGGATACGTGTCGTGTATTTGGGGACGGACGGAGGAGGAGCTCACCCAGTTAATTCGTAGCCAGTCGGATCTGGCCCTGGGTGGGTGGGAGTTCACCAGTGGCGAGGACATTGTCCTGCCTCTGTTTGGGAAGACAGTTGGAACTCTTCTTACCAACCAGATCATAGCTTCACGTTTTCTTGACAATTGGTGCAGAGCTGACAGATACGAGTGTGAATCAATCAATCAATTATAGCTTCACATGTTCTAGCGTCCTCGCTTTCCAGTAAACTTTTTCAAGTTTAGATTCGTTCCAGAGGTACCGACTTAGCTATCTACACACACGTTATCATGTCTAGTAGTTGAAATAAATAATTGGCTGTGCTGTACCAGCCCACAAAAAGAAGGACTATTCCTTCTGTAGTTCACTGTTGTAAGTCTGTAATTAAATTCTACTACTTTGTGTAGTTCTGGGATACTCCAAGAGCCCTTCACCCTGCGCACATGACCGCTAATTCACTTCCGATACTATAACGCTACGTCTTGGGAATTGATACGAATACGAATTTTAATGTAGAGCTAGCCACTTGCTCGTACGGCAGCCAAGGACAAATCAACTGCCTTCCATCGCCGTGGCGATGCACGTATGGCAGGATGTTATTTGTCCGGTTTTCGGGGTGCGACAGACGAAGACCTAAAGGGGGTTTAGAGATAGCCGATGCTGCTCGGGTTAAGCATTCTGTTATCTCCGTGGTCGAGTGGGGTTAAATTATATATTAAAAGCTGATCCAAGCCACACCGTGACCTCGTAAGTCTGATCTTATTACTGGTCCTGCCATCGTGTTCCGTACCACATATCTCGCCTCGAACTTTAGCTTCAAAGGAGCCGCAAGAACATGGCCATTCTCCTTATTGGCGGTACGGGCAAGACTGCCGTCCGTCTGGCCCGCTTCCTTCAAAATGACAACCGCCAATTTCTCTTGGCCTCTCGGCGAGGCCAATCTGCGGCCCCTCAGGGCATGCCGGCAGTCAGGTTTGACTGGATGAACAGGTCCACGTGGAAGGAACCGTTCCTGTATCGATTTGTGGGCGATGAGAAGGTCAATGCGATTTACCTAATGGAGCCACTGGTGGATGAGCCCTGGAAACCTCTGAATGAGTTTATCGCCTATGCTCGCCAGGAGTATGAAGTTGGTCGGTTTGTGCTTGTGGCAGGCACTTCAGCCCAGCCGGGAAAACCAGGCATGGGGATGGTCTGGCAGAACTTTTTGCAGACAGGAGTGGACTTCTGTGTCCTCCGGCCTAGCTGGTTTATGGGTATGTTGTCCATAGTAGTGTGCTTCCCCTTTCACGACACACACACACACATATATATATATACATACACGAGTCCTAACCCGACTAAACAGAGAATCTTTCGGAAGAGGCACCAGCCTTGCTGGTAAAAGAGCACAGTAAGATCTACACCGCCTGTGGAGACGGCAGGATCCCATTCGTCAGCGCCACAGATATCGCGGCAGTGGCCTTTCGTGCCTTAACCGATGCCAAATCCCACAACTGCGACTATCGTATTCTAGGCCCCGAACTGCTGACCTATGACGAGGTCGTGCGGAAGCTTAGTGCGGCACTTGGGCGACCGATCGAACACGTTAAGCTCTCGGGTAAGGACCGCTACCAGGGACTCGTGAGCGCCGGGGTGTCAGACTACTATGCTCATTTCCTTGCCAACCTAGAAACGGCCGCTGCGGAAGGATTTGAAACCCATATGAACGACGATGTGGAGAAAGTGACTGGTCGGCCTCCAAAGAGCTTTGATGTTTTTGCCCTCGAGAACCGCGCCACCTGGCTTTAAGGCCTAGCCCAATGGCCCAGCGGGGGATCGCGTCCAATGCCAACGGAAAAACCCGGCTGGTTCTATGAAGATCGACCCGCCGTCCACATCTCCAACGTGGGCAGTGAGTTCCTAGACAGTCCATAGCTTAGCACAATCGTACGTGAGGGACGATAAATTAAATATGTGGCACCCTGGCAGATCCAGGTCGTCGATTCTTTTCGTTTTTTGATATAGGGCGCGTACCACGAAGGATTTAGCTCTGTGCTTTGCCGTCCCGTATCATCTTCACGTATTGCAGCGCATTGGCAGGATCAATCCGCTAAGGGCAAACCTTATCAGAAGGAATCTGGGACAAAGTTTTAGCGAAATCCGAGTCTCGCGTGGATTCGAGCCCTGGCCAGAAAACATGGATTCCACTCCCTTTTTCCCAACTACTCTGGTAGGGAACACTGTCGTATCGGTATTGGGACCTGTCGGGCTTCGCTTTGTTTTGTCGCCTAGTACGGCAAGCCATTAGGACAAAAGTTTAAAAACTAATTTTTTATCCGGTGACTAAGTTTTTGCCGGCAGAATACAGAATAACATGCTTTGATTTATATTTAATATTTACTAGGAGAATATAATACAGTATATATCTACTCAGGCTTGCTTAGCTTCACCTATAAAGGCTACTAGTCCTGAGCACCACAAAGAGGTGCAAGCCATTGCCCAGGTAAAAACACAAAAGCACAAAAACGCCGAACGCCATACACCAAACGCCAACCAACGCCGTACGCCAAAAGGGAAGAACACACTTAAACAATAACAATAGCATTCTCTGGAGAAGAACCTGGCGCCGGTAGCGTACGATCCCCAGGAGTGTCTGCAGGGCTACCAACATCATCCAAGGGTGCCTCTGGTTCATCATCTCCTGGATCGTCCTCTCCTCCTGACCGTACGGAGCAGCGACTAGTATGGTCACGCCATTTACAATTGGCACAAGCTCCACCAAAGTGGCCTGGAACCCGGCGACACTCTGGGAATGGACGATAGCCTGGCCGTGCCAGCCTACAGGCCAAACACGGCACGCCTACCGTACGACCGTGAGATTGGATCAGGAGGGTATTTATATATAAAAAATAATAAAATAGGATCTAATGTCTAGAGATACACCCTTGTACAAACCAGATATTTTAACCTAGACAGGCCAAAACTGCCTGGCCTGGTAGGCTGTGTACCCAAGGTGCAAGCTGCTGCCCCCTAATAGGGAGAATAGGATTACCCTAGAAAACCTCCACTGCACGGCGCTAAATCTCCTCTAGAGAAAAAGCAGGAATAAGGGCAGACATGTTATACGAAAAAGGGCTGAAAAAAAGGAAATAAAACTGGGTATCTAGAGATAAAAGGAGAAGAAAAGTAAAGGATTAAAAAAGGGGGAAAAAGGCCTTTATATACCTTTATTTATGTTGTATAATAAAGTAAATAAAATTTATAAAAATTAAATCACAAATATTATTCACACCCTATCTAAGCAACAAAATCAAAGTTTATGTTATGCTAAATATTTAAAATTTTTCTTAGTTAATTTATACTAGTTCCTTGTATAATTTATAATATATTTAAGTGTGTCTGGTATATTAGACACTAAATTCTTAAACTAAGCCACAAAGAATAATTTTTTCCAAGAAACCTTTGGTTTTATTTTAACTTTTAATTTTATTTTAATTTTCTTTTTAATCCCTTTCTTACCCTTTAAAATTTTTTCCTTTTTTATTTAAGACATCTTCTTCTCTTATAGAACAGGAATAGGGGTCTTATTTTTTACAGAAAAAACCTTTTATACAATAATAATAAAAATATTAACAGGCTAATTTTGCCTACCTGTACAAAACCATGTTAAAACAAGTTTTTTAATAATTTAAGGGGAGTTGGTATTTTTAGAGATATATATTAGCTCTAGCTTTAAAACTAATACTATAAGTTAAAGTTAATTTAAAGAATCTTGTTAAAGCTATTAACTTATTCCAGGAAAAAGATTATTTGTAATAAAGTTTTTAAAAAATTTAATTATATAATTTTTAATTTTTATTAATACTTTTTCTAGAAGTTAAATTAAATAAAATAATAAATAGCTAAGTATTATACATACCTAAAAATTTGTATAAAGTAGGAGAATAAAATCCCTTTTTAGTTTTTAACTATTTTAAAAGGTAAAATAAAATAGTAGCTAAAATAAAAAAAAAAAAAATAACTTGTTTTTTTATACAAGTAATAAAAGCTTAATAATATTACTTTACCCCTTCTGTACAATTATAATATGTAAAAACTGTTATTATAGGAGGTAAATTAGAAAGATTAATAATATCTATTTTATTTCTTGTATAAAAAAATTAATAGTTTTACCTAGCACCATAGCTTTTACATGCCCAGGCATCACCATGTCTTATACTAGTTTTAGGACAAAATAGACTCTAGGATAGTAAATTTATTTTAAACTTTTTATTATTTTTAAAGAATAAGTCTTTTTTATATTATTATATAAAATTTGTAAGATATTTAAGGTAAAGCTTATACCTATTAATAAAAATGCAGTAAGGAAGTAGCGGTAAAAATATACCTTTTTGTATAAAGCTATTTAAAAAAGCTATCCCCAGTATAGTTAAAATTAAAGTTAATTTTTTAAATCTCCTGCTTAAGCTGCTAATTAAAACCACCTGTTAGCTTTATAAATAAGCTAAGTATTAGTTAAAGCCTACTTTTAATATAAATCCTTATATATTAACACAAATTAATAAATATTATATAATAAGGTGAAAACTAATTATAATCTAAGTACTTAGAAGGGTTATTTAAACTAAAGCCAAGCTTAAAAAGTTACTTATATACCTAATTATATGTTTCTTAAGGGAGATATTTATTAGAATTTATAAATTTATTAGTATATTTTATATATAATTAATATAAAAAAACTTACCCCAGGCTTAAACCTTACTCTGTAGAGTCTGTAAAAGGTCTTTATTAAATAAAATACCAAAATCCTGTATACTATTTACAGGGAAATAATAGTTTATATATAGCTTGCTATAAACTAAATGCGGATAAAGCTTTTATTTCTAAATAAAATAATTATTCTATGTTTGTACAAAGGAAAAAATTTCTATTTAAAGGATAGGTATATAAATAGTAAAAAGAGTAATTTAAAAAGGTAGATTATCTTAAGAAAAAAGCCCTTCTTTTTAAAGAGATATAAAAAAGTCCTATTAAAGTTAGCTCCTTGTACAAAGAAATAGGGAATAATATCTTATTTTCTAGTGCCAAAGTAAGCCCCTACTTAACTATAGCTACCAGGCCTTAATTTTTTAATTTACTGTACTTGTACTGTATATATAGCAATCTTTAATAAAAACCTCTGGGTTTGTTAATTATTAAAGCTTATATTAAGCTTTAGCAAGAAAAGGTGTCTTATTTCCATGATTAGACTATATAAATTAAAGTGTTTTTTTAGTAACCTCCCTAAGTTTTTAAATAGCTATAGATTGTACTCGCTTAAACATTAATTTTATATTAAGCTTTAAGGTATTTCACAATATCTTTATAAAACTTCTTATTCTTATATAGACTAGTAATCTCAGCTTTATAAGGCTTTAATTTAATAGAAGGATAAGGTATCTTGTAATTAATGTAAAGAAATAATTACTTTTAGTTAAATATTATTATTTTTTTTTATCTTCACCGCTACTTTATTACTATTAGCTAGAGCGGTACAGAAAGCGGTAAAGGGACTTTGGCTAAAATATTAGTTTTTAAACTTTTGTCCTAATGGCTTGCCGTAGCCTAGACACAGCTGATATGAAACGTGGATCGACGTGAAGAAAGAATGATTTGCCGACAGCCTGCACGCTGAGGCCAGAGGTTCCTGTTCCCTGTCCCTGCAGGAACTGTCCTATGACCGTGCACAGATTATGATTAAATTAGGTCGATTCGTAGGAGTATTCTCCAGCGCATATCGTTAGTACCTACTAGGAGTGGGAGTGGTGTGGTAGTCTCAACTACCTCTAAATGACTCCAGTCCCGAAGACGTTGTACCGACGCATCATGGTGATTATGATTTGACCCTATACTGCACCATCACCCCCATCGCTTTCACTGGCGCTAAACTAGTCCAGAGCTACATTAGTGAACTACTGTAGTCCCATGAAGACTCGGACCGTGGCGCATGTTGCGTAGTACCAAAAATGCGCACTGGAACACGAGTAAGAACATTTAACCTGCCGGCCTAAAAATGAATTACGCCTTCACCTCGGGTGTAATTCCTACTGTTGGGACATCGCTGACCAAAAGCAACGATGGCAGTCTCTTCTTCTATTTTTTTTTTTTTTTAAACGAATGCAAAAAGTATCATCCCACATGCGGATGTCCGCTCCCTGCACGGTGCATCCCACGTCAGCAACGGCCCCGGGCGGGTGCATACACACGGAAGTTATTCGGTGACCGAGACAGAGTGATAAGTGTACTGTAAATCCGAGTGGCTCCTCCATGACATATATTTGTTTGCGTAACTTGTAAGCCGAATCCCAAGGCCGCCGAGAGTGCCCAGGAAAGCAGTACCCACCCCCACATGGCCACTGTTGACCTGGTCTGCGCACGCTGTCGCGAGAAGAAAATCCGCTGTGGGCGAGAGAAAGGCCAGTGTGCCAACTGTAGGCGTGATGGGGTGGAATGCAATTACTCGGCCACAGGCAAGCGCGTGAATCATTTCAAATTGCTGTACGTGCCGAATTTCCTTCCTTCTCCTCTGTATTATGATACGGCCTATATAAGGCAAAAAAATAAAATAAAATAAAATAAAATAAATCGAGTCTAACAGGGGTCCCATGCTGGTAGATGTGCCAGTGTCTCCAGCCTTGAAGATCGCTTGAACACCATCGAAGGGGGGATGGCTAATCTCCTCTCGTTTGTGAAGACAAATAACTCCCTTTGCCTCTCCAGAAAGCTCAGCGGGGAAGACATTCTTCAATGCAGATAATCCTCCGTAGGGAGAGGACGACCGAAGGGCAAGCGAGGAGGGAAAAACATCACAGGTGCTAGATTGTCACATCATCCGCGATCGTCTTGCGCAAACAGACCGTTACCATGGGCCAGGGACATTGCTCAGCCTCTGCCACCAGTTCCGGACGATGGTGATAGACCATCTTTCAGCAGTGGCAACAGAGACTGCGCCAGATAGTAAAGGTCAGGCTCATCAACCGGTGTGGGATGCCATAGACCAGCAGCTGAGCAGCCTGTGCACGGAAGCGGGCAACGAAAAGCCTATCTTTGGTGGAAAGCTAGAGAGCATTTCCATTCGTCTGCCTCGAATAACGTTGGTGCGGATGGTTGAGTTGCAGTTCTTTCAGCGATGTACGTAAACAACCGATATATTTGTCCCGTCACGATTCCGGAAAAAGGTGGAAGAACTGTATGCACGTCCTTGACCGCAGACGACGAGGTATGGACGATATGCCTGCATATTATCATTCTCCTGGTCCTGGGCCCAGAGACAATCCTCCAGGGCAGCGCATCGGGCAGTTCTCGCAGCTTCACACACCCAACATACTCACGTTGCATGTCGCCCTGGCCAGTTTCCGGATCCTGATGGTCCCAAAACTGATCAACTTGCAGACATTGACTCTGTTAGAGAGTACATTGTAAGCCAGGGATAGGCAAACGCACAGTCGCCTGATACGGGACAACAGAGTAATTTTGCCCAACAGTATCATCCACTCTCAGTGGCCGAATAAACCCATGCGCAAGCCTGTGTTCTAGCAAGGGCGATGGGTCTTCATCAACTACCGCGTAAGGAGCAAATGGATCTCTCTCTGGGGGAGATGGAGGAACGTCTAAGGTTTCCCTCTGCTTACATATTCAGAATATGGGCTTCACCATCGCGCGAGGTTCGATTTGCTGGCTGCCGAGTCTAGACAGCCCTTCCATGTGCGAATGGATGCAGTGGACCGACGATTATCAGGGCCGAGCTCGACTCCAGCTAGCACAGATACAGGAGTCCCTCTATTGGGTAGTCTATACGGGCCCCTCCAGCCCATCCAAGCAGCGATCTCTCTCCCAGACAATTGATTATTTGGACCAATGTGCCGTTGAGTATCGTCTCTTCGCTTCCCAACTCAATGACGTCCACAGTGGATTTACGGCATGACTTCTTCGCCACACGCATGGTCGCGTGCTCCCGCAGCAATGATGCAGGCTATTATCTACAAGCCTCCTTTGACACCAGGATCACTTGCTCGATGCTTCTCGTTGCCTGCTCGGCCTGTGATCCCGCCACAGCAGAGCAGCTGGCTCCCACAGACTCGCAACAAATTCCCCCTTCTCATCCGCTCGGTGGCAACAAGCCAGACCCTACCATTGACCCTCTGTATCTGATTCTTCAGATGGACTCTCCCAATGACCTCCCGCCCCTATCCAGTCAGAGCGTTCTCAAACGATTCCCAATGGGCGCATTTTTCTTTCTCGCCACTGGACTGATACGAGTCGAGCCATACTCTTAAGGTTGTTAACAGATCGGGAGCTGTTGCAAAGAGTAGCGTCATATTACTTGGATCTGGGCAGCAAGCTGCCCTCCAACAATCATATCCTGAAAATCGGCGGTCTTCCAGATAGTATTAGACTGCATCCAACTACTTCCGGCACCAGGGCCATATTCTACACCCCTCACTTCTCATGGCCCTAGTGATGAAACTCGAACTCAAGGACACAAAGCTAGCATTCGGACTCCCAGCCAGGTGAGCGGGCCGCTGATGGTAGACCTGAGTAGAGGCCCATCAAGCCCCGGCAGCATGCACAATGCGTCCAGCTATTCTTTGGTCCAAACACAGCCCAGCGAGTCCTCCAGAGCCAGTACTCAGGTCCCAAGGGCTGGGGTTATGTCTGCTATCTCCAATGCCCCGGACAATCCCCTTGGGGGGGTTTGGATACCGTTCGGTGCACATGGACAAGTATCCTTCCTGTCGGTTCCCGATGTCAGACCGCTCAGTCGTAAGCGACAGCTGGTGGATGAAACGGATACTTACTTCAATTTCGATGAGGATGCCACCGTACTGTCGATGCTGGATTTCAGCCTGTCCGATGGGAGCACCACAGACCGTAGACATGGTACAGCGACGACTGCGACTGGACGACATATGGCCAGGTCGGACCAGTGGGACCTAGATTATAACTAACTAATGAGCGCAAAATTATGTCCTCTCTTTTTGTTTTCTTTTAGACCTTTTTTCCCCCTTAGGGGACATTCGGTGGCATTTGTTGAGCTTTCTAGACTTGTCCTTTTATCCAGCGGTTTGAATTCCAGAGGATAAATTATTACAGTATAAATTGTATCTTCCTTGATCACGCGTTCTACTAACATGGTCCTTCATATACCCAGCATCTACTGGAATATATGCAGATGCACAATACAGTCGTCAGTGGACTTTCGTAGCTTTGATCACTTTCTCCATTTTCGTATTCCTGCTCAATTCATTCAAATAAGACCTTTTTACCAATCGTACACTATTTCCTCTTCGGGAATAGCCGTATATCTGACACTATCACTTCTCGTCTTACATACGGAAACTACTGGATGATTGGCTATTTCAGGCCCCTAGTTTCCCAAACAGGCAATTAACGGGGTGGTAAATTCTAGAACGTTTTGGCAGCTCACGGACCACGGATCAACTCTATGCATGTTTACTTTTAGCCCCTTTTCCAGAAACTGGGATCCCGCGGATAGGAGGGCTGCGGCCGGACAACTGTCACCGTTCATCCCTGAACAGGAGGAGTTCGAGTCTCAAACTTAATATTTCAGGGACTTTGGACTGGCGGTTGTCAATATGCCTCAAGCTGAATATGTCGGCGAGATCGAAGAGCTTGCACCGGATTCAAGGATCCTATCAGGGCTGCGCTACCGGAAGCTTCTCTTTCATACAGCCCGAGTAGCTATATGGAATTTCAACCTGTATTTTGTTGTCCGGTTACTTCTGATTCTATGCGCACCAACGAGACAGTGGCAGATGTGGGTAATGCTCCTGTTGGAAGGCATATTTGGCAGTAAGCTTCATCCCAGTCAATTGTTATCGACATCGGGACCTGGAGCATTCTAACCATCGTCGGATTCAAGTCATGTCCCGCCACGATCAGGGCCTCGTGGTTGCAGCCGGTGCGGGACCACAGAGCACCCCTAGGAAAAGACTCCGCTTGCGCGGTGACAAAGCTCTACCACGAGTGGATGTCTTGGTTACCTGCTGTGGGGAGCAAATTGACGTGATCCTGGATACGGTACGAGCTGCCTGCACGATGGATTATCCAGTATCGCGATTTAGAGTCCTCTTGCTTGATGACGGCGGATCCATCGAGCTGCGCGATGCTGTCTCGGAGTTACACTCAAAATGGCCTCATCTCTTCTACCATTCACGAGGCAAGCAGTCAGGCCAAGTATTCGCGAAATCCGGGAATCTGAATTATGCTCTATTCTCTCTACAGAAGGATCATCCTCCAGACTATTGTTCCATTCTAGATGCGGACTCCATGCCAAAGCCGGAGTTTCTCCGGGCAACCCTGCCCCATTTGCTGCTTAATCCACAAGTAGCGCTGCTCACGACGAGGCAATATTTTTACAACATTCCTGAAGGTGATCCGCTCTCACAGTGTCGCCTCCACTTCTACTTGTGTCAGAACGCAGAACTCGATCGTGTAGGGGTTGCCATTGATGCGGGATCTGGTGCCGTATTCCGACGGAACGCGATCATCGATATTGGCGGATATCCTACCTTTTCTTTCTCCGAAGACTGGCAGCTATCACTGGTCTTGCAGGGTATGGGATACTGTACAATCCAAGTCCAGGAGCCACTACAATTTGGTCTCGTTCCAACATCTCTCGATGGGCATGTCGCTCAGAGGGACAGATGGCACATTGGACACTCGCAACAAATTCAAGCATTGTGCCCGCCCGCAAACAAAACCATCCCATGGGACGTACAGTGGAGTATTGCTCTCGGGGGGCTTCTTATTATTTTACGCTTGGTAGGGTATATCGTTGGATTTGCGGCCGTCCCTCTACTCATGATGTCGGGGCCGCTTATCCCGGCCACATCTCCTCTCCTCGCCAAAGTGCAAATTGTCCTAGCAGTTCTCCATGCTGCCTCCACGTGGGTATTTTGTTGGTTGCAAGGTGCACATGCCGGCACCCCAATTCCTCCATTTGCCCATCTGGAAAACAGCTGGCTAGCTGGTGGTAAGTTCCGACTCCCTCCTCGCTGATATGTTTGTTCCCTGTTTCTGTATAATGATTCAGTGACTAAGCCAATACACTCTCCTGTCTCTCATAGCGCATCTATACTCAATTCTGCGCTTCTACTTCTTTCCGCATGCACCGAAAGGATCTCTTGTTACAGGAAGCAATGCCAATCCCTGGAATCGCGGAGTCAGCTCGTCATTTTCCAAAAAGTTACTCTGGACTCCGTCACTAAGCGGAACGCTACAGGGTGTATGCATGCTTCTTGGCATACTTTATGCGGTTTTATTCTCATTGTGGAGGATCGTGACAACTACTAATGGCGACGAATTAGCAGCTCGACTGCTTACCACTGTGTTTTGGCCTCCATTACTGCATATATGCTATCTGACAATCACTAACCACTGGGTGCCAATTGCCTATCTGATGAACCAACCCCATTATCCAGAAAGAAAATTTAGGCTGACTTCCACGAAGCGCGGCACAATGTTCCCGCAGCCTGAAGTCGAAAAGGAACTTTTCGATAGGAATGATCCCCGTCTTGCTTTCTATCAACATTATCTCTTGGCAACAGGCACCCTGTTCGGGTTGGTGATAGCTGCATTGCTGCTGTAGTTGTTTCACGGGGCATGACTACTTTTTGCACAAGGTCTTCGCAAGCTAGTCGGTGATATCGGACGGAATCAGATATAGACCAATAGAACATTAGTACAACGGTGAATAGGAGGCGAGAATAGAATAAGGCAATGCACTAGGCATTGTACCACGAAGAGAAAAACATTTAGACGTTTTACATGTCTTCCCAGCTACGTTAAATAGTAGCCAGGAAAAAAACACCGATAATACAACTGTGCCAGATATAAAACGTAGTGCGATCGCTCTTGACTTGAGTTGACAAAAATAATGAGTAATTCAATGTCATCACCACCACCATTGCAGCCATCCGAAACACCAACGAAGAGCTTCTGGCCAGGAAACAGCTTTTCGGATAGCTATATGCCTGCCTGAATAGGAAGGTGGCGGTGTAAAATACGGGATTCTGTGTAGGACAGAATGGCTCAGGAATGAGCCATAAGGGCTCAAGATATGGGTCAAAAATCGCCTCCAGATAGTTCGTATTTCTGATCAAGCAATCGAATCTTCAGGTATCCAACTAAGTAGTTGAATATTATCAAGAAACGTTCTAAAATAGCCCTCACTTTTCTCTCATTTTTTGCTTACCTCAACAAATTATTTCTGTACAATACAGTAGAAGGAGTGACCCCTACACGTACACGGGGAAATCATTAATTGGCATAATTAGTAGTTGTAACCTGTGTACTTATTCATTATTTTTGAAAGCAAGCCCTGAACATGATGGTTCAACAATCCAAGATCCACAAGTGTCACAAAACCTCTTTATGCAAAGTTCGTTCTGCGCATTTTACTCGCGAATATTCTGCCGCTGAATTATCACAGCATGCAAGGTGCTCTAACATGTCATCGTGCTAATCTTGATGACACCATTACCGATGAAAAGGAGGTAAGCCACGGGGCAACCTGGGCGCCAGGGCGAAAAGATAATAAAACGATAATGAGACGATGGGACAAGGCAACAGGACGACAGTATAAAATCAGTAGAAAAATTAGTAGCCCTTCAAATGCGCAATTTAGAGACATAAATCCGCACATCAGTAATACCCACATTCACTGTCATTTTTTCCCTTCTTTCTAATAATTCGAACTCTCCAGGATGTTGCAAGGGTGTTTCAGTCAAGACATCCGGCAACAATAATGGTATAGACGATGATAACAAAAGGCGGTGTCCATGCTTGTTGAGCCTGTTTATCGGGGTGTTTATGTATCTTCTCCTGAGCAAGCACCGGCTCAAAGATAACTCGACGTGACGATGATGGCGTGGTATTTGAAGATGGTATTACAAATGATGTTGCATTTACAGGTCTTCCCCGTATCGCAGTCAGGACATGCGTCTCAAGCGCAATTGTAGGAGGATCTGCAGGGGGCAGTTTAGCTGGTGCATATAGATACCACTGTTGATGAAAATGCTCGATCCTTACGGCTTCTGATGGTCAAGACTCTTAACAATATAAATGCATGGAAGTCATATTGTAGCACGTGTTACGTCTGAGAAGTCCTTAATTTGCTTCTTATTCGGCGGGAGGTCATTACACATTGCAAGGACTTTCTGAAGGGCATACTGGGGGATCTTTGTAGGGATACTGCCAAACGGAGGCATTCTAAGCACGCTTGTAAGTTTGGTAATCCTCTCTCTTTCCAATTCTTTCTGACGGTGATCATGTTGATGAATGATTATTCCTTCAAAGGACTGAATAATATAAGGATGATCTGCAACAAAAGTGCCTAAATCCTCTAGGGTGATGCCTCACCGCAAGAGGCTGTACGCATGTCCAAGTGGAAATAGCTAATAGTAAAGCAATTAACTATACATCTCTGCGTGCCATATTTAGCCACTTTTTTTCAATGTATGAAAGAAGTGGCCCGAAGATTTCATAATCATACTCTGCTTTAAGTTGATGCCCGTATTGTATTGACTCGGCATTGTTTTAGCTTGTACAACAATCCCCATAAACCAACATATCTTTCCATCTTTTGTCAACTTCTGCTTAAAATGCGGCCATAGCGTCTTCATCTTTTAGATTAGGGGTAACAGAAAGGCTCTGTAATAAGCCTTTGGGTAGAAGAGGCTGGGCTTTGATAGGGGGAATGTCGGGAGAACATAGGGGGGTCAGTAGATCACGCACTTAAGTCCCAGTCTATCCATCTATTCTCTCGGAGAAGTAGTGAGTTAGGGTTAATACCCGAGGCCGAACTCTCAGCAATAATAAGGACTCTACCTAGGTATGGGTCATCATTTAACTATATTAGACAATAGCATCACTATTCTCCATAGTGGCCATAATCTCCAATAGATACATTGATACCTAGATATAGATAGACTAAGAATATTTATACCCAAGAATGAACCTCTCTTTCTCATATTCCGACACAGTGTAATACTCCCTGCGGACGGAATTATAACTCAAATCCTCATTCCCCGCCATGAACCACCCATTTTTTACCTCGGCCGTCTTTCCAACCGTCCAGCGGAAGAGATCACCCGCCTTAGGGGTGCGGCCATTACTGCGGGAGATATGAAACTTGTCACCAAGGGCGAATGCGCCCTGCATGCGCTCAAAGTTGACACAGTGCGCGAAAGTTGCCTTCACGACATCCTCGTTTGTTCTCAAACTGTCAGTCGACAACGGATACTTGGTGAAGCGAGTCGCGTTTTTACTTGAGTCGCGGACAAATTCGCCCACAAGGAGTGTCGAGTCGGTCCTATCCAGGGAGATCCAGGAGAATCGAAAAGGGGAGGAGGATTTTCCAGTCCATTTATATGTTCTTTATAAAACCTATCTGTTAGTAGGATATTCAAAGAAGAGGGTAGTAAACAAAGGATAAATGGAAAAAAGTGGAGAGGACTACTTCATTTGAGGAACCACAAACCGATACCCAGCAGCCGTATACTTATCCCCCACCTTCCCCACCTTGTCCCCAATTTCCACCTCCCAGATATTCTTCATATCGAAGACGCGAATCCCCTCCGTCGTATCCACGACATACAACTGATCTCCGGACCAGACGATGCCGCCCGCATGGACATCCACGGGGACGTAGTTATCATCCGTGGAGGGCTCCACTAGCAACGCATGTCGATACCGGCCCTTCGCCCGATCCACGAAACTGACTCGCACGTTGCCGGTCAAATTACTGTACCAGCTGACAAGCAGGGATTCCCGTCCGTCGTGTTTCCCGGAAGGGTCAGCGTCTGCGGAACTTGTAATCCCCTGCGGCACCCATTTCAGGGTATTAGAGTCCCCAGCGTTCCAAGTCCAGGATACAGTGAGGGGCCCCTTGCCCACAGGGGGTGATTTCTTGGTCAGGTCCCGGTTGGCGGAGTCTAGGACTTGGGATACGGTGATACTGTGGTTGAAGATCGCAGAAAGAGGGGCAAGGTGCGGGTTATTAGTCACTTGGAGGGTGAAGTCGTCGGTGGGGAGGGGGCCGATTTTACATGGGGAGGCCAGCACAAGGGGTATATATAATAAGAGGAGCTTCATACTGTAGGTAGGTATGTACAGATATATAGTAGATATGGATACAGGTAGGTGTAGGTAGAGGAAGAGTAGAGTACAGCTGAGTCTGATGTAGCTATATATAGATAGAGAAGTGGGGTATATATTATATAATACTCGGAGGCTGACAACAGGGAATGCTTTGCGGACACCAGTTAGAATAAAGCCTACCTCGTAACTTTAAAGAGCCTATCCTTGTGGGATAGTGTTAGAATAAAGCTAGTTCATATTGGGACATCGTGTGAAGCAATATAGTGACGTGGCCATATAAGCCGTGTCTCCAGAAGAAGAGGGGTAAAGAGAATACGCATCACAATGAATTCAGAGAATATTCAAGCTCTCATACGGTATAAATCTATATATTTCTGAGAACGCTCTGAATTGCTGCTAGGACACCCCTCTAATTAGTCAACACCCTCCTAATACCCCTCCTAATTACCCCTCCCACTGAAACTAAACTAGACGAAATACAACGGCACCAATTAATGAAAGACATGTCCATTCAAGAGAAATTAAGGATCATCCAAAGCCATGGTGTGGAAATTGAAGGGGTACAGCAGATATCCCTCATGTACTCTAGCACTCGTGTGGATTCCGGTATTTACACAATTTGGCTATTGTGCTATTCGGAATTACTGTTTCTGACAATGTCCAAGCTTCCTTCAAAACTGTTGTGAAAACCTCGATACGGTCCACGGTGCACAGTGGAAATGGCGAATAAGGCAGGAGAAGCTATACCAGCTACACGCACGTAGCCTACTAAGGAGCGTATATATTCAACTAGATATATATCAACGTCTCATCTAGATGCCACACTCTTCTTCTCTTAACTGGGATAAGATTCGGGTTGAACGTTGTCGTAGCCAAGGCGCTAGGAAGGAATCGGTCCGAATACCACTTCTTCAACAAAAACTAAGGGACCTAACCAAGAAGCCCTTACCTCTGGGCCAATTATTAACTTTATGCTCTGCAACTAACGCAGGCCCCGAAGTCCATCATAAAACGGTGTCAACGCCCACAGCAGCAGGAAATCCTGTACCGGGAGCTGACGGACGCCTGCTAAATGTAAGCCTGTCTCAAGATCGCCCGAGATTATGGTGTTCGGGAAACGCCCGTATGTGCTGGTCATTTTACTACAAGGAAGATATGTTTTCGGCTTCTTCAGCCTCGGGATCTTGGACTGTAAAGATGTGGAAGGCGAATATGGCCCTTTATGGCCAGAGGAACATCCCCATTACTCCGAACCTGGGTCAGAGAAGAGGATACATCTTCAATTGGACGATGTCATTCCCCTGGAGAGCCCTTGGAATAACAGGGTTCTTCTGTTGAAGCTGTTAAGGACGAGCTGAACCACTGGGCGGGCCTACGAGGGTATTGTATTTTGATTCGATGGCCCAAAAAGGATGATGAAGGAGACGTAAAGAAAGTCTATCTTTGCCGTAACCACTTGAGGGAGTCATTGCCATCAATCAATTAACAATACCGTCGGCCGATGCATACGGCAAGGCAGCGAATTCAGTGCTCTTGGGCATGCTATCTTCTCCGTAATAGCAAAGGCCAAGGCAACACTGTACGGACACTCCATCTACCAAATGGCGAAAGTCGGTGGTGAGCACAACCATAAAGCTACATATACACACTAGGCCTCCTTAGATAAGATGCCAGTCGTCTTGACATCTCTGAGCCTAATGCTATCCCATCCTTGCAGTGTTTCAGTATTCAATATTGTGCGATCATGCCACAATATATGTCCCGGTAGTTAATAGATTCTTCGGGAAACCTTACTTCTAGGAAGTGATGTGCTTGGTTATCAGGTGATCTTTGGTGCTGGCGCAGTGTTGGGTCCTCAACAGGCTCATACGACGGCGCAAGCTGTCCTCGAGAGTACTGATGTGCCTACTGGAGCGGTGGCGCTTATCTTCGCACAGATTCTGGGAGGCAGTATCTGGCTCTCCGTCGCGCAAAATGTATTGACAAGTTAGTTACTTGAAGATCTTAATGACGCTGTGCCAGCGTTCGATCCCATGGTAGTGCTAGAGATGGGTGCTACGAGCTTATGGATCGTAGTAGGGCCGCAGTTCCTGGGTACTCTTAAAGTATATAAATTTGCTCTCACAAGGATATTATATTGTGAGGTTGCATTAACCGCTGCAACCTTTGTCGCTTCTGTGGGAATGGAGTGGAAGTTGATTAAGAAGACATTGCAATGAGCGCTAGAAAATTTAGTAGGGGCATGTAAATGATTTGCGGCATTACCGGATTTAGAGAAAGTAGTCAGTCGTTGCCGTCATTTTCACCAATACAGCATGCTCAGATTTGCTCGGTAAGCAAAATGCTGCGGGGACTGAGTGCTATACCAAAATAAACGACAGCAACGCTTCTTGAATCCAGGTACATATATGTGTCTGTGTGTGTATATATGCTACGGGCCTGGATTGTGGTAAAAGCATAACTGGGATAAAAATGATATACTTTTTATCAACGGCCTTGCAAGCAGGTAAAGGCGGACATCTACCCCTTAGGATTTCATCTGGACATACTATCAACGAATCCAAAGTGCTAGCAGGCACTGCGGTGTCACTATTTGGAATTTGATATTCTACATGTTCCACTATCGATAGGCGATATTAGCTCCAATCAAATAATTAGAATAAGAGTGGACGAGTAATAGGTGGTGGACTGTCGGAAATACATTCTAAATATTTCGATTTGTCTAAAAGCTCTTGGTATCTGCTTTATACTAATGCCACTAAAGAGCTTGGTGCTGTTGTATTTTATAATATACAAATGAATTTAGTTATATACATACAACAGGGGTGGTTAAGGCGGAAGAGAGGTACGTAATCCCGGGCTTCAGCAGCGAATAAAACTCTCTTCAAGCACTTACCATAAGTTCTGTCATCTCAAGGCTGTCACTAGAGGATTAGCCCCCCTGTCTTAGTTGTGCTCACTAGGCTGCAATACAAACAGTACTCCAGCACTCGGTGGCATATTTGGCGAATATTATATTCTTCAATATACATGGCATTGCCGCTGCTGGGAGTCCAAATATGGACTCCCTGGATGTGTTAACAGCGACAGCTATACACCTCTGTTATCTTTTGCGGTCTGGCCGCATCTCGAGTGTCGAAATTGTCAAGGCATATCTTGCCCAAATGAACCAAGATGATCGCGCAGGACTAGGGCTACGCGCGATGATCTCCACCAACTCCCAAACCGCCCTTTCTCAAGCAGCACGAAGTGATAGTTGTGTTCCATGATGCGTATGAACGCGAAGCTGCCGCCGTCGTCAATCTCCTGTTGGATAGTGGGCTAATCATCCTGCGAAAGACAAATATGACCGAGCTTTGGGGTCTCAAATCAACCCCATCCGGCCGTGAATGGATTTACGCAGTCTGCCTACATCCCGACGGGTTCCACCCCGATGATCTCTTCATGGGTCGTTCTGGCCCGGGAGGGTCTTCATCCGGGTCCACTGTAGGCGTGTTGGCTGGATTTGCACCTCTGGCGCTTGAAACCGATAACGGGCTCGGTTTGCATGGAAAACCAGTTGGTCTTTACCCCATCACTGCTACCCGGAAAACAGTTCCTACGGACGGAGTGTTTACTTTGAGTCGGGAATTTGACAAACTGGGTGGCATGGCCAAATCGCCAAAGGATATGGTATTGTTGTTAGATATTCTCAATGGTACTCGCACCTAGATGCAAGATGGCAGGATCCCGATTACGTGGAACGCTTTCATGTACCAAAAGGACCCAGACGAGGATGTGGAAAAGCAAATGGTAAGCAAACTCTCCTCCTTATTATAGTAGTGAGAGACTACCTGGATATGATCAGCTCGATGGATACGAATGGACAAAGACTCAAATTGCCCAGCGAGGAGCGCGAGTAATTTATCCAGTTGAATTGCCAAAAAGGAAAGCCTCCGCCATAAAGGAAGGAGGGTAAACTATTCCGTCTCCTGTAACCCTTTTCTAGAATTTAATACAGATGTATTAATAAAATCAGCGTACGAGTGTCCCGGCCCCTTTCAGGCCTTCTGTTCGCTACTGGATTCTCCTAAGGTGACATCTGTTCAGGAACTGGTTGACTACAATGCAAGCAACGCCGGCTGCGCCATGCCTCAACGTGAGTAAATATCTCCCCTTGGGCACATACCTCTAACACTTAGTAGCGCATGCCGACCAGGCCGACTTGGTTGAAATGCTAAGATCGAACCTCACGGAGAAGACCGCTGCAGCAGCTAAAGCGCATGGTAAACGCTTGGCTGGCCGCAAGGAATTGACTTGGCACTGAAAGAAATCAGATAGACCTGATAATTGGCCCCGGTGATTGTTCAATCTGTGCAGTCGCAGCATTAGCGGGATATCCCACTGCTATGATTCCTTTGAACGTTTGGAAGGCTCTGCGGGGGAAGGGACAGCCTCAGGGATTAATGATAATAAGCCGCGCAGGGGGCTAGGCTAGAATACTAGAATCCATGCTCTTATGGAAAGATATTATTGGCAGCTGGAAGGTTCCTCCACTGTGCTCCTAAGAATTTTTGAAATACTAGCTGGTAGATTTGCATGAAATGGATTCAGTTGGAAGATATAAATTGTCAGTCTGTCAATATAGCAAGCAATGCATAGTTGACCAAATAAAAAACCATTTGCTATTCATCTACCACAAACCATTTGGCCCACCACATATTGCTAAAGGCATCATATTCATATTTATGGGTGGCTGTCATCTACTCGGTCAGTATGCGTCATCATCTACTTCAACATGCCCTTAGCATCATCCTCCCTCATCCCTTCATGTCCGATATCAGCAGTTCAGGTTCACAGCTATCACAGTCAGTATACAATCCAACAAGAGTTAGGATAACTCACCATTGGCAAACAACGCATAGGTATCCGCGTTGAGCAGCGCCTCACTTGCACTCAGAGCCGTGGCAGCCTCGTATCCATAGCCAAGGTCATCAGTGCCGGGACTGTACACTCCTGGGGCGTGGGTAAACTCGTGCAGCGTGGTGGTGGCCTGGTCCTGCGCATGACAAGTATTCGTCAACGCGGGCAGATAGGTATAGTACAGATCGCAATTGGCGATGATGTTGGACGAAGGCAGCGTCCATGCCAGCACGTTCGATCCGCAGTACCCGTACGGATCCTCACAGTAGTACGTGGTGCGACCGGATGAGGTCGAGCTCGCCTCGTTGGCCACGGCACGCAACCGTGCCGCTACGACGCTGCGTGTCTGGCTCGAGGTCGTCTTGAAGTATTCCTGGAAGCGTGTCGCGGAACCCGACGTGGCAGCTGAGGCGGCCGCGTTGGCCAGCGAGACGGAGTTGCGCAGGGCTGTCTGCAGTGCTGACAGGTGAGATCCTGAGCACCCTGTGATAACGGTGCGACGGTCCAGCGGCTTCACAGCCCGGGGCACCAGGGCGGCCTCGGCGGCATCGACGTCAATGGTGATCTCGTTGGACGTAAAGGGGACGTATCCATTGATAGTGCGGTCCTTCGTGGTGGGCACGAAACCGGACGAGCTCAAGGTGAAGCTGCCCCCCTGGGTCAAGTCGCTGGTGGAGGCGATGTTGAACTCATCCTCGATGGTGGCACCGGGAGCCAGGGTAGTCAGCGCGTCCTCGGACAGATCCTGGGTCTTGATGCGCTGTCGGATTCCCTGGAATGGAACCTCGGTAGCTGATTTGGTCAGTATATGGGTTGGATCGCATGATAGGAGGCATACCGTTGCGGAAGACAGCCACCTTCTGGATCGGAGCGCTGTCACGGAAGAAGTTGAGGTGTACAAAGGTGACCTCCTCCTGGCCGACGTTCTTGACCACGGCCTTGATGCGCGTGTTGCTCACCTGGCTGAGAGTCACGTCCAGACCAGAGTCACTGCGCACATCGAGGGGGGCGGCCATGAGGCCAGGCGCGAGGGCCAGCAGAGTTGAGAGAGTGAAGCGCATTATGGAGATGATGATTCGGATGGTACAAAGAATGGGATGAGAGGTTCAGAAGGATCTGAAGCAGATTATATAGCCATGCCAGAAGCCATCCTGAGAACACCCCGAGACGCCTTCTCGGTGAATGTAGAGTCTTGTGCTACTCAACCATTATTCGCGCACACTGCTGACAACACCAAAGTAGAAAGTAGTATCCGGTTCTTCACAGTCCTCTTGGCCCGGCGGAATCCCGCTGCAGCTGGTGATAATTGAGTCAAGACCGTGGCATTGCTTGATAAAGTTAAGCCCTTCAGGGCCAATAAGGCCAGCATCGTGAAGCTCGTGAAGCCACACCTGGCGAAGAGACGATATGAACGCCACCGGGAGATTACCGGCGGTGTCCGCTGCTGGCAAGTCATGAACAAGCAAAGGTAAATCCAGAGAAGGGTGGATGGTAGATGAGGTTGATTCCTATGTATCCGGCAAGTGATCGCGCGAATAGTCTCGGGGGCATTTAATTAATCTACCGACGTTGATACGCCTGCAGAATGCAACCCAAGAGCGCCACGCAGCACCCATCCACCAAACAAAAGACCCGATTGAATGAAATCATGGCATGTGCAGCTCAACTGCCGTTTTCTCGATCTCCGGAAGCTGCCGGAGGGTTCGACTTCATATCAACCAACAACCCCTCGCACTCCCTATCCCTCGAATCACTTCGCCTCGCTTCTGCGTCGACTTACTTCTCCTCACGGACCTTCGCCGAGTTCTCCATGGCTAGCCCAGCATCCCTGACGGTCCCTCTGGCCGTCGCGCTGTCCCCGCCCGTGCTGAACTTCTCACAGCCCGCTATTCCCATCCACGTCGCCATCCACAACGTCGCTGCCACTCCCGTCACCCTCGTCAACTGGAACACCCCGTTGGACCCTCGTGCCGCCGTTCTCGGGGTCTTTGAGGTGAGCGATACCAACAACAATCCGGTACCGCTGGACTCGATCAAGATCTCGCGCCGACTGCCTCCGTCGACGGACGAGCTCGTGGAGATCCCCGCGGGGCAAGCCGTCGAGACCGTGGTGCATCTGCCGAGTGTAGGGCTGGTTGGTGGTAGGGAATATACAGTGCAGGCGAAGGGGATCTGGCATGCCGTGTGGTCGAGGGCGCGCGATGAGGTGTCAGGATCACAGCTGGAGCGGTTTGAGAATGCCACGAGGGCGGAATTTATATCCAACGAGATTACAGTCGATTCGTCTACGTCTACTTGCAATGAATGATGGATGGATGGATGATGAATGGATGGATGATGAATGAACGAATGCTAATGCTTGAGTCTAACTCTTCAAGCATCTTAAGTCATACCTACTGAGATTGAACCCTGAATCTGATCTGACCGATACGTGAATCCCACCATCATCACCTCACAGGGAGCAGAAGAACCCGCCTTTTCAACGTACCCAGACGTATTCCATGGATGCGACCGATCTTAATTATATCATCTTAATTATGGCAGATCCGACCGACAAGATCGTCCGATCAGCACTGCGTCAATCACCAGGATCTTCCCTCCCTTCCTTAAATAAAGACAATCTATCGGAATAAGCTTAAACTGCCTCTGTAGAGTTAGTAATTCATGTGTTAGATATATTTCATCCATCATCGTATCGTAAATGGGATGGTTAATCTCGGTATTAGGAAGGTAGAATGTTCTTGATCAAGGCGGGGGGGATACTTTAACAAGTAGAGAAATACACGGGATAAGAAGAAAAATAAATAAATCAACAAAGACATAAAAGCACATTCTAGAGAGCTAATCCTCGGCTTCTACATCCTCGGATTCTCCAGTTCGGCACATTGTCTTCGCTTGCCAACATCCGATCCAACGGCAATGAACCCCATAAAACTACCGACTTTCGCTCGAATGGGCAATCCGACCCCGCGTTTCCCGGTCTAATGTCTTAAGAACGCAGATCGTCCGGCTCTTCTCCACGGCTCAGCTCCTTAAGGCGTCAGCTCTTTAGCTACCCTTTTTAGCGTCCACGACCGCTCTCAATCAATGGAAGAATGGGAGTATCTAATCATGTCTGCTAAATTCTCCGACGAAAAGATTGAAGACCTTAATCTTGCGACCCATGAACTGCCTGAGTTACATCGCGAGTATCTCTGGCAGCGTCATGGCACGCTGGATCTGGATCCCATTCCCAGTATGGATCCGGCCGATCCATACAACTGGCCCGGGTGGAAGGTATCTCGCTCTTCCCGAAGTAATGACGAGAAGTCACTGACGGGCGTACGGTGTAGAAAGTCGCCAACCTCTGCCTAGTGGCGTTCCATGCCTGCATGGGCACCCTGACGGCCGCCGCCATTATCTGCGCCTACGAAGAGATCTCGCAAGATCTGGAGGTCTCGCTGCAACGAGTCAGCTACCTGACCTCGCTGCAGATCGCCATCTTGGGCGTCGCCCCCTTGTTCTGGGAAACCGCTGTCGCATCGCGTCGGTCGGCGACCGATCTTCCTGCTCTCGTTGATGCTCAGCGGCGTGGGCAACGTGGGTTGCGCCGTCAGTCACTCGTACGCCGCCATGGCCGCCTGTCGCGCCCTCGTCGCCTTCTTCATCTCACCCGCCATGGCCCTCGGCAGTGCCGTGGTCACGGAGACCTTCTTCCAACGCGAGCGCGCTCGGTATATGGGCATCTGGACGGTCATGGTCACCCTGGGGGTACCGGTCGGGCCGTTTCTCTTTGGTTTTGTCGCGCAGCGTGTCGGATACCGCTGGATCTACTGGGTGCTGGCCTTGGTGAGTGTACCCTATTTTCCTCGGATAAAATTGCCTGCTGAGAGTGCAGACCAACGCCGGCGAGTTCCTCCTGTATCTCGTCTTCGGGCCAGAAACGCGTTACGTGGGAGATGAAACGGATACTGGCTCGTCCTTCCAGCGTCAATACCTCTCGATCCGACGGATTGATCGCACTCCCTTGACTGTGTCCGAGTTCGTGCACCCGTTGACCCTCGTGCGATACCCGTCCGTGCTATTGTCGGCCATCGCGTACGCCATGGTGTTCGTGTTCGCCTCGGTGATGAACTCGGTCGAGGTACCGCAGCTGCTGCAGCAGAAATTCGGACTAGACGTGCAGCAGCTAGGACTACAGTTCCTAGGATTGATTATCGGCTCGTTGCTGGGCGAGCAACTGGGGGGCATCCTGTCCGACGTGTGGATGAACGTGCGGGCGCGACGCATCGGACACCCGCCGGCTCCCGAATATCGTCTCTGGCTCAGCTACGTCGGGTTCCTGGTGACCATCGCCGGTATGGTAGTCTTCCTGGTGTGTACAGAGCAAGCGACGCAGGGCCACTGGACCGTGACGCCAGTGGTGGGCACAGGGATTGCAGCGTTCGGCAACCAGGTGGTGACGACGGTGTTAACGACCTACGCGGTGGATACACATGCGCAGGATTCTGGCAGTGTAGGCGTCTTTATTAATTTAGTGCGGTCCACCTGGGGGTTTCTTGGTCCGTTCTGGTGAGATTTAATTTTTTTTTTTCCCCCCTTCCTGACTGACCTCGTATCGACTAATGAATTTAACAGGTTCCCCGATCTGTTCGACGCCGTGGGAATCGCCAACAGTTCTGGGGTGGTTACAGCATTGATTGTGGGGGTCGGAATCTGTCCGACGGTCTGGCTGCATTGGCGATACTATTCTCCTAGATCAAGGTTAGAATCAGATTAAATCTCATAATCCCACAATCCCATTGAGGCAAACAGACGACTCGGCTATCCTGCCCAAGCAAGAGTGGATCGACCCAAACACTGTGCCGCTGTGCGTCGAGTCAGCAATTTCGTTGCTGCACGATCTACTGGTTCCTATCCGTCTTTAGAATAGTTCCCCCCGTAATTTCTGCTCGGGACTGGATTTCCCTGGGGATTACCGAGTCTCCAGAAATGCCACATCGGGCAATCAGCGATGCCGATTCACCCATGTGGTGGCCCAGCTGCTTGGCAGTATTATTTATTTCCGGGCTGTATGCCCCAGAGTAATCCCCCGGAGAAGAATTTCGAGGCAGACAAAAAGAAAGAAGAAAAAGGAAAATGTATTTCCTCCTCCTCGCCGGCCTCGCTGCCGCCGCTCCCTCCTTCCATCGCCCGTCCAATGCCTCCGTCACCAACATCCAGGTCGGGCCTCGTCCCTTCTACCTGGTGGACGACATGGATCCCAGTCCCTTGAAGGACGAGCTGCTGGCGTGCAAAGAGAAGCCCATCCGCCATGCGCCCACCTTCTCCATCTCGCATCGTGGCGGTCCGCTGCAGTTCCCCGAGGAGAGCCACGAGGGCATGTTGGCGGGGGCTCGCATGGGCGCTGGCATCGTCGAGTGCGACGTCGCCTTCACCAAGGATCGTCAGCTGGTGTGCCGTCACTCGCAGTGCGATCTGCACACGACCACTAACATCCTGACCATCCCCGAGCTGGCCGCCAAATGCTCCGTACCCTTCCAGCCGGCCAATGCCACCCACGAGGCCACTGCCAAGTGCTGCACCTCGGACATCACTCTGGCCGAGTTCAAGACTCTGTGCGCGAAGATGGACTCGAGCAATGCCTCGGCCACGACACCGGCCGACTACCAGTACGACGGTCCCGCCTGGCGCACTGCGCTGTACGACACCTGTGCGACTCCGGTCGAGCATCGCGAGTACATCCGCTTGATCGACTCGCTGGGTCTGCAGTTGTCCCCGGAACTCAAGGAACCGCTCGTGCCCATGCCCTTCCAGGGGAACTACACGCTGGAGATGTACGCCCAGCAGCTCATCGACGACTACAAACACCACGGCATCAACCCGGCGCGCGTCTGGCCGCAGTCGTTCCTGCCCGACGCCATCTTCTACTGGCTGCAGCACGAACCGGCCTTCGGTCGCCAGGCCATCTTCCTCGACGAGCGCGTCGACACTGCCCAGGGCTACGCTGACGCGGTGGCCAGCATGCCGGAATTGGCCCGGAAAGGGGTGCGAATCATGGCGCCCCCTTATGCTGCCCTGCTGAACGCCACTGACGACGGCGACCTTGTGCCCTCGCTATATGCCCGCGCCGCACGTGCTGCCGGTCTCGATCTGATTACTTGGTCGTTGGAACGATCGGGGCCTTTGAAACAGGCTGCTGCCAGGGGGGATTACTACGTGAAGCCCATCGCTAGCGCCATCACCAAGGATGGCGACATGTATCGTATTGTTGATGCCCTGGCGCGCAAAGTGGGTGTCAAGGCCATGTTCTCGGATTGGCCGGCGACGGTGACATATTACGCGAATTGCGTGGGATTGGCCTAGTCTGAATGTTGTTGATGTATGATAGAGATACAGCTGTATGTAGACGATAGACATGATATATTATCAATCTTTTCTTTAGCCCAGCAACGTAGTATACAATCTCCCTATCCGCCCAGATCAACTACACCTACATTTCATCTATCTTCGGATCCTCTCGATCCGGCCACAGAATCCTCTCAATCTCATCTCGTCCTCCCAGTGGTCGGAAGTCGACTTCTCCCCGGTCGGCTTTGATCTATCATTCTTAATTCAGCTCTCTCCAGGTCTCCACTCGGAAGATCATACCGAAGCCTCACTCAGAGTGGAATGCAGCTCATCCCACGACGGCGCCCCGCCCTTCTTCTTGATGATCAGGGTCGGTGCCTCGAAGTCATCCGGGAAAGTGGCGGCCACGTAGACTGTCCAGTTAGTGCGGTCCTGCTCGGGGGATGCGACGTACAGTCTTCGCCTTTGGTGCTGGCAGTTTCCGGGTGCAGGAAACGCGCCTGGATGGGGCGCAGAGAATGCAGCGAGCGCAGCAGAGAGGTGGAGAGGGTTTTGGATAGAGTCAGAGACATTGTTGTGGCTGATTTTGATATTTTGGGAGATGCAGTTGGTTGGGGATGAGATGAGGAAGGCAAGGTCATATAAATCTGTCCGTCATGATGATGTCATTTATCGTGAGTCCATGGAACAGTGCATCTAGTTGGGAAATTATCTGTAAAGAAATCGGGGGAAGAGCTTTGATGCACAATGCCTTAGTATAGAAGGCTGCAATATAGGCGTACGAACTACACACGAACCAATGACTAGATTAGAGGAGCAATTAATAGCTAACTTTAGTTGTTGCTGATTCTGTTTCTCGCGTGGGTAAAACACCTCAAGATCGGATTGGATTAACATATATCCACCAACACACGTACTCCTTTATTATCCTACAGTACTTGTTATTGATTATTTTTACTGAGAAGCGTTGAATGTAGCTGGAAATTAACTATATGTAGTAGTTGTACGTATGCTCCTCTTGTCGACAATTAAAGTAGTTGGACACCGAGCGGCGCAAGACACCGAGCGGCGCGCCGCTCACCGCTCTTCCTGGAAATATTCAAACATCTCAGTATTCGAAGCCTTTTTATCTTGTTTTTCATCAGTATTTTATTAATATACCAAAATGAGTGCCATACCAATGGATGAGAGAATGAAAATGGCTGTTGATGCATGGAATAATAACCAATTTTTATCCAAAACTGCCTGTGCCAAGGCATTTGATGTCTCTTCAAGAACTCTTCTTTATCGACTTAAAGGAAGAAGCAACCGCAATAATATTATTGCTAATAGCCGGAAATTGTCCAATCTTGAAGAGGATACATTAAAAAGATGGATTATTAATATAGCTAACCATGGTCTGCCTTAACGGATCTCCCAAATTTAATATCTTACTGGTCTTTTAATATCTGCACGTCAAAAGACTTCGTCGTTATCCCCGGCCTCTATCCCTGATCTAGTTAGTAGTAAATAGGTTACTCGATTTATTTCCCGCTATAATAATATTAAGTTAAGATATAATCGTCGATATAACTACCAGCGGGCGAAGTGTAAAGATCCACAGGTTATTTAAGGCTGGTTTTAATTGGTTCAAAATACTATACAAAAATATGGCACTTTAGAACAAGATATCTACAACATGGACGAAACTGGCTTCCAAATGGGTGTAACATCAACAGCCAAAGTTGTCTGCGGCGCAGAAACACGCAGATCTGATGCTAAATCAATCCAACCAGGTAATAGAGAATGGGTTACATCAATTGTAACTGTTGGAGCAAGTGGTTGGGTTTTACCCCCCCAGATTATCTTTGCTGGAAAACAACATCAATCTCAGTGGTATTCTGTTCTACCTAAAGATTATCGACTAGTCTTAGTGCGTATGGCTGGACTAATAATAATCTGGGACTTGAATGGCTACAAGAAGTTTTTGACAAGCATACAAGATCCCGCACTGTTGGTCAATATCGATTACTTATTTTGGATGGCCACGGGAGCCATGCAACTGCTGAATTTGATCAATACTGCATGGAAAATTTAATTATTCCACTTTATATGCCTCCTCATTCATCTCACCTTCTTCAACCACTCGATGTTAGCTGTTTTGCACCTTTAAAAGCACTTTTATGGTCAAAAGTGCAAGAAATGATGAATAGTGGTATAAAACCATTGATAAGGTAGACTTTTTATCTATCTATTCATCGGTTCACTCAAAAGCAATGTCATCGGCAAATATATTAAGTGGATTTAAGGCTACTGGCCTTATTCCTCTTGATTCTTCGACAGTGATATCAAAGTTAAAAATCAAGTTGAAAACACCAAGTCCACCATCTTCTTCAGGTAGTAACCAGTCATTTTACTTGGGAAAAACACCTTATAATCTCTACCAATTAAATCGACAAAAGAGCAACTTCTTGAGATTCAAAACCAAGGGTTTTTTTCCATCGATTGCTGATACTTTGCTTGAGAAAGCTATGAAAGGTAATGAGATTGCTATGCAGCAAATGTCTTTGTTAAAGGATGAACTTCATCGACGTCAGGCAGGTGATAAGTACCAAGAGCAAAAAAAGGAAGAGCCTAGACAGTTTATTCAAGATGGAGGCAGTCTAACTGCTGATACGGCACATCAAATAATCAGCGAGAAGGAGGCAAAGATTCAGGCCGAGGCCCAGGCACCTAGGCAGCGAAGGCCTCCCACATGCAGTAATTGCAATATTCAGGGCCATAATCGATTAAAATGTCCTACCAGATAGTTCTACTGCGTATTTTTTATAATACATTTCATTTGTATGGAGATAAATGGTATGAATATTATCTAAATAAGATGGAGGTGAGGGAGAGCCGGAGCGGTGAGCGGCGCGCCGCTCGGTGTCTTGCGCCGCTCGGTGTCCAACTACTTTATGGCTATATTGATTATTCAGCACTTTTCTCGGTCAAATGTTGATGGTCGACTTTGGTGTCCGATTCCTGTCCGGTTATGATGTTATTCGATCTGGCTTAGTCATCATTTATGTAAGCTAGTTCTTGTCAAATAATGTGGCCGTGGGTGGACCAGAATCATGTGACTAGATCGGGTTAGAACCTCCGACAGAGCACACAACTAAAATAATGATCAAGGGAATAATCACAAGAGCCCAACCAGCTTAATTCTTTCAAATAAGACCTTTTTACCAATCGTACTCTATTTTCTCTTCGGGACTAGCCGAATATCTGACAGTTGTTAGTAGTAACTAACGGAGTACACAGCGAGTACATAGCTCGCGAGAGCTCCCCGAAAAACTCACGCGAGCCACTCTTTTAACTGCCAAGACCATTAGTAAGCCACAATAACTCGCCGGACCTCTTTAAATACTTTACACAAACACCTGAAATTCAATTTCGTTTATTATTTCTTCTTTCTCTCCTTCTTGTTTACTAATTATTTCAAGCGGTTGGGAATTATTTAAAAACCAGTTATTGTGCTTCCTCCAGAATGGACTCTAGTCAGCCAATTCTTTGCCTCGATAATGATGTTTCTGGAGTGGGTAATATTGACCCAGATCTTGCGGCAAGTAACTACTTACTAAGCAATTGGTAACTGGTTTATAACTGATTCATATAATAGGAACTTTCAGTTCCCATTCCTCTTACCAGGGCCAAGACCTCGCCTCTTACAACACTAAAAATTGAATATATTGACGACCTGCCAGAGTATCCAGAAAGTCATATTCATGGGTATACATATATTGTTGCCTCAAGAGGACGATCACAAGTTGAAATGGAACAGGTAGCTCATGAAGTAAGTACTTTTAAAGTGCTTGATAATTGGTTACTAAGTACTTAGATTCAATATGCAAGAAAGCAGAGTTATGGACAAAAGCGTCCAATCTACTGCCCATTTTTAAAGTGTTATGCTAGAAAATGGACATGGAAATGCTCAGGTATTTATGCATGTGAATATTTAAGTCCATCTCTTCTATCTTGCCATCATACCTCTGTAGATAAGGATATTTGGGATAAAATCCAAAATGCTCGGCGTGAGGTTCAGATTTTAGAGACAGATCTTGCCAAGCGAAATGCATATAGGTATTATGCTATTATTAACTGTTTAGTAACCACCTACTAACTGCTTACAGCTACTACCGATCAAAGGTCACATTCTTCGAGAAGGGCTATGCCTGTATTGAGCAACTTCCTACATGCAAACCAGTCTTTAAAAGATACAGACAGATGGTATTTTCAACTACTTATTAAGCACTTTATAACTGGCTGCTAACTGCTTTAGAATGCGCATGGAGAATATGCCCCCTATATTGGGTGTGTAAATGAAACACATGACTTTCTAACAAAACACCATAGAGGGACAATTCAAGGCCATACAGTTATTGACCTAGAGTTTCTTGAAGATCTTTTCAATAAAGAAATTTTACCAGCAGCTGAAGAATGTGGTGTTTTTGAACCCTTAGCTTCCCGAAGAAAGTATTGCCGTAAGCAGTTAACACCTACTTAACAATTAGTTACTAACTAGTTTAAGATCAAGATCATCCTCAGGGTTCAGGGCGATTAAAGCATACATGTTGTGATGTTATTTTCAATACTTTAATTCCTGTGGATATAAATCAATGTCCGTATATCTTATTTACATCACATGGTGTGCACAAACATCCACCACCACCACCAAGCAAGCCATCCGAAAGGATTCTACAGGGGATAAAAAGAATTATTCAACAGGTTCAAGACCCAAGTTTGACTACAGGTAAGTACTTGCCAAGTGCTTTATAAGCAGTCTCTAAGCAGTTATTTCTTAGCACAATTCCTCCGGAGTCCACAGCTTGAAGCCTTCTGTCAGCAGTATAATGCTTCTACACTAGGAGAGATCCACTCTAGCTTTTGTAATAAGGACCGGATTGCAACAATTATCCAGAAGCAACGCTTGCTTTCATATCCTAATGGACAGGATATTAATGGTCTTATTTTCCTGCAGGAAATTGATCAACATGTAAAGGTAAGTGCTTAGAACTAGTTCCTAAGTAGTTACTAACCACTTAATTTTTATATAGGATTACATTCAAGAAGTGTATCATGATTCCCAAGGCACTATGGTTTTATGTGGCTTTAAAGAGCAGATCCAGCTTCTGGCTCAGCTTACCTCTTTTGAAGTGGATATGTCTTACAAGCGACTTCGCTCTAAGGAAATGAATAAGGTGCTCTTTGCAACATTTTTACCAGACCAGTGCAAGAGTAAGTATTATTTAAGTGCTTACTAACTACTTGCTAACTAGTTGTTAATTAGTTATTACTTTGCTGCGAGTCTTCACTACTGAGGATTCTACTGAGGGATATTATTTACTCTTTAAGCGAGTCTTTGCTCTGGTCCAGAAGATATCCAGGAAGCCAGTTCATTTCGATCCAATCCATGGGACTGGAATCTATGGTATTATTGTTGACATGGACAGCAAGCAATATTCTGGTAAGTGCTTCTTAACTGCTTACTAAACACCTGCTAACTACTTAGGACTTGGCCAATATCTTTCTGAGATTGACCCAAAACATCAAGATGCTACATGGCATTTGCAGCATATAATTATATTCTGCCGGGTCCACTTCCAACGGTCAATCTTAAAGTCTATTGGAACAAGAAGCCAAGGTTCTCCCCTCTGGAGCCGTATGATGAGTCTATTAGACTGTAAATCAGAGGCTGATTATAATGAGTTGCTTAATCTACTAATTAGTATACAACCAGTTACTAACTACTTGCCAAATGTTTGCTAACTAGTTGGCAGGGTATGAAAATGAGAATGTCCAAAATTGGGCAAAACACAAGAAAAATGCAATTATTAAAGCAGGGTTGAATAAAGCTTGCTCTAAAATCCAACCCTGTTATTTTGATTTACTGCGTAACCATACTAATGCTGTGGAGCAATCTCATCAAAAGTTATATACATTGGGCAGGTATCTGACCTTTGTGGAAGCAGTAAAAAAGTAAGTATAAGTGCTTGCTAACTGGTTAATATATACTTGGTTATCTAATATTAATACTATTTAGTTCTGCAAAGCTTGACAAGGATGATATTCTACAGTATAATAACTCCCTCCAATTTAATGTTCATCATTCCTATCGGATGTTAAACATGGAAGCTAATTATCTTCGCCATATAAGTCGGGAAAGTAAGTATTAATATAATTAATTACTATATTATTACTAACCACTTGGTAACTACTTAAATAACAGGGGGCCATAAACGCCAATGGTCTACTACTGAATCTAATACTTCTGAGGATCAAGTGGCTCCACCGGCTCGAAGACCTTCAAGGTCATGCACACAATCCTCATCGCAAAATGGTGATAATGAGTAAGTTTATATAAGCGCTTTACAAGTAGTTAGCAAGTACTTACTAAGTAGTTAGATCAACAATATCTTCACAGGATCTTCGACGTGTGGCTTCTACAAATGTTCTAACTTTAGAAGAGAGATACAAAGAGCTTGAGTTACGAAGGCTTGAAGCAGAAGTTAAGCAAAAAGAGGAACAAATTCGCTTGCAACAGCTTGAAAATGAGAGATTAGAGCTGGATCTCATAGAGCGGCGGATTCGAATCCAGAATGCCCAGTTAAGTGGTTAGCAAGTACTTGGCAAGGATTTTCCCTACTTGTCTCCCCCACGGGGCTTCAAGCCATGGCGCATCCCGACGGCGAACTCGCCACGAGTCGTGCCTATGCACATCGGAATATCCCCATGGCAATCTCGTCGTTCTGCAATCATCCTCTCGAAGAGATCACCACCGTAGCACGCGCGGTCGCCCCGATCAGCCACCTGCTGCAGGTCTACACGATGAGAGACAGCGAGAAACAGGAACGTATCATACGTCGCGCCGAGGCAGCAGCATGCAAAGCGATTCTCCCCACAGCGGACAGCCCCGTGCTCGGGGTGCGGTATAACGAGGTTCGAAAGGATTTCCGCACCCCCGTGATTTTGTCCTTCCTCATGCTGGAATGGGACTCGGAGAAAATCCAGAGTCAAGCCCACTAAGAAGGATTCGCGGCGTTCAATCCGGACGAGCATTCCTGGGCCAGGGAGATCCCGAGGCTTAGATCCATCACGACGATGCAGATCTGGATCAAGGGCATTCTGACCGCTGAGGATGTCCTTCTCGCTCGTCAGTACGGCTGCGACGGTGAGCAACCATGGCGGAAGACAGTTGAATGGCACGCCGGCCACGATTGATGCGCTTTCCAGAATGCATCCGGGCAGTAGGAGGACAGATCAGAGTCCATATCAATGGGGGGATCCGTACGCGCATCGATATCTTCAAGGCATTGCATTGTGGGCGGAAGGCTGTTGGATTGGACGGCCGACACTTTGGGGATTGGCAGTATGTTAAGTTCTAGCTCCATGAAACTATGAGGCGATGGCTAACGAGTCTAGTGCGACGATGAAAAGGGAGTCAGTCGTGTGCTGGACATCCTCTACGGCGAGCTCAAGCGCTGCATACAGTTAACCGGATGTGGCACTTTGGCCGACATCTCGATGGCGTCGATTGGGGTGTTCAAGCCAGATGGTCCGTTGGCGCGTCTCTAGGGAATATGTTAGATCTTATTGACAAACATGGTATATTGGCATCCTGTTATGATAAACTAAATTTCAAACATTGACCACCTTCACTTGCGTCCTCTCTACATGTTCCACTTCTAATGTCTTCGCCAAAGTCTCATCGGTGACCTCTGGTTGAGGATAGAAGTCAATCTTCCCTCCATCATTGATCACCCCTGTGCGGTCCATATGGTTGCGGCCTCGTATATAGGGATCCAGCTTCCAGTAGTTCAGGCGCAATTCCTCTGTCACGTTCGCTCGACGCGTCTTGACCTCTGCGATCTCTTCCTCATTGTCTGTCTTGCACACGCTGATCCACTCGCCTGTCGTGCGAAGCAGGTCATCGCCGATCCGTTGGCGCTCAGCCAACAGCGAGTCTCGGCTGACTGAGTCGGCCATCTCGTCGTTCTCACCTTCCACCGGCTCCACGTATTCATAGGTCCAATCTTCACTACCCCCGAGCTCCTTCACGATCTGGTCGCGTGCGATGAACTTCTCCATGTCCGCCACGGAGTTGGTAAAGTGGATTTTGGACACGATGACTGGGTCCATCCATGCTTTGATAATTCTCCAGATGCCTAGGATGGTTAGATGCATTCTGACACAGGGATTTATCTGTCATACCTGAGAAGACCCATGGGGCGTTATGGATGAGCAACGTTCCTAGGGATTCGGGATAGTTTCGCTCGAAACATTCGATGAGGAACTTGACGGGTGCATATTCCTAGGACAATCAGCTGCAGGATTGAATACCGCTCTGACTATCACTCACCATGTTGGACAGAGAAAACCCAGTCAAATCAAACACGACCGTCTAAAACTGTCACCTCAGGTACGTAACTGTTCTTGAGGATCAGGAACATACCACATTCTCCACCGGCGGAACCAGCAACAACCGGACTGTCTCGATGACATGAAGGATATACCGATTGATCACTTCCTCGCTCTGGTCGGCCGGCTTGTGCAGTCGTGCTTTCATCACGCCCACCGGACGACCCTGCTTATCCACCCCGTGGAAGTAGCATTTGCCCATGCGCATCTGCGCCAGGAACGAGCTGCCCGTTTTCGCCGCCTGCGGATCGGACTTGTTCTGCGACTGCTTCAGCGCATCCAGCTCTGAGTTGGCGATCACCTTCTCGTCAACGTGCTGGTCCTTGACACGCCAGACCAGCGCGTGCAGCATCATGACGAACGCCTTGTTGACGTCCCATTTACGGGCCCGGAGAAACCGTAGCATCAACGCATCGGGATGGTCGTGTCGTGCCGTACTAAGCAGACTGCGACGCAGATCGTCGACGCTGGTATTCTTGAGGGCCTCGCGGACGGACTTGAGTTCCGCCCCCTGGATGCCCACTTCTTGCAAGGTCTGCGCGAACTCTGCTGTGTATGCTGAGGTAGTGCTGACGGATATTTTCGTCTCCGTGTGGGTCAACGACGAGTTTCGTCGGTGAGTGGGTGACGGGCTCTTCTGGTTGGCATCATTGGCGGCATCGGTCAAGCCAGCATCGTGTAATTTGAGGATGATGGCCCAGAGCTGGCGCAATTTGGACTCCTGGTCCGTGGTGAGATTGCCCAGAAATCCGGGGGCGATGGCTTTGGTGGTCATACTGGCGGGGGAAGAGGGTGCAGAGAGGGTATAATGGAATACAGTCCGGGACATCATCCATCGGGAATGCTCGTATTTATTTGCTTCTGAGCCCCTCGTTGATCGTTTTGCATATGAAATCCCCTGTACTTCCCCGCATGGTCGATCGACAAACCTCGGATCTCGATATGTTCATGAAACTTAGTTGAGCCTGTTGGCCCCAACATATCCATTGGACAATTATAGGCCCATTTATCAGCCAAGTGCAGTCATTGTAGCAGTGGAGCCTGGGATAGAATGAGGGAATGGGGAAATGGGGGAATGGGAATTGGAGAATGTGGATGGAATGAACCAAAGTTTGGGTTTGGCCTAAACCCCTGACACGCGACTTTAGCTTTATCTTCGCTGGGAATATCCTCCTTATCCCGAAGATAGAGGTCCTATGATTGGTGGCTTCCATCGGCTCTTCAATCCCTCAGTTAGAGTCTGTCCTCCATCTCTGCTGTCAGATTGTCTAGCCCCTCTGATTTAATAGCCCGACTTTACCCCACGTCCAGGGGACCCACGGGCAATCCCATAACAGGGTATCACTAGATGGGCAAAGTAAGACCTACGATAATGAATTAAATGTTCAAGACCTGATACTTCATCCCTCTTGGTAGCAATACGACATGCATGCTATACACCGACCCTTACAGGGCGCATCTGCATTTATAGCACGTGCATCTGGTCAACGTCACCGAGGCTTGTCCGCCTATACATGGATGCTTCATGCTCGAGCAGTGGCCTAGCAGTATTTGACCACCGTTGGGATTCCCCAGCCTCGGCCTGCCAACTGCCGACGGCCAGGGCTGGAGATCAGCACGATCGTCTGTCGTCCGTGGGATTGTTGTAGGGGTTTTGAGGCGGGCGATGGCCCATTGCGACGCCTTCGCAACGCCTTCCTTTTTTGGTCCGAGTTCACGCTAGCCGCATCAGGAGATGGTGATGTCATCTTCACTCGTCGAATCCACCGCTTTGCCATCACATCCATAACCGTCCCCGGTCGGCCCATTTTTAGGGAGTATGAACCATATATAGAGGCTAACCCGCTGTGGACGGGTATCCATAGATGAGCGGTAATTAGAGCCGAGGACAAATGCGGGATCGATATCCATTCCCATCCTAGATATCATCTCTAGTTTCACAGTTGTTTCGGGAGACCAGTAGCGGCTTCTCTGTTCCATTATTCTCCTACTCTTGTGACGTCGTCAGATATCAGTTGAAGATCTTTGTGGAGTTTCCTGCCAATGTGATACATTTTATAGTTGCAATGGCTCTGTTACAAACCGGCGCATCTTAAAGATTACAGAATATTTTCCTAGAGAACCAATAGACTCTATACTTAACTAGCCACAGATTTGGGCTGAAACTGCGCGCCTTTATGTATGTTTACGTATGTCTCAACAAGAGAAGTGTCTAATTCAAAGTAACTGTACGTAAGGCGGTCAGTCCCACAGCGAAGTACGTGCACCTCACGAATCTCCGTGGCAGGGGAGGATCTGTTTACTTTCTCAACCTGAGTTGGACTCATCCCTACATTCTTCATCCAATTCAGAGGGCTTATAGCTCTGTCTGTAGCAATGGATGTGGCCAGTAGTACATTAAAATAGTTAGTATGCCACAGACAACAGCTATTCACTCAATTTATTACTCGTACATGTGTTCCAAATGTTGTGGAACTCAGGGGAAGTGATGCGCAGGGAGCTATTCTATCAGCTACAGGCCAATCTTTAGCCTAAATAGGAAGTAGATGTCATTCGGTAGAAACACCAGGAATCACAGTATCTCAAACAACTGAGTCTCCCGCATTCCCATCTGGTTGCTCTACTATCTAAATGATTCAGGGGTTGAATCGATCGTCAGATACTCCGCACCGCCAAGTCGGGCGGATTATAGTGTTTCCGTAACATATTTGACACTTATCAACAAGGACTCAAGGCCTATGGCATATTTTATCGGCCCATTCATTACAAAGCCCTTGAAAGGCTCTTCAATGCAGAAGACGCCTCCGAGCAACTCTCGCAAATTTGGCAATTCTTCCTCCAAGACGACGAACAATCTTTGTCATACAGGACCTGGGCAAAAGACATCTTGTTTCAGTTTGTTATTGGATCAACCGTCATCTGCGCCTAGAGGCTTCACACCCTCTAGGTCGCCGGCTGAGTCATTCCGCCTCTCACCCCTGGCGCCACTCAAGGCGGCATGTGCTTTTAGTTCCTCATTCTGTTTTATGCTCAGTACTCGATAGTGGTTAAATTAGTGTACGGAGTAATGGTACCATTTTTCTGTTTGTCCTCTGTGCATTGATACATGTGTAACGTATAATATACTTCCCAGATGAAATGCTCGTTCAGAACAGTTGACCGTAAGAGCTGTTTAAAGAGCCAACCAGACCAGAAAGCCAATATCATGTGTAGGGACACTACCTGTAACTAATTATTGCATTTCACAATATCGGATCAATCTAGACTAGCAATAACTGGCTAGTAAACACAGTAATTAATCAACAGCTGCCTAAAACAACCCAATCATGTCTATTTGCTCATTCATAAACATCTACAGTTGGATCTGTGTTTGACCAACATGCATATATCCTCACCCCTGCCCATATGGGAGACAGTCGCTCCCACTGTACTGTGATCATCCAACCGGACACATTCCCGACACCGCCAGCAATTAAGCCAGCTAGCCGTAAACCCAAATAGTCTGAGACAAAACCATGGCATGCGTTCCCCTCATGGAAATGGTCTACTTTCGTTGAGCTGCATGCTGGGACTGCTCTGGCCCTTTTGACAAGATAGTCAACTCTAGTAAATTGATAGCGCTTGGTTTCTACCACTACGTCAATGGGCCAAAAAGGCAAAACGTTTTGTTGGTCGCGGACCATACACCGAGCTCCTAGACTTGTTAACCTGCGGGTTGGGCTGTGTTCTTTAGATTTTTCAACCTAACCCATCAGGTTTGGGTCGGGTTAAGACTATATGAAAACACCCACGGGTTAAAATATATATATATATATATATATATGAACCACCCACGGGGTCCGTTGCTGTAGATCTTTCCTAATGAGAAAATGATTTACATTCTTGATAGAACAAAGTCTCTTAATACAGTAATCTATTTATATTATAGATAAGTAATATATTTACTGTATTTTATCCCTTGGCAACCCATGGGCTAACCCGTCAACCCGTGGGCCACGCAGAGAAGTAACCTGGTCCATACCGAGTTATTGCATCGGACAACCCAGCTCATTTCTTGGCGGGTGGGGCCGGGTTGGGCCGGATTTCCCGGGCCGGGCCTAAGTCTACAAGCTACCACCATGTCTTGATATACTTTCCCTTGCTACTTCACTCAACATGCTTTATTCTAGGGAGATTTTGGAAGTTTAGCCTGAGGGTTAATTTCCAGGTTGACTGTAACAATTTCAGGCAACTGGTATTTAGTTATTGTGGAAGGCCAGCAAGAATTTGAACTTGGGGAGATCATGCAAGTAGCTGCAGATCGTAGACAATAGTATGCAATATACACAGGTGACAAGTGCTACCAGGCAACCATGGAGAAGTAGTGATTCCTGTTTCGCCTGGATGCACAATGTCTTGATGAAGGACCAATGTTATTCCTCGCATTTCTTGCATGCCTACCCTATTCATGTAACCTCTCCAGTTATTGCTATACATCATTTCTACCCATATCATGGTACTGTACATGTCCGAATCATACTGATTTTATACATCCATGTCACGCAAGCTACATGCAGACCAAAATAGGACTTAGGTTCTGGTAACATGATCTCGTTTGTTTCAGGCAGCCTAACGGAATTCAAATCAGACTTGAATATTTGATATGGCGACTTCCCTGTAAATTTATTGCTTGCCCACCCGAAACCGTCGCTCCTGATACTTAAAATATTTTTTTGTCTGATCCAATACCTCATTCCTAGAAGTCCAGTGACCCATTCTTGTTAGATAGGATGTCTTTAAGAGGCATCCCCCCTAACAACCCCGATCATCCCCGCTGGCTCCTTAATATGAAGGAGTGGCGTATTTATGACTATAGAGAAATCGAGGCTGAAGTAAAAGAAATTGGATATGGCATTATATCCTACACTTGGGGAATGTGGGAGGAAAGGGGCAAAGAAGCGCAAGGAACCCCAGATGGTCTTTTGTGGAAGGTTCCGTATATCAGCGTCCTCCCCTTGGACACGGCCAGGGCGGTGATGCAGAGCATGGAAATGAAATATGTCTGGTGGGACTGGATGTGTGTACCGCAGGGAAATAGATACACTTTGTCTCCTGAACTCCTAAAAGTTAAAGGGGAGGAAATCAGCAAGCAAATGTATGCTCTTTTTCCTAGAACTCAGTCCAATACATGCAGGCTAATCCTCATGTGACCAGGGTAATATACAAGGAGTCGAAGAAGAGTATCGTCTGGGTCCATCGTACGGAATTGGGAAACCATTCGACCTTAGAAAAGTTCTTGCTAGGGAAGTTACCAGCACGTGAGAATATCCAGAAATACATGGAGGATGTTCAAAAGACACTGAAGAACATCCAAGTTGAGGAGCCCTGGCTTACCTCTGTTTGGACCTTGCAAGAAGGGGTATTGCTCAGTGAAACTATACTACTAGACATGAGCGGCGCAAAACTACCAGGTCCGAAATTCTACCACAACGATGGCCACGCGTCAGTGATTGATCTGACCGTGGGAATCACTCAGTTTGTTATCAATGTGGCCAAAGCATTCATGTGGATCAGTGAAGCCGATAACGCTGATAACCTTGATGACACCCCAATAGGGGACTTGGTTCAATTTATCCGCTCTAGTAAAGAGAACTATGACTTTATAGCTTGCATTTTGGCACGGATTATTCGGACCGGACTGGTTTCTTATGCGGGGGAATCACCACTCTATATTTTGGCAGGGAAAGACAGCCGACGATGCTCTCAACCAGAGGACAAGTGTTGGGCGCTGCTGGGTGCACTTGAGTTGGAGGGCATAAAGCCCTGGTACAGCGAGGGACGTGATATGGACCAGGTCAATGCAGTATTCTTCTCCAGCTTGTTGATGAAATATCAATTGAAATTACTGATAGTCCCCGAAATTAATTATTCACTATCATGGCCGAAGCGTGTCGTGGAGGGGACTAGCCTACCGCTGGGGGTTTTTTTTGGCATCCATTTGTATGCCGAGCTACCAGAGTTGACATGGGAGCCAGAAGACATTGATGGCAAAGACAGGTTGGTCCTCAAGGCTAGAGAAAGTTCGTCATTTTCTTTGATTCAACTGCACGGATTAGGATTTCATAGGCGCTATGAACAAATTGACGGCTTCATCCGAGTACATAGCATAGAGAGAGTCAGTGATCCTCTCAAAGAGAAGCTATTATTCTTGCCTGTTGCCGATATGGAGCCAGCACAAGGACGAAAGGGTAAACGATGCATTTCAATTGAGAAAGCATACCGCAATTTGGGTTATTTCAAAGGCATCGTTGATATTTTTAGCACAGACGATTCCATTACAAAGATTACCTACCCTAACACTGAGTTTTCTGACTATCGACTACTGGGAAGCAAAGCCTGATTGCAAATTTATGTGCCTTATTTCTCTATTTTATTTGAAAAATAAAAAATATTATTTTTTTTTTTTTTTTTTCCCCTATTCTTGAGGTTGTTCTGTCGAAGGTTATGGAAAAGTGCTAATATGCAATCATTAGCTAATGTTACATAGCTACATACATGACTTAGAGCCCTGTACTACCCGGACATTTACACCATCCTGTGCATGAGGGAGGAGGTGGCGGACGACTTGCGCACAGCTGTAAGCGCCTGCCACTGCAAGCGGTGTCCACCAATCCTCCACGTTTTGATGGTCAGCCTGGATTGTGGGATGGTGGAGGAGTCCTTGACTACCTGGGGTGGATTCTCAGCGGCAGCGCACCACAGGGCGGACTGACCCCGCTGGTTCACGGCGGTGATGTCGGTGATCTTAGTTGCAACGGCTGCTGTATGACGGGGCTTGACTGGTTGTCCATAACGTTTTGAGTTTTGGGACGCATGCGAAACTGTGCAACAGGATTGTTAACTATGTTGTTGAAGACAATCAGAAAGAGATGTTTGCCTTTTTTTACCCCTCAATCTTTCTATAGCCATTAATTGATCTAGACAGTGTACTGGGTATATTAGAAGTGCGCTTTGCCCTAGAGATTGATCAAAACAGACAGCCGGCCAGAAAGCAACACACAGGAGTTTAGACCTGTAAAATGAATAGGTTTATATTACATGAATTTACTGTAATATTCAGTCCAATGAACTCGTCTGTGTGATTGAATATGAACATAATAAAAGATTTTGTCTCCGGTACAGCGTATCTGTGAGGCAGATGTTGCGCTTGGCCGCTGCTTGGTGTAGCTTCATGATTAGTTCAACAAATCAACCGGTTGGAATTATCGCTCATATGTGACCAACGTGTAACTGTACGACCTCATTGTGGAAGAGGGCTTTTGGGTGGTTCGAAAGATCTAAGAACTTTAAATGACGGCCAGACATCATTAGATATTCTAATGCTACGAAGGAACCAAAGGCAGAAAGGATTGAATGACAGTGCTGTGTAGATCCGGAAAGAGGTTCGAGCCAAGGTCTTCGCCTCTATTCCACAGCAAAATCATCAAAGCAATGACTGCATACCTAAAAGTCCCTGGTTCCGATTGTCTCTATTGGTAGTTCCCTAAGTTCCCTATCCCGAGTTGTCTAGAGCTGCTGCTTAGGATTAGACAATATCGACGATATCACAACATTGTTAACCGCATCCATGTAACCAAAACCTGCAGTTGCCAGTTGTTGATGGCTCCTATCATCTCGTGTATCAGATTCTGAAGGTCCTCTCGCGTTTAAACAGGGACCTGCGAGTCCTGCGACTGTGACAATTCTGCTCCAACATCCAACCTTAAAAAGGGCCCAAAACTAACACCAAAACAGACTTTAAAAGGTCTCGTGTATATACACGAGGAAATCGGTACTGCGCATGGCAATAATTCGTGTGGAACTGTTATATTAGCCGAGAATGACAGGCGAAGATTGGTAAGATATCGGATGGCTGATTGAGACCGGATACGTGGCTAATATTACTTACGGTGGACATCGGCGATAGTATGATTCAAGCCTATGACCCCGAGGAGAAAATCCTGGACTATCAGGCTGTCTGCCAATTTGCCAAGTTACTTCTGCAGCTTGACACAGCGGACAGACCAGCCACGACACTTCAGCCGGAATCCGAGGATTTTGCAAATGCACGGTTGGGAACCACTGTTGAGGAGTTACTCAATGTAAGTTACGTTATGATAGCTGTGGCCGATGTGCTAATGATGCTGCAGCGGAGGGTCGGATATCATTCTCTACAACCTTTTCCAATCGTCCTGAGAATACTACATTCCGGCCTTTGATGTCACTGTGTAGATCACCGCGGATGTTTTTGTCACTACCTGCAGGTCTCCTGCACATATTTGGTTAGGTTACTACAAGATCGCCCACGTTGTATGTAGTGTAGCCAATATTGCTAGAGATCAGAACCTATTCCATTCTTTCTGTGGGATGCGTACATTTCAATTGCATAGGATCTTGAAATTCGATGACATGTTCCTATTGAAAATTCACTTTCGAACGGCAAGACCGTCAAGAGGGTCCAAGATCCGAATCTTCGACCTAACCCTCGGGGGAGTCCGGAATAGTATAGCAAGTAGGCTCGCAGCCAGGACCAACCCAAACCAGCATACCCACAGGTGTTCAGCGTAAGCCCACAGCTTGTAACAGATGGAGAAATGTCTATCCACCACTGCAGTATTCTGTTAACCCCATTACCTGCTTCGTCTCTATGACGCGTTGACCTATTCCTTATAATTTCTTGGTTGTATCGTTATGTATGGCTTTCTGTAACTATAATATCTTGATCTGTCCAAGGAAGACGAGATCAAGGATTAGTGTCTAATCTATTTTAGCATAAAATATAGTGATACTTCTTCTACTACTATCCTACCTGTGATTATCCTGTACACCTTGGTAAAATGGATAAATTATATCTAAGGTGGCATTCTAACAAAACATCAAATATAGAGAAGGAAGGAAGAACGAAAGAATTCTATCGTACAGGAAATGTGGGAAAATCCCTACGTCGTGAGATCAGCAGTGAATAATATCTTGGTGCCTCGCATGGTTCGGCCCTGGCACTACCCAGCCGACCTTATCTACCCCACCAAGTAGAGTCATCACATTTATTTCATAGCAATTTTCATATAACTTACCTTAATATATTATAGCTTCGCATGTTCAAATGCATTACAACAAAGTATTTCTTTGTTTTTTTAAATGCCTGTCGACAGCGATCCCAAGCCGAGGTGGCTACGGCACGAAGCCTTCATCCCGACTGAAAACTTTGTTGTTCTCCAGGTTTTTCAATTTAGCCCCTATTAAACCATGGGACCGGTGCAATTACGAGCTGGTTGGATCCGAGCGAGCTGTGGTCCTGCCAGTTACTAAGAAGTTTTGCATGGTTTTAAACTTTGGAAACTCGTCGACTCAAAGCCTAGTGAATTCAAAACTATCTTTATATTTCTGTGTTGCTTGGAATAAATGAGACCCCTGGCAGGGGTAAGCATTTCAGTTTATAAATAGGCCAGTTGTCGTGCTAATACAACACAAGCAATCTTGGCGAAACAGATCGTCAAACCTATCGAACTGATATCGTGTGATGGTCTCCCCCAATCTCAGCATTGCGATTATTGGGGCAGGACCAGCAGGCTGTCTGCTTGCCCGTCTGCTCCTCAAGTGCTCCATCTCCCAGGTGGTAATATTCGAAGCTGATCCCTCTCCGGACAGCCGGCGGCAAGGTGGCTCTCTCGATCTGCATCGCAAAACCGGTATTGCGGCCTTGAAGCAGGCTGGGCTCTACAAAGAATTCCTTCGACATGCCCGCTTTGATGGAGAAGCCTTTTGTCTCTGCGACAAACACTTAACAAGTGATACCATCAATTCGCGGGCGGAACGCGCAACGGTAGCCGCGGACGCCCAGAAATTGACCGGTCGACGCTCCGTCAGCTATTGCTCGATCGTCTTCCGTCAGACATGATCCGCTGGGGCTACCGGCTTCTATCGGTTTCCGAGGGCAACATACTACATTTCTCGCAAGGAGTGGAAAAGGGGCTTGACCTCGTAGTGGGTGCGGATGGTGTCTGGAGCCAAGTTCGCCGTTTCTTAACACCGGAGCAGCCGCTCTTCTGTGGTATTATTGGCCAAGTATACACGATCCCGGACGCTGACACAACCGCCCCTAGCGTGGCGGCCCTTGTGAATCGGGGCTCTCTTTATGCATATTCTAACGGGAAAGGCCTCACAGGCCAACAGCATGGCAACGGTAGTATCCAAGTAACAGCATGGACAAGGACCAGCCAGGATGACGGTGTCCATGTATCATTAGACGGCCAATGCGTGAAGCGCAGGATTATCAACAGTTTTAGTGAGTGAGCGCCAGACCTGCTGGAGCTCCTGGAATGTGCAAGTGAATATATAGGTGCTCGCCACATTTACACGCTCCCGATTGGATTTCAGTGGAGAAGGTGTTCTGGTGTGACCCTCGTGGGTGATGCAGCTCATCCCATGCCGCCATTTGCTGGGGAAGGTGTCAACTTAGCATTCGAGGATGCCATGAGACTTGCGGACGCCGTCAGCAAGTTGATTAAGTACCCAAATCTCACCCTGGAGAAGGTACTGCAAGCATATGAAAATCAGGCCTTTCAACGAGCGCACAGGGCGCAAGACTTGAGTATCGGTGTATGAAAGACATGTTTTTTACTATAGGAGCTCCACGAACGGTGATCGAACGGTGGATGGTTCGATTCGTTCTATATGACTTTCATCCATGGATTTCCTGGGCTTTTTACCCCCTTATTGCTATGGGAGTCTATTCCTTTTATTTTTTAAATATTTTTATTAACTTGACTGCTTGTGGACCCTAGGCTAGTATATAGTATTGTCAAATACTCCCCTTGATAGTGAATAAGAGGGAAATGGTAGAACTCCGAAAGAGTAGGTCACGGAGACACTCTTAGACAGTTCAGAAGTTGTGGGCCTCGAGCCCACAACTTCCTGGCAACCAAAGAGAAGACAACATTCCTTCTACGCAACTGCGTCCCGTGGTCTGTGAGAAGGTTGTTGATTGTCTATTACCTCTTCGAACGAGGACTTAAGATAATAGTTATCCATACAAATGTCATGTGCCAATCCCCCGAATTCCTCCACTACAATAGTAGTAGCTATTGATGTATATTTCGATTTATGATACTTCTTTCTTGTTATCCTTGCGTGCGTTGCATAGTTATACTCTTAAATACGCCTCCTGTAGCCTCAGAAGGCTCTTTCGATCCTCCTATGGAGTAATTCTGTAATTAAAGTTGGTTCCGTTCGGTCCTTCCCTGTCCCCAAGATCGTGGAGAGCGGAAACGGTTCGGAAATATTTAACGAATCCCTATATTATTTCTACCAATATATTATTTCCATTACTAGTAACCTCCAACTTGGCGTATGAGAATAGAATATGCGATGTCTATGCACTGTGTCTAGAAAATCCGGTCAGTTTCTGGCGGCTATCTGAGGTAGCGTCCTCTACGCTCGCTGAAGCAAGTCGTGTTCGCTCTTCTCCATAGCCCGCGGGAGACAGGGGCATCTCAGCATCTTGGATTGTGTTACGGCGTGCAGTATATGTCTCAGAGAGTTGAAACGTAACTTATTAAGACATTTGATAAAGTAATGATCCGCATCTTAGGTGGTTGCTTAATGTGCGGGGTTCACACCCCCGAGTACTTCAACCCTCTTCCTGTATTCTAGTTGAGCGCGAGATAACCAGCCAAGGAAGCATGGTAGTTGTCGTGGTCTAGGATATCAGTGATATGTCGTTTCCTATATTAGCAACTGGTTGCACGCAGCTGTTCGATGAGCTTACTGCCTTCTTCCCCCCTGAGTCACATCAGGGGTCAATAGAGCGGGCGATCGGGCGCGGATAGGATATTCACGCACTCGGTCGAGGAAGCAAAAGAGTGGGCTCTGGACTGGTGCTATATGTGCGCAACCGCACAATCATGACGTGCTCGGGACTGGCAGGGGACTTGGCGGATACGAACGCACACAACTCGAGTCTCATGGCGATCCATGGCGCGATAAAATACCTGGAGTTAATGTTGTCTCCGATTCGAATGGAACTGTCGGATATTTAAGTACTGATTTGCACTAGCGATTGGATATCACTATAATCATTGGACCACCCCACCCGACGGCAGAGTGTACAGGAGGTCGATTGGCAGTCATGCTGCTGACCTGTAGGCTAATGGACTAGAGGTTATAGCTCCAGATTCACTGGACACAGAGCGACTCGAATAGCGAACAAATACGCCAGGCTGAGGGTCTGGCCCCGGCAGGCAACTGAGGCCAATAGCCTGCGGTGTGCATCGGTGCAGATGGCCCCTGTGAACTGGCGACTGGTATGCCGGATGCTGCTTATCCAGGCGAAGGAGGAGTTCAATTCCGCATGCTATGGCCGGACGATACGAACAATTCATGCTGCCCTTCCTGGGAAGTATACGAAATTTCTATACGACAGTCTATCAAGACCGCAGGCGGCGCTTTTAATACAGTTGCGTACGGGACATATTCGGCTAAACAGCTATTTGCGGAGAATCTGCCATTTTGATAGCGACACACGTGGTTGTAGAGAGGACGATGATGGTGGAGAGACAGTCGAACACTTCCACTACCGCTGTCCGAAATGGAGTCATCTACGACGGGGGATGAGAGAAGTGATGCCGTTGGGATACGGAGATATTCTTACGCACTAGGAGGAAGATCTGGTGGTGTTTTACCCAACTGTCAACCAGTCGATAGAGCAGTGTAGTATAAACAAACCTGACAGTTCTACGTGCGGTTCTCCGGTTTGTGACGAACGCAGGAAGACTTGACAGCGAAACAGAAAGGTGAACGATGCAGGTCAAATGACGAGGTGTACATAATTCTCTAGTCACCAGATCAATTTGTAAATAGACTACTTCAATACGCTCCGTAATTAGAGAAAGCAACTGGGGCAGATGGGTAGCTAATAAGGAATCACGCGAAAGAACTTAAATAGACGGCTCTACTTTGTATGGGAAGTAACTTCTCCACTCAGAAATCCTAGAGCTTAGCTTTGTCCTATGACTTCTCCCTTACCTCAATCGCTCTGTGTTTACAACTGCTCTTCTCAAAGTATTCTTTGACCTTGTCCCGAGCAACATCCACCACTGCCGCATCCTCCACGGTGCTAGGCACCGCAACTTCCTTGGTAAATTCTCCATGGACACCGTTCTCGACCAGTTCTCGGAGTACACGTCGCAGCGTCTTACCCGATCTCGTCTTGGGAATCATGCCTTTGCCTTGGACGATGCCTCCTAACGACGCAATTGCACCAACTTGCTTGCGTACAAGCGACTGGATCTCGAAGGCAATCTTGGCGTTTGGCACAGCGGACTCCGGGTGGTCCGTGACGGAGAGGGTGATGAACGCGAAGGGGAGCTGGCCCTTGAGTTCGTCAGGAACCCCGACTACGCAGGATTCTGCGATAAGTGGATGGGCTGAGATGGCTTGCTCAATGGCCCCTAGAGATCTAGTCAGTAACTGTGACAAAATATTCCGGGTTTTCTCTGGAGATGTACCACTTGATAGTCGATGAGCACTGACATTCAGTACATCGTCGTTTCTACTCATCACATGAACGTAACCCTCTTCATCAATCCATCCGGAATCTCCAGTATCCAGATATTTTCCACCAAATCGTTTCAGATAGCTCTTATAGAATCTTTCCTCATCTTCCCACAGCGTGCGGAACGCCGTCGGCGCAGGAGGCAATCCCAATACAATATTACCCATTGACCCTGGCTCTACTTCTTTGCCCTGTTTATCTACGACACGAACGTCGAATCCCGGCATCGGCTTTCCACAACTTCCGGGTTTGATTGGCAGTGGCTTGTGGTTTCGCACGCTAGTTCTGCGATCCTGTGCGGCGTGCGGCGCCAGCGCTCGAGCCGTTATTGGTGACCCTACTTCTGTTGACCACCAGTTGTCGATGACGTGTGAAGAAGGTGCGCCATATTTATCGAGGAGTTTTTGGTACATGGATATCAAAGAGGGCTCCGAACGCTCGCCCGCAAGGAATAGAGCTCTGAGCGATCGTAGGCCTCCGCGCTCGCCAATCTGAGAGAGGAAGTCATTATTAGGATCATCATGTTTGACGGCTCGAAGTGCGGTTGGCGCTGTAAACATTGCGTTGACCTTGTATTCTTCGACCACACGCCAAAACGCGGACGCATCGGGAGTTCCCACGGGCTTGCCTTCATATAGGACGGTGGAGGCACCAGCGAGCAACGGTGCGTAGAGGATATAGGAGTGTCCGACGACCCAACCAATGTCTGATGCTGTGAAGACTACGTCTCCTGGGCCGCGGATATTGAAGACGTAACTGATGGAGAAATGTAAGCCTACTGCGTGGCCACCTGCATCGCGCAGCACGCCCTTGGGGGCTCCAGTTGTACCAGATGTATGCATGATGTAACAAGGATTGTCGCTCTTTACTGGCACGCAATCGGCTTTGACACCTCGCGCTTTGGCACTACCCATAAACTCTTGCCATGACGACTGGCTAGTGCGAGTCTTCTGGCTACCAAACACAACTCTTTGTATCCAACACCACAGCTCTCTCCACCAGCACTTTTTGCCCCAGCGCAGTTGCTCTCGTTGCCAGATCACGGTGCGCTCTGGCTTGTGGAAAGACAGATCCATCGCTTCTTCTACTAGTGGTTGATACGCGATGGGAGGCTTGTTCCCAACGATACCACACGAGGCAGTGAGGAGAACCACTGGCTTGCAAGCGTCAATACGCTGAGCCAGAGCGTTCGGTGCAAAGCCGCCAAATACAACGGAGTGGATGGCCCCGAGACGGTTAATAGCCAGCATTCCAATCAGAGCCGCGGGGATCATGGGCACTATGTTCCGAATAAGTAAGATGCGGCCGCTGTTGTTGTACCATGGTGTCTCAAATGTATACTTACTGTACAGCATCACCACATCACCCTTTTTGACACCCTCTTCCCTGAGCCCTCCAGCTAACGTCTCGACCTCGCTGAGAATCTGGTTGTATGTATAGGTCTCTTTTGTGTTTGTAATGGGACTGTCGTAGTAAATAGCCACATGGTCTCCGCGGCCTGCAGCTACATGACGGTCGATACAGTTGTAGCATGTCGATATCTCACCGCCAGAGAACCACTCCCAATTGGGGTGAACTACGCCGTCTTGCAGCGTCTTCTGCCCCATTTGGAGTATGGCTTCGGGTCTCTTGTGCCAGTGAAGGTGCTCAGCTTGGCGAGCCCAGAATTCCTCTGGGTTTTGCAAGCTCTGTAGTAGAATTTCATCCTGAAGATGTGGCCGAGCGGGCAATCTGGGAGCCATGCTAGACGGCAAAATAAGTCGCTGCAGAAAGCTTTATTGCAGATTGCTCTTCTTCTTCCTGGTTTATCTGCGGTAGCCTGTGCAGGAATGATATTTTTCGACGAGAAAGAGTAGACAGAATACTCAATGTAAGGCTTCAGCCTACATGGTAAACATACTACTCTATTTTAAGCGACTTAGTTACTAGGTATGTGGTTTGTACTTCAAAGGTGTACTTCACGTTCTATTCGAGTACCTTATGCACATTGTGGTGGTCCTTCAGCGTTCGGCTATTCGGCGCTCGATACGAGTGCGGAGCGAACGGCCTTTCCAGTTGTTTTTGGGGTTAGTGCCCGAACATTAGGTTCCAACGCTGGCGCCGAAGCCAGCCAGCTGAGGTTTACAGGCTAAGAAGAATTTTAGCTACCGTGAAGTATTAATACATAGGTTTTGAGCTAGCCAGTACATATTACAGAGGCACCGCTCGAGTCGATTTCCTTTTTACCAGACATAGCCAGCTTCTCTCAACTTTTACTTCAACCTTTACCTCCTCATATCTTCGTTCATCGAACAGTGATAATCAACCAAAATGGTTTTCGGTACTGTCTACACTTTTCCTGTAAGTAATTTACTACGTCATTTTCTTTCGGGCCGCTGACAATCCCACTTCAGGGCGACCATCCCCGTACCATCGCCATCAAGGCGGTCGCCAAGGCGAATAGCCTCGATCTCAAGATAGTCGAAGAGCCCAGGTCCGCCGATCATCTTAAGGTCAGCAAACTCGGCAAGGTTCCTGCATTTCTCGGCGAGGATGGCCTTGAGCTCTTCGAGTGCATTGCCATTGCCATCTACAGTATGTCCAGCTTCTTGAATGCATGCCACTTCTTAAATGCCGACTTTGAACGATATTCTTGCAATGATCTGGATTTCTCATTCGTATAACCATTCCTGTCTAAAAATATACTTATCTTGTGTGGATATCATCAAATGTCTAACCCTGCGTCCTACTTTCGTCTCATAGTTTGACAGGGTGCTTCAGTGGAATGAACTAACATTTCTCTAGTTACCTCCCAGAACGATAAGACCACTCTCCTCGGAAAGACTAAACAAGACTATGCTAACATTCTGAAATGGATGTCCTTTTTCAACTCCGAGATCATTATCCCCATTGTCGAACAGTATCTTCCACTTGTGGGCATCCGCCCCTACAACAAGGAGGCTGTTGATAATTTTGGCAAGATGGCCCAGGCGGCCGTTGATGTTGTTGAAGAGCACCTGGAGTGCAAGACATTCCTTGTTGGTGAGGAAATCACTCTTGCTGACATCTTCTGCGCCGGTATCATCGCCTTCGGCTTCCAATTCTTCTACGGCAAGGCTTGGCGTCAGGCCAATCCCAACGTCTCTCGTTGGTTTGAGTACATTATCAGCCAGCCCATCTATTCTGCTGTTACTGAGAAATTTGAATTCCTCGAGGAGCCTAAAATGACCAACGTTGCCCCCCCAAAATATGAGGCTCCCAAGCCTGCCTCCGAGGCTGCCCCTGTCGCTTCTATGGAGTAGCCTGCTGAAGTATTCCTACACCAACCACGGGACTCCTGGAGCCATCAAGTACTTTTGGAAGAAGCCCCCCCTCCGGAAGCGTACTTTATCCAGCGATGCGACTATAAGTACAGTAACAGCCTTACCCAACTTTCATGTCCAACAAGCTTGCATATGGCTTCAATACACATCTGAAGGCTTGTTACAAGTATCTTTTCGGCTGCGCCTCCGTCTAGGGCGTGAGTCAGGATTTTATTGTCCAGGGTAGTTTCGTCATCCATGGCCAGGAGTATCTACGTCTTCGACATTGCTCCCAACTACGAGAGCTATAAGTTGGCTAAGCCTGACTCTATCAAGCCAAAGGACTGTGTATTTGTTGGCATTCAGTGAGGCCGGAAGAAGTTTACTATCGTCGACGGCAAGGAATACAAGCATGTCTATGGTACGGACTTTAAATTAGATCAATTATCCGTTTATTTAGTACAGACCCGTATTTGCATTTTGGTGTTCCCTTATCCTGAATAGCATGCTTTGGTATTATAACTATGCTATAGTTACCATTAAGTGAGACCCACATATTACTTCTTCGAAGGATGGGTAATATGGAGGGCAGCATACTCCTGCACCAGAGGATTGTAAATAGGGTGTCGAAAAACGAGAGGATTTATCTGCACGCAAGCCGTTGAAGCCGGTATCTATAATTATCTGACATAACGCTAGAGTGGCTGCGCGCAAGGCTCCTTCACAACAGCCTAGAGCCGAGAAACGACGCCCCAAGCGTCCTCGAGGGTAAGAACGCAGAATTTGATTTTGACAAGTGCGCATTGCTGCGGATCAGTCGCGTGTAAGAATGAGCGACATAATTTGATGACAGGAAAGAAATACTCTCGGATTGTCCCTCCGTATTTTGAGGACTATACGAATTGCTCCAGTGTACGGACGCCATGACGGAGCGTGGAGAGTGCTGGGAGACGAACAACGAACGCGCCGCCAAGTCTACCAAGCTCACACATTTGCCGCATCCTTGCATAGCGGGATATTGTCGTCGTAGAAGGCGAGTTCACAGAAGATATTAAAGGCTTCTCTGTATAGATTATGTCGATATGAACGTCGTGAAGGGGATTGCGAGAGTTGCCGTGCCTAGGTCACGATCAGTCAAGCTGATAAACCATTGCTCTGTAAAATTGTTCACAACTATCTACATCAATACTATACTACGTTCAATATCTCGGCCGCCCTCTGGACAACCTGCACCCGCTCTGGGTCCCTGGCCTCGATATTACAACCAAACTTCATCGGCCTCGGAGCCGGCACTGGTTCATACTCGAGTGTCTCCCGAATTTCATTCCCATATTGGTCGAGCGGCCACCGGATATTTACTCCCCATCCCAATTTAGCGATCAGGATGACCAGACTCCGTTCCGCAAAATCGACGCCCGGACACGCTCGTCTGCCATAGCCAAATGCAGGGAAACTCTGGCAGTTGGGGTACACAGATAGAGGTTCCTTATATGTCGGATAACTGGGCTCAAGCCAACGGGCAGGGTTAAATAACTCCCCATCTGGGTACATTTCCTTGTCCATGAGGATAGATCTAGCATGATAAGCAGCCTGGAATATCGGGACGAGCGATGCTAGATGATGAAACTTACGCAAATGTTGCATGAAACACTGTTCCTTTCTCGAAAAAGTATCCATCGTAAAAATCATCCTCTTCCAAGCAATGGCTTATTCCAAGTTCCGCCACGATGCTCCTGTATCGGATTGTCTCCTTCATTATTGCTCTGACTGTAGGCAGGTTGGGAATATCTTTATAACTTGGCATCCTATCCTTGCCAACGACCTGATCGACCTCATTTTGAAGCTTCTTCTGCCACTCAGGATACTCCATCATCAAGAACAGGAATGTGAGCAAATTGTTGTGAGGAGAGCGTGTACCACCGTCGATCATGGCTTGAAAGGTATGAACTGACTCTTCGTCCGTAACAGCATAATCACCCCGATTCAAGAGATAGTGCCTATAAATAGACTCCATTGCTGACCCATCTTCAATGCTTTTCTCGATCTTTCTCCTAAACGACCACATTTTCCCCGTGTACTCTCTTCTAAGCTTCTCCATGGTTCTCAAGCTGGGGACTAACCAGTGGGGCATATGCCTCAAGAACGGGAAAACATTACTGGGGAAGCAATCTGGACGAAAAGAGTTCATTATTTCGGCAGTGAAGTCCTCATTGTCGGTGATAAATGGATCCGAAACCGAGCGAACTGAGAACCCCAGCATCGAGCTAGTGAGGACAGAGTAGGCGTATCGCAGAAACTCACTATGAAATGATGACGGCGATTGGAGTAGTGCGTAAAGGGTGAAACTCGCTTCATCGTCCATCAGGGTTTGGTACTTATTAATTGAGGCCATGGAGACTGCGCTGTGCAATAATTTCCTCTGGCGACGCCATCCCTCTACCAGTCATCAGCACGGATGATCAAAGTTTAGAATATCCTGCCGGGAGTAGGGTGAAGCGCTTACCGTCCTTGTTCCTGAAACCAGGACTTTGGTTCATCGATATGTATTCCACCGCATGGGGGGCTCCGCGATCCGAATACTTATTTCCCCTCTTGACGAATAGCTCATTCGCAATCTTCTCGTTGGACAAAACCACTTGCTTTGCCCCCATGAGACTGAATTGGGCAATGGGGCCATACTCCTGAGCCCACCTGCGGAAGATATGAATGATGCTGTTTTGGTTGGATGAAGCCAGCTCAAATGCGTTACCAACGAAAGGCCATCCTTTTTTAAGAATTGTCAGTTAATGATTCGAAAGCAGAGTATTGCAAATGCAGAAACTTGCGTACCCTTGGGTCCCGGGGGAAGCTTAGCCCCTCTCATGCGTCGACGTCTCAAGACAACCCCAACGACCAAGTGAAGTGCGACACCCAGAAAAGGGAGCCACCAAAATTGCGACAGCATAGTCATGTGTACACTGGGTATTGTTTTTCCTGCACTTATCCGCTATGATGTTTCTTCAACTTTAACTTAGTTACTGGAGGCTAGACCCCAGTCAAGGCTAAACTATCCTTAGATCTAGATGGTATACTTCCAAAGACGTCCGCCTCGGAGATAGTCTCGTACTAGACCTGGGTTCGGTACTAGCTTCGTATACATACATACGTTACGATAGTTTGAAACATACTGAATTCATGATTCGGAGGAAGATATATTAAAACACACAATATTCCGAATTAGTAAATATTATAGTTTGAACACTCGAATTCTTCAACCGATTTTCCTGCGGTCATGGGAAAACCGATCCGAACCTTTCGGCGGACAAACACAAAAGCCTTCGGCACATTATACCCTACCGAAGACCATCGTAAAAGTTCGGGCCGAATGCCAAACTTGGAACATATGTGTGTGGGTCATCAAGAACAGATCTGGGATAATCGCCAAGACCGAATCGGTTCGAGAACTACCAAGGAAGAAAATGATTGTGTCCGAAGATTATATCCAGCGGCTAGTTCAAGCTCGTCCACTAACAGGTAGGCATTCTTGGTCACGGCAATTAGGCAATTAGTCGTAGCACGAGTAATGAATGGATCACAAAAAAAAGAGATTAGCGGGGCGGCGCGTAGCCTCGCAGGCCCATACCGCTCAGAGCTCAGCCGAGCTATTCCCGTTGAAGTTCTCTTCAAGAGTACGCAAGGCTCAAGCAATCGCCACACTGATCAATTCCGAACATGTTGAATATCAACATGGAAAGCGCATAATCTTCCGAGTAGAGGTAATTTATATCGCCAACTTCTATTAACAGGTAATTTATGTCGACACATTGATATGTTTTATATGGGCAAATTACTCCTTACCTTCAGGCCTGTAATTTTTCTACCTCCCCGCCTCTGCCATAAGGTACAAGGGGCTTCTTGCCATTGTGATCATTGTGGTGGTAAATAATGGACCGGTGATAGGAATCGAACTATACATAACCTCCAAAAAGAAGATTCACCAAACTCACTTTCAGAGGCTGCTCTTAATGCTTATCACTACCCTACGGCCACCAGTTGTGTAAAATATACTTGATGTTCGACGTGATTAAATAAACTGCTATTTACAGTTCAAAACAGGGCACCTGGTGGTTCGTGCGAAGATCTTGCCAGGTAGTGTACAAATATATATGGAGTAAGTGGCGTTCTTCGAGTCCTTTTATCGCTTCTCTCACAGCGCCCACACTGCCTACCTCCGTATATTAATTTCACTAGATATACTCTTAGGAACGCTCTTCTCGCTTTCAGGAGTAAGAATCATGTTCTCAGGAGGACGTAGAGCTCCCAAGAGCGGATGGTGCCGTTCCAGGTGCCATGGTGTTAGGACCGCGATAACTGTTAGCTTAGCCAGATCCTTAGCTAAGATGCAGTCAGATATATCACTATAACATAAAAAGTAGCGCTGTTCCAATTTGCATATAATAATGGTATTCTGTTTTATCTGACAGACGCTTAGTCAGGTGCGAACACATATTTCGCATCTTCTGACCTGAGCTCTCGAAGGTCAGCGATTAGCTCTGCAATATATGGGATCTTCTTCCCTCCCATATAGGTACTTCCATTCGTACCATAGCGCACCATTCAGTTCGCTACGGACTCCATGCATAGTACATGGTGATTGGTGGGGACGAGGAGATTCCCAGACCGTCGGCACCAGTTTTAGTAGCAACAGCAGTAAATTACATTTATTCCATTCGAATTCCATCTGACGAAAGACGCTTTCCAAATTGCAGCCTTATTTCGCCACGCGCAGCCGTCCGTGGTGTCTCAGGGAGGCGTCTCAGATGCTTCCCAAACGAACCTGACTCTACCAAGTCAATCATAAATCATAGACTCTGAATCTTCGATTATCACAGCGACGGGGGTTAAGATGATTGTTGTGTCGATAAACCAGCGTTATCGAGGAATTTTGAGAACACTCTCTGAAGGGTATTTTGCAAAGCCTTTCTTTGCTTCCGGATATTTTTGATAAATCTCCCTAGACAGCACGAGAGTCTTGATCTCTTCATGCTGCCAGGGACGACCTCCAGATCCGGTTAAAATACCAATGAGTCCTCCTGGCTTCAACACGTGCTCAATTTCAATGAGGGGTCTACATTGGTCTGGTAACCAATGGGTTACCGTGTTCGAATACACAACATCGAAGCTGTCAGAATCAAACTGTGAGAGGCCCTGAGAGCTCCCTACTTCAAAAGATAAATTAGGTGAGCCTTCTCGATATTTCGCTGAACTTCGTTCTGTGCAATACCGAGGCGGTCCTCAAGGGCATTACGCGATTCGCGACATGAGATATAAGACGCCCTGTTCCGCAGCCAACATCAAGAACACGTTTTTCTGCCGATATTGCCAGCTTCTCGACAAGAAATAGACCTACTTGGTATTCATACTCGCTAACATTATTATAGTGGTATGCGAGTTCTTTGGTGTCGAGATTAAAACCAATTGCAACCATGGTGGCGATATTCCTCCAATCCAACCATTATATATATATGCTAGGCTAATGTTGCTTAGAAAGAGAAACTGCTAAGGGAGGAATTGAGAAGATGACAGTGTTAGATTCTGCATAGAAAATAGACTTAATTGCTGATCTAGAAATGAGTGTTCTATAGATACACTTTTATAGTTGCACAGGGCGACAGGTTTGTATAGGAAAAGAGGGAGATAGATGGTCTTCCAGAGGTCCTCCTAGTACACTATCTGAAGACTTTTCTGCCTCAGATCTCCATGTTGGGCCTGATATCTCTGCTTCTTCTCTTCCACATTCATAAGTGCTTCTCGATGTTTTCTATATTAGAAAACTTAGCATTTGAGTCTGTAGCTATCTTCTTTCTAGTTTTAAAGCTAGATAGACGCTCAATTATTACTTTTTACTTGTGAATAGTTGTATCTCTTTCTGCTTTATCTGTCTGGAGTTAATCAATTGACTTTCCCCCTTTTGAAGAAGTAGTCGGATATTCTCAGAAAGTCCTTGTTTTTGTCTTGGGGGCTCGCTATTGCTATACATTTGCCGATGGCTGCGAGGAGTTGTATATAAAAGATTAGGACCCAATTTAGTCCGCTTTGGATTCGATGTTTTGGGAATATCCTGTATTCGCCTCTGGCATTGAATTCGAAGCTGGGAGGATTGACGAACTTAGATGGATTCCATGGATATAAACTAGTTGCTTCCATCGAGACTTTAACAGAGAAGGAGTAAAACAGTCCAAACGTGCCTTATATTATCATTGTATAAATCTCTACTTCTTAACTAGCCCAGCGTCGTTAAGATAGAATAGGCTAGCTATCTCTTGCCAATAAAGGGTCTTTATTAAAGCGAATGTACTCAAATCTAATACTTAAAGGAAATAAAAAGGGTGTGAAGGTATAAATATTATATAAATACTATATCTATAATATACCCCAAGAAAGTTAATATTATAACTTTTAGACCTATCTAAAAGAAGCATCCGATGAGATCTACTTGCTGGCTTGGTCTTAGGTTAAAATGGAAGACTTTAGCCACTTTAAAGCAATATCATTACAAGTCCATCCATTTTTTGAGGTTATAATAAGTCAGTCTGGTATATCTTGGACTGAATGAAGTTTGGGGTTCTTTGCCTTTAAAAATAATAAGAGCTCGAATTGTTTCTCCGGATGCTGATATAGTCTTAATTATAGTAACCTATTCCCTAGATCTGGGAGATTGCACATAAGTATGCCTTTTTCAACTATCTGGGAGTTTGTATATACTTCTAATCCGACTCCAAGCTCGTCCATATTCCATATATTCTCTGGTTGGATGTTGTTATTGGTTTTGGTTGTAGGAAAAAAGTTATAAAAGGCTTTAACTTGATCTGGCTGTGTACTTTGAATCACGGATGCATCTATTTATTTTCCAATCATAGAGGCAACCTGTAGATTTCCTTTAATAAATTTAGGTGCCTATTCTTTCCCGGGAGGAGTTTCATCTCCAAGCATGTGCAGAATTTAGTGGGACATCTCGTGTACACCGGTAAACGAGGGAGGAATCCTTGTTGATCCTGATTAATTATCTATTAAACAAGAAATTCCTGTTGTATAGGGCTTAGCCTTTGTTGATAGTGGTGACTTTGCTGCTTAATTTTGTGTCCGGCAAGTCTTCGAAGAAGCGTAGTTTTTGTTGAGAATCTCGGGGAAGAAGCTATGTCGTGAGGTGCTAGGATAGCGGTGACTGGATAGTATATTAAAACTATCGGTGCGATCTAGTATCGCATGGTGAGTGTGTTCAACTATCTAGGAGAGAGAGCGTAGACAAACGCTTCCTCATGTCTACGTGTCCTTTAGCCCCTTGCGTGTGATATATCAGATCGCTACGGCACTAGGATATACGAAGGTGCCTTAGGCATCCTGATTTCCAACAGTTTTAGGAATATTATAGGCCTTAGAGGCTGCAGTAATTGAAGAATAAACGCCACTTGCAATATGCCTAAGTACTAGAGATATATTTTTTTCATTTGGAGGCATGTTTATGGATGGTGGTGGTGATGGTAAAGGAAAAGATTAAAATTCAGAAATTCGACGAGTTTGACGCGGTGGTCCAGTTCTAGAGGGATAATCTTCAATTGCATCGGGACTGAAATTTCGTGACTTGGTTAATAAAACCCTAGAGCTTGTTCGCAGATGTGTTGAGTTTTGTGAGCAAGGTAATATGGTTTCTTTACGTTTTCAGCAACCTGTTTTCGGTGAGGTTAAGTGCTTATCTTTGTTGTGAACGTTACGGGTTATCAGACGCACCTTTTTTAGTTGGGGGGTTGGACCGGATTTACATTGCTTGTGACTGCTTTATAGAGTTTGGTGTCAAATTTATTATATTAAATAGGATATTCGATAGTACTTTGATAGCAAAAGATCCCCGATAAATACAAAACTAATAGTACCGAAAGGAAATATGACTATCTCTTAAAAAGACCTGCAGTTGTTGGTGCAATTTATCTGGACTGCCAAATTCAACCCAATCTTAGATATTACTAAATCTGGAAAGAAATGCAATCTAGTATTAGGTGTAAAGATGGATGTACCAATCCCCTTTTTCAGGCAAATTTTAGCCTTAGCGACTTAAGCTAGTAGAGTACACGGTTCGCTGAAGACGGCATGAGCTTTAACATATCAGGAAGCTTGGCATTTCCATCTTTAAAGTGATATGCAAATGATCATGGAAAGGGTTATGTAGTTTCTCAAAAGCAATATCTTAATTATACTTTTGTTGTCGTAATTAAACGCAACATTAAAGTTTTGCTGTCGTAACCAAACCTTAGCCATGCACTGTGCCTAAGGCAGCCGTATTAATGCTCGCACTCCTATATTTACCGTGCTGTAACAACAAGTATGGTCACGAAGAATAAAGGTTTAAAGGCCGTTAACATCCCTCTGCAACTTAGAAATGTGTATAAATCTAATAACCATACATACTCTTTCCTAAACCAGCTTCGTCTATTACACTGCCTTAATCAAATATATCGTAAGTACTATCCCGACGGAACTAAATTGTTCATAGAAAACAGCTAAGGGTTCAATTAAGACCACACTCTGTGCAAGCTTTGACGATGTATTCAACATTGCGCGAGAAACCTTATTTGGGTGCGAAGAGTGTGGCTGCTCTTAGTAGCTTTATGGTACTATATCATATTTCACTTGTTTTACTGTCTATTATGCATGAATCCTAAAAGGGCACTTGATGTTTTAGGTCGCTGCAGCCTTTCTTAAGTCACTTATTTTACAATCTTTACCTATACCCATTGTGCAATTTTCCTGGGCCGAAAACCTACGCCATATCCTCAATTCCCATGTCTTGGCCCCACTTCGAAGTTAGTAAATACCATGAAACGACGAAACAAGTACATGAAATGGCAAAGTGGTTTAAATTGCACCGAATAAATTATTATTCGTCGGTGCAGAAGCCTGTATAATATCGCCTCTGGAGTTTTACATATACCTGCCTGAATACCGCTTGCCTTATTAAGCCCTACGCCGAATAAACCTGGGGCTGTTGCTAAACTTGAAGCAGCGAAACCAGGGCATGTGCCCGCTACCACCCAAGCAGTGAGAAGAGGGTTTTCAATGCCCCATGTAGATGCCTATTTCAATAATAATCTGTTGGAAAATCTGTAATATGTTAGACGGTTCTAGGGATGCACACGAATAAGGATTTTGCCTATTCGTATTCGTAATATTTTTGCAATTCATTATTCGTGTTCACTTAATTTCAAGGCCTTTATTCGTATTCAATTCGCAATTATTGGCAATTTTGCTAAGCCTTCATTAGTCGTACTGATCAATTGTTCAGCCAATAGTTAAATGTTGAGCGCATTATGGCAATTATTTACTTTAGATGCACGAAAGTGTTAGGAGCGCTCGGAAGGACGATAGCCATGTCCTTAGCTAAGATGCTTATGTAGTCAGATGCGAGGTGTGTTTAACGTTAACTATATTCGCGCCCTCGGGCCTGAACCCTTGAAGGCCAGCGATGAGTTCTGCAATACACGTGGTACTATCTCCCCTCCCATATAGATATTCCCATTCGTACCACTGCGAACTATTCAGCACGTTACCGACCCCACACATAACAGAAAGCCCATAACTATGACACGCCTTTCTACCGTGAAGCACAAAATATCTTCATTAATAAGTAAATAAGCTCCAAAAATCTAAAATTTATAGCATGTTGCTCTAAGTTACTATGCATGTAAAGCTGGCGCTCTTAAGAATAAATTATAACCTTAAGAAGCTTCAATGCTTTGCTCGATAAACCATAATATAAAAGGGACTACATTTAACAGCAAACTTTGGTTATGTCAGCCTCTAAAGAATCAGGCGGAAGCCTCTATAATGATAATTTTTCCACAGTGGGCTTCACGCAAGCTACAACAAATTTCCGCCTTCAAGCCCTGCTCTAGCGAGTTTACTGCTTCCAATCTTGCTTGCTACAGTGGCCCTCCCTTTTCAGTATGCCGCTTCCTCCAGGTATACTCTATTCCCTGCTCAAGCCGTCGGGCTGCGTAGGAGTCAACTCGTACCTCTGATCGTCTGCTCCTCTTATTTGAATATCATCAAGTCTGTAGCGTTTTTGGTTAAGATACCAGGCTGCATAGCCACGAAAATATTCCTCCACATTCTTAAGCATCTCCGGATGATTGGCGAGTACAGACCGAACGTTGTGCACATTGCGAGTTACATTCGCACATACCTCACGTAAAGCGTCAGCCAAACCCACTCCCTGTGTATTAGCATAGTTTGATATGTAATTCAAGCGCTCATGTCCCACAATAGACTCCTTATAAAAAGAGAGTATATCATTTGTATAGCATGTATACTCGGTAATATCTGGCACGACAGGAAGGTAGGTCTGCAGATATTTGGACTCCGGATATATTTTTTGGGGAAAGCAAAAATGGGCGTATGGTTCTGAGAAGCCTGTTTTATCCCGGAGATACTTGGGAAAGTTTACAGCGCCTGTAGGCGGCGTGATTTTCCCATCTAAATCCCTCTCCAGTATACAGCCGTTGATGAACTCGATGGCGCTTTTAATATTCACCGTATTTCCAAGGCAACCCAAGTAAGTTTGTCCTGATGCAAGAAAGTCTGCAAAGGACTGAAGCACAGGAGATTCCTGGCATTTTCCCAATAGCAGATTCATAGCAAAGTTGTCTAATGCAGATCCAAGCTCTTCAAGAACGCCTTCTATGAAGAGAACATATATGCCATGGATTGCATATTTAATTTGGGAATCCCTATCAGTGAAGGGATAGCACATGCCGATACCAGTTGACATCCATTTTGCCATTCCGACTGCCTTTTTTCGAATTGCTGGCGGCCACGGTTGGCTGTCGAAATAACTCATAATAGGCTCCTCGAGCGAGAAATCATAGCTGAAAGGCGGCATGTAGAAGTCAATAGATTGGAGAAAGTCTGATAAAATCTCTCCCAGCTCCTTACGAGAGAAATTTTCGTACTCCATTATTTCAGTCGACCTGGTCAAGTGCCGTTTGAGGTAGAGAATAACGGTGTAAGATGGGCCGCTTTCAGTAAACATAGTTATTATTCTATCCTAGTTGAAGGGCAGAAACCCAGTAATTATTAAATATTCTTTAGATACACGTTACTTGGATGCCTATGGCGCCTGCTCCCAATTCTATTCTTCAGTTTAGCAGCACATACTGCCAATATGACTTCATAGTATATATGAGGCCTGTAAAGGATAGGCTGAGAATCGGCCATGTCCGGGTCCTGAATCCTTAACGATAAACTGCGCACACGGTAACGCAAGCTACAGTATCATGTTAATGACGCGTTGATATTGTTATGACCTCATAATTGTATTGTTATCTTACCTATGGGCGTTCTATATATTACCTTGACCTACCCAACCAAGTAGATCCATCACAAGGCCATTAAGCTGCTCACAGGTGGGACGCACTATTACGATATTCTCCACCACTACCACTGTAAGAATACTGCAGATCAACAGAAGTGGCTTTGAGGATTTAAAATGACGTAGCTCTGACAAATAATGAACTTTGTCTTCCAACGTGCGTGAACTTAACTTCCAACAGCAGCAAAATACGATAGACAAATCACAGAACAGACTCCCTCCTTATCACCTGTAGGTTCCTGTTACATGGATAGGTTAGAGGTCTTTGCGCCCCCGGCCACAGTGTGCAATTGGCCGTCATTACTGATGTCGCAATGTGATGAAACAAGTGTTCAGGATCAGGTAAAGTGTGAATTACTAACCTTAATTGTACCGCCATAGGACGTACAAGACTCACTAATATATTAAGGGAATTGTCCTTCCATTTTCTACCTCATTACTGTATCGTTCTTAGTTCGAGAAATCTTTCCTCCAAAACTCTAGTTCCCGACATGATCGTTCTATTCTCAGGTCTTTTGTTCTACGCTACAGCAGTAGTCATCTATCGTCTCTACTTCCATGCGATAAGTGGTTTTCCAGGCCCTAAGTTAGCTGCCGTTACTAGTTTATATGAATTTTATTTTGATGTTATCAATGACGGTACATTTATTTGGGAAGTCCAGCGAATGCACGAGAAATACGGTGGGTGGTGCCCTCTGGTTCTTATAAACATGGCCATCTGCTTAGTTGTACTCCTTATAATGGTTAAGCGAGGGGCCCAGATAGTTTTCATGTCATTTCATGTATGCTAAGGTCAATTTAGGTCCAATTGTGCGCATTACACCTCACGAGCTGCATGTGAAGGATCCGAATTTTTACGACGAGATATATGCAGGGGCCACTAGGCCGAGAAATAGATACCTTCCCTCCATACGGATGCTTGGGCTTCCTCAATCTTCAGCGGCAACAGTTGAACATGATCTCCACCGTTCACGTCGACGGGTGCTGACAAGCTATTTCTCCAAGCAATCGGTCATGCGACTTGAGTCCCTTATTAATAAGAAGATTGAAAAGCTCCTCAAACGTTTTGAAAAGTTTCACGAAGATGGCACAGTAGTTCGATTGGACTCGGCCTTCTCGGCTCTGGCGGGTGATATTACTTCACATTATACTTATGGCTACAGCTATGACTACCTTGACCATGAAGTATTCCGAAACGACGTCAGGGAAGCAATTATAAACTTGTTGGGCATTGGACACATAGCCAAGTTTTTTCCGTTTATACCTTTCATGCTTCGAAATATTCCTCAACGTGTTGTCCGCTGGTATCACCCGGGAGCTGCACAAGTTTTGGAATTTCGCAATACTCTTCGCCGACAATCAATTGAAACACTAAGAAATTCTGGGCGTGGACATCGCGAGGATCAGACAATATTCGATGCGCTGAATGACCCACGCCTGGAAAAGCAGGAGCGAACAATCAGCCGGTTAGAGAATGAAGCGTTCCTAATACTTGCCGCAGGGACTGAAACAACTGCACAACCACTGAATGTGATTTTGTTTCACTTACTTGACAACAAACGACTATTGTCAAAGCTGCATTACGAGATGAAACAAATCATGCCGGAACTGAACAGTTTTGTTTCATGGACCTCATTAGAAAAGATTCCTTATTTGGTTTGTATCCCAGGAATGAGTTTAATAGGAGAGCCTATTAAATAACGAGCTACAGAGAGCAGTAGTCTACGAGGGTATTCGGCTTGCCAACGGCCCAATGAGTCGACTTCCACGTGTTGCGCCGAATGAAGCACTGAAATACCAAGGTTGGGTTATCCCACCAGGTGTAAGTACTCACGCTACAGTGTTCGGATATGTGCTAATGGCAAGCAATTGCTGGCAAATATAGACTCCTGTGAGTGAGTACGGATACTTCGTACATAGGGACGAGAATATCTTCCCAAATCCGCATCAATTTGATCCCGAGCGCTGGATCGAATCTGACAATAGAGGGGGCCATTTAGAGAATAAAATAGTGGCATTTTCAAGAGGTAGTAGACAGTGCGTAGGGCAAAAGTGAGTTTCTTTCTCGTCCCTCTCTCGATCTATTTCCCCAACTCCAAAAGCAGAACGGTGACCCATATTTATTCATGCAGCCTGGCCTTTGCAATTCTATATTTGACGATAGCCAAAGTTGTGCGCCGTTTTGATATGGAGCTGTATGAAACCAGTTCTGCAAATGTTGAGCCAGTTCGGGATAAAGTGTTTGGGGTGCCAAAAAATCCAACTGACGGAATAAGGGCGTCTATAACGCACGTATTTCAATAAATGTGTTATGGATGTGGCCAGAGTATCGGAGGAAATCTCAGTGTATACAATTCAAGCATGCTATGGCTATTGAATCGTGCGGGAAATTGAAACAAAATATGGGCTAAAATTCTTGTTTAACTGCAATATACACCCAGTCTAAATTCTACTTCCCCCCTATTGAGGGCCCGTTTTCTCATCCCATGATTTTGATTTGTCTTCTAAATCTACTAAATCTGTGTCCACTGGATTTATTGTTTCTCCCAAATCTACTGAATCTACTATGTTAGGCCATTTTCACTACCATTTCGATTAAATCCGCTATTTTCAATAAATTTACAGTTCCTAGGATTATGATTTGTGAATACTTTTCTCATAAAAAAGTAAAGCTTTGCAGTATTAGAATGTTTAGGTTTACGTAGATTATTGCAAGCCGAACAACTGGAGCAAGCGCGAAACGCCTTTTATATTTATACACATAAGAGAATAAGAAACAAAACAAAGACGATCAATTTAATGCTATATCTCTAACATATACTACTATATTAATTAGTCCCAGGGCTCTTCTGCAGCAATGGGGCTCTGATCACGCCTTTGGAGGCTACTAAAAACGAGCCCAAAACCTCATCCAAACCGTTTTCCATTGCGCCAGTAACCCACTCATGCAACGGCAAGACTCTGAACGACCCAACTGCCGAACCTTCCAAGTGCTGCTTGAGTTGATCCACCGGAACAATGACCTCGCCGCTCTGGTGTACGTAGTTTAAGGTGTTGCTGGATCCTGTTTTCTTTCCATCTGCGCTTGTTACAGTGCAGTTCGCAATCTCCTTCGATATAGTATCGATATAAATGAAATCAAATGATCCCGTGGATCCAGCCAAGTCAGGGACGGCTTTCATCAACCTAGAGTACCTCAGCACGCTGTGCACAATGTCCAGAGCCGGCACATTGTCACCAGTGATGCTGCTAGGCCGATGGATCCAAACTTGCGCTTGGAAGCGCCTGTGAACTTTCTCGAGAATCACCTCACTTGCCCACTTGGACGCTACGTAACCCTCTGAGCCGTCGACCGGTGGGAGGAACGCTGCCAAAGACGACGCGGACTGCACTTCTGCGCCGCTGAGGCGCGCAACACCGGCCGTAGAGATGTAATGAATCGGGATTTTGCTGCACACAGCCAGGCGGGCTAGTTCAATCGTAGACAGGACATTGGTAGCTCGTAAGCTGCGGTAGTTCTTCATGTGCGACACTTCGGCCCCGTTATGAATAATGACGCTGACATCGTTGAACAGCTCATCTACTTGCGCTTGGCTCATGCCTAGATTGCGTAGCGCGAGATCACCGGAGTGTTGCACGATCTTTGGCGAATCCACGCTCAGTTGTCGAGGCTCGCCCTGGGCATTGACGCGGATTGCTGCGCAGTGGACACGGGCAACCTGGGGAAGCTGAACCAGCTGGCGTAAAATACCAGTTCCCAAGAAGCCTGTGGCTCCCGTGAGGAGAACGGAAATACCCTCTGAATTGCGAGGAGGGGTTTTATATCCATTCGGTGATACGAAAGCCTTATCATCCAGCTCTGTTTCTTTCTCCCAGTCGATCTGGGCAAGATTTGAATTGCCGGTGATTTGCGCAGCAAGAAGCTCAAGAGTACTAGTTTGGAAGAGCTCCGGTAGGGAAATGTCCACCGCAAATATTCGACGAATCTCAGCCTGAAGGGATAGCAAAAGCAGCGAATTGCCACCAACGGAGAAGAAGTCGGAGTTCCGATAAATAGGTGTAGACGAGGAGATCTCACCTAAGACACTTCTCCAAACGTCTCGCAAGCGCACCTCTTGCTCTGTGAGCTGGTCGTTGTTCTCCTCGTCGAGAGAAACCTCCGGCAAAGGCAAACCCGCCAATTTGCGGCTGTCGAGCTTACCCCTTTCTGTTAGTGGGAGTATATCCAAGGGAATGATGACCGCCGGGCGCATGTAAAGTGGAATCGGAAGCTCCTGGCTGAGTTGGCGAAAATAAGCTTGTTTGTCGTGAACTTGACAGGTCCTAGAGAACACAACGTATGCGACAAGTTGCTGGTTGCTTGTATCATCACCTCGGACTAGAACAGCTGCATCTACGAGACTGCCGCGCGAGGCTCGGACGAGGGCTCGGGATACGTCGTCCAGCTGGATGCGCATACCTCTAATTTTCACCTGGCCATCTCCATCCACGCGTCCGGACATCACAATGGAGCCGTCGGAGAGCATTCGGCCCTTATCGCCTGTGAGATAAAGCCTGTCCCAGCCCGAAGCTCCAGTGAAAGGGGTCTGATGCTTAAACTTGCTTTCGGTAAGTTGAGGCAGGCCAACATATCCACTCGCGACACCCGGTCCACTGATCGCGATTTCGCCAGGCCATCCAATGGGAACAGGCTTGCACTCCTCGTCAACAATGTAAGTTCCGTAATTAGCAATAGCCTTCCCGATCGGAATGCTGAAGTCAGCTGAGTTGACATCACTGAGCGATACTTCATGCATGGAAGAGCATATAGATGCTTCAGTGGGACCGTACGCGTTGATGATCCTCAAGTCATGCCTGTTGAGCCTGTGGAACTGGTCTAGGAGATTTGTCGTGAACGCCTCCCCTGCGACCATTGCAAGACGCCATGAAGAGCATGTACGGAGTTCTTCATAACCATACTTCAACATCGATTGCATCTCTGAGACAATGAACACGCTCAAAGTGACGGCCTCGCGCGTCATCAGAGCAGCCAATTCTGCCGGGTGACCGCAGTTATCACCCATGATCAACATCCCGCCGTTGGCAAGCGCGATGAAGATCTGATAGATAGCGGCGTCGAATCCCTGTCCGCTCTGTTGTAGCACGACTTCTTGGCCTAGTGAAACCCTCTCGGAAACGCCGAGGATAGGAGCTCGAATGTTGGCATTGGTGAGTGGGATTCCTTTCGGCTTGCCGGTCGAACCGCTAGTATACAAGATCATCGCAAGGCTGTCTAACGTTGATACATCTTCAACCTTTTGTGTCGTTTCCTGTGGTACTTCATCGAGAGTAACAAGTCTGATTCGCTGAGCGCGTCCAGAAAGTCTGTAAAGCTCCCTGGCCCGTTCTGCGGTCGCCGCATGGTAGAGTAGGATTGTCGAACCAGACTCTTCCAGGATATCGCGCAGTCTTTCATCCGTGCTGCGGATATCTAGAGGTACATAGGCTGCGGCAATGCAAAGAATCGCGAGGATTGTGGCAATCGTGTCTACTCCTGGGTCAAGCAGCACACAAATGGGCGATATGGATGCTGTTCCGGTACTCAGCAACGCCGTCGAAATAGCGTTAGCCCGGTCTGAAAGCTGTGAATAGGTTTTTGTATTTCCGTTGATATCCTTGACGGCTAAAGCTTCGGGATCTCTGTTTACCCAAGTATTGATAATCTTCGAGAGAGTGCTAGCCGAAGGGGGGGCAAGCTCTACCTGAGGTCCAGTACCGAGAGCGACAGCCTGCTGTGTCAAAATCGTGTCAAACACAGGGACGCTACCTACCGGGCGGGAAGTGTCTTTGGACAGCGCAGCGAGCAAGTGTGTATATGTGTTCGCGAGCAAATTTGCTCCTTCCTGGTCATACAGGTAATCCTGTAGGGAGAAAGTGAGCATCGCTGTGCCGTCGTCTAGCTCATCAACGGACACCACAAGATCGAAAGGATTCTTCGCGTCGGCGTATTCCAGGAACTTCACATCCACCCCCTGCATCGGAGATGTCCGACTTGCTGCCATACGGTAGTTAAAGACAACCTGGAAGAGCGGCGTCTCAGTCGTCGACGCCGGGATGCTACATGCTCGTAGAATCTCCTCGGTTGGGACGCCGGTCTGCGCGAGTGACGCATAGGCCTTGGTTCGGGTGGTCTGAAGCACATCGCTAAACGTCTGCTTGCTATCGACTCGGAACAGCATGGGTATGGTTTCCAGGAAAAACCCTACAGTGTTGCTGAAGCTCTGGTCGGAACGGTTGGCATCTACCATGCCAATACACATCTGTTCAGTATTCAGCAGGCGGTGGAGGAGGACTTGGAAAGCTGAAAGAAAGAAATGAAATGAGGTAGTCCGAGAAGCTTGGCTCGCCTTCTTCAGTGCGCTCACTACATCTGCACTAACGTGGGTGACAACATCTCGAACCGCGTACTTCGTCAAGGACTTGCGCGTACTGACTTTAGCAAACGGGAAGAGCGGCAGTGGGTCAACCGGCTTCTGAAACTCGTCCTGAAAAAATTTGAGTCTCTCCGCATATGCTCCGTTGGACATGTCCCGTTGTTGCTTTAGAGTGAAGTCAATGTACTGGGTTGGCAGGGATTTGGGAGAGGATAGTAATGTCGGGTCGTTGTAGAACTTGGCCAAGTCTCGTTGGAATATTTGCCAACTGACGCCGTCCATGATTATGTGGTGGTATCCAAAGATGATGGTATGAGAATCAGCGCTGTGTGACAAAACGGTAGCGATGAAGGTATCTCCCTTCTCTAGGTTGTAGTGATATTTATGAGTCCGCTCGAATTCTCTCTTGGCATCTGCCGTGTCACTGATACCGGGAATCACCTTCAGTTTGAATGTCGGTTTCTCAAGTATGCCCTGCATGGGTTGTCCGTCTTGCTTGCTGGTAAGGAATATGGTGCGCAGGGTTTCGTGATATTGAGTCACGGCCTCTAAGGACTTTTCCAACTTGGACATATCAACCCTTCCTAAAAGTGCATAAGATATGGTGCAGTTTAAGACAGTATCATCGTCCAAGTACTGAGACAAGAAGTATAGTCGTGATTGGCCCAATGACAATGACTCTGTACGGAGGGGCACTGGACGAGGGGACTTCTTGTTTACGACGTCCAGAGCAACCACGGGGCCTGAAGGCGAGGCAGGTTGACCACCTCCAACAGAGTCTAGCTGAGTGGATGATTCCGAAGATATAGATGAGCTTGAAGTATCATCTGGTGGCGAACTGTCAGATGATACTTCCAGCGAATTCGTCTCCGGGGATGGGGTATTCCAGTCGCGAGAGCTCAGAATCGGAGCAGCTTGAGCTTTAGGTTCTGCAGCTTTGGTCTGTTTTCCTTCGAAGGACAGAGATGAGACCACATCACTGCATATCTGCTTGACGGAAGATCCTCCGAGAATCTTCAATATCGGGATATCGTAACCGGCCTCTGAGAATATCCAGTTCCGAATCTCCACTGCAACTAAAGAGTCAATACCGAGATCAATGATCGGAACATCTGTATAGATATTCTCGATAGACAACTATTTTATCTTTGTCAGCCACAAGAAATACTTTTCCGCGCCGGAAACACTGCTCACCTTAAGCGAGGATGACAGGTACGTCAAGAGAGCTCCTTCCATAATCTGAAGGGCATCATCTGGTCCACTGGCATCCGCGAGCTTCTCCTTCCAAGTTTTTTGAATACTGTTTGCAGAACCCTGGCGTGCTTCGGAGGAACCAATATCTGTTATGAGATGTGAGAATCGCAGATTCTTATGCCAGAATGGGCTATTCCCTGAACCGGTATTGTAAGTCTCTAGTCCCGTCACGACTTCTGGAGACTCGTCGCTTCTACCGACGACTATTGCTTCAGCTAGAAGGTGATGGAGGTCGCGTTCTGAAACGGGCATGTAATCCAGCTTTCGCAGGGCAGTCTCCATCGCGCCCATGCCCTCATCGCCATCTGTCCTTTGAATAACACCGATGCCGATTACCATGCCGATGTCGATCACTGACGCAGGGAGATTGCGGGCTCGCCTTTGCGAAGCCAACCCAACCATAAACTAAAGGAAATCAGCCAACCATAGAGCTAATTAGCTCAAATGCTTGTTTAACTTACGTTATTCGCAGCAGCGTAGTTCGCTTGGCTTCGCTGCCCAGTTACCGCAGAAATCGAGGAGAACAGAATGAAGAAGTCAAGGTCGTCATCGGAGAAAACCTCATCCAAATTTTTCGAGCCATCGACTTTGGGTTTTAGTACTTTCTGAAAGCTGTCATAAGGCATATCAGCAAAGAGTTTATCTGCCAACAGCATTGCACCGTTAGCCACGCCACCAATGGGTGGCATAGTGCCGAGAATGCGAGTGCGGAGCTCCGCAAGGTCTTGTTTTTTAGTAACATCTGCTGCCTCTATTGCAATGCTGGCTCCTTGTCGTTGTAACTCATCCTTCCAAAGTGCCTCCTTGTCGGGGTTCCTGTAACTATTAGTAAAGCTAGATTCAACTGTGGTCCTAAACAAAAGTACGTACCGACTCGTAACCACAATATGCCGCGCACCGTTGCAGACCATCCAACGGCACATAGACTGACCAATTTGCCCACTAAGGCCCATTAGAAGATAGGTCTTATTTGGGGAAAATAGGTGGCGAGGGTCCACGGGCCTGTGGGTTAGCGTGATCATCTGATCGCCTGTCCAGTCAACGACTGCGGCATTTGTATGTCTCTTAACCCCTTCGTTAACTAAAGCAGAGGCCTTGACTACAGTGGTACTGTCCATTATTGTCTGCAGTGACAAAGGAAGACTCCTCACGGAATTCAAGGCTTCAAATAGTACTTCATTTGGTACGAGACCATCAGTGTCGAGATCGTCGAAAGAAACAACAGGGGCGGTCGTTGGAAGGGCCTGTTGGATAGCTAAAAGTTTGCGTGCATCACCTCCATGGCCCAAGATAATGAGTAATCTCGTTTTAGAGGGTATAATTGATTTTAACTCCTTCCTTGACGTGTGCTGTCCAATCTCTATGCAATTACTAGGAAGGCCTCCACGAGTCGACTGTGCCTGGTAGCTGATGAACGCGAAATCCTTATCCGACACGTTCTCACGCCTATTGAGAGTGGCAGCAAGATGTGCATCAGATCCGTAAAGCAGAGTGGTGTATCCAGAGGGCATGGACTTCTCGATGACTCGGGACCTAACCTCATCTAGCACGCGGATAAACAGAGGGAGAGTTGTTGTATCCTGCAGTGTTTCGTCACCAAGTCGAATAGTCCACTCGCGTGGCACTGTGATGACGGACGAGTTGCAATCTGACAGTGCTAAGAGTCGCATTCCTTCTTGCGTGCGACCAATGCAGCAGAACAGCTCTTTCTCGTGGTAGTTGGGCATGGCGGGATCGATGGAGCAATACTCCACTCTCAGTGTGATCTGGTCCGAGCCCATGGAAACCACAGCGAGGTTTGAACGATGAAGTGCCTCCTCAGCTGAGTACACAACTTCACCCGCATTGTGCAGAGAACGAATGATAGTTACAGGCTGTGTCCTAACAAGAGTTTGGGTCTCCACCTTTCGTTTAAGAGAGTTGAGGCGATTATTGCGCTTCCTGTCGGGAAGAAGCCTTGGAATAAGTAGGTTGCCATTCTCGACCGCAAGTTCCGGCTCAATGTTCCACAGATGCGACTTTTTTGGACCGTCGTCTCTAATGGCTGGGCCTCCAATAAGTCGCAGGAGGCTCTCTGCAATAACTATCTCGCCACCGTCGAGTGTATCCAAATCGAGGAACTGTAGAAGCTTTTGTGGGTTTTCGGCTTGGAACGTTCGCCCAAGACCGATCGTTCCACTCTGGTAGGGGGCTACAGATCTTGCCCCTTGAGTGACCCAGAGGACTGTCCTAGACCTCTCGAAAAGCAGCTGTAGGCTTCTAAATGTAGTAGCGCTAAGCCCCTCGAGCACTGGGTGATCGAGTTCAGTCAGACTAAGGACAGTTTCAATCCCTTCGGTTTCTTGGCTTTGTAGGTCAGCTAGAGATTCAACATTAATAATCTCTCCATGCCAGGAGTGAGACAGCTTAGTCTCAATAACCCTAAGTAAATTGGAGATTTTGGGGGAGGAACCACCCAAAACGAGCAGTTTTCCGTTCATTGCAATGGGTAACTTCGAGGCAAGTGGAGCTCTTAGAAAGCTGATTTGGTCGTCCAGTGCCTGCGACACGACAACAGAGAATGTGTGCTTCTCGGGAACGTTGTCAAGTGCCATGGAATCAACGCCGGAGAATCCAACATTCTGAAGGACACTGTGTGTTTCTTCGCGGGTCGCGTTTATTAATTTCGGCTGGGTACATCCGTCATCGCGCACTGGGGGTGGAGCTGATGATAAGAAGAAGGGAAAGCGAAGTTGGTCACCAGTCGCCGCCATCATCAAAAGAAAGCCCCCTGGCTTTACCAGACTTCGGATCGTCTTCAACGCGGCTTCCTGGTTCTTGAAAGCCTTGTGAGCAATAACCACGTCGAAAGAGCCGGCCGCAACAATATCATCCACGTTTTCGTCCCCGTTTTCAACGTCGAGAAGTCTGAAGTCGACTCTCAATTGATCCGAAATTAAGTGCGCCTTGATCTCTTCGATAGCCTTCGCTGATCCATCCACAATAGTGTATGAATCTAAGGCATGCTCAAGTTCTTGGCATACAGAACGTACAAGGTTGGCTGAAGATGGTCCAACTTGGAGAATTCTCAATGTCGAATACTGGTGGGATATTTGTTTGACTGCGCTCAACATATGCTTGTGAACTTGCGCAAATCCTAGCCCTTCGTTGTGCCATCGGGACACAAGCTCGCTCAACGAAGTTGGTGCTTGCGCGCCGGCCGGGACGAGTGCCGATGAGTTATTCAAAAGTTGCTCGCCTATTGTTTTGACTAACACCATGTCTATGTGCTCTCCAAACTCCTCCAGGATAGAATGCAGCTCAGATCGAGTTAGTTCGTATGCACAAGTAGCCGTTTTCTCAATCAAAGCAAGTAAGCCTGGGCTTTTCTCGACTTTTTCGTGGAATGATTTGTCCGCCCTAAGCCTCGACAGGTAGTAGTGAATTACCTTTTCACAGGCATCAATAACCTTCAGCTCATGTGGAGAGGTAACTTGCTCTGTTTCGAAGGCAGCTCCGGAGAGGATGTCTCGTTGCCACACCGTTTTCAAGTAGAATAGCCTGTCGTCCTTCTCCGTAGCAGGAAGGAAGGAACTCATGGTGAATTCTTCTATGCTCACTTCCAATTTACCTGTTTTGGAGTTGTAGATACTCATATCACCGTTAATCGTCGGCAATGTTGCTTGGAACCCTGGTGTTAACTCGGTAATATGTGCGTCGACGGTCACCGAGGCTGGCTCATCAGGAGCGATGCTTGAGATCGGAGCAAATGTCATGCGGCCGATTGTTGTGGGCATGAATGCTGTCCATAACGAGCCATCTCGAGGAGCGGCAAATGCAGCGAGAAACGTCTGGAAGCAGGCGTCAAGCCAAGTCGGGTGAACTGGAATTGACTTTCCCACTTGTTCATCTATCGCGACGACGGCAGATGCCATATCCATCCTCCTCTCCACAGAGGTTATAGCCCTGAAGGGTCCGGTGTAACCCAGCCCAATCTTGCTTAGTGATTCATAGAACTGGTTGATATTGACCGGCAACAGATCAGACTGCGGCTTACGCGGTCTGGAAGGAAACAAGGCAGAGGAGTCAGGCTGTTCGCTTGCAATGGATATACGTATTTCTCCTGTAGCAGCAGTCCTCATCTGTCCATCCTCCACTGTACCCGCGCTGAGACTGAACTCTGCCCGGATAAGGTCGCTTTTGCCCTTAATAGAGTCAAGATCACTGCGCACAGATAGCAACGTCTCAGTTCCTTCAGACGACTCATTCAAGACGATTGGCCGCAGGATCGTGATGTTCGACAGCTCTATACTTTCTACATTCTTTCCTCTGCCAAGAGCCCTGGCGGCTTCCAGGGCCATAACGCAATATGTAGCCGCAGGAACGATGATCTGGCTTTGTATACAATGGTCCCGTAACCAAGGTATCTCGTCTAGCTTAAAAAAATTCCTCCACCTCGGCTCATAGTCTGTGTCATCTGGAGTTCTGCTGCCAAGCAGCTCATGAACCCGGTCCACTCTGGATCTGACCTTTTTATTGAGTCTGGACTCCCGGTACATGATCTGCTTATGATCCCACGGATAAGTTGGTAGATCCGGCAAAGGGGTCATGTCTATGTGACTATTGCTTTTTTCAAACGTGGATGAATAGTCGGCAAAGTTGACACAAGTAGGTCCAAGGTGTGTCCAAACAAGACCGAGAGCGTTACTGAATGCCGTAATGTCATCCGCCTTTCGGTCTAAAACACCAGCATAAGGGACTTCGTAGCCAAGCTTGGTCCTCATAGTCTCAAGTGTCGGCCCTCTCAAGGCTGGGTGCGGTCCGACTTCCAGGATAAGATCCAGGGCTCCTCTGCCATCATCCAAAGCCTGCTCAAGTGCTTGTGAGAACAGTACTCTTCCAATCAGATTGTCTGTCCAGTATGCTGCCTGCATATCGGTATCCTGGTCAGAAGTAATTGTTCTGCTGTCTTCATATACGCTCGATACCCATGCAGTGATTCCGTTGCCGTTACCTACCCGAATATCGCAACTTTCGAGTTGAGTAGTATAGGGCTCCGCACAAGGTAACATATGTGATGAATGGTAGGCTGTGTCTACCTTTAGCACGCGATTGAACAAGCCTTCATTGTCAAGCATTTCCTTGGCTGCAAGAACAGCGTCTTCATTGCCAGAAAGCGTTACACTTTTGGGTGAGTTACTGGCAGCTACTGTTAGACGGCCTTTCATCTTAGCGGATGAACAGAAACTAAGCCCCTCCTCATAACTAAACCCGACAGCAATCATCGCCCCCCTCTTACCATCTGGACCAATGGCGAGCTTGCAAACAATACCGCGGTAATAGGCGATCTTCACTGCGTCCGTTGCAGAGATTTTACCGGCAGCATACGCAGCAGGAATTTCGCCACCTGAGTGACCGACCACGGTGTGGAAAGTGATGCCTGCTTCAGATAGTAAACGAACAAGACCCACCTGAACGGCTGCACATATAGGCAGGGAAAGTTCAGCTTCACTCAGTCGAGACACTGCGGGCGGTGCCATTAATTCTCTCTTGAGAGACCACTCCGGCCCATCGGGAAGCTGTGCCAGTGCCTGCTCCATGATCTCCATGGTCTCTCTGAACAGTGCACACTTTTCCATTAGAGTTTGCCCCATACCCGGCCACTGCGCTCCCTGTCCCGTAAATATGCCAAAAATCCGAGGGCGTCTGTTCTCATCGAATTCGATAACAGGCGGACGAGTACCGATTTCCGTACCAGGGCTCTCACGGACTTTCGAGAGTTGTTTCTTTATTGCCTCGAGTAGGCCTGCTTTCGATGTCCCGGGGAAAGCTATTCGAACCGGAAGGGTTGAACGGCGCGAGTTGAGAGTCATCGCCAGGCGTTGAATAGACACATCAGTATTCTCCAGATAGTGTGCGTATTTTTCTAGCATTGCGACTAGTGCTGATTCGGAGCTAGCCGAGAAAACAAGGGGGGTTGGAGTGAAATCAACATCTGTTAAAGCAGAAGCCCGGAACTCGCGTGGTGCTTCCGGCGTTCCCCATGGTCCATGATCATGGATTTCGGGAACGTAACTTTCCATAATTGCGTGGCAGTTGGTACCGCCTGAGCCGAAGCCATTGACACTCGCCCGAAGCGGCTGATTTGGAGGGACTGAGGGCCACTCTTGAGGACTTATGGGTATTTGAAGCTTCTTATAGAAAGGCCTTACGCTCGGGTTGAGAGTATGAAGATGTTGGTTGGGCGGAATGGTCTTGTGTCGCATAGCCAGTAATACCTTCAACATTCCCGCGATACCAGCAGCTGTGGTGCCTAAAGTCAGCCTCAGGCGTATGTAATAATAGGATTCAAATACATACTTCCTTCTGTGTGGCCAATTATTGTCTTGACTGAGCCTACGACAAGAGAGGGCCAATCGTCATGCTCGTAGCCAGGTGGAAAAAATGTTTGGCTGAGGGCAGACGCCTCCCTAGGGTCTCCAGCTTGTGTTCCAGTACCTGCATTGCACAACTAGTTAGCCATAGTATTGCATTACAGTAAGATCTCGTGGATCAAACTCGACTGTTAAAGTGATGAAACCCACCATGTGCTTCAACATATTGAGGCCGATCTTCGACTTTCAAAACATCCAACCCTGCATTCTTATAAGCTGTGCTGATCAACGCTGCCTGCGCCTCGGCACTAGGCAGCGCGATTCCTTTCGTACGACCGTCCGAGTTTACACATGTTTCTCGGATTATTGCATCAATCCTGTCCCCGTCCTTAAGAGCTTGAGACAGTGTCTTCATAAAGAAAGCACAAATGCCTTCGCCTCGGGCATATCCATCTGCGGCCGTGTCCCACATTTGAGACTTGCCTGTCGGCGAGAGTAAGTGAAGACTTGTGGCCGCAAGATACGCATCGGGCCCTAAAATCAAATTGGAGCCCGCGACGCACGAAATCGTACACTCTCCATTCCGTAGACTTTGAACACCAAGATGGACAGCCGCTAAGCTTGAAGAACACGCTGTGTCTACCGATATGGAGGGACCATGCCAATCGAAGAAGTACGATAAACGATTAGAGAGCAGTGCGCGCGACGTTCCCGTGATCATGTACTGAGACATATTCTCAACATCCCGTGTTTGGGTATCTGTATAATCAGCCGACATAGCGCCTACGTAGGCGGACGTCTGGCTTCCTTTGAGTCCATGTATCGTGAGTCCTGCATTTTCCATGGCCTCATAGACAGTCTCCAGCAGGAGCCGCTGCTGGGGATCGATCGCCTCCGCCTCTCGGGGGGCAATGCTGAAGAATCCGGCGTCAAAGAGTCGTGGGTCCTCTTCGATGAAATAAGACTTAGTGACATTTATGGCGCCATGACGCTCGCCATTTGGGTGGTAAAAGCCATCGGCGTTGAAACGCGATTCTGATGGGACCGTCTTAGATAAGTCTCGCGGTGAGTGCAGCAAATCCCACAACTTTGAGGGGGAAGTCGAATCTCCTGGGAATCGACATCCGCTACCGATGATCGCTATGGGTTCTTTGGGCGAATGTGTGTATGCCATGGTATCTGAGTCAAAAATAGGATAGGAAGAAATAGGAGTTCTCTAACGAAACATTGGCGTTTAACGGTGGAATGCAGTCAACTTGCATACGCAGAGTCGCGTATAGACTTATATCCCTGCTCGAGCTAATTGTCAATTAAGTAATATTAAAAATTTTTTAAAATTCATACACACGGTAGGACAGCGACTTAGCAAATGAAGATAGGGTGCGAAATTTGACAACTCGACCGATCGATCGGTCAGGGCCCCAGCGGGGACATCGTCCTGCCGAATGGTTCGGAAGCGGTACCTTTACCCAAATTAGGGTTATTTTTGTTCGAAATAGCTCGTACACTAGCACACGCGCCACGCCGGGGCATCATTGAAAGCGCCGAATAGGATCCATCTTCCTGGCCTAAGGAGGACATAGTATCGCTAACAGAACTGACCTAATACTCGCAGTCAGTATTCGTTCCAGGTTGGCACTCTCTCATGATTCCACTCACCTTCTATCATCCTCAATGTCAAGGTACTGATTTCCCTGCTATTCGTTGGTTTGCCTGAGGCGATCTTCGTCAACAGACTGCTAGAGCATGACCATGGCGACTATGCACACATTCTTCAAGTCCCCCTTCTTTAACTTTGAGTACCTTCGACTCCTGGCCATGGCGCCACACGAAGGTGCTGAGATAGGAGAGGCACTCGAAGCAGCCGCCAAGATTAAGGATCTAGATCCAGAATCATGGTTCAGCGCCTTCCTTGACGCCGGCAACAAAGCTGAAAAAATCGCCAAGGAGGCCGAGCAAGTAGGCGACCGCGTAGCCGCGCGCCGGGCCTACCTGAGGTCATCTAACTACATCCGCGCGGCACAGTTCATGCTTAATGAAGGTCCTATTGGGCAAGACCAGCGCGTTCTTCCCAACATTAAGCGTGCAATTGCGAATTTTCGAAAGGGAGTCCAGTACCGCGATGGAAAGACATTCTTTCTAGAGATCCCGTACGAAAATGGGATCAATTTGCCCGGCTATCTTTACTTGCCAGAGGCTTCCAAGCGCATTCCTGGCCGCAAAATTCCTATTTTGCTGAACTCTGGTGGAGGCGATTCCACACAGGAAGAGATTTACTTCGTAAACCCGGCGTTTGGGCCAGAAGTAGGGTATGCAGTCGTCACGTTTGAAGGACCGGGTCAGGGAATTGTCCTCCGCCGCGACAAGCTGCCGATGCGCCCGGACTGGGAAGTAGTCACAGGTGCGGTCCTGGACCACCTGTTTGATTTCGCAGCCAGCCATCCAGAGCTTGAGCTCGACCTTGATCACATTGCTGTTACCGGTGCATCTATGGGTGGCTATTTTGCACTGCGTGCAGCCGCAGACAAACGTATCAAGGCGTGTGTTAGTGTCGACGGATTCTACAGTTTGGCAAGCTTCGTTGGCGGCAGAATGCCGGGGCCTCTCTTCAACGGCTTCATGAACGGCTGGCTGTCCGACGGTGTATTCAACACTATCCTGCGGTTTCTGCAGCGACTGGACTTCCAGGCGCGTTGGGAGTTCAATCATCTAAAGTGGGCAACAGGTACTACAACTGAAGCCGACATCATGCGGAGTTTCGGCGACTACACACTCCTCAACCCAGACGGTACCGAGTATCTAGCCGATGTGAAGTGTCCCACGCTGGTAACCGGGGCAGGGGCAAGCTGGTACTTTGATCCGGTGACTACAACAGACAAGATCTACGACTGCCTTACGAGTCTTAAACCTGGCGTGGACAAGGAAAAGTGGATCGCTCATGATATAGCCTATGGAGGGCTCCAGGCCAAAATCGGTGCTTTCGGCTACTCGGCGCAGAGAACCTTTCAGTGGCTAGACGCCAGATTCGGGATTGAGAGAACCGCCGGGGAGGCGACACCTAAAAACGGGAATGAGTTGAGTGAAATTTCGTGTTGAATTACTACTCGGCCCGAGTTTGGAGGGTACTCAAGCGAACCGAGTTCAAAGGTCTAGCTTGCATATCTGCGGGCGTTCTATCCTGACCGATTGCCATGGAGCTGGTTATTTGGTGAATTTTAGGTTTCTTAACTTTCAGAGTACTATATATTTCTTAAGATGTCAAGGGTTGAACCCAATGTATTGCTCAGGCATGGCCTTCGCTCCTATATAGGGCGCTAGATGCGACTGATCTCCGATCAGACGTCCTGTACCTTTTTATATGGTCAAGTGGTTTTATCTCTACTAGCGCAGAGACAACCAAACCATCACATAAGAGTTATGATTTTCTTTTCCTTAGACAAGATAAGGTTGATATAGTGAAATATAGTAATTATGATATACTAAAATATTAAAATATTAATTATCTTAATCAGAGGAAAATATAGATTTTCCGATATTTTGAATAGTTTTATTTTTAAAAGGCGCATAGAGTGACCGCTTGGTTGTATAGATGGCTCACTTACCGATTATTTTAAAGGTTACGAGACTAAATATAAGTTTTTTGTAGGTTTTAGCTCTGTATTGAATAATAGAATTAATTGATCATGCCAATCTTTTTCTAGAATTTCTGGAGCTAGATTCGTGATATTCAACCTAAATTAAGAAATGTTATATAAAGCAGCAAGCTTAGGTAAAGATATATATCTTGTAAACAGACCAAGTTTGTCGAAATTTCTACAATTTATAGGTTTTCCACTTCATATTAGATCACATAATGTGCAAAACTGCTGGGTTTTATTTATATTCAAGAAGGGCTACTATGCCCATAAAGTGTATCCATGCATTCCTAGACAGTTTGGAGGACGATGGTTGGAAAAAGTGTATAGTCGCAGACAATCCTCATAAAGCACATAAAAGCATTGCAATTTGCCATATGATGGAGTCAAAACTCTCAAACCGGAGCAAGCGCCAATGTCGAGCGCATCTTGCACACTGGAAGATCGCCTCGTCTCCAAGAAACCAAAGTTCAGTCAATCCAGTCGAGTTCAACCTCCAGCAGCGTTTCCGAATAAGCTCTGGAAGGATCACCTGACACAGCGCTCCTTGAAAGAACTCGATTTGAGGAAGATTGGTGCCGGTACTCTGACCTTTACGAGGGAGCCATTATGTGAATACCGCCTACCTAGCCTTAGACACGCTGACCCCAAGCAACAATCACCTCAATTCTCCCACCCTCACTCTCGAGCTCCGCCTTCACCCTCTCCGGCAAGGTATCAAGCTGCTCTTCATTGAAAGAAGTTGGCACACCCCTTGCAACGGAAGTCAGCGGCCGAACAGGTCCTGTAACGCCATTGACACTCTGGGTACGCAACTCCGGTTTCGCCGTCTTCCCTATCTCACATATGATTCGCCTCTCCTGAACGCTCTGCAGGCCCGCCTCTTCCAGCATGGACTTCAACTCATTGGCGAAATCGCCCACATTTATCCTCGTCCAAACTTCCGAGACCATCCGTGCGAAGTCGGTCATTGCGGGTCCGTTGCTGGGCGGGCTGAACGCGTTCATTTCCTGGAGCTGGACCCAGCCTCCCGGTTTCACTAGGGACGTGAAGTCCTTGACCACGTCGATGGGTTTCTTCGGGCTAGAGCCTGCGAGGCTACCCCGTATGTGGGCGAGGTCAAACGAGTTCCTGATGTCCTCTGGCCATGGCTCGGTGAAGGAGTGTTGAAAGAACGTGATGCCGTCTGGTTGCTCGGGGAAGAGCTCAGATTCGACATCACTGCCAAAGTAATGGTGCTTAGCTGAGAGCGAGCTACGCACGCCACGGAGCCAGGTGCCTTTCGAACCAACATCAGCACAATTCACAAGAGAGATAGGGGTACTAACCGTCAGCAGTGCCAGAGTCTAGTATTCTCTTGCCTGGCTCCTGCAGGTCAATGGGGGCCAAGACGAGCTTGCCATCCATCGCATCATCGTAGACCGCGTGGAGATCAACCAAGCGCTGCAGCTCGGCCGTGTGGCCGGCTTTTTTGGTCATGTTCATGAAGTTATCCATTTTGTTGCTCTTATGCTAACCTCTATGCAAAGATGTGGCCTAGACATATTGTCCGTACAGGCATGCTTTAGTAGGCCGCATGGAATCTCTCTGTGAATCACTTTCCTCTCTCCAGCTCCCAAAACAGCTAACGGTACGGTCCGTACCTTAGGCCGAAAGTGGTCAGGGCGCCGAAAATACTAGTCCTATGCCGAAAATGGTATACAGTGCCGAAAGCAGTCTTAAGAGTCTAAACCGAAAGTGGTTCATGATGTCGAATGCTACGGAGGTTTAGCACAAAGGATTTGCCTGTTTTCATGTAATGTAACCCGCCCACACATCGAAACACTATTATTTGTTGCAGAAGTTACTGCTAAGGATAATAGTATCTATAATCTTTGGGGGTTCTTTTCGTTCACTGAGATATAACTTTTCACGTCAGCAGCTAGGTAAAAGTTCGTTAGATCAAAATTATCAAGGAAAGTCGGATTCTAGGTATTGCGATATTCAATCTCCAATAGGAGATTTTGAAGCAGTAGCTTTACTCCATCTTTGTCGTGCTAGGAACGCGTCTGATATTGCGCATCATCCCAGTAAAAGTAGGAAAATGTAATTTAGGAGTGTTTCATGTAGAGTATTTTTTCTGCCAACCGACCAAAGTCACTAATTGGCGATTGGTCTAGCTTTGTGCTAGTTTATATACTCCCTTATTATCGATTGTTTAACATTTACATTTGCAAAATAACGACATGTTGCCGCCTGGGGGTGGGAATGAAAATATGAAGACCCTTGTGCTAAATCTCCTTAATCATTGCTAAATAAGGTGCAACCTCGTCTGCCGGTGAACCCGCAATTTCTGGACAATATAATTCGAGCTCAATAATCCTGACTTACTCAGTAGTCGTCTCCACGGCTAATAACTTCCTTCACGGTGGGTCGGAGCAAGATCGTCTTGTGTGCTTCGTTAATAGCGGTCTCCCCAGTGCACCTACGCAATTACTTACATGTTCAAATTGGGCTGTGTATGACCCTTTCTTGTCAACCAAAGGCGGGTAGTCTTCAACAATGCCGGATTTAACGAGGGTGTTTAGCTGCCCATTTGTTAGCCATATTTTAGCACTAGGCAGGTCTGTCATACGCCGAATAGATATTTCTCCTGTCCAATCCTGTCCAAATAGCGTCGGCAGAAGGGAAGAGTCCCAAAATTCTTCTTAATAGTATTTAACAGCGATTTGGCCGAAGACAGACGTAGGTCCGCCTTTGGCGCGTCACTGCATAGGGCGTAATGCGAGATTTCACCCTGATCGTAACACCGTCCATTACCAGTGCTGCCGAAGGTCTCAATAGCAAAGACATCGCCTTCTTCCATTTTGGTAGGGTCGCTTGTCTTCACAGCAGGAACGGTTTTGGTGCCGTGGATGCTGTATGGTAAGATGGTGTGGCCGTTCAGGTTGCGAATCGGCTTGATTGGGTAGGTAGTTCCATTGATCTCGCATTCGTAGCTTTCCATAGTTTCCTGGATGTACCCACCTAGCTCGCCGAGACGAACATCAATTCCTGCCTCGCGGACACCAGTATTTGTCGCATCCTTCACGGCTTCGAGGAGGTTGTCATACATCGGATCGAATGCCATCGTGAAGGCGCTGTCGACAATACGACCATTCACATGGACGCCGATGTCAACCTTCATGACATTGGTCTGCTGAAGCACAGTCTTGCAACCTGCATTTGGGCTGTAGTGGGCAGCAATTTCGTCAAGGTTCAAGCCAGTCGGGAAACCCATGCCGGCAATCATAGCATCGCCTTCGGATAAGCCATCGTGTCCGACCAGACGACGTACACTATCCTCAATACCATTGGCAATCTCAGTGAGCGTCTGACCTGGCTTGATGTTTTTTTGGGCCCACTGGCGGACCTGACGATGCGTCTCAGCTGCCTGTCGGTAATCAGAGAGGAAGTCGCTGTTCATGTTATCCAGATAGCGCTTCTCTTCGTTGGTAGTGCGATGCCGATTGTCATCCTTATACTCGACCTCTTCGCCCTTAGGGTAGTTGTTGTTTGGAAATAATTGGGATATGAGGACTGAAGGAGGATCTGTCTGGACAGTCGGAACCTTTTTCTTCTTCTTGGGTTTCTTCTTCTTGTTCTTCCTTTTCTTGGCAGCACCTTCACCGGCGGCAGCAATGGCTGCAGCGACACGGTCGTCAGGATCATCGCCCGATTCTTCGCCAGAGTCTTCTGCAGCACCGCTGTTCGCGGTGCCGTTAGCACCGGCGGCGCCGGTAACCCCGTCAGATTCTTTGACTATACAAACTTCCGTTAGCTGGTGTTGCTTCCTGATGTACTCAAGAGACATATGACACACCACTGAGCGTCTTGAGCTCATCTACGGGGGCTTTGGCAGCCATGTTGGCGACAGAAGTGGTCCGTAGGTTTTTTTTTTTTTTTTTTGGTGTGGAAAAAACCAGTTACGTTCGACACCAACTGCTGTGCCGCCGAATTTCGAGATGCAGGGCCAGCGCTGTGTGATGGTCGGAGTTTAACACGATACTAGTCACAATACCCTATGCTCGACACGGTTAGTTAGTTACCTTGAAGAGCGGGGCAATCAACCACTGACCCTGTCTACCGTTACATGCGCAAAAAATTGCTACGTAATGAATACGAGTTTTACGGCGAGATGAGGCTGACTTCTTGCACTTTGATTAACAAGACCAGCCAACGAAAAATATTTATTTTTCTTTTCTTTAAGCTTCCATCTCTCGGTGTTATCACGGCATTCGATCCCAGCCTTGCCATGAATCCTATGATGGCCGACAACCCACCCGAGAGAAAGTGTCAAGGAGCAGACTGTGAAAATGATGCTGGAGCTTTACAGTGCCCGACATGTCTGAAGTTAGGCTTCAAAGACAGCTATTTCTGCTCCCAAGAATGTTTCAAAAAGAACTGGGTTTGTTTCCGTATCTCCCTCTCCTTACAAGACTGCGGGCTGATAGGTCACGTGTTATAGAGCCAACATAAGACAATACACAAGACACAAAATGGTATCATCCACAAAATCATCCCTCCAAGGGTTGTATCTAAACCCGATCCAGTTACCGGACTTTACAATCCTTTCCCAACTTATTTCTTCACCGGCTCTGTCCGACCTGTCTATCCACTTTCTCCGAAACGCACCGTTCCCAAGTCGATCAGACACCCTGACTGGGCTGTGACTGGCATACCCAAGGGCGAGCGACGTTTGAGCAGGACAAAAATCGATCTTCTCGATGCCAAGGGCCAGGAGGCTATGCGCAAGGTTTGCCGACTAGCTCGAGAAGTACTAGACATCACTGCTGCAGAGCTCAGGCCCGGTATTACCACGGACTACCTTGACGAGGTCTGCCACAAAGCTTGTGTAGAACGGAATGTAAGTGCGGCACGCTTCAAAGATAAAGTTGATTATTTCTAATCATGGCAGTCATATCCTTCTCCCTTGAACTATAATCACTTTCCTAAATCGCTGTGCACTTCACCGAACGAAGTTGTTTGTCACGGAATACCCGACCAGCGAGTCCTTCTCGATGGTGATATCCTCAATCTCGATATCTCATTATATCACGGGGGCTATCATGCAGATCTGAACGAAACGTATTACGTGGGCGATCGAGCCAAGGCGGACCCAGACTCGGTCAGGGTAGTTGAAACAACACGAGAATGCCTGGATAAGGCAATTGAGCTAGTGAAGCCTGGCACGCCAATCCGAGAGTTTGGTAAGGTCATTGAGAAGCATGCCAAGTCCAGAAACTGTAGTGTCATTACAACCTGGGGTGGCCATGGCATCAACACTGAATTCCATCCCCCACCGTGGATTCCTCATTATGGCAAGAACAAGGCAGTGGGAGTATGCAAACCTGGCATGACTTTTACAATCGAGCCCATCCTTACACTTGGAAAACCCCGTGAGGTCTATTGGCCGGATGACTGGACCAATGTAACTGTTGATGGCAAACGGACTGCTCAATTTGGTGCGTACAAAAAGGATTTCGCGAGTACGCACAATGCTAACACACGTATAGAACACACCTTACTTGTCACAGAAACAGCTGTTGAGGTCTTGACCGCGAGACACGAAAATTCTCCAGGGGGACCAATACCGATCCCAACGACTATGCATGGGACTACGAATGAGGAAAAAGCTAATGGTGCTTCAAACGCATAGCTCGGCCTGTCGATGCCAAATTAAACCACACAGCAGGGCGTGGAGATTTGGTCAGGTGAATCCTGTATGGAAACATAGAAGATTTTCAAGGCCTTGTAGCACATAAACCAAATCGATGGCATAATCATAGGAAAGTCCCCTGGTCAATTACAACATGGTCGAAGGGCAAGTGGCGTGAGCCGGTCACTCGGCAGTTTGTCATGTATTCCACAAATTTTGGTGATCATTGGCGTGTTCTAAGAAGCCTATAGACGTACACTGCATTTACAGAATGTTCAGAGAGTCGAATGACCACTTCATGATAGCATGTTAAAATACAGCCGTGCCGATCAGTAGTAAAAAGCTTGTGAGACATCTTTGACACTTTCCAGAACGCGCTTAACTATCATGTAACTACTCTTGTCAGCGCAACCCTTAAAAAAGCGAAGACTTTGTGCCAATATACATGTGAAACGACAAACGCCGGAGCTACTGGAGGCAAATCCCTGCCTGAAAAGGCTGAATTGGGAGAAGGTTTGTTTAGTTACTATATATTGTTTCTTATGATGGTTTCAAGATACGTCGTCTCTCTTGCACTGGGAGCTGAGCGACTTGGGCTCTTTCTTGAGGAAGCTAGTTCTGGCTCTGAGTTTCGTGCAGAGTCCTCTGAGAGGCCGCATATCCGTGGATTATCTATGCCCTTGGCTGAGATTTGCTATTCGGAAGTGGGCTTTACGATTTGGACCCTCGGCGATTACATGACAAAGAACGTTAGTCCATAGGTATTGGGACATCATGTGAAGCAATGAAGTGACGTGGCTACTGGTAGAAGCCGTGGCTCCAGAAGAAGAGGTTGATGACAACACATCTCAATCCTGAACATAGAGGGAATATTCAAGTTCGTATAAAATTACATATATAATTCGGACAGGAACCAGGTCCGGCTGCGTAGTGGTACTGAGCCTTACCACTACGCTCCAGCCCAAAAGGCGTAAATCGATGGCCTTCCGGTCATCGAGCTCAGCGTACTATATAGCCAGGCCAGAGCCGTGATATTAATATAGTAGAGTATATTTTTTATGTATTTTGTACAATATAGCATTAAGATAGTTATTTGAAGTCTAACAAGCAGTCTAGAATATGGCAAGGTCTTAGACGAAGCTGAAGTACAGCCCCAAGATTAATTAATGTATTAGGCAAGTTCTTTGAATCGCACCTACTCAACTTTACTTCTCTTGTGCCTCTGTACTCAAATTATACAAGGTTTAGTTGTTCGCGTTTTCATTTTTAAGTTCCTAAGCTCAGCAATTCGCAACGCCTTATGCTATTTCGTATTTACATCAGATTTCTAAGAATAGTAGCGTATCTTCTAATTGCTCGCGACGGACTCCCACCTAGCTTTTCGAGTACTTATCCGCCATGTACGTCAAGTCACCGTGAACAACATAGCCAATATGACTCAGTCCAAACAACTCCTTTAACTCAGGGCTCAGTGTCTCTTGAAGTTCCCTGGGCAGCTTAGCAGTCCAGTTTACTAGTTGACGCATGTAAGGAGCTGAGTAATAGGCAAAAAGGAGTGCACGATCCTCGTTGGTAACATTGCTACCTGATGTGTGCCAGAGACGGCCATCGAGGACAACGATGTCGCCAGCGTCTGCCTCAAATGGTACCAAGAGGTCCGGAGCGTTGGCGGGAACGTCCTCCCAGCGTGTCCACTTATTAGAACCAGGAATGTATAGTGTCGCGCCATTCTCTTTGGTCATTTTGGTTAGGCACCAAATCACATTGACCGCCCACGTACTCAGCCAGGGTTCGGGGAGGACAATACTCTGATCCGAGTGTAGTGCCATACTCTGCGAACCTGGACGTGCGATGTTTGCCGAGAAATTGCTGACGAGGAACTTTTCGCCTAGCACCGACTTGGTCATCTCTATGCCCGTAGGGTGCGTGAGCATGTCGCGGAACAACTCGTCGAGCTCTGGGAGATAAAACACCCGCACATTAGAAGGGTTGGGGTCCAAGATAGGCTGGAATGTTTCCTCTCCACTGGCCTCGGACGCTTCCTTCGCCTTCCATAGTCGATCAAGAGCGTTAGCTGCTTCGTCTTTGGTCAGAACTGACGGGATCTTAACCCAGCCGTGCTCCCGAAGGCGGGCCTTGGCTTCTTCAATATTAACACTCATGATCCAGGTAGGAGGTTTGTAATTGGGAGCAGAACATGTAATTCTCCAGCACAAAAAGTTTCTTGGGTGGCGAGATTGAGGTGATAGAGATGGTGCTAGTTTTCGGGGGGGATATAATGTAGGGTAGAAGGGGTAAACTCAAGTCATGTACTGTACCTTTTAGGCTGACTAGACGATGGCAAGGTCCTTTCAATGAGATTTCTTTTTATTGGAGGGCAATCTGTAAGTGGGCATGATACCAACGTTCCGGATACATAGGGTACACGACTACCTCTACTACCCGAACCGAAGGACTGTAGCTTCGGTCGGCAAAAGAAGGAAAGGCCGAACTAGGGGCAGACGCGAATTTCCGGCATCTCAATCCCATAAGTTAGCCACCGACAAGCGCCGGCTTCAGTCCAAGGCCCAACTCCTCTCGAAAGGCATGTGTCCGTTACATTCTGACTAATTTAGAGCCTTACTAAGGCCTGTTGCGACCTAATAGTCCGTGTCTGTGCTCAGCAGCCTGTTTAGTGCGCGACTTTGCGGTCTTTGAGATGCATTTGGACAGTCCAGTACCGCACAAATATGTTGTTTTGACCGGAACTATTCTGCTTACCTTCCTCATTTTCTGGCCCATTTCCGCCTCGCATACATGAAATGCTACTGACTGCATCGCCCATTTTTCTTTGCAGTTCCTCGAGGTGAATACTGAGTTCTGGTCAGTCTACTAAAACTCTCAGTATGGTCTGTGTGAGTGTGTATTCATACTCCTTCTCCCCGCCCTCGACGATATATAGGCAAACACTATAGCTATATCTATGTGTCTGTATTTATAATATTCCACTACATCCATACAAACTCCCAGTGAATCCATTAGAAAACTCGACTTTCCTCGATTGGATCGTAGGAACTCGGGCAGATTGCAACTGTGATGCTACTGCAACGAGGTTCGAAGGCTCTGCCAACTGCCCAACCCTTCTGACCTAGGCGGCGCATACGTGGATGGATTATTATACTGTGCTGATATTGAGGAGATTTGCATCTCCGATGGCCGGTTCTTGCTCTGCCGCGATGCGGCGAAGAAGGTCGGCGTGATGAGGGCTTCGTGGCTCGATCTTGAATTTGTACGGTTTGGGGCGATTGACCATACCTGCAACTGCCTCGAGCTTTACGGGAATCTCGTTTCCGTTCACATCCTTAGCCTTGCGGATCTGGAAAGCAGCGAGCATTTGTACCACTGTTATATAGACACTAGCGTCTGCAAAAAAGCGGCCGGCACAAGATCTTCGCCCGTAGCCAAAGGCTAGCTCACTAGGGTCAGGCTCGTTGAGCGGCGCCAGATACCTCTCTGGCTTGAAAATTTGCGGGTCAGAGTAATCCTTCGGGTCATGTAGAAACCACCAAAGGGAGGGAAGTAAATAAGACCCCTTGGGGATAATGTATTCTCCGTAAAAGATATCTTCTTCCGATTTGTGGGTCAGGCCCATCGGTCCAACAGGATTCCATCGCCATGCTTCTTTCACGATACCGTCGACGTAAGGAAGGTTCTTCCTGTCTTCGAAGTTGGGAAGCCGATCAATGCCGATGACACGGTCAATCTCTTCTTGCGCCCTTTGCACCACTTCAGGAAACATCAAAAAAGCTAGAATGACACTTTGCATGATGGCGACCGTACTATCTGAGCCTGCAGCATAGAGACTGACAGCAGTCCATTTGACGGCCTCTTCATCATCTGGCTCCAGATTGAGATCATTGCCGCTCTTGGTCATGTTCTGTTGCAGCAGATTGGAAACGTAAGACGGTCGATGAGCGTTTAATGCCAGCTGTCGCTTTACGAAAGAGTAAGGGATCTCTGCCGCGGCCTCGTTGACTGCTTTCCACTTCTGAGCGGTCTTCCTGTAAGACATACCGGGGAACCATTCTGGAAGTTTTTCGACGGCTGGGACGGCATCGACGACCCAAGCCAGTGGCACAAACGCCTGGGACAAGTTGTCCATCGTGTGCTCAATTAGATCAACAAGCGGATCAGCCCCATTCCTCTCTATCGAATAGCCATACGTAATTTTTAAAATGATGGCGGCTGCCAGACTGGGAGAGTGTCAGTTTGCAAAATGCATACACTTGGTCTTCTAGGAACGGAGGTGCAGCTTACGTTTTTAGATATACCATCATGTTGTCAGGGTCATTAAAGGTCTCCAGAATAAAATAAAGGGCTTCCTTCTCTTGCAGGGGCTGGAAACCAGCTGACAGACCCTTGGTGCCTATCTCCTGATGGACCATCTTTCGATGCTTGCGATATTTGCTGTCATACTGATGGGTAATAAGGAAGTTTTCGAATCCACAGAGCGTGGCAAAATTCAGCTGCGGTCTTGCCGATGTCTTCTGGGCTTTTTTTCCCATAACGGCATGTGCAGCCTCTTTGTCATGAAAGATGACGAGATGCATGCCCATCACATTGATCGAGCTGATGGGACCATAGGTATCTTTGTGCTTGAACCAATGCTGGAACTCTGGCACCCCTTTAGGTGGAAGATCCAAAATATTGCCGACGAAGGGCAGAGGCTTTGGCCCAGGAGGAAGACGATATTTTGGTTTCCGCTTCAAAACTTTTTGACTGACTAGCAGTCCAAGGACGGCTATCAAAGCCACAAAGCCCACTTGAACGGACATAACAGTAGCCATGATTTCCGAAAAGTATAAATCCAACTTTCAGTCGTGCGGAAGTCCGAGAGGGTTCCCTGGTAGAAGTAGTGCTCCCGTGGTAGATCTTTTGTGTCTAGTTCGCCCTTGTGGGCTTGGTATGAATCACTTCTTTACCATATAATAGATGGCATCGGGCCTGTCTCAATAATAGATACAGCCCAATATATATCTGGGATGGGTCCATTCAACAGGCTAATTGACCTCGGACCTTTCTTTCAGGTATAACCCAGATACCTAAACCCAAGGAAGGCATTCATTCCGAACTTGAATCTGACTCGGAATGGCGTAATCTTTGCTGGTTCTTCGGAGATTTGCAAATTCCGTGCTTCATATGAAGAGGCCTATGGAATTCCCCTAATAGGAAAGTCCGTCAATCATAGAGAATTCTGCAAAATTAATGTTACGTCAACTGCATTTTTAAAAGAAAATGGTAGAAGCAGACTGTTTCGGCGCAATCGTTATGTAATTGTACCATAAGGAAGCATATGTGATGTCCATATCATAACCTGTTTGCCAGACTAAAAATCAGTGTTCGTATCTCTATTTTGTTCTCTCCACGAAAGCTGCGTCTTTGTGTTGCCGATATTAGCTATGAAGGTCCCCTTCGGATTGATAGTTCGCTCCTCCGAGTTTGTAAAAACTTTATATTTGTTTGGAAAATCTGATATCCCTGCCGCCACTTTGCCTCCAGTATGTATCACCCAGTAGTCTGAGCAGCTCGCTAATAAGCAACGATGTAGATGGCCATTGCCCTTGTGCTCGCTGGACCTTCAGGCTTCTACTTGATCGCGAAGGGGTTCCTTTGGAATCAATTACATTTGCTTACTTTCCAAGTATATTCAAGGAACTATGTTATAGCACTGACTTACATTCGACTTACATGGACATAGGTCAAAAATCAGGTCAGCGTGGCCTTCCACATCATAAAATACGACCTATGCACTCATTCGAGTGATTAGATCAACGGCGTGGAAGAAGACAGAATCGCAAAACCGCATCGGCCTCTACCATCCGGTCGTATATCGCCAGAGAGTGCAACCATACTCTACTACATTCTATTTACGTCGATGTGGGTTGCAGCCTTTTATACAAAGACGATCCCATGCACTATAACCTACTCGGTGGCCATCGTGATCTACAACGAAGGGGGCCTGGCTGCGATACCCGTCGTGAAAAATGTTATCGGTGCCATAGGTCTGGCATGTTACTGTTGGGGAACCACTATCATACTCGGTACGGGCCTCAGCCACCGGTAGATATAAATTAAATCTGACATGCTCTAAGATCGTGGAAGGGAGCTGCACGGTTTGAAGGCAATGGCTACGTTTATGATGGGTACTATATTTGCCACCACTGTAAGTTTGCGCTTGCCACATTCTTCCTGGCAGTTGATACGAGCCGCAATCATGTAGGGTCATGCCCAAGATTTCCGTGATCGTTCCGCCGACGCTCTAATGGGTCGCAAGACGATCCCGCTGCTGCTCTCCCAGCCGGTGGCCCGCTGGTCACTCGCCGCCTTGATCACAGCTTGGACGATAGGTCTAATCGCTTTATGGCGGCCACCGCTTGTGGCTAGTATTGCATTCGCTGCCCTAGGTCTACGGTGCCTAGGTGGCTATGTTTCTAGCTATGACGAGAAAGACGATTATGTATCGTACTGTTGGTATGGTGTGAGTGAAGTCCGCTACCCTCAGCTCAAAATTCAAGTGCTCACAATTACCTCAACAGTTCTGGCTTCTTGGGAGTAACTTGCTCCCTGTCTTTCCTCGATTAAGAGGTGAGATGCATTAGAAGTATTGTGGAGATACATGGGACGATGTATAAAGTAGAGGAGCCTCCATAAGTCGTTGCCATAAGCTGGGACGTTGAGACTCTGTATAGAAGACTAGTTACGATCACTGAGCTTCGTACCCTTATTAACGTGTGTTTATGGGATGCCTAGATCGTTATTGACGGGGAGAGAAGGGTGTTGGAGAGTTGTCTACAGTAAACAATAAAGATGTTGACCCGAGCTGCTGCGTAGAATTTCACGATACGGTATCTATAATTTAGTTTCGAGTTCCTGATAAATTTCTTAGGCTACCAGCTACGACTGATGGCTGGGAACCGCATTGTCCAGGAAACAGGGGAAAGTCACTACGCCCGACAGCGTTTTGGCTCTCTATTTGCACTAGGAGGACCGCTAGTCTCCGCGTAAGGTATGCAAGGAATCTCGGTAAGACCCTCTGAAGCAGGATTAATTGACCACGGGCCCATTGAAGTGCCATGCACATGCTCAAGTTCTTGGCCAACGCAACTAACATAAGCCGTTGGACCATAAGCCGTTGGGCCATAAGCCGTTGGACGAACAAAAGCAGTTCCTATATAGATGCATTTCCCGAGAGGAAGAGCTCCTTTGGAAGACACAGTGCAAACCTTGTACAGTAGGAGACCTTCTTTCCTTCATGGATTGAAGGGGCAAGCAGAAATGATAGACTTCTTGGGTTACACACGCGGCTCCTGCGGCCGAGTGGATAAATTTCGGTGAGATGCACCTCTGGATATAGCTGCCCACGCAGCTCCGAACGCCGATCACTCGGTATGATATCGGCGATAGTATTATTGATTTCTTCTTACGTACCCGATTCGGCGGTTGCATTGGCCCCAGAAGCATAATCACCAGCGGGACTCACTACAAGTTCTCTCTTCATCCGTAGAAAGGCTCCGTTCCCCTCGGTTGCTATTTTGTGTGAACTCGAGCACTTCACGATCCTTTACGACTTTTCGCCAAAATGGCCGAGCCTGCTCAGCCCATACAGAAGAGGCGCCTACTGCGGATGACCGTGGCACATTACCGCCAACCACATGTCAGTGAAGAGGATTTCCATCGCTGGGTCACCGAGCAACACGCCGCACGCGCGGCCAAGCTTCATGCCAAGAATGGTATCGAGGGGTTTTCTATAGTAAGTACAACACAATTGCATGTCATCCGGCCTGTTACTGTCTCTTAGGAGTAGCTGACTAGTATTGTTATTTTAGTATTTTGCTCCTAGATCATTTCGTGACATGACGGAAGAGCTTAATGCCAAACGCGGAAAGCCATGGGTTGTCCGTGACTACGATGCTCAAGTCGAGTTTCTGTTTCGCGATATGGAGACTTTCTACAAGGGGGCATCTGATCCCGACTTTCAATCGCTACAGGCAGAAGAGGAACCTTTTATTAGTGGCATCCACGCGGAAGTCAGTGTTGGTTGGATAGAGACATATGTTAGCGATGGGAAGGTTGTGAATATTGGTGAAGATGGTAGGCCCAACTACCCAGAATTTAAGGAATTGAATGTTGCCCCATAGGCAGATCTAATATGAAAGGTAAACTGTACCTTCTTTTGATTCTTTAAGAATCAGTTCGTGGATCAATTTGATCTACTGATTTAATCCATGCTTCATATTCCCGTTGCTATGAAAAGCTGCTAGAATACCATTGGAATCTGGTTACTTTATTCTATTTTCAACAAGGGTAAGTGTTTTTTCAATCTGCTCTAGCGCCAAGTATTCTTTTATCTCGTCTCCATGATGCCAGCACTGCATGGGCATAAACCTTGTCAAGGAACACCACACTGGAGAGCACGTCTCCAGGCTACATGTAGGAGTTTCATGGTGGACTCTTCCTTGGCTCTTATTGCCTGTAGCGTTACTTTAGCCACGCCACTCAATCCACCACCATCACCGGTACCTTGCTCGCCATCCGTATGAGACATCCTCGCTGTTCCATTGCGAGTATTCGCAGGGGTTATCATTTCGTTAACTTGATTATGTATCTGCATTATCATTGCCTCAATGATGCACATCAAGACAAGTGGTCGCGTCGACGAGGATGTGGGTAATTTAAAGGAGCCAATCGCTAGACTCGGCAGTTGAATTGGAAAGTGCCCATCAGCAGAAGATACACCCATCATGAATTGGATCTCAGTCCATATTTTGATGTGCTGTAAGATCTTGTCGTATGACTCGACAAGACACAGATAGCTGGATAATACAAGCAGCTGTGAAGGTTGGTCTAATGCGAGAGCGGCTGTTATAGGCCTGGTAGATCCCTGGTGGGTCTTGAATCGAGAAAAGATATCCGTAAGAATTTCCGTAAACTGGTATGAGAGTTTGAATGTGCGATCTACTGCAAGTTCTTGATCGTGCTGGATGGAGTTAGGGGCGCTACTCGTCCCACTGCTTTTGGTATTTGTCCACATGCTTTGCTCTATTTCAGTCGAAGGAATCGAAAACTTATGTTGGTGAAGCTCCAAGTTCATATCCGAAAGTTTACGAATCCAGGATGTCATGACGGGGTCAACAATAGGGTTGGTAGTTTGCTGTCCCATATTATACGATTCCTGAGTCTCGCAGTGGGTGGGCTGCGAACGACTAGTAACTGAAGGCCCATAACCGGAATCAGCGCCAGTATCCTCCCTGTCGGTGTTCAGAGCTGTCCCTCCCTGGTAATCGAAGTCTATGAGACGAGCGTTCCCTTCATCCTGGGCCTCCTGACAGTTTAGGCTCTTTGGAATCATATTCCTTGCAAGAGACAGCCGGCGACTGGAATGAGTTGAAGACGCTTGCGAGTAGGGAGGCACCAGCGTAGATGTGGAAGCGGATAAAATATAGGAGCCTTGAGACGTGCGATGGAGCTCAGTTTGATGTTCATGCTCGGATCGCCCATCACTACGGCCCCGATGCGCTTCCAGAGCCAATGGCTGGCTAGAGTGGTGACTTTGCATAGTACCAGGATCCATAGCGGGTTGCAGATTACGTGCTTCCAAAGGAGGACCAATTTCACCCTGTGGAGAACCAAAATCCAGACCCAGATCCAAATCAGGCGGAAAATCAAGCAAGCTTGAAGGTGAAAGACTGAAATGGGCTGGAACGTCCTTGTTGACCTGCTCGGTGGCACGGTTTACTTTGGGCAGTTAGCTCTTAAAATTCATACATTCTTCTTTTGATCGTGTGGCTTACTAAGTGATTGTGCAGAGTTGTTGCCATGCATTGGTGCCGACTGAGCTGCGTTAGAACGCACGCGGTGTCGAGACCTCACAGGCCTCGGGGTACACTTAACACGAGCTCTCTGACAACGTAGACAGCCTTCATTGCTGTTTTCCCGTATGCACCGAAGCTTCTGCCCGTGGCAGCGATCACATGCACCACGAGAAAGGCCCAGATCATGAACGAGCATGCTCATTGTGCAGGATTCGCCAGTATTGTACGTCGTAGACGGATTCCGTGAGGTAATTGTCCAACAGCCAAAATTTAGAAGGACAAGGGTACGTTCTCAGAAGAGTTTCTTGTCGCTCGGCCTCGAAAGAAGCCTAGTGCATCTCGATCTTCATGTGTCGTATTTGTTTACATAATTGGGTTCGTACTGCCGCTGCTACGGTACCAAATGTATGAATACATCTCCACTTTGAAGGGGAAATGGTGGGTCTGTTCATAAACTAAATTGGATTGGGTTTATCTTAGGGGTCGATTAATGTGGTTTGGTAATATGGGAAATTAAATAGAAAATAAAGAAAACAGGCTGACTCCAAAAGGTTATAATGCTTAAGAAATATAGGCTTAAATAGCCTCATATGGTATATCCTTGCTCAAATACGAAGCGGTACAGGCGGTGAGATTGGAAGGAAGTTGGATCACTTGTATGGAGTATAGCGACTAAATTTGAGCACCGCCTGCTATTTTAGGTATTTCTGCCTAATTAATAGCTATTCTTTTGACTTTATTTGCTATTGCTCCATACGCTAAAGTATGTGCACAGGCCATATTAGGGGAGTGTTCCAATTTTCAAATACGAGGCACCACAATCCTTCCCGATTCGGCGCCGTGCATACATATACGAGCGACAGACTCCCACTAAAGGAGCGGAGTTAATCGGCCGGCGGTCCGCCGAACCCGAACCCTAACTGTCCACAGCAGGGCCCAAGTTACTAAGATGGATCCGAACACAATTGTAAAGAGGATGGATGGACAGTGGAGGTGCGTTTCTTTACTTTTCGGAGGTTGGACCCACATAGTCCTGTCTTGACAGTAATGCCACGTATGGCTGTAATGTAACTTTTCATATATTTGATCTTATGAAGGTACTTAAGCAATAAAATCAAGACACGTTAATTATACATTATAATGGCTCAAATGGCCCAAAAATAATCCTGAAAAGTGCAAAATGAGGCTATACAAAGCACTAGAATAGTGGTCCATCTCCTAAATTCTGTCGTTTAGAGAGATACCCCTAACTCTAGTGTTTTTCCCTGAATCCTTTCCTGTGCGGCTCTTTATATTCCTTCTCTAATTCCAACTGAATAATGTCTTAAACACGACGGACGAGATGCTCAATCCAATGTTGTAGTCTCCTGAGACAGCTCATGCCAGTCCTTTTTTTATGCAGATTCTGCAGTTTTCTTATTCGGCGAAGCTCCTCGAGGTTGTACAGTTCTTTAGCCATGGCCATGGCCACTCAATTGCATTGAGATCTGGTGAGTTGCCAGGCCAAATTTAGGATTTTTTTTTTAGCGCCATGACAATCAGATACTGTCTTCTAAAAGTGACAATAGTGATCGGAGCTTTATCTTCCAGTATAATAGTATTCGGACGCTCCACTATGCATTCTTTTGCACAAGATATAAGCTTGGGCTAGGGGACTTCCTAAAGAAAAAAAGGGTCTTTTGAATATCGCTCCAGTTTGCCATTCTTTCTTGTCCAATTCCATTTAGGCTCTTTACCTAGCATTTTACCTGTACGAAGTTTCATTTATGCAAGAGTTGTATTCAATTACTATTCTTCTTTTTCTAATGGTTTACGCTCCTTATCTATTGCTGCAATTTCTTTAGAAGCCTCTTTTTTTGCTTCGCTGTCTACGGTTTCCGGACATGTAAAGGACCTTTCTTATCATATGTAAAACATTTCCAGACTATGAATTCATTCTTTCACTTCTAGTAGCGGCGGATACAAGAGATTTTATAGGCCTCATAACTTGTACGTCAGATGGCCAAACTTCCACGGCTTTGGCCAAGAGATACAAATGTTTCATCGGTAAAAATAGTATTTTTAAAGTCCTCCAGCATCTCAGCTTGGAGGGAAAGACAGAATTACAAAATCCTCTTTTTACTCGTCAGTAATGCCAGATTTAGTAGTCGGGTTAACTGAATAAAAGCCATGATCACAAAGACTATGCCGAATTAAGACAGGATAAAAAACTTCAAAAGCAAGGATCCCCATTCCAATTCTTTTATACAGATTAAATACTAGATTTTTGTGTTTAACCTGCTACTTTTGGACGAGCAGTATGTTTACCATCTTCAAAATACTTTATCAAGCTCTGGGGGTCAATATCTTGTTTAAAGCCTCGTTCGCGCGCTTTCCTATCAAAAATTAAGCGTATTCCGGTGCATGCTAGTAATAGCTTCATCTGCTCAAGCTCTATACCAGCATTGTGTTAGGAGCCCTCGGAATCGCGACAGCTTAGTTGGATCCTTGGCTAGGATATTTAGTCAAATGCGAACATATATTCGCATCTTCTGACCTGAAATCTTGAAGGCTAGCGATTAGCTCTGCAATATAAGTGGCCCTTCCTTTCCTCCCTATGTACATATATATATATATATTCCCATTTGTACCATAGCGCACCATCCAGTTCGTTACCGACCCCACGCATAATATATGGTATAAGGTAAGCGCTTGAGCGCGTACTCCAACTGAATGATATAAATCCCCTTATTGGTATGACAGTGGTAGAAACAGTAAGAAGTACGTAAGCAGGCAGGCAATAAAAAGATCTCTTTCGCCCTTGAATAGCTTCGTAATTACTTTTTAAAAAAGAAAATAAATTTATCCTCGAAGTAAGCTGTTATATAAACCATGTCAACCTTATAATACCTCTAGTAGTTGCAGTCATTATTTGCCTTAATATTGCCATACTTTATACGCATGTTTACCCTTATTTCTCATCTATTTAGTCTTGAATATTTGCTTAGATTAGAGGAGTCCTTCCAGAATTTATCGGGATGCGTACTAGCCAATACGTTAAGCGAGGTGGTCAACAAATTACTACGGAGTATGTAGCTAGCTGTTTTACGCGGCATTACCATGCATGTGGACCCACCTTGGATGACTAAAGAAGCACAACTGTAGCTAGTAATCTTCGACACACATTAAGAAAATGTCAACCTTGAGATACCTCTATTCCCGATTCATGTCTGGTTTTTGTTTTCAGTCAGTGCCCGCTCCGTCAACATTTAGTATCATGTTTTAACTATTCCATATTTAGTTTGACACCTTGCCTACGTATTTAGGGAGGATAAGGATGTTGATTAGGAGAATCAGACCTTCATATGTCAGGTGATTGAGTGCTAGTTAGTACGTTTAGTGGCACAAAGAATGTTTCACCCGTCTGCAAGGTATGACCTCCAAATTTGTAGCGAAACTCAGCAAGAAAATGTGGATATCTCAGTGAACAAGAGGGGTTAGCGTGGCACTTGTCTAAGTCGCTAGCTAATTGATGGTATACCGAATAACAGTGCGTTAACTAGATACGCACTACCTTCTGAAGAGCCCCATAATTAATACCAGTCTTGTTATGAAAAGCCTCGAAATAGGATTCCATTCTCAGGACCCAAGTCAGTCGCATGTGGAGCGGACCTCGCGTAACTATTAACTGTCAGAATTTATATGGACTTTTGGGACAACTTGAATATTTTTTGACTTGACACCTAACTCGTATACGTCTGTCACGACTGAACAAGCGATCTCCTTATAACTTTCTAACTAATGTCTCCTATAAAACAATCTGCGTCAACACAAAATAACTATGCAAGGATCAAATGGCGTGACCACTAGTGCGGTAATTTGGAGCTTATATAGATTAGCGGTCTCTGTCAGGTTGACAATATTGCTCGTCGGCGGGAGGTACCCATTCTACCCCTGAAGAATCCTTTAGTTAGAAGACACCTTTGTTCGAGCACCTTAGATAGGAATGTATGAGACTCAGCTGGTTGATATACTTGGTGTTTCAGACATCTACCTCCTAATGAGGCTGATAGTTGGCCTGTAGGTGATACAGCTCCCTGCATATCCCTTCCCCTAAACAACCCTAGCTATCTCGAAGTCTAGAATTCTCTACTAGTTTGAATATTGTGGACCCCTCTAAGCTCCTCACCCGCTTCATTTTCTACAAACAGTTACTCGAAAAATGAAGATCCTCAGTCCCGCCCATGGAAAGACACAACCCTTTGGAGACAAAGGTTCTTTTTTACCATTACATTATATATTCGGAGTTCGCTTAATGTTGGTTGCTACTGGCAAGAAAATACAGAATTTTTTTTTTTTTTTTTTTTTAAAAAAAAAAAAAGGCGGTTTACGAATATAAGTTTTGTTGCTTTGGAAATTGCTAATCAGTGACTGGACGGTATTTGAGCCTGGCAGTCATTTATAGCAAGAAGTTAATAGGAGCCACACTGAAATGCTTCGAGCATAATGTATAAGTGATTATTGTACTGTGACACAGTGCAATCAATAAATGAATTATTTTATTCTCCTATATATTCAAAAACGTCAATAATCTTTTCGAAGCTCTATTCTCTGGTGGCAGGTGCCCTACCATTCTCCTATTCCAAGAGAAAAAATTCATGACTAATGAAATCGCCAAGATAGATTACTTAGTCTCTGCCCTACTTAAGACCCTCGGTGATGGTAGCCAAAGTAGCAGTAAAGATGCACAAGAAAGCCGGGACGTTAACCAATAGAGTCCGACTGTGATGTCTGGGTAGCCAACTCTCTAGCGCATTCTCATTAGGGACTCCGGCAGTCTTGGGATCCTGAATGCGGCGAAGAATGGCGAACATGGAAGGGCCCCAGCAGAAATGAGCGATACTTAGCACGGCACCAGCAAAATACAGGTGGCGGGTTTCACGGCTCTGGCCACTTAACCCGTTGACGATACATAGGACGGTAGCCGTTGGGTACGTCAAACCAATTCCCCAGAGCCCAGGTTTCATGAATGCGGGGAGATAGCGAGGCAGGATTTTGCCACTTGGATGGGTCGGATCGTTGCGCAGCGAGTGGTGCAAGAAGGCGCCGAGCGAAATGTCCTGAGCCCAGCTGAACATCAGAGACGCCGACGAGAGGACTAGCGGAGATACGCGTAGGAGGGCGACTCCCAGCTGAGGGGCATTGTCTGTGCTGAATAGAGATGGCATTATCTGGCTTTGTCTTGCCGGGTTTGATTGACCTTAGAGCTAAATTGAACAATACGATATTCTTCACCAACCCTTGACTGGCTGGCTTTAATACTACCTTGCTACTTAGTCCAAATTTCCCGGTGGGGGTTGCATCAGCTCATCGAAAGACTCGACCTGAGTAAATCCGCACTTGTGCTAAACTAGACTAATCTCTTCAAGTGGTTTGTGGCTTTGGCTGACTTTGTTCGATTCGGCGGTTGGTTCCTTATCCGGCAGGTTCCGAATCAGGATGCCGAATTTTGGTCGAAAAGGTTTAGCGGCGAATCTGTATAATATTTTATATAAAACTATAGAAAATAGATAAATTTCAGAGTAAACTAGAACTATCAAAGAAAATATAAATATAGTCAAATCATATATAATAGTATATATTGTGCATTATCAGGACCATAAGACGCTAATACTTTCCAAGATGTGAGCATGATCCGCACCGAAAGTTCTTGCCTAAGCTGTCCCGGGTGGCCGATACCGAAGCCGTCAGTTCATGGATAAGGCCAACGGCTTCATGCATGGCTCAAACCGAATACTTAGTACACAACTGTAATTATCAATCCGGCTAACTTTAGAACACCTAATATTCAAATTATGCCATACCTCCTGTATTACTTTCGATCATACTGAAGCCTAACTCGCATCCTGCCCCCTTTGCCACTATAGCCTATGATGTCCAAGATGACTGCGGATTACGATGCTATCGTCATCGGGGCAGGCTTCAGTGGTATTAGGTCGCTATGGGAACTTAACCAGCTTCGCCTGACCGTGAAGTGTTTCGACGCTGCATCGGATGTGGGAGGCACGTGGTGGTGGAATCGCTATCCCGGGTCGCGAACCGATGGCGAAGCATGGGTCTACCTTTTGAACTTCGCCCCGGAGTTGATGGAGGAATGGGATTTTCATGAACGTTATCCGTCTCAGGAAGAGATTCAACAATACTTGAGTCGTGTTGTTGGTTGGTTCTCTCCCTTCGCCAGGCTGCCTCTAAACTCAGGAAGTTGGGTTGTCATCTGCTAACATCGGAGACAGACCGCTACGATCTGCGTAAGCATATCGAATTTGGTACGCGTATTGCGGCCGCACATTACAGTGATAGTGAGAACATCTGGACGATTACCACTGCCAATGGACTGTCCACGACCTGTCGCTACTTCCTACCGGCGACTGGGATTTTGTCAATTCCAAAGAACCCGACTTTTGCGGGGCTCGAGTCGTATACTGGCGAGTGGTACCAAGCATCCAACTGGCCTGCGCACAAGGTTGATTTTCATGGCAAGCGCATCGCCATTGTTGGCACTGGCTCCACCGGAGTCCACCTCATTCCCAAACTTGCTCCCGCCGCCAAAGAATTAACTGTGTTTCAACGCACACCAAATTACGTGCTTCCGGGACGCAACTATACCATCGATGAGTATCAGGCTGTTGACATCAAAAAGAACCATGATGTCACATGGAAACTGGCAGAAATGAACCTCGCGGGTCACGCATGTAAAGCATCAGGGAGAACAGTCAAGGGTGTAGCAGACGCTGACAAGATCAGACAAGTCTTTGACCACGGCTGGGAAGGTGGTTGTTTCAATTTTCAGATGGAGACATTTGATGATATTTTTATGGACCCAGAATCCAACGAGCAGGCTGCGGAATTCATCCGTCAAAAGATTCGCGCCATTGTCCAGGATCCGGAGAAGGCAGAACTCCTGTGTCCAAAGTATCCCTTTGGTTCTAAGCGCCCGCCTTCGGGGCACTTCTACTACGAGACATTCAATCGACCCAACGTCAAGCTGGTTGATATAAGTCAAGATGGCGTTGAATTTTACGAAAAAGGGATCCGCACCAGCTCCGGAGCTGAACACGAATTTGACATGATCATCTTCGCTCTGGGATTTGATGCCGGTACCGGTGCGCTGAACGAAATGGAGATCACAGGAAGCCACGACAAATCTCTTAAGGAATATTGGACAGAGAGGCTTGGAACGTTCGCTGGAGTCCTTGTTTCTGGGTTTCCTAACATGTTCATAGTTTGTGGCCCTCACATGCCTGCGGGAAACCAACCAGTTATGCTGGAGATAGCAGCGAACTGGATCGGCAAAACTATTGGCCACATGGAAAAGAACAACCTTGCTAAGATCAACGTAACGGAGCAAGCTGTGGATGCATGGTCCGGTCATGCTGATGGACTATGGAATTCTGTATGGATATCGAAGCCTGCCACCGAGCACCGCTCTTGGTTTGTCGGCACAAATATACCTGGGAAGCCTGCCAAGATCATGTTCTACTTTGGCGGTGTCCAAGGTTGGAAATCCTGGCTCGACAACGAAATCAATACGGCGTGGGCAAGCATGCACTTCACTCCGCTCGCACTCATCAACAAGACGAGCGAAGATACCTCAGGTCAAGATACCTCCGTTGGTGGGGTATCTGTTACAGCTGAGATGCTGGAGTCGGCCGTCATGCCCTTGCAATCCGACAAAGTTGGAATGTCGGCAGCAGAGAAATTCAACCTCTGCTCTGCTGCCTGCGCACGGTACATCGACTGGGCTGTCAAGGAGATGCATAACTATACACTGGCCGTGAAACAGGACCATCGAGCCCACTGGTGGAAAGCCCTACAGGAGTTCGTAAATTCAGAGTCGGGGAGGGCGCTCATTCAACAAAGTCCAAACACCAAAAACGAGCTAGACCAGCTTACCTCTAAGCTGGGTGTGGAAGGCGAGGCTATAACCCGGATTGGGCCTGAGATAGTTCGCATCCTGACTGGCCAAACCAATCCGCTTTACCATGTCCTTAGGGATGACTTATTATTCCGTATGTACCTTTCCGATGAAGGTGCCCGACCGAATCGATACGTGGCCGACTATGCAAAGATGCTCAGCTCTCATAAAAAAGACTTGAGAATTTTAGAGGTCGGCGCCGGAACTGGAGGCACGACATTCCAAGTACTCCAAGCATGCAGTCCTTCCGGCGAATCCTTCTGCTCGGAGTATATGTACACTGACATTTCCAACTTCTTCTTTAAGACTGGCCAGACCACCCTGAAAAATTGGGAACATCTACTAACGTTCAAAACTCTGAATGTCGAGAACGACCCCGCAGGACAGGGATTTGAAGAGCATTCCTACGATTTAATCATTGCCGCGAATGTTGTGCATGCTACGCGGTCTCTGACTAAGTCATTGGGCACCATTCACAAGTTGCTGAAACCCGGTGGCGTGCTTGGACTTGTGGAGCTCACGAGGCTGACCCCTTACTTTAACATCGCTTTTGGCTCGCTTTCGGGTTGGTGGCTTGGTGTCGATGAAGGCAGAACAGAGAGCCCGTTGCAGTCTGCTGAGCAATGGAATGAGCAACTCCAAAAAGCCGGTTTCTCTGGTGTCGATCTGGCAGCCCATGATCTCCCGGAGCCTGAAAGACATAGTGCCTTATTGTTATCGACTGCCCTCGCAGTTGATTCGATGACCAATGGGCTAGTCAATTAATCATCCATGAGCTCAGGGCCAAGGTCTTAGATCTATTTTCTCTTATTACATTGATCGGTCAATATTTTCCTGCCAAGGTTTATACGTGCAGTAGTCCTAGTTCCATATGAATACTATCAAAATAGAACTACAGCATTAAATCCCAAAGGGTCTGACAATGGCCATGGCATACCAAGATTGGACCAGGGAGAGAAGAGAGTTGCAGTGCCCTGCCTCTCTATTTATTTCCATCCCACACTTTTCTCAACAATGGAGTCTCCAAAGCTGCCCAAGGCGCTGTAAATAGAGCACGCGATAATGCAGTGTGACCCACGTAGCGACAGCAGTGGCGGCAATCAAGGCTCGTAGTATAGCATTTGAAATGGATAGTGATCCTGTGTTCCAGCCATTTTCACCTTCCTTGCAAGCTTTTTCCACCATTGCGCGGTTGGTGGTTTGGAAAGAAAACTATAATCTGCGAAGATAGGTAATGCATTAATACTATATGTTACGGAAACACTATGATCCGCCCAACTTGGCCGTGCGGAGTATCTGACGATCCATTCTGCCCCCGAGTCTTCTGCGGCCCTAGGCGTAAACGCTCGTCGCTAGGCGTTGAAATAACCGAACTTGAGTATATAGGTGAGGCGCCTTCGCTTTGATAGGCAGTTGGAAAATCTTTGGGAGATAGATATGTGCGGAAGAGAAAATGAAAACGGATTTCGTTGTATGGGTAACAATATTTAAATAATGAAACGCCTTGTTATGTTCGCCAGGGCATGCGCTCTTCGCAACGTATCTGGGAAATAAAGGGTGCATTCATCTGAAGAGGAATACGCTTCTGCTATGACTAGAAGAAATAAAGAAAAGTCGCGAGTGGAGATTGCTGGACACTTTCGTGACTGAAATGCATCATTACTCCAAGTTCACTATTCAACCAAAGCGAGACGTATCAGTCCCCGATATTGCTACCCACAGGACGGGTGGTTTCGACTTCGGAAGGGATGACCACCCTTAACAAGTCCTTTGCGTACGCCGCGGTAACAACGGCGGAATAAGGTTGCCAGATTTTATTTTTATGACTGTCCGAGTAGTCGCAAATGCCTCTGATGACGACACAAGGAAAGTTGTTCATAAGACCAGCCGCCTCCATCTCAAAGCAGGTTACGCCCCACTCATTTCGCAATTGATCATGCGATTAGATCATAATGGACCTCAGGGTAGTCTGAACTTCTTGCATGTCGACTCACAACGCGAGTCCTGTCACAGGCGGAACAATCTTCCTCCTCAACAGCATGCACATAATCTGCAATAAACAGCTGGTCATGGTCCCATCCAGGAAATCTAGAACCTTGCAGTGCTGGTACATTTAATCCCGTAGCCTCATCAATATATTGTCTCATGTTCCCGCGGTTGAAGTCATGATCTGATTGCAGGCGTCTCATTGCCTTTACCAATACCTGGGGGGGCCTGTTCAGATGTGATCTTATGGTGAATGTGACCTCTTCCTGCTTGCCCATGTCGTACTGGATAACACCACCTTTATTTAGTCAGTGCCATGAAAGATTCATAGAATTGCAGCATCAAAGAACAGATCCACAGCTACAGAGATAGGGTCCGGGAGTTTACCATGCCCTCCCTCAGGGAAGCTAACTGCAACGTCCCCAAGCTGAATGTCCTTTCGTGAATCGGTATTGGGTGTCCCTGGGGCACCACCACCAACTCCTACCATCAATCCGAACCGGATGTTTCGAAAGGAACGGGCCATATTGGTCACCGTTTGAGAGGCAGCATTTGTACCATAGGACCCAGGGAAAACAATGACAACGTTATGCTTTCCCATCCGGCTAAGAAGATAGCTATTATCATCATTTTCTTGTGATGGGAGTGGATCATGCTCTTCATCTAACAGCGCCCTCGACGCGTTCAGCTCAGAGCGGAGGACACACACCCATCCGACTGTGTAGTTATCATGGGTAAGTGTTCTGGGGAATGAAATGAAAAGAGAAAGTATACTTTTCAAGTGGGGGAGGTGGTATTATGGGCCCTGTGGGGAGGTCGACACCGTGAGCAGCGAGGAATCTTGTCTCATCAGGTGTGAGCTGGTCTCGGTAGACGCATAGATGAGATTCAGAGTAAGTAGTCCCATAATAACTGCTACCCGAGTAACCAGTGGAATTGACAATTAGCTCAGCCGGAGCAACTCCATTTGGGTGGATAACATCCCCAATGTGGAAGATAAATCCAGTTTTGTCACCCCAGTCATCGTAATGTCTCGCCCTGAAGGGCCCTGCGGGCATCGGGCCACCGCTACCACCGAATGCGTGATTCCAGGCACCACGCCAAGTGCCGTAACAGTCAATGGGCGGACGGCGGTTGTCAGGACGTGGACCGGAACGGCACCAAGCCCAAATAGCGGCATGGGGTAGAAATACTGTGCCTGATGGCTGAGGGCGAGATATGCTAAAGTTAAAGGAAATGATAGCCTCTGTGGGTGGAAGGTAAAGACACCTTGGATGACAGCAGCAGGCAGGTAGTTGTACAAACTAAATGCTAATCGCACCGGGGAAGAAATGATAGTGGAATTAAGCAACAGAGATCTACAACTTAATTAGCAACTTGTCTATCTATTTCAGAGCGAGAGCTTATATTTGTAGTCGTCAAAGAAGTTCGACTTCAGCACTGTTCTCCGTCAATTGCGATGCCAATGCCCAGTTGCCTTCCATCAATTGGGCCCCAGTCCCAGAATGACGCATCAGCTTGTATTGTAAATTTTCGTGCGGAGTCGAATAAGCAATGTCCCGGTCTGCATTGTTCCAATTACAATGTTAAGCCTTGTTGTTTATATCTATACTGCGTTCTTACCTAGGCGTCGTAAGAAGTGCACATGTCCCAAATATTTCTCAACTCCAACTTGCTCTTCGGTTTTGTGTATTCATACGTAAATAAATAGAAGAGGAAGACCTTTCCCTGATTGCTATTCAACGTAGTACTTTGTGAGTTGGGACAACTTAAGTTGAGCCCGCCGGATGATGGATACTCTCATCCACTCATCCTGGAGATCGTGGGGCGAGAAACATGACGTGAAAGTGCCGGATTGGCGCCAAACAGAGCTCCCTTGGATGTTCCACATCATGCAGTATGTCGGGGACGTCACAATTCTACATCCAATGAGAGGTTGCTTCTTATTGATGGCTGAGATGAGTATACACAATGCTGCTTTTTTGAACATCTCTACGGGGCCGGAACATTGTCTCAAAGATCCTGTTTATTGGCCACCTCAGGCCAGTTAAACTCAGCCACGCTCCCTGCACAGCAAATTATTTTTTTTTTTTTTTTTTTTTTTTTTTTTTTTTTTTTTTATAGCTAATCAATCGCAAGAGTGAAAGCTCGGTTACGCGTTGTGAGAGGTACTTCAACTGAAAACTTCATGAGTAGTCCTCGATATTATCTAGTTCAACATTTTTACGTCTCCAGTATCAGGCAGTTTGGGTGAAGGAAGGTTGGCTAACTGCGCACAGATGAATAAATTCTCTCCGAAGAAATTCGTAAACATTATGAAGATAGTAATGATTGGAATGAAGTACAGGGCTTCTAGGACATGATATCTGGAATCAGGGCAGGGATGGTTGGATCTCACATGAAATGTACGATCAAGCTATGTCTATTTATTCCCAGATCCAGACTAAAACAACCCCTCACTCAAGTCACAATGTACAATATCGGAGGAGAGAGTTGGATTTATGCAGAGAATGCTAACGCATAACACTTTTGGTTTCCGTTGACGAAGAAGTCTTTCGTAAAATGTAAAGGGGACTGTCAAAAGTATGTCAATCTGCTATTGTTTATGCCGGCGTAATGTCATTCTCGACTCATTAAATCTGCGATCATGTGGCAAATATGGATTGTAGATTTTCTAGCGAGGCAAGATGGGAAATTATGAATTGAGTCCTGTGGAGGGTCGGCGATGTAAGGCTGGGAATTCCTACGGTAGAAACTCCAGGCATTTGGTTATTCGTCGTTTGCATTGCAGGTAGGGTATCAGAGTTTTCACACGTGTTGAGATCATATCCAATCATTCAGAGCCACCATTTCCATCTCCTTCGGACAGATCTTGGTTTCTTCAAGAAGTGCAACACACAAACTACTTAAATACTCAGCTATAGTCCCACGTAGAGGTGTCTGGCCATCGCTAGGGTCTTAAAGTCGCAGAGGGCGGTGGAGTTTCCTGTCCTTCTCCGGGATCCATAGTTCTTGCAGGCCATTTTGTAAACCAGGCTAATGGCGAAGTATATGTTGATAAGCTCTGCCGCGTAGACTGGATTGACCCAACGCAAACTTGTCTGGATCGTACACGTCCTAGTACCGGTCAATTATTACCGCAGTTGCACCAAAATGGTTGCTTTGGATTGTTGGTTCATTCTGTTAGGGCAAAATAAAACATAATAAACCTCGCCTGCGCATACATCAGAGGCACTCTCTATTGTGAATTGGGGTGATCCCGCAACATTCAGCTTTCAGGACCAAGATTCACGTGATTAGTGACCTATGTTGGAATACCGGGCTATCCATTCAATAGAAGAAGCAATCGATTCTGACAGATGAAGCGCAGCACATGACCCTCCTTGGGTCGATGGAGGGAGGCCTGAGGCTACGGTCTGAGTCAGCTACATGGATGGACAAACTAGGAGAGTCCGATTAAGCGAGACGAGCACAGTCGGGAAGACTAGGCACTAGCGTCGCACGTGCCTCCCTCAGACTAAATAAAGGCTTTCTTTCCCTCCCCGTTTTGGGAACCTTTCTCTTTCTTCTCCAGCTCTCTTTGCCTTTTGGCTTAGATCAAGTGTAGTATCTGTTCTTTTCAGTTTAATCTCTGAAAGTGTTCCAAAGGAACACAGCATTGATTAATCTCATTTTTGGTCCTCGTGACTGGGCCTCTGTGCTTGCGCATGTCTGGTCACAGTGTGTCATCGGGCTTACACTATCCCCAATCGACGCGAACTTTTCATCAATACGGTCGGCTTGCCGGCGGGTTGGAGAAGAGTTACTCTGTATGTGTCTTAGTTTTCTGCGGTAGAGAATAAATCGTAATGTAGGTGGTTGGCCATGTACTTGTCCAGCCGGATAAGTCTAATAGTTCTACCTTACGTCCCAGAGTATCAACATTGGTTCAGACTGGATGCCCCATTTACAATCATCTACAGAGTACTATCGATGCATTTCAACTATTATTATCACGGATTCAACTCAATTCCACCACGGGTCCTTCGTACACCTTCCTCGCCCGCAGTCCATAGTATGCCAGACTCAGGATAATCACTCCCATCGTGCCCACCACGCTGAAATTCATGTTCTCCACCTTGACCTCGCTCTTGGGGGGCCAGAAGCTGAAGAACACGGCGATGGTCATATAAATCAACGCCCACGTGTTGATTGCGATGCCCCAAATGCCGGGGATGTGGAAAGGACCCCAGACAAGCCGTGCTCCAGCGGTGTTGACGATGGTCTCGTCCCCGGGTCTGGCCTTGTTAATACCTCCTGTGATGCGCCGATACAGCAAAAGAGCCGCGACAACCATATAGGACAGGTACAGCCCAGAGATGGACATGGATACCAGATCGTTGAACGCCACGTCGGATCCAATATTGATGAGAGCCAGGAGGCAGGAGATGACTGTCGTCAGGGCGACCGAGTATGTAGGGACCGAGGTTTGGGCCGTCACCTATGCCGATGGTGAGTTCTCTCTCCAGGTGGTCAAGTCAAAAGCTGGATCCAAATCATTCATACCTTACTCCATACCCGCCATCCCGGAATGCCTCGATCGCGCGCGAACGACCAGAATTGGCGAGACGTTGACGCCAACATCCCCACCGATGTGCAGATCCCCATTGTCGTGATAATGGCTCCCATCGTTGCGGTGCCGGCCACCGAATCTGTCGCTTGCAGAAAGATGGCCATAAATGGGAATCCAGTTTCTGTATCGAGTGCCGCGTTAATGTCCCCAAGGCAGAATAACATTGCGATCAGCATGCTGAATCCAAGGGTTCCGTTAATCGCGACACTGAGCATGATAGACCGCGGCACCAGAACGGGCGCGTTGGTGATCTCCTCAGACATCTGCTCGACGAAATGGTTAATAAACATGCCCATAGGGTGTGCACTAGGACAAAGGCATGGATACCACATACATGAACAGCAGCGTCTCCTCCAGCGAACGCAAAGACACAACCAACTAGGCCAATAAAGAAGGACAGGCCTTGCGTGGGCCACCCGCCAAGGTTCATAAATTCCGTGAAGACTTCACGGGCCGTGCCGTGGTCGGCCATATAGGTCAGGGGGATCAGGATAGCGAAAAACCCGAGGATGTGCAGAATCAAAATCAAGCCCTCAAACCGAGGCAAAACCTTACCCCCAACACTATTAATAGCGACAGCGAACACAGACACGGCCCAGAACAGAAGGGTCCCATGCCATGCTTGCGGCACATAGCTGGGATTGGTGAGTACGATGAGCCCCTGGATCAGAGTGCCACACAAGAAACATGAAGTCGCATAGGTCGCTTGCCATCCGATGACTGTGAGCCAGCCTAGACGATGTCAGCAAAGATTTCGGCAGAGATATCGGCATCCGGCGCACCAGTAATGTAGCTGAATAGTTTCATAGCCGACGGAGGTGCCAACATAGAACACCAGTGGTACTGTCCGCCCGACGTCGGAGCCCTGGAGGTGTTAGAAGATGAGCAAGTGACAGAGCTTTGCGGTGATGACATACATGGATACTAATTCCGATAACACTGCAAATGTCGCCGCCACACCAGCCCACACAAAGATAAATCCATATACCGCACCGGCTGGGCCACCACTGAAGACTTGTTAACGTACAAGCGCACAAAATGATAGGTGGATGGGATTCATGGTACTTTTGAAATGCTTGGAGAAAGAGCCTGTTAAGGCGAGTCAGCCCAATGGTCCCTCAAACTGCGCTTCAAATAACCTACACTGTAATCCCTTCCCAAGTGATTAGAATGGTGCAACTAAAGCCCAACATCGACATCATTCCGAAATTTCGCTGCGGCGCTATAAGTTGTTGTCCGGACTAGGTAGAGAGCGTGATGGCACCTACCTTCAAAACTGGGCGCTTTCCCATGCGTGCCAGATTGAGGTCGTCCGTTTCCTTGGTCGAGGGATTCCCCTCTACCTCACGCAGACTGACCGGTGCCATCTGCTTGAATTCCCGGGAGGCCATGGCGGCCAACAATACAGACAGTGGGCAAGAGAGTGACCGAAGAATTCGAAGCAAAATCCAGGGCAGGTGTGAACAAAAAAGAAAAATTCAAAACGAGCGTCAAGGGGACTATTGATCCCTGAAAGCCTGTAGCCCTTCCAGACCAGAGCGAACAAATAATGCCTTTGTGTTCCCAGGTGCAAATTTAATTCGACCACGCCGCCTATTGTCGGCAAATATGAATAATCCCCTACGAATTGCATAAGCCCTATTTCATTCCTCAATGGAGCACTTCATACGACACTACCCCTGCGGCTAGAACCTGGCCACCCGCGGCGATGCTACATTGAACGGTCGAATTAACTCTCATTGGAGCTTCCTCGCTGCAGCTGCGTCGTCCTCTGTGGCAATCTAATAAATATCCTTGTCAGGAGTGCAACGAGAATGCGCCAACCACCAAGGCAATGAGCCGGGGCAGCAAGGGTCCTAATCCAGAGACGAACCAAGATCCAAGGTCGAATTCCCATTAGACATGAATTGGTCCAGGGTCCACAGATGGATATCCGAAACCTTCGAATGGGGTACACGGTGGAATCCGCCGATGATCATCTATTGACGTTGCACCGCTAACAGAGTCTAATCGTGCATTGGTCTGAGTGCCAAGCCACCCAGCTCTTAGCTCCAGCCGGCCATAAAAGCCATTGTTTATTGATGCGCCGGAGTTATTTCCGTTTCTAGCTGTCTGGCGGCCCCCAAACTCTGTTGTGCCATACAGGTTTTTGAAAAGACCACCAGCTGTGACTTACGAGGACCGGAAATTCCACATTAATTAAAACGAATTGAAGGCTTTTTTTTAAAAAAAAAAACCAAACATAAAATTAAGAGAAAACAAAATAAAAAGAAAGAGCCTGGACTACGTCGAATCTCCCCCTGAACTCCGTGGATCCTCCGTTATTGTCCACGTACGAACTTCACGAATTATTCGGGTCTGACTGGTCTGGCTCTCTGCGTCCCAGTCACGTCGCATCCCCGGCGATGTCACTGTCGTCTGATGGGTGTCCTTCGCAATGATAGGGGCCATCTCGTGTGCCTCACTACGGCGCCGGTTGCGACTGTGAAGAGTCGGAACGCGCGAGGTAGACTGCGATCCGTATCCCTTCTGAGAGGTTCCATAGCGCGTCATGCCGTCGATCCGCATACCCGTAGATCGTAGGCTATCCAAGAACGGCTTGAATTGAGGTGAACAAGCAGTAACGATACTGAAGCACTGGGAGACCTGCGTGGAAATGGTTACCGGCCACGTGTCCGACGTCGGATCCGCAGAGTCGAGAGTTTGTCGCGCGTAGATGATCTGACAGAGGATGGCGACAATAACGCTGGAATAGTTAGTAGGGGGGGCAGCAATACGAAGGGGCTTCACCGGGGCCACAAACAAGATACGAAGTGCGAATACACTGGCCAGTGTTACTTTCTTTTTCATGTGGGTCTGGACGCGTGCAATGACCAGGATGGCCTGCGCGATGATCCCAGCTTCTGTCAAGATGTTGGTGACCCCCAGATAGTCCCACCAAACGCCCTGCGGCTCCGGTTAGTCGCTTGCTCCACCATCTCGATAACGGCCACGTACCAGCTGAAAGCATTGGCCGTGCATGTAATCCCATGTTCGAGGGGGTTTGCACTGAAAAGCGGCCGTGACGATGCCTATCACCGCCCACAAAACAGTCCCGATCTGTAGACCCACGGCAAAGTTTCGATCGGGCGAAGCAGGAGTCAAATCGCGCACGAAGCGGATGAGAGCCAACTTGGAGAAGCACATGCTGGTGATATAGAGAATGTTCGCGGCATACTGCGCCTAGTAGACGTCTTGCTCGTTAGTACTGCATCTCGATGTACTTCGTAGGTGAAGTAAAAATCAGTTCGGTTGATGCCGAATGGAAGGCCCACCTTCATCACATTTTCCATGCTGGAATCTGACACCTTACTATAATGCTCGCCATATCCATTGGCAGTGGCCATGGAGACTGCAATGGACTGTCCTGCGCATGTTACCTGGAGAGCTTGTCAGTCAGGCGTTTCAATTGCCACGGTCTCCCATGGGCGTACCAGTGACACAAGACTCAAATAGTCATCAGTGGTCAGTTTGCGGAAGATCCAGTATTTAGTGCCCACTCGAGTCAACATGCTAAGGATGGCCGTCACCAGGAGATACCAGGTCAGGACATTGACCGCGGGTGTCCAGCTGTCGGGCGAAAACCGACTCATGGCGTAGGCATCGACGTCGAGGTACTGTCGACATCCACAGATGGGAGGAAGGAGTTGGTAATATGGCGTTGTGTCGAGCCCAAGGCATGCTGTTAGAGTGGGAGTCCGCCGGTCAGACTGTTCCCCCGGTCAACAGGCGCCGCTTATTCCAGTGGACGGTACAAAAACGGAAATGAAATTAATTTATTAAAGGCTTTCGAATCATCCAGGGTACCATGGTTGGCCAGAGCCGTGACACAATGTCCACAAAGCAACTGTGGGCATTATTCCCCTCAATCAGATCCACAATCACTAGGACAGTCACAGTGACATGCATGCAGCGGGATGTCGTGTTGCGCTATGTTGCAGGGATTGCAATGAAAGGATTGCACCATTATGCTGGGATTGCTCGATACCCCTGACGGGCGCGAGTCCAGTAGTTCCGACTGTGCCTTCGAAGGGTAGGATCGGCTATACCACTAGAAAGCGCGATTCCGAAAAGGGAGCCATGCCTGCTTATGATTTGCTTGTGTACACGTCTGGAAAAGAGAGATCTGGGACAGGATCCCCGATGACTGGACTGAGTCGTACTCCGGTTTTGACCAATCTGGATGGACGATATCCTATGCATCGAGTTATACATGCTGATTCAGCAGGTTAAATTAACTTACTTAAATTGTGCTAACCTCGAGGGGGCACATTTCTACCACAGAGCTCATCCGGTTTCTTCTGATAAAAAATTAGAGCCTAAACTAAATAATAATAACAATCATACATAAATAAAATCAAATCGCATAAAGCTTACATTTCTGATGGCTGGCTAACATGCTTTCGAGAGTGATCAGCACGAGACGTCTTGGACGAGATACGTACATAGTAAACCCAATTTTTAATCAAATATATAACCTCTTTGTACCAGAAAGGCTTTGGACTATCTGAACGATACGACATTCATATTGTTGACAAGTGCATCTAATTCCAGGTGCCATGGGACTCCAAAAGTAGAGAACTTTGGGGAGCCTCTCCTATAGTAGGGGGGAAAAAAAAAAAAGGGACACAGCAACAACAATAAATACCACAACATAACCTTTCAACTATTACTTAAGTAGGTAAAGCTCGGACACTTAGTGAGCTGTAGTTTGGTGGTATCATGAAAGCCAGGAAAGTTTTGTTCCAGCAATAATAATACACGGTTAGCACGTCAGGCCGCAATCACGAGTTGTCAACAATCACAAAAAGAAAAGAAAAAGGAAACTCTAAAATATACCTCTGTACTATGGGACATTGCCCTAATGAATGGTTGCTTTTAACTATTTTCCTCCTCTTACTAAATTCGGTTGTGTTTGGCTATTAAATTGTCCATGGTTTCAACCCTTCGAGAGTCAATTCAAGTCGCAGTCCCATACCAGCATCTAACCATGCACGGTGTGACCAACCACATTGCCGCCTTGACTTATATCTCCGGTCTGCCAATCCCAAGTCTTGCCACCCTCACTGCAGTCGTCTAAAAAGGGGTGCGAAAAACCCTTGCCGAAGTTCGCCTTCTGGTAGAAGGCGATGGTCTGGCTCGGGTCGTTGCCACAGATGGGCCCGCACCACTTGGGCTTGTTATTGTATCCGTACGGCTGCAGGATATATTGCTTGTAGGCGTAGTCGTAGTCACTACCGACGGTGGCGCTGATATCACACACGGGGATCGTCCACAGACCTTCCATAGCGGTACCCTCAGACCATGGGTTCACACCCGTGCTGAAGATCTCCTGCATCCGCTTGTTCCAGGTGGAAGTGGTGTAGTTGTTCCCAGCTACTTGATAGGCCTTGACGGAGGAGATGACAGCATCCTGTGCCGATCCACCCAGTCAGTTATCAATATCGATGAAGACAGAAGCTAATGATAGGGAGAGGAATGACTGTCAAGCATACCGAGGGGTTGAGGTTCTTCCAGAATGGACCACTGCCGCCAGTCGTCTCCAAATAAGGAGGATTGCCCATGCGGTCTGATCCCCATGGTCTTGCAATCCACCCATTGTCGGTGTTAGTATCGGCTGTGTCTTGATCGTTGGCATGCTTCTGCCAATAGAACAGATACCAAGCTTTGCCTTTGTTATCGCACCACCAGATAATGTTATCCTGGTTCTTAGACCCCGTTCCTCCGATACCTTGGTCTTCGCCGCAGGAAGCACCACCCAGGATGAAGACACGCTGCATGCGCCAAAGGTAGTTAATCATCGCGGACTGCATCATGCTCATCATCGTATGGACGGTTTTCTTCATGTCCATGTCCGTGATATTCACCCAGCGCCCGTTCTGGAGGACTTGACGGATGTCGGCAGAGTTGCCGATGCCGTCCCCATGCATGAGGGCGTTATTCAAGCTGATAAATGCTGTCTCGCCCGCCAGAACGAACTGGCTCATGGCGTGGCCCATGTCAGCGGCGGTGTTGAAGGTAATATCCTTCCTAGAATCCATGTCAGATCAAGCAGGCACTACTAGGGCTGCCGAGAAAGAGCTTCTTACTGTGATATCGCTGTATTTGCGGCACCCGTCGCGCCACTATATAGGGCCGAGACGGCACCGACCTCCGTTGCGATTGCCGGCGCAGCGAAAGCAGCTCCGAGGCCTAGGATGGTCCCAATAGCACCAAGAACTTCCTTGAGAACGGTAGGATCCCAGTTATTGTCATCCCACCAGAAATTGTTGACAATGGCATCTTGATCATAACTACTGGATATGGCAGACGACTGGAACGCATCTTCCAAGCCCCGGATGTACCCGTGCAGATTGGAGATTGCATGCGCTACATAGTACGCCTGCTGGGTGCCATTGCCCAGGCCATTCAAAACCTGGTTGTCGCATGGGTTTAGGTTGCAGTTGTTCTCGTTGCCACTAATCTGGCAGCTCCAATCTGGTTCCCCCAGAGCCCACTCACCAAACGCGCCAGTAAAGCCATTTGAGTTCCCGGTACGTTGGGCAGCATGGGCAGTCCACCAAGCGTTCAGCCAGCCGTCCGTGTTAGCATGTTGCCAACTCTGTGGGGTAGGATTGTAGTATTGGCTGACACGGCCGCAGGGAGCGGAGCCACCAGATCTATGGATGTGACGGTGATATGAGGCCGAAGCTATCGGGAAGCCAAGGGCCACGAGAAAAAGAGACTTAACGACAGACATTGGAGCCATAACGGTCTCAATATTAGATGAGATGTCGGATCGCAGTCTTCATGCCGGAGACTGACGGCAGGCGCTGGATTTTATAGCTGTGGCTCGGTCATATAGTGCTGTTTCACCTCCATAACACTCCTTACCGTTCTTGCTTGCATACCTTGTGATTGGACATGGAACGGCTCATAGAAAATGGCAAGCAAATTGGGCCCCACGACCACGACGAAGGATCGCTCCCAAAAGCTTGTCCAAAGCATTGCTGCCGGATTGGGCCCAGTGATTGACTGGATGAGCGGCATGTCGGATCTATACATAGGTCCGATGTCAATCAGGAACAGTCTGCAGATCTGTGAACCTCAGTTAATATGGTAAAGGTGTCTGAGACATCAAGAGAACGGAAGTACTCTGGACAGGCATTTGGTTCCGTGGGTTGATTCAGCCCCCACGAGATCGCTCCAGTATCGTGTTTATGTCTCTCCCTCCCTTCTCTCTCTCTCTGAGTGGCCAGTAATCCCGAGTTCAGTGGACAGTTCCTCCTGTCTGAGTCGTCGACCGAGGGTGGTTTGTGTACTCCGATAGCCCACGATGTGCAAGACCAAGGATTACCCTCAACCCATTCGGGAGGACGTATTTAGCCTCGTATGTCTCCAGTTTCCTCGCTGGCGCTAATAAGAGCCGTTCCTACTGTAGAGAACTCATCAAAGCTTAGCCAGGGCTTAATTCCGAACAAACACTGGGGGCCGGTACCGGAGCGGGTCCAGCAGGACGCATATTTAACTCATTCGATTAATTCTTATCCACCTCAGACTTTGCAATTGGGTTAGTGCTTCTCAGGCAGCAGTATTTCTTGCCGCTGTTTTAGTAGGTTACAACGAACGCGGATGTCTTTGCCGATCGATCCATTGTGATTCTGTCGGCTGTTTGTCGGAGGCCGAAAAATAATCTCGCAGGCTGTCTGGTTACGCGGCCCCGTTGGTTGTAGATGGCGCCCATAAATCTGGACAAGCATAGGGAGAAAAATAGTTCACTTCATACAAGTCTTTGAGAGGATTAATAACTAGAGAATGGAATAGTGGGGCGCTTTTGTTTGTAGTAAAAATCGGTGGTTAAGATGAAGTGATGATGACATCAATACCGGCAGGCCCCATATGAACTCCAATTTCTAATACAAATAGATAAACCCTTGACTCATCTAGTAAAAGCACTAGCACATATATTTCAATCGCCTTCTTTTGGTGAGCACATACTACTATGCACTACGACGATGCCTAAGAACATATATGCACGTGATCTGGAGATCGATCTCGATTCCAGGGAAGAGACTGAATACTTTAAATGGTTCCTAGCCTGCCTTTTGTTCGGGAAGCCTGTACAGCAGAGTGTAGCAAGACGCGCATATTTTGAACTTGTCGGCAACGGCATTACGTCTCCGGATGCGATTCAGCAGGCTGGTTGGGATCGTCTCGTTGAGATTCTCGACGAAGGCCATTATGTCCGGTACGACTTCTCAACCGCCACCAAATTGCTCGACGTATCGTCCACCCTCAAGAAAAAGTATGGAACATTTTCCAACTTGCTATGGGAGTGCGCAACACCAGATGAGGTGTCGACACGACTGCAGGAATTTAAAGGAGTAGGGCCGAAGACTGCAGAGATATTCCTACACGAAATTTCGCAAGACTGCTGGAAGTGAAGTGTCTATCCCTATGCCACACTGTCCTTTGATTTAAAATTTTGGATTTTGCTGGTCATCATGGGAGTCGAGTCGGGAACTTTTAGTATGAAATTAATTATGCAACAAACATAAAACTCGGTATGCCTTGACTAGGAGCAACATTTCTTCCTCGTCTAGGAGGTTCATTTTAAAATAGCCGGTTTGAATTCTTGCCTCTACTTCTTAGTCTGTCTCTTTCTACAAATATGAAGTCCCTGTTAACATACTATAGACCCTTGTATCTCTTTTTCTTTTTTCTTGGGCAGGATGCACTAAGCCATACAGACAAAGATTCTGGAATAATTACGTTCCTGAAACTTTCACGGTATGATACCCAGACTGTAAAATAATCCACTGATACTAGATGCGGTGTAAACCATGTATTAATAACTGTCTCGGTTGGAAATTTACTCTATCTGATCCAAAAATAGCTCTCAACCGCAGTTCCATTCGGTTGGCGATACTCAACGTCGTATCTTTCAATCGTCCACGTCTCATGTGTATCCATCTGCAACTACAATGTCCTCCAATTCGTTTGCTCCAGAGATAGGTTTCAGTAGTCAGTCTCCAAGTTTAGACGAATGCATGAGAGATGAATTTGCCTCGTCAGCCTCGGACGATCCTCGCCGTTTGCACACGGGGAAGCGAGGCCGACCCCCAATCGATCTAACTCATGAAGGGCTGGTGGATGTAGGTTTATACTATAAAACTTTATCCCTTCCATTCTTATGACGGTTGACTGGTGGATAGAGGCGCCGCAACCAGGTCCGAAAAGCACAGCGGAACTACAGGATCCGGAAAGCGGAGGAAGCGATTATTCGCAGAAACTACGTGGCAGATCTTGAAAGCCAAATCGACCGTATGAGACAGTCATTTCTTGAGCTGAGCTCCCACATTAGAAAGGCGACAGTTCTTCCTGGGGTGCCGGACCTCGAACGTCAACTCCAGAATATCACTCATAACTTCTTACCCGCTTCTCAAGACAGCGATGCTCCCAGCAGATCACCACCGGACGATTCAGATAGGAATCGTGACCGCTCGAGAGATGGTCCCATTTCACCAAGACTCGACGATTACACCTCCTGTGCTACGACATCGCTGGTGCCAGCCACAGAATCTATCCAAATGTCAACGCCTATTCGTGCGTCCGCTGTAGGTTTCCCGCTTTCTCTTTTCGGAATCCAAGCTCCGCTGCCGAGGAATTTCGCCCAACGCCTCTATTCAAGTTGCATCAAGCGGGCTTACCACCTGCTCACCAGCCCATATGCGGAAAGAACGGAAGTTGCCCGCGTTTTCCAGTATTCATTCCAGTTTTCGGATGCCAACACTATGATATTGACCTTCGATACCTTGCTACGGACCAATGGTGATTACCAGACCGCACGTGTTTATAGGTTGGGTGGTGCGGGGACTCACTATACGAAGACACCGCCAGAATGGAGTATTGTCAAATATACCCCGTTAAGCGAACAGACGCCATTTGAGAATGATGATGACATATGGTTTGATTCCCGAGATATTGAGGGGTGGCTCGAAGAAAATGGACTCGCTATTGGAGGTACCCAGTCATTCATGTATTTATCGGAACTCCCTTCGTTTCGGCTGTGCCAGCATATGACACTATGTAATGGACATGAGCCTGGCGAGTCTCCAGAGCTGTCTGATCAGCGAGTTGCCATGGTCCTTGACGTGGACAAATTTCTTGAAGGTTCGTCCTCTTTCTTCTTTTCTATATTTGCACGATAATACACAAGAGTACTGAAAATACGGCTTGAACAGGGCTCCTTTCGAGGGGCGTGTGTCTGGGCAATGCACCGGGATTCCGTCGCTGTGATGTCGAAGCGGCGTTCAACCTCGCGATAACTGATGAAACGGCTTTCGTTCGTGAATAATCGTATTAGCATCGCAGATGGGATGCTATATCAAGGCTATATTCTCAAAATACAATTTGAAAACCGGAAATATCCTATGTCACTGGTCCTTCGATTATCACCGCTTCAGCGGAATCGAACGATGTCTGCTGATTGTCCGGCTGTTCCAAGAACAGACAATATACCTATCTCCATAGTTCACGAGCGGCATATCTCTAACATCATAATCAATCCACTCCTCAAACTATACTTTTCCCCAGTAATATCTTTCGGCAGCAGATCCTTATCTCCATTCGCAATCAAAGCCTCAGCAAGAGTACATTTTCCAGCCTCCGAAAACCCCAACCCCTGATACAATCCTACTGTGGCATGATTCTCCGGCTTCACCATCAACCGCACCCAGACCTCGTGCGGAGATTCTCGATACGAAGCTAAGTAATCCAACGCCTCTCGGCACAGTTTCTTCCCGAGTCCCTGGCCGCGATGGTTGGGGAGGGTGAACAGACTGAGCATCTGCCACAGTTCCTTGTCTCCGTCTTCCGGGGGGTTTCTCTGGCCGGATTCCTCGGGTAGGATAAAGTCCTCCCGGTTTTGTGGGCCATGTAACGTTAACTGGCCTACCCATGTAGTCATTTCTGGGTTTTCAACGGGTGTTGCGGCGCATATGAAGGTCTCGCTCCTGTCTGCGGCCAGTCGGGCAATCCATTCGTCATCTGTGTGAGCGGATTCTATCTCGTAACTGGAAGAGAAGGAGGTCGGTGCAATGGAAAGGGCCTGGAGGCGCAGCTCTTTGTACTTTCTGGCTGATGATGTGATCGCATGATCCTTAGCGATGCGGAAGACGGAGTATTCGAAACGAGAAGTGGGCATGTTGAGTATAGTTGCAGCTATTGAAGATCTATTCACTTAAGATTTCCCAAGCGAGACTGCTTTGAATATCGGGCGTTAAATAATTTTCGCCCAGCTGTGTAGATGTTCGCCAAGAATGGCTCGGCAGTGATGCCGTGGCCAGGATAAAAGATGACGGAATCAAAAAGGAAAGAAAAAATAATAAGAGTGGTATTATACGTGCTGAAATATTATAAACCTTAGAAGTCTCTATACTATTGTCTATGGTACCGTCTGAAAAAATACTGACCCAGGGGAAATCTATAAATAAAATTCCACTACACTTAAAAGGGTATTTATCCAAGACATCTAGCGGAATAAACTAGTCCATATTGGGACATCAGGTGAAATAATCAAGCGAAGTGGCTGATTCTGAAGAAAAGGGGTCAACACACAATAATCAACAACAGAGCGACTCTCATAGAATTGCAAATAGAATTCCGACAATAGGCAAGATAATTCTTCTGATATTCTGACAAAATTCCCATATGGGAAATGGGACGGGAAACGGGACCTGATTTAAGGTAAGTGGGAATGGGAATCCCTTCCCAAAAGACTTAGCACGGGGTGGGAATCAAGATCCCGAATCCCGTCCCAACGGTCAGCCTAAGGAAATGTGGTAAATCTCTACATTGTGGGATCAACAGTGAATAACGTCCTGGCGCCTCAGGCAGGGTTCGACATAGGCCCTAACAGAAGGGAGAGATTGCCCACGAACCAAAGCATTTGGCCCAGAGGGATATTATGAGTCAGAATGGAAGGCTCGCTCGTCGGGATCTGATTGCAGGATGCGGCAGACAATTATCATAATATTGTGGTTTTTTAACTAGTGTACCTGGGGCATGCATAAGGGAGTAACTAGCTTTGTACGAAACTGAATAATGGGGAAAGAATTATTAGAATGAAAGGGAAAATATATATTTATATTGTGACGGAATATACGTGGACACTCGGTCTTCAGCCCCATGCTACTGGAAGGGGATTATTATAATAACTGTCTGGAAGCCTCTGCCAGGCAGCGTTCACGCATGGGCACGATCAACAAGCTGCTCGTTTTCCTCGATTCCACCCATTCTTGTATCCCTAGACCACCATCGGCGTCAGGGAACGCATCGACCAGTTTTGGCACCCATTCCTTCAGAAAATCTAATTTTTACAGATTCCCTTAGTTGGAAACTGTACCTGTGGCGCGAAAACTCTGTGAGGAATAAAAAAGGAACATGCCTCTTGTTTTTCTTGCCTGCAAATCCCAATTCTGGCGGCAATGGACTCTCCATTTATCGCCAAAGTTCTAAACTTCATAGGGTCTAGAGGCCTTCCCCACCCAGTTCTTTGAGATTCGGGAACAGTGAGTGTGCTGCACATGTGCGATGTTGTATTTTTTGGGGAATAATAAACATATGAAGTTCTTCAGGGTGGATTCCATGTCATCGAGGTATTTGCCTACTCGAGTAGCTTGCGCTATAAGAATTTTCTGGGTGTCGGCCTGGTTCACCTGGAGGATTCAAGGGGTTCAGTGGTGCTGCAAATATTTTTCTTGGGATTTTAGCTTACGTATGTCAAAGCGAAGATGGCATCCTTGCAGACATTTATGGCCCAATTGGCATCTCGCTCTTCACCACGGCTCTTAGTCCCGCGGATATAATCCATCATTGTCCTATCTCTCCCCATTTCCCCAGAGACGTTCTTTCAGACCATTCGTATTTTTATCGAGAAGCATAAACTCATCCCTCTTGAAATCATCGTCGTAGGCGAGGGCGACTAAACCAACGGGGAGCCCATTTGTCGCACCAAAAGCATCGTGCCTCAATTTATTATTGCCCCACCAGAATTTGAAATACGGACAAATCTCAACATTTCCCTTACCTCCGTTGGGGTTCGGACTAATGAATGTCTGTCCTTCGCCCTCTTGGTCGCGCCAGAAGTCCAAATACAATTGCCACTCAAGGATATGTTCACTGGCGAAGTCGGCTGACTTGGCTGGTTTGGGAATATGCCCAAAACTGTAGCTATCGCAGTCATCCGGATCCTGCGGTCCATAGGAGATGATGGCATCCGCACCGGTGATCAGGTCCTTGGACTGAGGGAATACTCTGCTATACATCGTAACCCCGCAGACTCGCCCTTGTTTATGGTCTTTGCGTTTATACAACTGGTGGAGGCTTCGTATTTCCATTATATCTTCCTCGTCCTCCGGTCTGTAATCTTCCTCGAGGTTATATATTGCCCCATTAACTTGCCTTGGTGGTTGAGCATGGCCTGTGCTTCATCCTCTAGTCTAAAATCTGGGAGATGACGCTTCGACCAAATAGGGACCCCATCGGCGTTGTCTGGGAGAACGCTTCCATGACAATCTCCAGTACGCGTCCGTTTATTATATGGACAACCAAGCGCTAACCCGTACGTATCGGGGAACAAGGCCCCTTCAGTCGAATCCGCACGGGCAAGCAGTGATGAGACCTCGAGAGTATGATTAAATCCAATAAGTTCCCCCCAGTCGCGCTTATTTGACGAGGATGATTGCCATGGATAGCACTTCATGGGGAGCACGGTCACAGTCTTAGAAGACCAGGTTTGTCTTCAATATGAGCTTGGAGCTGATAATCAATCCTATAGTGTCCGCCACTGCAATCGTCCGTATAGCTGATGCCAGCACGTAGAATAGCGGTATTTTCGAAAGATGCTTCGATCCGGGTATCGACTAGTTTGGATGCTGGAGTATCGAGCTTGATTTGAAACCCGATGGCAGCAGTCACGGTGATGGCAATGGATCAATCCACGGCCATCACTGCACCAGTGCCGGCTTCCACGCTCGGTCGTGCAGGAAAGGGAAACAAGTTGTAACTTTGTGGGAGTCTGTCCATAGCTTGAGGAAACATGAAAATATATTTATTATTGTTCGTCCTCAGCGCCCTGCCGTGGAGGCCGTCTGCTCGCAGTGTGAACGGCTATAGCTGTCTAGATAGATACTCCATAGAGGAAGAAGAATGTGAAACTTCAGTAACTGGCTCCACGTGCTCAGCGGCGGCCGTGAGGCCGCCGCCACCGCAACTCGTATATTAAAGAGGGGAACGCTAACGCAGACTTAGTGGTCACGAATCGTTCATGTAACAGGGATGTTACTGACCAGAGCGCAGCGAGAAATGCTCTCTAGGGCCAAGTGAAACACGCTACGTGGTTCAGCGCTTCACTCATAGCCTATTGTTAGATTTTTATGCGTCATTATATGGGAGCTTGAATCATCTCTGTGTGTGTCTATCTTGGTGGTTGCTTCGGAGTAATCCACCTAGCTTGGTTATTTCACATGACGTCCCAATATGGACTAGCTTTATTCTGACACCTATCAAAGTCATGGGTAGTTTGGAGGCCAAAGATCGACGGACAATAGGCATTTGGTCTGGAGATTGTAAGACTTGGGCCGCCTTTGCATAGAAAGTGACGGAAATACTAAGTATGACGAATGTCTAGTCACAGCCTATGATACAAAATCCTCTCTCCAACTAAAGTAACAAAGTGGTCCGAATCGACAATTGTGCGGATTATACGAACCTTGGAAATCAGTACTTTTGTAGTCGTATGAGGTTCTAGTATCAGACCGGGTAATCAATATAAAACTTCACGCTTCTGATAGAACGGTGGACCGTATTTGCTGCTTCTTTCGTTGTTTTAAGCGAGCCTTGAGCGCTTTAGTTGGGTAGGAGATGGAGACATAGGAGAGAAGAAAAAAAAAAAAAAAGAAAAGGCTGCCTCTGTACTTCTTTGCTCACACATAGCTAGCTAGATTGGCATCCTATTTGATGCTGTACTGAACTTCGCGCGCGAGGGTTTCAGCGATCTCTAGAAGATGCCTACGTCCCACACGTGAGAATAGGATAAAATGCCCAATCCATGGCGTATGACTGGAAGAGGGGACAACGTCCCCTCGTCGCCAATAACACACACTGTCAACAACGTACTCGGCAAGATCCGGCCTGCGTTGCAATGCCTCGTCACAAATATTATCAGAATCAAAAATCCCCCCTCTATCGGCAGATAGGAACTGGGTGTGACACCAGTACTGAGCCCCTTGTATAAATGGCTGGGACAAGGCATGTATACGCTGGGAATCCTCCAATGCGAAGAGCAAGCCAAGTCCAACATAGTCGACGCCATACGTGGCCTCGGCGGGACCTGATGCAGCAATTCCCGGTGGTCGTGCATTTATTTCGATTAGCCAAGAACTTGTTGTAGTGGAGTCTGTTGACTCCGTTTGGTATTCAAGATCCACTAGCCCATCCCGAAGTGTATATACGACTTCTGAGTCTTTGACACGGGCTTCCAAATGGAATACACCGGAGTGAAGTCCCAGCCGCAATAGCTTCTGGTGCAGGTCTTGAACGACCAAGTTCTGCTCGCTTGATGGCAAATTTGAAGGCCACATCACACCTGACTCGGTAAAACTCAGTGCCTTTTCTTCAAGCGTTCCATCGCCTAGTTTAGGCTATTCGTCGCATACTTCAGCAAACAATATCTCGCCCTCGCTGAGTACAAGATTGACATCCACTTCTGGTCCATCGCAATATTCTTCGATGACAAATCGTGGGCCATGTAGATCGGCATGCTTCGCAATGGCCTCGGCAGCTTCGGCAAACTCAAGGGTATTGTCTGCTCTGTACACACCCGAAGAACCCCATCCCCGACATGGCTTTAGAATCAATGGGTATTGTAATTTATGCTCTTGTACAGCCTGTAGCGCTTCGTCTTTGCCATGTGCCAGAAGTGCTGGGTGCCCTGCTGCAATACTGGTCTTGTATTTATCGGCTGCGATTGCCAGAGCTGCTGCAGGTGGTGTAGGAAGCGAGAGAATCTCCGCGGCTTTAGCGACCTCAAACTGCAATGACTCATGAAAGGTAACGATCCCATCGATACCTCCCTTGTAGTGACTTAAAGTCTCAATGATCCTATAGCAAAGGCCACCATCCCGAGTCAAGTCACAGGGAAGGAAAAGTGCCACGCAGATCTGCATGCTTCGGATCCGCCAGCCAGCATCCTTGGGCATCCAGAACCACCAAGTTGATATCGAGGGCTTTTGCAACTGAATAGTGATTTCGTCCTGTACCCCCGTGTGTTGGATACCACCAATAATTCCCCACAAATACCAATGTCTGTCTTGGTCGTCGCTTTTCCAACACCCAGGGGAACGATAATCGATTCCGCACCTCCTTCTCGAAAGCATCTAGATCTGCAGCCACATCATTTATCGACTCGTGAACATCGATGATGATGCCTCCTGCTGCAACAGCGAAGAAGTTTGGGAGGCGGGAGAAGTCGGTTTCCATTACCGCCTCTCCCGAGAACCACTGCTGGGGAGCCGCGAAAGAGCTCACTTTGATGAGGTTTGAAGAGCCAAAATGCGCAAAGGAACGATATCAGATCGTACGATATAGCCTCGGCGGCGAGGTATAATCAGTTTTGCGGCTCTACCTCTGCCGAGTGGGGCCGAACTCGCTGATGATAACAACGCATGTATGAACCCACTTCCAGTATCATCGAGGCCTAGAGACTGGACGGAAAGACCAGCTGTTGCATCGTGCTGTTCATGAGACGCCCCGTGCTCAAAAGGTAGTGTTGTGCTAGGCAGGTGTCGGTCGGTAGTCCCTGGCGTCAACTTCTGGATGGTGATATCCACGGATTGCCACAATGGGTAGTGATAGTTCACTAGAGACGTGTGGCTGATAGACCAGCGACACTCAAACGTGTCTGCGGATCTTTAGCATATTACCACAAATATGATATTTGCTAGTAGTTGTCTCCATACCGTGACCATTTGGCCGTGTCGCCTTAGGCTTAATGTTTGGTCGATTGAAGTATTATTGTTCAATTTGAGACAGTCAGGTAACCCTGGTCGTTGTCGTGAGACCGGAGACTGGATTCTACTAATATCGCCACTCTACGGCATTTTTTGCCTCTATATCTCATGGTGGATACGCTTATGAGAAAGGAATAGTAAGCTGAGATGGGACTCTACTCGGCAGCAATACAGTAAACTTGTACAGGGGTATAGACACGCGTCTTATAGCACCCGTGGGCGCTACCTAGGTAGTCTTCTCGCTCACACATACAATACAGTAACATTACTACATTCTATTGATATCCATGGATGCGGACCCTACATCCAGGGATTGGTTATTTGGGGCCCCGGGGGTTTCTTTGTCTTGGTAAAACAGTTCTTTAACGTAATATGTCTGTTAATCTGGATACCTGTCAGAATAAACTAGTCCAGATTGGGACATCATGTGAATATATATACCCAATACTCCTTATAGAGGGGTTGGGTAGACAATCCTTCTGAATACAATCACTTTAGACCCCTAATAATCAAACAATACCATGAATTTTTCCACCGACGCTGACCGACGCTTACCGACGGTCTCCTTCGACTGTATAGAGACGTTGCAACATACAAGTCATATTTCATTAGTATTTGCACCCCGGTACTTGGAAGGCCCAACACGCACTTGCTTTCTGTCTGTAGGACTTCATATTCAAAGCTCCTCAGGCTACTCGGGTGGAGTGTACACTAGTAGGAATAGGTAGACGGTATAGACAGAAAGGTCGAGGGTAGAAGTACATCTCTTGAAATGTAAATACTAATAAAACGCCGCTGTATGTACGATCCAAGGAAGATATTAAGTCGTGTATCTGTATAATCTGTGAGTAGGCAGATCTATTCCAAAGTGTGATTCGGTAAGAACTGGTCTGACTGGCTCAGGAGCCCCTTGCGCAGGTGCTATCTCTTAATTAAAAAAGAAAATGTCGATGTAACGTAATTTAGGGGAAAAGTGAGAACTTCCAAGGTTCTACTGCTATCACGTCAGGTGACTAGGCGATCATATCATCGAACAAGGGTCCCGAGGCAATTTCCAAGGTTCCTGGGTTGGTTTGTGCACTCTTGTTTTCTCACCATTTGAAATGACAACGCGAACGATGACGAGCGTCCCGGGCGATCATATCCAACTGTGTTGCCTCGGGGGGAATAGTGTGGCGGTAGTGAACAACAAAGCGAATAATAGCATCAAGGCGGGGGAAGGCCATGATCCAAGTCCACACGAAGAGAATACCAGGGATTCTGAAACTCACTCAGTTAGGGGAACTGAAGAAACTAAAGAATATCCCACTGGCTTGAAGTTCTGGCTCATCATCCTCACCATGACAGCCTTGCTTATCCTTGGTGGACTTGACACTAATATCGTTGCTACCGCTGTGCCCAGGTACGAGGTTAAAATAAAGGCGAATATCATGTGCAATGTTCCATAAGCTGACCACTTTTTGGCTTCTAGTATTACCGATAACTTCCACACCGTGGCTGATGTTGGCTGGTACTCGTCGGGATTTCGACTCTGCACCTGCGCCTTTCAATTCATGTTTGGCAAGATGTACAAGCTCTTCTCCGTCAAGCGCGTGTTCATGCTCGCTAATGCTATATTCCTGGTGGGATCTGTGCTCTGTTCCACGGCCACAACATCCGCCATGTTTGTCGCTGGGAGGGCCGTGACCGGAGTGGGCTTTGCAGGTATCCTCGGCGGGTTATACACCATTCTTACGCATATCCTGCCACTTCGACGACGACCTCTCTTCTGCGGAGTCCTGGGTGGCGTCGAAAGTCTGGCCATTATTGCTGCTCCCATCGTTGGCGGAGCCCTGACTCAATCGCTTGGTTGGCGGTGGTGTTTCTGGATCAACCTACCTATCGGGGGTGTTTCGCTTCTAATGACCTTTTTCCTATTTTCGGATCCAAGTCTCGGCGACACAAGTATCGGGTTCAGAGAGAAAATAGCCAGGCTCGATTTACTGAGTAACCTGCTCTTCATTCCAGCGCTGACCAGTCTTTTCATCGCGTTTTCTTGGGCCGGCACCAAGTATCCTTGGGATGACGGCAAAGTCATTGGTCCTCTCGTTACGTTTGCAGTTCTCACAGCCGCCTTCTTATACAATCAACATCGACTGGGTGATGCTGCTGCTTTACCACCGCGTATCTTGAAGAACCGCAGCGTCATTGCCGGCGCAATTTTCGGCCTCTGCACTAATAGCGCTATCAATGTGCTCGAGTATTACTTGCCTACCTACTATCAGATTGTGCGTGGGTATTCTCCTAGCGAAAGCGGCTACATGATGATCCCCATAGTTGTCGGTGCGACTATCGGAATGTTCCTTTGCGGATCGGGAACCAGTACAATCGGCTACTACACGCCATTCATGCTCTTCTCCTCGGTGGCGATGCCGATTTTCGCGGGATTGATTACGACTTTCGGAGTCAAAACTAGTTTCGCTCGGCTTATCATGTACTCCGGGGTATCCGGCTTTGCGAGTGGAGTAGCCTTCAACACACCAATCACTGCTGTGCAGACTGTGCTGCCTGTCGAAGACGCCTCACTTGGGCTGTCTATCGTGCTTTTCGCACAGAACTTTGGTCCTGCCGTGTTTATTGCTATTGCTCAGGTCATTTTCATGAATCAACTCGCGACTAATCTAGTCCGCGTAGTCCCAAACATTGAACCTGCGACAATCCAAGACAACGGGTTGACGGATATTATGGGACAGGCCCCAGCAAATCGATCCATGGAGGTTCTTGAGGATATTGGTAAAAGCTTGAGTGAGACGTGGTATTTGGCTGTTGGGTTGACATGTGCGACGTTGATTGGAAGTTTACTCATGGAATGGCGATCTGTCAAGAAAAAGAGTGCTTAATCTTCGTTATCAATGCTAGGCTATGAATGCTAATGATCTCTGCATGATCTACACGAAAAGGCAAGTTGGTTGGACCTCATATTGCAGGTATAGGTTATATAGACCTAGCTGTGGCGTAATCTAATTTTTACCTGGTGGGAGCATCATACCCATAAGAGTGAGGCCCTATTTGGCAGGATTGCTCCATCCATATACTTTGACAGAGTTGATCAACCAATACGCATCCGAAAAAGCCGACGGGTTCTGGGCCACAAATTCCTTACAGGTAGCAGCCTTCGCACTGCACTCGGGAGTTGATGCCCACACGCTTGCACTAGGGCTTATTAGTACAACTCTTATCACACCAATGGATTTCGTATCTTATGCCCAGCCACACAGATTTGTGTTGAATATAATGTCGTTACTTTTGAAGTGAGTGAGCCAAAGTCGCAGCCCGAGGCCACGCCCGAGGCCACGAGCCGGGTCAACGGCGTGCCCCAGGCGGTTGGTTCTGGAGCCCCAGATGTGATGTCCGCCGGGATACTGTCACGAGGGAATAGCCAAACGAAATTGCGCTCGTTGTCCATTGCATTGCGTACACACCCCCATCGATCGCGTTGAAGCCGTCCCCGTAGGCATGGGTATTTGTCGACGTCTGGGAACAACTGCCGGAGGAGGTACATGGACAGGAAGTTGCCCGTATAGCAACCGCGTTACGCCCCTAATACAGAAATCGAAACGCTCCTTATCCAAAAGACCATGTGCACCAATCTTCCAGAGGAAGAGGAGCCATCGCCGGCGAAAGATTCGGACAAAAGCTATCATGAAGGAAAAGAGAAGGCGTCGCCGACTTAGGAGTATCCGATTGACGCTCTACACTGGAAGACTTTTAGCCAGAAGATGCTAGTTTTAGTAAGCCTCTTTTGGCTAAGATTCTCCATCTTCGAAACTTGCTGCTGCATACAGGATGGATCGAAATTTGTTTCGCCCCTTTCATCATAGGAACTGTCAACCAAAAATGAGGCCGAAAAGTAGTTGTTTCGCTAGTAATTTTGTCCACAAATTGTCGCTCTGGACAGTTTATTTTTGTTTAAATAATTCACCATTATTACCACCTATCGCACTCATGTCAATCACAGCGCATGGCGACTATATCGACCCACCTCGCAGACCGGCGCAGTTCGGTTACGCAGCTACGTGAACAGACGAATGTCCACCTCCTCACACCCTTAGATACCCTGCGATCACCCAGATGTCGCAGCCATCAAAATCTGGACAGCCGATTCTCAAAAATTTTCTTTTCTGTCTACATACCTCCAATACCATTCTTTACAGCCGACAACGCGTCAGCAGTGCCGGCGCTCTTAGCAATAGAAAATCCTATCACGGCCGCTATGCAAAATGAGCAGCGAGCTACTAGCATTATTATTTCCGGCGACTTCAACTGGCATCACCCAATGTGGGGCGGCAATCATATTCCACCCAGATTTATCGAAGACGCCAGCGAGCTAATCACCTTTTTCAAAACCCACAATCTCTCCAGCTGCCTCCCTCGGGGTACGGCGACGTACTGGGCTTTGAATAATCCAGGATAAAACTCGACCATCGAACAGACAGCGACAGACAGACTAGATCTGCTCGTCAAATGCCATCTATACCACGAGAACTATGGCTCCGACCATCGCGCCACCTACTCTGAATGGGATCTTCAAGCTTAGAGTAGGCCAAACACCAAATCGAGGAAAGCGTATGAGCGCGCGGACTGGGCCAGAATCGGCGAGGAATTAGCCCAGCAGAAGAGACCATGGAAAGACATTTAAGACCCGACCAACCCTTGACAAGGCGGTGGAAAAGTTCACATCAGCAACGGCCCAAGCCGTTGACCGGTTCACACCCGATACACGCCCAACACCATACTCCAAACGATGGTTCACAGCGGATCTCAAGACCCAACAAGTCGAAGTCAACCAACTGCGCGGAGCTCGGACGAGACCACGCCAGCACCACTGCCGCCTTTCGGGCCATGCAACAAAAGCGTCGAGCGTGGACCCGGGTGATCGAGAAGACCAAAGCATCACAGTTTCTAGACGAGGCAGGCGAAGGAAAGCTCTGGAAAGTTGCGACCTACATGAAGCCTCGAGAAACATGGGGTTGTATCCCAGCATTACGAGTAGGTTCGGAGGAGCTCGTCCAGTACGAGGACAAAGCGAAGGCTTTCCTTGACACGTTCTTCCCTGCAACGAACACACCCGACCCCAGCCCACCGGCCTTGCCACAGGCGGAACTCCCGTGGCACCCTATCACCGAACTCGAGATCGAGCGATCATTGAAGGCGGCGCAAGGTGCTACTGCGCCAGGGGAGGACAATCTGCCGATGCTGGTCTGGAAGAAGCTATGGGTACATTTAAAACCCCTTATCACCAACATCTTCAAGGCATGTGTGGAGTTAGCACACCATCCAAAACAATGGCGCAGTGCGAAAGTATTGTGTTGCGGAAGCCAGGCAAGCCAGACTACGCAGTGCCCGGCGCCTACCGCCCAATCTCATTGCTGAACACGCCGGGCAAGCTTCTTGAAGCAGTGATGACCCGCCGGCTGTCCTACCTAGCGGGAAAATACGGCCTGCTGCCGAATAGCCAGTTCGGCGGCCGTCCGGGCAGAACCACCGAGCAAGCTTTGCTGGTGCTGTCCAATGCGATCAACAAAGCGTGGTACAAACACAAGGTGGTGACATTAATCTCATTCGACCTCAAAGGCGCCTTCAACGGAGTGAAAAATAAGCCTAGATGCCTCTTTACAGGCTAGAGGAATACCAAGGGAGGCAAGGAAATGGATTGCAAACTTCATGAGTGACCGGCACGCCAACATTGGATTCGGCGACTTCCGCACCGACACAGAGCTACTGATGAATGCAGGTCTAGCGCAAGTGGTCGCCACTTTCCCCCATCTTGTTTGCATTCTTCAACGCCGATCTCGCGGACCAGCCCGTCGACCCACACGGAGGCGCAAGGAGAGATGAGTTGAGACCGAGTGGTGAATTGAGAGGGAGTGATGGATTGAGAGGGGCGATAAATTGAGGGCGAGGAGCTGCCCTATCAACCTGACAATTCCTTTTATGCGGAAAGAATGAAACATTAAACAACCTTTTAAACCGTTCGAGAGCAAGAAGGTTGAGCAAAATTGAGTGCAATTGAAGCACCGATGACATTAAAGGTGATGATCCGTTCGAACGCAGCTAGCGCAACAATTATGAGGGCTTCCTGACCTAGGTTGAACTTGCTACAGAGACTAATAAACGCTGATTTATTGTGAAGGCAGTGGATGACCCCAGAGAGGCATATACAGTGGGCGTTCCTTAGAGTACATTCATGCTTGGCTGACATATATTGATGGGCTTGCTGCCCTCTTCCCGGCCATACTGCTGCCTGTTGCTACTATAGATTTAATTACTCCAAGATCCCAATAGCGAAATTTTATGGCCTGCTCAAGCACGCATCTCACAAGACACTGTATGTGCGACCACTAGGACGCAAAATATCCGCATCGTCTTCTTTGCGGCATCCTGGAGCGAAACGCCCGTCAGTTCCGCCTGGATATTTCACCACTCATATTAGAAGAAAAACATTTCCCATCGACTAGCCTCGCTAAGCCAAAATGTACTTCAAACTATCAAATACGGTTGTCGCATTTATCTTTTCCCTAAACATCGCCGCTGTGGTGCATGGAGCTACTACTGCCGGCATGCTGAACTCTAGTTCCGAAAATAAGTACCACATTGTGGTCTACCAAAACGCCAGGTGTACCGGAGAGTCTATCTCATACTTTTACTCTGGTGATTCTGGGGATTGCTACAACGGATTGGGCAACGGCGGTTCGGGGCTTCAACTCTTGGCATTGGAGAATAGCGGGGAGCTTGTCTTCTACGGTCAACCCGGATGTCCAGATAATGAGCAAGTCGCCAGTTTCATCCACGCAAATCAGACTGGCCTTGGCTGCAAGCCGTTGAGCGGAAACCCCGTGTCATTTAAGTTTTTGGGCGCCTAGAGCTTCAGAGCGTCTACGTCGGGCTGTGCTTTATAGAGAGCGAATGGAAGCAGAATCAAGCTAGACTATGGCCGCTTTGAAAAGGTTGTTCACAATGTTTTCCCAAATTTATGGCTGTTGAGAGAGAACAATTGTAGGCTGCTACAATTCCATCGACCGTTCCTCGAAAGGGAGGAGAAAGAAAGGACGGTGTATGTACTTGGCGGAGCTTGTGGATTTTGGTAATTTACACTCATGCAGAGATGTGAAGCTTATTGAGCCACAGACAGGAGCGGAATATTAATTGAGGTACAATAATAATTCAAAGACAACGTCTCTCATTCCCAATCCTTTGGCTTTATAAACAAAGCATCCGCTGTGATCGCCTCAATCCAATCTTGAGGAACCTTTCCTGGAACCTGGAGAGAACCCTTCAAGTAAATCTTGCGAGCTTCAACCCGATCAGGCCATGCTCGAAGAAGTATCGGAGCTGTTGGAGGAACCGAGTGGAGATAAGACGTGTTCAAGTAGGCTGTGACTGCTGGTTTGCAACAGTCGGCAAGAATGCGGTCCATCAAGAGGGCAATGTACCCGCCGAACAATTTCCCATTGTAGTAGCACATCTGCTGTGTAGGGCTCAAAAGCAGGACAGACTCTGCCTCCCACCCAAGAGGATGGAGCTTGAAAGTGGAATTATTAAAACTTATCTACGCTTTTTTATAAACTACACTTAAGATAACTGGGCGTTCTTGTGCCCCGCTGCGATGCTTGCACTAAATAACAAAGACTCTGTATCCACTGGCATTAGCCCCTTCTTCCTGGACTACAGATATTATATGGAGCCCCTGGACCTCCCTAAAGCCCCAGAGGTTGTTTAAAGCCCAAAAACACCAGCCCAACATGCGGAGGCTATTATTAGCAAACTAAAAGGCGCATTAGAGTTAGCCTAGGCAGCCATGGCCGCGGCACAGCTTACCAGGAGGAATATACATTCTAGGTCAAAAGTCTGGTGACACCCGAAAAAATCGAATAATTACAACAAGTTCAAAATTAAAATACTCCACCACCACAACTCCTATAGATCCCTAATTTAAATATTATTTACAAAATTAATACTTTGTATACCACCCATGAGCTCGATGCACAGCTCGAATCCTACGAGGCATGGACTCAATCAAACTGTCAATTACCTCCTGGGGAACCTCATCCCATGCGTGACAGATAGCATCATGAAATTTGGTCCAATCCACTTGAGATCTTCCATCTAGAAAGAGGATAGGATAAAGTTTTAATAAGCTTCTCTTTTAGCAGGTTCCATACATGCTCTATAGGGTTTAAATCGGGAGAATGAGCAGGCCATTCCATAACCCAAATTCCATGAAATTCAAACCATTCCTGTGCCTTCGAAGATGTATGGATTTTAGCATTGTCTTGCTGAAATATTCTACCAGGTTCATAGACTGGAAGAAGGCCTTCTTCTAGGAATTCTATATAGGAATTGGTGGAATAGCCGCCTCGAGGTGATGATTTATCCCGTCTCATAATAATCAAATTTGATCGGCCACCATGCCACATAGCGCCCCATATCATTTGTGAAATATCCTTTCCATGATTATAAAGATTCACAAGATCCCGCCTATAGGCCTCTTTTTGATATCGAAAGACAAATTGAATGGTATTATTGGGCTTTCTTTGGACCGAACATTCGTCAGAATAGAAGATTTCATTCCACCTAGTAAAATTAAGCCACGTACGAGAAAATTCATATCGATTTTTGGCTGTCTTCTTAGTCAAGGGAATTCTCTTCTTGCTTTTCCATTTCTTAAGGTTATATTTCCTTAGAATTCGCTGTATTGTTGACTTAGAGACCAAACTATTGGAGTTGGCAATTAGAGCCTTATAGCTCATATAAGGCCTCCGGCGAGCCATTTGATAGATATAGCGCTTGGATGCTTCACTAAGCTTGCTAGGTCTCCCCTTTCTAGGTAAGGAACTGGTGGTGTAGATAGCGATCGCGTGTGCGGTATACTGTTTGACGACTGACCCCAAACTACTTAGCCATTTGAGTAGGCGATTGCTTAGTCTGAAGGCCATATAAAATAGCAGAACGCGTTTTATTTGAAAGCTCTTGATTAAGCCTTCTATTCCCACTAATTTCAGTGCCAAAGGACCTCATATTGGTGGGGTGGTGGGTGGTTGAAAAATTAACAACTTTTTGACGCGTCGCGCGGGAGGGGGAGTGTAACCAGACTTTTGACACGCTATGTACCAACCAACACCGGAATACAGCACCTCAGTACCAAGTGGGAGATAAAGTATGGCTTAATTTTCGGAATATTAAAATAAACTACCCCTGCAAGAAATTGGACGCCTAACATGCCAAGTTTACTATTATTAAGCATGTGGGTTCCTATACCTACAAGTTAAATATACTAATAGCTATCCACCCTGTCTTCCATACCATGTTACTGCGTCCGGCAGCTAAGAATCCACTGCCGAGCCAATCCCGGCCTAACTGGCAACCCCCGGCGTTCCTTGTGGACGGTGAAAAGGAATACAGGGTAGACAAGATTCTAGACAAGTGTCAGATCCGTTGGGGGCAATGCTTTAGGCACGAATATCTAGTTAAATAGACAGGTTATTAAACGCCTACCTAGACAGCTGCTTATAACATGGAAGACACAGTCGCACTGGACATCTGGGAGTCAAAAAGGGGGTCCCACCACGACTCCCTAAAAGTCATGAGCTCCGTGCCCACAACTTCTCGGGGGGGATAATGTCACGGGCGATGCCTGTATATTACTCGGCTTTGCCTTCGCTGCAATCGGCACATATAATTAATCCGCTTATCGCAGTCACATAACCCCTCGTAGTATGAGAACGCACACTTCTTCCCTTTAGTTTCTTCCTCTCAGCGGTTCCTCTTTGTATATACAGCATCGGAATAAGGTCCAAGAAGCTCAGGATACAAATTAAAAACAAGAGTATGTAAGCTACATAAGTGTCACCTAATATGCTAGAATTGGTTAAAGAAGCGAGAGTTATGCTAGTGCGGTTTTTCTTGCGGTTATACATGGGTCACCATGGTTAAACCGCGAATCTGCGGTTGTGGTTGTGGTTTTCAAAGTGATACTTACATGCCCAAGAAAGTTGGCATTCCTAGCCTGTTCAACCATTATTCTTATACTAGCTGCGCTCGGCATCGCCCGTTAGGGCGATGCTCTGTTGCAAGATGGGAAATCGGGAGATACACGAAAACATGAGCCAGTCAGGGGCGCAAATCGCTCAGGGACGCGAGGCCGCGCGAGGCTGCATGCTGCAGACACGTCAGCACAGGAGAGTCACATCAGTTTAAGTGTCTTACACCTGTAAGAATCCCTACCTTGAATGGCTTGGCCAAGCGTATGGGGTTGAAAGTACCTGACCCTTAATTACTTCAAAGATTATTTATTTGCCCCTCATCACATACCTAACCACATTGTCTTTCACTTTTTTTTGAATCACCTCCCTCCCCCGGATAAATTTTTTCCTTGCTACGGCCAACATAATTATGGCTGCTCCTTCTCTTCCACCAGAAATTATCGCCCAGATTCTTTCCTATGTTGCACCCGAGTCACTCGCCCCTTACGCCAGCATCAATGCACTTTGGCAGGTGATCGTTGAACGACAGACTTTCTCCGTCCTCAACATCACTACCGCTGGTCTCTCCGATCTCCGACACATTATTACCCCACGGAGATACTCTCTTGTTCGCAAAATATATTTAAAGATAACACTAGCAGAATACAGTGTCGCCGAGCGTGTTCAAGTTGAGACCGATGAAGACCGCAGCCGTAACAATCAAGCATTCACGGAGACAATCTGCACCCTTTTTAATATCTTAAGCTCATGGTCTACAAATGGCGAATATGAACCTAGTATCCAACTAATTATTAGCAACGTCTCGCCTAGCGACTTTACTGAGGATTCAAATCGCAGCTATAGACGCTTACTTGGTATGAAACAGCCAGGCATGGATATCCTTTACTGGCGGTACATGTCGTCTTACGTGGAGTTGCTTAAACCAACGGAGGAGCTTCCTAGCGTCGGTGTTATTTCTGATCTTGTGGTTAATAGAGGGATAGGGAGAAATATTGCGCCGGCTACGGTATCGAAACTAATATCTCGATTACCTAGGCTCCGTATATTAACGGCGAGATTGTCTGATAATGAAAGAAAAGATGAAAAACTTCGGGACAGGTTAAGAAATGAATTCGCCATTAGTCTTGTCCTGTGGCCTTTATCTCTAAAATGCCTTTACCTTGACTATCCCGGCGAGGCCCCGAGAGACGCAGACTTTCCTCCATTAAAGCGCTCCAAACCAGGGGCAGATGCCTTCTGTATAACATTTAGACAACTAAGCCAGCAGCTTAAAATTATACATCTGGATGGCATCATGGTCGGCCCCGAGCTGTTTTGGCCGCAGGATGATAATAAACAGCCGTACTGGCCGAATCTCACATACTTCCACCTGACCTATGCTGCTTCCACTCCGTCTGGCGAATGGCTCTTTGAACGAGACCCGCGATGTCCAGAATACAATTTTGACCGTAATCCGGAGAATTTATACATGCGACCACCTATGGATGACGCACCACAGGACGAATTTCCCGACGACTATCGCACTGCGCCATCACCTATTCTAAATAGGCTTTATATAGCTGCTGCGTATGCTGCACGACACATGCCGAAACTAGAGACAATGTCCCTTGTCGGGCAGGTCCAGGCGGGGTTAAATGGCCTCCTAGGACAAAACATTCTCCAGTGCGAAATAAAGCATGAATTTTACTACGAAAGAGAACAAGGCCGGGTGAGCTGGGTGGGTTCGTCTGAATTTCCTCTTTTATCTGAGGCCCGGGAGGCTTGGGAGATAACTGCAAGCACACATAATCATTCTTGGTTAATTGTTGAAGTAATACAATTCTCCCTTAATTTATTGTTGTGAACTAACCGCTTTATAGAACATTGTCGAGAACGACTCCACTCGTCCTAACATAGTACAAAACACTGGATAAATAATGGTTATATCTATCTATTTATGTCACGGGCTACGCCTGTATATTGCTCGGCTTCACCTTCGCTGCAATCGGCACACATGATTGGTCTTATTGCAATCACTTGACCCCTCGTAGTATGAGAACGCACACTTCTTCCCCTTTACTTTCTTCCTCTCAGCGATTCCTCTTTGTGTATATCTAGTTATTAGATAGCAAGGCATTTCGCCCCTTTACAATTTATATTGCGATGTAGTGTCTACCTAACCCGGAATAAGGCTACTTTCTCTGTTAAACAAGATATTCTTGCTACACTTTAATTATCATTTCTGCTAGGCACTGGTAGTGTTTTTCTTTTCTTTTCTTTTTTGGTTAGAAGTACTCCATTAATATATATATTTATGTATACACGAAAGCTCAGAGGAAGAACATGCGTCATTTCATTGATTCGTGTGAAGTTGAAAATTGTTGTGGAATTCAGGGGAAGTGATGCGCAGGGAGCTATTCTATCAGCTACAGGCCAACTAGCCTAACTAGGAAGTAGATGTCCTTCGGTGGAAACACCAGCAATCACAGTATCTCAACCAACTGAGTCTCTTGCATTCCTATCTGGGTGCTCAACTAACTAAAAGATTGAGGGGTAGAAATGTATAATATAACTACATTATTAATACCACCGTCAACGTCACTTTCGTCGACGTCACTTGGTTCAACAAAAGGCAAATTGTCAGACTGCTGGTTAATTTGCAGAGATTTAGCCTCCGTAATACATGTGTTATAGGTGTCAAAGGATTCGTTATACAGCTCTCCGTACCGATAATTGTCAAATCCGTAGAAGGCAGCGTTATCAGGGACAAAGGGTTTGTTAGATAGCGGTCTATAAATATTTCCAGCTTTATTAACAGCATACGCAGTATCTTGTTGGTCTGTAAAATCTGCAGGTGCCTGGTTCTCTGCTATGTGCGGGGTCGTTAACAAGCTGGATGGTGCGCTACGGTGCGAAAGGGAGTGTCTATATGGGAGGGAAACCACGTATATTGCAGAACTAATCGCTGGCCTTCAAGAGTTCAGGCCCGCGGGTGCGAATAACTTATCAAATTAAGATGGAATTCACTTAGTGCTGAGTGCTATTTTTCATATTAACATGATACACTCAGAATCAAAAACAAAAAAGGCGAGACGACTTGACGGGCACACGGGTGGCCAGGGGATTTCGACCCAAACGGACACGTCAGAAAAATTAAAACTCCACAGGGCCCAATGGTCACCGCGGAGTATAACGGCGATCGTATAGTTTTAGTGTATAAAAACTACTACCCTACCCCCCCCCCCGGCGGTGTGGACAAGTGATTGCTGAATGTCCTTGCTTTACATGGCTTGTTAATGCATACTCGGGAAAAGGTAACACGAACGCTTTACAAGTGAACGTCCTTGAATTCCCTGAATACCTTTGCCCCGATATCGAAAATGCTTCTATCCTGACAGCATATGCTTTTCAAGCTGGCTTGCTGCAGAGTTTTGAACAGCTTCGCCTGCTATAATATACCATGGACGGCAAACTAAGGTCATTGAGAATAACTTCGAGCAACCCACTGATATATTAAACCAAACACTTTCATTCCGGAAATTAGTTGTGCAGCTGGTCAAACTTTGCCCCAGGGGTCTGTGCAATGGGCACAAAATATGTCGGAGATCCGTTCTCAAGCAACTTTCCCCCTGAGACAGGGCACCATATCGTGGGGATAGAAACTGGAGTGACTAGTTAACTGTGTTATGAGTAATGCTCTGGAACAAGTAGCAAAGGTGCTTGAGGCACAGGGTCTAGATGACAGGCCATCGTGTAATGATATTCGACCCAGATAAGGCTGCGCAGGTGTCTCGGGAGGATGGCCAGTTGCCAAGTACATGGGCGAGTATGGATGCGAATATGGGTTTATTTGCACCTACCAAGAAGCACTCTTCCTTAAAGAGAGTCAGCGTGTATCGGTTCGCTGTCTCTGCTATCTATGGCTCGGACAACTCAGCTCCCAATGCGAGTGCTTTTATTTCCTTGCGAGCCTGGCATCAACGGGGAGTTGGAGATACCATGGCACAAAAGGAGGACCATCTCTCGTAAGTTTGACATCTTTATAATGCACGAGTCCCACTAATTGTTGCTGTAAGGTGGGTGGTAGCTACCGGCTCCCACACAATCTGAGGAACTAATATGGAGCGATAGTCCAATGCTACTGTATAGGTGCTTTAAGTATCGGTCCTGTTAATTAGTTTGGTTGGAGTTTGGGATATATCATTTCAGAGACTTGACAGGTCCAATGAAATCATCCTCGCGAAACAAACAAATCTTGTCTGGTGGTAGTTAATATAAAAGTGGCATGGCTGCTTAATCGAATTCAGACCAGGTATCTCCCCAGGTTCTAAACGCAAGGACTTCGATGGAATCGATGTTTATAGGGTGACCTTCCTCCCGAAGGAAGCCGTTGTTGCCGGCACGAGAGAGCCCAACCAGATACCTATTCCAAGTTAGCCGATCTCGTATCATGAAACATTAGACAGGACAAGAGAACGGGAACATGCATATTCCGCATTGCTTTATTATAAGGATCCGATGTGTATCTGGCTCAAAGAGTGGCCAGTTCTGGAGTTTCATGTAATTACACAAGATGTCAGCGGCATGGCTTTCTCCGGTTGGGATGCGTACTCCAAGTTTGAACGGCCTGCTGGCGAATGTGCGTCGTTCGGCAGAGGTCAGGGTAACCAACAGGTAGATGGTACTTGTCCCTGGTATCTTGGTCATTACAATGACCCCAATATAGCCGCCAGGATAGGATCATAGACGCTTTGGCAAGCTCGGCGTGAGCGAGGAGGCATGAAGCTGCGCCAGAGCCCTCAGGTTGTACCAAAGTGGCGCATCAGCTATGAAAATAGTCCCTCACCATGCGTTGAATGCTGGGTCTGTCGTGAGGGTTAAGAGGGCGGGAATCTAGCCTCCATCTAGTCAACCCGTTAGTCCTGGCATCGCAACGATCGATACAAATTTTTGAGGACCAAAACTTACTCGAGGAGCATCTTGACGATAACGGCATTCCCGCTTACCCGGGACACCCTTCGAACACACCCCAGCGTTCGTTGATGCCATCTTGGTCCGATCCCGAGAGAATGTTGCTAATCCGGACTTGGTTGTTAATGGTGATGTCCCGACCGACGGTTTCATGCAGGAACATCCCACCAGAAAATCGGTTAAAGTCCATGGCTGGTAAACGCTTTGAAGACGTGTGAGGATCATACAAAATATTTTGGAGGGTTATCCTGCTCGACACAATGATGCTGGGATACCGTCTTCGTATCCATTGTCTCGATCTCCCCTCAAAACCTCCATAATAGTTCCATCAGAGAGGCTGTATAGCCACGGGGACGGATAAAGTTCTCTCTAAGTCGAGGGTAAAAGCTTCCATAAGAAAGGAATATTCTGGGTCATATTAAGTTAATTTAGCGGACCTGATCCGAAACGTCAGCCGGTAAGCACCGAACCATATTTCATGGAATAAGACAGATTGATTGGGCCAAACATCAGCCACAACTCTTCAGTTATATTAGGCACACTCGATATGACATCAAAATGTGAGCCTAGAATCGGATGTCTCCGATGTCGATCTGTGCCCAATCCCCATCGGGATAAATCACCGCATACAAGGAAGGAAGCGAATACGAGGGTGCCATCGCGTACGCCGTATTCGCCAACCCTCCCGTGATCTAGGCATCAGAGTTTGATAAGTCAGGAACTCGCTCGTCCGCCTCTGATGCGAACTGACTACTCCAGGACCAGCCAGTGTATCAGAATATGAAATCTCCCGATTCTCTGGAACCAGAGGACAGCTCCAACCAGCGCGGCAAAGAGGAGGGGGAGAACGAGGAGCAAAATGACGCCAAGGGTCCGTCCCTGGCCAACTACGGAGTACGCGCATACGTTCTAAACCGGTATTTCTGTCCACACTGATGGCATACAGCGGATTCTATCCTACGGCGCACGGAATGGCGGCGCCGTGGCCATGATTGTTGGCTTGGGCTGTGCAATGGGATCTGGAGTGGTACGCCTCCTGTCCTTGAGCCAGAGATCGGAATGGTATTGATTCTCTAGGCCTTACCGTTGATGAACATCATCTTTGGCCGATTGGTCGGAGACTTCAATGAATACTTCATGCCCGGAGTGCAGATAGACGAGAAGGCCTTCAAGTCGACCGTCAACAAGAACAGGTGTGGAGAGGATATCGGTGCTGTCCATGCTTGTGTTGTAATCACTAAATCCCACATAGTCTCTACATCTTTTGCCTTTTCATCGCCAAATTTGTCCTGACATATATATCTATGGTATTGATTAACGTTCCACTCTCCCTGGCGGTAGAGGTGGTTCCCATTAATGTGTGTATAGATTTGCTTCCGACTCATCAGCCTCCAGGCCTCTGCCACCCTGCGCCTGGAGTATACGGTCTCGCTATTCTCCCAGCCTCTGAGTCGCCTCGATGAGATCTCCTCGGGCACAGTCACCCATGCAATCACGTCTCTCTCCAACCAGATCCAGCAGAGCGTGTCAGATCGACTGGCGACATTGTTCCAGGCCCTGGCCCTCCTCATTGCCGCGTATGCCATCGCCTTCCGCTACTCCTGGGCCCTTACTCTGGTAACTAGCTCGGCCATACTCTTCGTCGTGATTGGGTTCAGTTTAACCGTTCCTTTCCTCATCAAGACCCAGGCGCAGGTGGACGAGGCAGAGGCCAGAAATGCCTCGATCGCAGCCGACGTGATGAGCTCCATTCGGACAGTGTTCTCTCTCACGGCCGAGGCTCCCTTGTCTGAAAAATATTCCAAGTGGATCGTGGAGGCACGACGACGGGGATCTCGCCTGACTCCGGTCCTTGGAATCCATCTCGCCTTGCTCATGCTCGCCTTGTACGCTAGCTATTCCCTGGCGTTTTGGTTTGGCCTGAAATTGTACCGTGAGCACCATATCGACAGCATCAATACCGTCATTACGTAGGCCCCTGCCAAATCTTCCACCGTGACAGAAAGCAGATCTAACCTAAACCAGTGTCTTCTTCTCCGTTTTGATCGTGACCTCCATCATAGGAAACATCGCAAACCCACTCATGGCAATTGGGAAGGCTACTAGTGCCTCGGGTCCTTTCTTTGAAATGATCAACGCGAAGCAGCCTGCACCCAATGGCCTGCGCGCTCCCGACGTCTCCAGCAACGCCGATATCACCTTCCAGGATGTGGCCTTTGCTTATCCATCACGGCCAGGAGTCACAGTGTTGAAGGGATTTTCTGCCCGGTTCGAGCGAGGCAAAACAACGGCTCTCGTGGGCCCTTCAGGTTCGGGGAAAAGTACGGTGGTCGGCCTGATTGAGAGGTGGTATCAGCTGCAGACAGAAGCAGTTGATGAGACACAGAAGAACGCTGGTGTGATCCAAGTTGATGGCCACAATGTGAACGAGCTCGATGTCCGGTGGTGGAGATCCCAGATTGGACTGGTGCAGCAGGAGCCGTTCCTTTTCAACGATACCGTGCACAACAATGTGGCCTTTGGACTGATTGGGTCCCAGTGGGAAGATGCAGAAGAGGCTGTGAAGACAGAAATGGTCACTCGAGCTTGTACCGAAGCGTTTGCGGATGAGTTTATCCAACGACTTCCCTTGGTATTGACATATCTCCCCGCAATCAATCTATATGAAGTCTAATAGCTAGAAGGGATATGGAACGTTAGTCGGCGAAGGAGGAATCACCTTGAGCGGAGGACAGCGCCAGCGTCTCGCCATTGCTCGCAGTATTGTGCGTCAGCCTCCAGTCCTGATCCTCGACGAAGCTACCAGCTCAATTGACGTCCGCGGCGAACAAATCGTCCAGGCCGCTCTGGACCGTGTTTCAAAGGACAGGACCACCATCATGATTGCCCACCGGCTCTCAACGGTGAGACGTGCAGATCGCATTATTGTCATGAAAGAAGGGGCGAATATCGAGGAAGGCACTCATGACGAGCTGCTAGCCAGTGACGGTATTTATAGCAGTCTAGTTCATGCGCAGCAACTGCGGAATCTGGCCCTTGATCCTCCAGAGGAAGGAGACATACGCGCGATAGAGAAAACCGAAATCGAACAGGTGCATTCTGTCGGGGCAGTTGGACAAGATGACAGCAGCGAACCAACTTCCAAAAAAGACGAGAAAATGAGAGGACCTAAAAATTTTCTCAAAATTGGACGCGAGCAACGAGAGTCTTGGCCATTGGGTGTTATAACTATCCTATCGGCCATGGCAGCTGGATGTACGTCAGCCTGATCCCCCTGACCGTAAATCTGTTAACCTCTACGTAGCTGGATTCGCGCTGCAAAGCTGGCTCTTTGCCAAGCTGGTGGAGGTTTTTCAGCTAAAAGACCAGAAACTGGTTGACGCAGCGAACTTTTGGTCATTGATGTTTTTCATCCTTGCTCTGGCAATGGCGTTGTTTTACTTCCTTCTCGCAGTGGGATCCAACTCTATCTCCATCGTAGGGCTGCCTCCTGTGTCGATCTCCCTACTTCTCTAATTAGGCTTCAGAATATTGCCTCTACATATCGCACGGAGTACTTTGTCAACATGTTAACCAAGCCTGTGGCATGGTTTGACCGGGACGAAAATGCCTCGGGCTCCTTGATATCACGCCTCTCCACGGATCCCAAACAGCTCCAGGAACTGTTTGGCATAAACGGCATCTTTCCACTGGTCTCGATCTTTAACGTTATCGGATGCATCGCGGTCTCCTTTGCCTTTGGTCCCAAGTTGGCAGCGGTGGCATTTTTCGCCGCTCTTCCGTTTCTGTTCCTGGCTGCTTACTCTCGCATTCGATATGAGATCAAATTTGAGGAGCTCAACGCCGCCGTGTATGAGGATAGCTCCCGGTTTGCCACCGAGGCAATCCGCGCCTTCCGGACGGTGAGTGCTCTCACCATGGAGGAATCCATAATCCGGCGATATTCGGACATGCTACAGTTACAGCGGCGCAAGGCAATGCGGAAGGCAAGCTACTCGACTCTAGTCTTTGCATTTTCCGATAGTGTAGAATTAGCTGTTATGGCCCTGACATTCTGGTACTTACTCTATCTTTTCTATAGGCAAATTACTAATATTCCACAGGTACGGCGGCCAATTACTCGCTACTCGTGAATACGACGTCGTGACCTTCTTTGTCGTCTACATTGCCATTATCCAGGGAGGTCAGACAGCCGGCCAATTCTTTAGCTATGGCCCGAATATTGCCCAGGCCACCTCGTCAGCAAACCGTATTCTAGGCTCTCGACCCTCTTTGTTCAACAACCAGCCATCCACGCAGCCCTTACTATCCGACAAAGACGAATTTCGCGCCGACATTAAATTTAGCAACGTGATGTTTCAGTACCCTTCGCGAGAGACCCCGACGTTCGTCGATCTCAACCTGAGTATTGAGACGGGGCAATTTGTGGCCTTCGTTGGGCCGTCTGGCTGTGGCAAATCCACTATGATCTCGTTGCTGGAGCGCTTCTACGACGCGACCCAAGGGACTATTGAATTTGGCGGACGCGATATTCGTTTGATCGAGCTCTCCTCTTACAGAAAGGCCTTATCCCTCGTCAGTCAGGAGCCCAAACTGTTCGATGGTTCCATTCGTGATAATCTGCTCCTCGGCCTTAACATCCCGGATAATGAATCGGCCGAGGAGGATATGATCCGGGCATGTCGGGATGCCGAGATCCACGACTTTATCTCCTCACTGCCTGACGGGTACTCCACGGAACTCGGGGTCAATGCCCAAACGGCCCTCAGCGGTGGACAAAAGCAGCGACTGTGTATTGCTCGGGCCCTTATGCGGAAACCTCTGCTGCTTCTCCTGGATGAGGCGACCTCCAGCCTCGACTCGCAGTCGGAGCGACTGGTACAAGAGGCCATGGAGCGGTTGGCCGGGAAACGAAATATGACGATTATTGCCGTCGCTCATCGACTGGCTACTATTCAGAAGGCGGATATTATCTTTGTGTTTGGAGAGGAAGAGAATGGGAAGGGCTCGAGAATCGTGGAGAGAGGCACGCACGCCGAGTTGGTGCACCGGAAGGGAGCATATTGGCAGATGGTAAGTGCCCATATTCTTTGGCACGAGGGATGTTACTAACAGTATGTATAGTGTCAGGCACAGGCGCTAGACCAGTAGAGTAGTTTGGTTGGATTTATGCACTGTATATTAGAATAAATCTCTTCTCTCTACATGCTGTGATCTGTCCTCAACACTAACTAATGTTTAAGATCGTTAAACCGTAGAATAATGGCCGTTATATTCTTGGACCTCATGAAGTAGAAATAAACATCAACGCTCACGCTAAAGTGGAGAAAAAAGAAGAAAATGAATTAGATTCAACGACAACGCCAGCCCATCTATCACCACTGCAGGGTTTCCTCTGCTAACTCCACGCTGTCCCGCAGATGTTTCGACTTTGCTTCTCGTCCCTCACCATAACTACTGGACAATGTGGTGACGCACGAACCGGCATATCCTCCGGAGATTGGGGGATGCCGGCTGCTTGCTCTTCGATGCAAGCAACCTTGTAGGCTAACCTGGAACAGGCCGGAATTCCAGAGTCCGAGGCGACAGTCCACAGCTGCACGGAATGATGTACTATGGGAGTATGCTGGACGATGTGTAGAACTCCAGGGAGAGACGAGAGCGTTACTGGTGACGGCGCCTATTTTCGACGGTGGAGCGACATTTTCGGCAACTGGGGTTCACCTCATCACATTTGACCCGGCAAATTCTGGGGGATGTTCAGAATGGTAGCGGTGGATCTGGAGCGTCAGACTTAGAGAGACCGATTTGCAAGCAATGCAGCCCATGCGGGACCTCGCCTGAACGACGGGCGTGTGCACCATCTCGGCTTACCGTAGGAGGATTGGGAGGAGGAGGATATTGGCAAGACCAGACGATGAGGTAATCTTGAATTAATCCATACTGCACAGGGATGGCGCATGCGAGGCACCTGGTCAGACTCTTTGGTGGAATCTCCACCGTCGGGGCCAGGCATATAGTCTATGGCTGCTCTTCATGCTATATTCGTCTAAGGCTGACTAGAGGCTTCGGTCCTGGTGGCAGAGATCAAAGGCGATGGATGTCATCAGGCCCCTGCATTTCAAGATGGGGAAATGATGTTGCCTGATGTCGCAGGATCGTTGAAGGAGCCGCTGGAGAATATACGAAGGTACCACAGGGTTTTATTTTAGATCATTCTTGGTCGTGATTATGTAGGGCTGTGCTGTTAGCTCTTCAATTGTCGGCTGCCTGCTATATGACTGGGTATATGTTTTTTGCACCTGGCTATCATCAGGCGAACAAGACAATCTTCTACTCAATCTTCTTGTAATTTGATTGATCCCAAGACCCGTCATGAGCACGACGTCGACGACTTCCTCGAGCACGACCAGTCCGACATGCACGACCCCAAAACCGGGAAAGAATGGATACCTGCCGCCAGAGGCCTGCGACGTCATCCTATATTATGTCCCCTCCTTTGCGGCGGCGGGGTTGTTCTGCGTGCTCTTCGGGGTCTCCATGATCTGGCATGGGGTGCAGGGATTCATGTATAAGAAGGTCGAGTCTATGCGGACTCTGACTCTAATGGATAGCGCTGACAGCATGCAGACGTACACCTGGGTCATCGTCATGGGTGCCCTCTGGGAGTTACTCGCCTTTGTCTTCCGGGCTCTCCTGACCCACCAGCAGAACCGGGAAGCATGGGCTTCTGTGCATACCATCCTCTTCCTTCTGGCGCCACTATGTGAGTATTCACCCTCCCTAGGTAAAGCTGACCGAAGCTAAACGGGGGTAGGGATCAACGCATTCTTGTACATGACGCTCGGTCGTCTCATCCACTTCTTCATTCCGAGCCAGCGTCTGGGAGGCATCGCCGCCAAACGGTACGGGCAACTGTTTGTCTGTCTGGACATTGTGGCCTTTATCGTGCAGGGCGCTGGCGCTGGAATGACCTCGAATGTGGACAACTCGGACGACGAGATCATGCGGGGGGTCCATATCTACATGGGAGGCATCGGGCTGCAGGAGCTCTTTATCCTCGTCTTCGTAGGTCTCGCAATTCATCTGCATCGTCGATTGGTGTGCATGGAGAGGGCGCTGCAGCTGGACGTGGAGAAACTGAATCGGAACATGATGAACTGGCGCTGGCTGTTCTATGCGATATACACAGCTCTAGGGATGATCACGGTGCGTCTCTCTCGATTTCTCTAATGCTATGACAGAATGGCTGACCAATACAGGTCCGAATCGTCTTCCGTCTCTGCCAGTACGCCGACGGGACCAATCCTAACAACCCGGTCCTTACCCACGAATGGTATGAGTATGTCTGGGATGCTGTGCCCATGTTCCTGGCCCTCCTGGTTCTTAATCTGGTCCATCCGGGACTTATCCTGCAGGGCCCGGACTCGGAATTCCCCCGTCTGAGCCGTGAGGAGAAGAAGAAGCTCAAGGAGGAGCGGAAGCGCCTCAAACAGGAAAGCAAGGAAGCTGATCGCACGTGGAAGAAGGGTCGTCGAGATAACGCAGAATATGACATGCTTGTGCGGCAGGAAGAAGGGTTTATGAATGCAAATGCGGGGCACACGGGGCATACACCGGTGAGCTCGGGCTCTCGATGAAGGGTTGGATTCTCTGGAATTTGTATTATTACGCTTGATATAGATTTCTAGACCGGAAATGAGATGCTAACACAAAACGGAATTTTGCACATGTCAAGGAGAAGGAACCCATAGAATGAACAGACTGTAGAATCTATTTAATTTCGCAGACGATCACCCATACGATCCGCCTGGAGTCCTCCATCGTGGACATCCTGCACCATGGCTAGAATAGACGCCCAGTTGTTGAAGGGCACAAACGGTATCTCCCTCTCGGCGCAATACCGCATCAGGTCTGACCAAATCAGCTTCATATGCTCCGGGTTTAGATCCATCCACTTCAACAGACTTACCCAGTCAGCAAAGGATGCCGTTGGAATGTCATAAACAACTTGTCCCGAGGCTTCTGGCAACTCTGCAAGCGTCAAAAAGTCGATTATAATCGTAGATCCAGGAACGTTTGCCATCCATCAAACGGATTGTGCGACCGTGCGTAAAATCGGACCGTGAACCGATGGAATGGTTCCATCAAACCTCGAACAGGGTTCGATATAACAGCAATGGGTGAATTTTCCGGACATGCATCCTTACGAAAGCAAGCCTCTGATTGGCTTCCATGCTAAATGATGCTGAATGTGCTCGAACTGGATATCCCAACTCGCCGGAAATACGAACTCGATGGAACCTGCCATCTCGACCATCATCGACTCGTCTTCCGGATGGGGAACTTAGATTCTAGGAGCCAAAGATTGCTGTTTGGCAAGCTGCTATGTAACAGTCGACTATCGCCAATATCCGCAAGATTGACCGGTCGCATAAAGCGATACCTGGAGGAGTGACAGCCCATGAGCTACGAGGTTTCCAAGTTCATCCTTCTCGCCTAGATCTCCTCTATTCAGTCTCATCTACACACAGTCCGTCACCATGTGATCCGTCGAAGAGCCAGCATATCTCTACAAAAGAGTGTCGCAGAATCCCACCGAGTCGACCGTCACCTCGGTCAAGGGCATGAATCTAACGCTGGAGAATAGCCAGCAATTGCTCGACTCGACCTGCGGAGCCACCGTGTCGGCCATCGCCTCCCAGCTGAACCGGGCCTAGTACTGCAACCAGGGCTATTTCCCCAATGTCTCTGCGGTGCAGCTGGCCATCGCACTAGCACTAACAGGGACTGGCGACCGAACTACACGGCGGGTACCTTGAATGACCCGGGTATTCCCCTTCCGGGGTACTATATGTTGTCTGTTATGGGTGCGGATGGCGTGCCCAGCGTGTCGAGAAACGTCCAGATCACTTTGTCAGAGTCGATATTTTCCTCACGGGACGGGAGGAAAGGACGTAGGAGGAGATTTTGAGTATGGCTAGTGGACCATGAGCCTTAATTATAATAGTCATGAGTCCCTGCAGTTCAATGTTGTTTAGTCGAATATATGGCTCCTTTTGCTGTTTTACCTTCCGGATGAGCTGCGGTTGACGAGTGCAGTTAATCCATAATTAGCTGTTTTCAATTTGCAGGATTGAACCACCTACGGAGTAGGGGCTGTGCTAATTGAAGAACATCGATACGGGGACTGGGTTGTGGAATACAATGTAGAAAGGCCAAAGGGTTTGAAATAACAGAATAAGCATAAACTTTGATGGATTTCAGTTTCCTGGCCAGGAAGGTAATGAATGAAGTAGGAAGAGGTCGATCTCACTAATTACGTTGTTTTCAAGTTGGTAAACAAAGGCGAAACACGTGATTTACATTTGGCCCGTCCAACGTCCACAGCATATGAACCCTTGCAGTTAAGTTCAATTTGCAAGATTGCAACAGAAACAAAATAAGGGCTGTTAACCTAGGGAAATGTATTATGTTCAGACTAAATATTTTTAATAGAAATAGCCAGTCTTGGATGCCGGTAAACAATGCGGATTTCCGACCAGTCCAAATGTATAGTGGTACTCCGTACTGGTGCAACTTATATGAATTGACAGTAACAACACAAGTGGAAATATACTCCGTCGATCTGCGCTCATACGCAGAAAGAGAAGAAAGAAAGAAAGAAAGTAAGAATCTACGGTCCCATTCCTTTCATCTTTTCTATTTCGCCAGTTTAGGTACAGGCAATAAAGCTCTGCAACTCGTCAGCCGTCTTACCTAATGGGGCAGTTCCGACGGCCGCGTATCCCCTCAAGCCATCCCAAAAAGGAAAGCCGGACAGTTTCCCAAACCCCTTAAAGTCTTTCACCGCTGGATTTTCTGACTTCTGCTGGCCTGTATACCATCCATGCGCAATTATGCCCTCGTTCCTTCGCCATGACTACCGACGTCTAGAACGCACCGACAGCGACGAGGAGGGCATCAAACTCGAGTCACACGACGACCGAAAACCGGCGTATTCCCCACCAGTCCCCAATCGCAGGGCCCCACGGGCCACCACGCGATGGATGGTCACGACGGTAATCCTCTCTATCCTCGTCCTGGGAGTCATTAGTCTCCTCTCGATTAAATATGCTCGTCCTCGACATCGGAACGCGTCAGAACCCCAGAGCGCCATTGCCCCGAGGCCGTGCGGCTCGTCTCCCTCCGAGGCCAGCGCTGCCGCGTGCATCTACGACCTGATGACGCATTCATGGCTACCCCCATCCTGCTTCGACGAGGAACTGACGCAGGAATTCCGCAACCTCCGACAGTGGCCCTTCTATGCCGACCGGACAGGGACTCGACCGTTGACCGAGAAGGAACTGGCCTGGCGCACGGAAGAGTCGTACACCACTCTGGAATACCAGTATACCCACTGTGTGTACCGCTGGAGGAAACAACAGCGAGCCGTGGGGAAGGAGAGAGACGTGGAAGTGCACTCTGCAATGCAGAATCACACCATATCGTGCTCGGATCTGTTTCTCACTACGGCAAAGCAGCTGAATGGGACCAACCACGTGATGGTATTGGAGGACAAGCTGATCTCGCTGGTGGTGGGATATCCTCGATGTGCCCATCCGAAGACATAGCTTGGGAGATCGAGATGATGTTTTCGAATGACCTAGATCTCGTCAACCCGGATGGATGTAAATGTACAGTCTATAAACCCAATCATCTATACATATCTAGAAAGTTAACGTTATAGATCTCAGTAGCTGAATGCCATGTATTTAAATCTAATGCTCCTGCAGCCAACGCCCTGCCCCTCGTGTGGAATCCAAGGTTGGCACAAGGCTACTGATATCAAGCGGCGGGCCGCTTCCCCCATGTATCAACCATACTTTCCCTTATCGCGGAGCAAAACCAATCGTCCATCGAAATGAACGATAACCTACCCGGATACGACGAAGCCACGCGTTCAGGCTCATCTACCGGGACAACGAAAGATGGGAGACTCACGTACACCCTGATCTCCCTGACGGGGACGATGGCATCCGTTTGCTGCGCTTCCCCGAACACGTCGCGAGTGTCGTGGTGGACGTTCTGCGCACGCTGTGGCCCAAGGGAATCCAGGACATGGTGGTGCAGGCAGTCCGGATATCAAAGTGCGTGGCAACGCCTTTGCGCACGGCAACGATCAGGAAAAGAATCGCCATCGGCCGTTTGCTGATGGGTGTTCTGGACCCTTGGCGCAATAGGGATGGGGAGTACACCCTGCTGCAGCGGGCATGGGACACATTGGGAATTTTGGGCCGTACGAGAAGAGTCAGTTGATGCCATTGATTCCATGATTCTGACAATCTCAGTACTGACGAGACGCAGATAGCATCTTCTTCCCGCCACAACGGCGCAGCACTCTCGTGGCTCTGCGTCTTGTTCGACTCGCATAATTAAATCCATCTGATAAACACCGAGCCCAGCTGGAGCAAACCTTCATAGCCATGTTTGCAACCGCATCGACTCTTATGCGCTCGACTTGGTGCCAGGAACTTAGAAGAGGCATTCCGCCATGGCAAGTGTCACAGAGCGCCAAAGGTCGATGGACAACCTACTGGTGATCCTGGAAGTGCATCGATACCAGCTATATGCCAGCGTGGATCTGGATCATGGCTACGGGGATATTCGATATCGAGCGGCGACGAGACGTGATTTTACTGTCGATCTGTTTGACTTGTTTATTCTTTATAACTCCATTATTCATTTTTATTCAGTCATGTGTTCATTTATTCCATTTCATTCATGTATTCGTGCATATTGTCCATACTCCCTCCATGCGAGAAAAGGCGCCTATTCTCATTGCGATCCCTCTCTCGTGTCCGTCTCGTCCTCCCCCATGGTTGACAACCGGCTACTTGTCTCACCGAGTCTCGTGCCCTCGGAACTGAAGCTGGCCTCTGAGACGTCGGACACCTGTCTGGGCCGACGCGAGTGGCGCGGCCCTTCCTCCTGGATCATGTTGGCGATCGAAAAGGACCGCGTACTGGAGAGGCTGGACACCTGCCGATGATGCGCCAATCGGGTGGGTGCGGAATCAAGTTCTCTGGCTGGCGTGTTTGAGAGGGGCGAGACGAAGCCGTAGCTTGAGGCATCACTCGCCGTCGGACTGGGCGAGGGGTTGTTGAACGGGGTTGGCAGTTCAACGGGAGGGGTAGTGCTCTGGTCTGTAGCAGTCAGGTATATACCAATATATAAGTAGGGAGGGAGAATACCGTGCATCTCGTAGATGGGGTCGCTGCCTGCCTCGATGGTCCGTGGCGAAGTGGCCGTGGCGACGGACTGATCGACGGCTGAATCATTCGGATGCTGCGTTTGATAACTGACCGACGCCGTCGTGCCCGTCGATTTGGGCCCATCCTCTATCCCCGGCGAGCCCGCGTACATCCATCGCATGATGTGCGATCTTTTGCCCTCGCTCGTCATCTGCGATCCTCGGCGCAGATGACGACGACGATGGAAGCACCAGAAGGCAACGGCACCCCCGACGAGCAGCAGCCCCAAGACGACACCGATGATGGCGCCTGCCCATCCAGGGAAGCTGGGCTTCTTGTCCGGCACGGCGGAGACGGTGGGAGTGCTGCCATTGTCGGTGCGGTTGTAGGGATACCACGAGGAGATGGTCTTGGTGTATTTGGAGGCGAAGACGTCCTTGAGGGAGGAATTAGTCCACGACTTAGGCGCCCTCTGGTCGGCGTCTCCTTGCGCACTGTGTTCGTTAGTATATCTATGCGGATACATATAGCTATGAAGAGACAGAGAAGACGCACCCCCCGCCGATGCGTCCGGATACAAGATCAGGCACCTTGTAGTCGCTCCATTTCTCCGGATCGTATTCATCCTGGAACTGACCCGTGTTGAGGTTGAAGACCTGCACGATTCCCCCGTCCAGACAGTCGGACGCCGTGCGATAGACGCCTCCCAGGACGAGCATCTTGTCCGGGTAGGGCTTGACGCAGCGGTGCCCACGACGTCCATGTCGTTTCTCACCGCTGTAGAGTTTGATCCACTCGAAGGAGGGCACCGACAGGACGTACACGTCGTCCGATGGGGCGCTGTCCGTCTTGAGGCCATCGTAGCCCCCGTAGATGTAGATGTTGTGCGATGAGCCATCGGCAGCACTGGCGTAGACCGAGCAGAACTGGGTCAGCGCCGGGGGCATATCACCCGTCGTGTTCTGCAGATACCAGCGGTCCTGCGCCACGTCGTAGACGGATACCGTCTGCATGAACGAGGGACCGTCGCGCTGGTTGGCCGTCTGCTGATTGCGGTTCAGTCCGTCCGTACGGAAGATCTCCTCCGGATAGGGGACGCCGCCGATGGCGACGAGCACGCCGGACTGCGACACGGGCAGCCAGACCAGCTCGGCGTTGGCGCGCGCCGGAACTTCATCGGGAAGGGAGCGATTTGACCATTGGTTCTCACGCATGGTGGACAGATCGACTTGGATCATGCGGTGCGACGACTGGTTGGCGGACTGGTCGTCGGCGATGGGGCCCCAATCGGGCGCGCGCATGCCACTGATATAGAAGCCCAAATTCTCGCTGGGGGCGGAGACTCCGGCGCCGTTGGTGAGGTAGCGAGTGACACCGTTGTCCAGCTTGTCCTCGACAAAGCCGGATTCCCAGTTGCTGCGATATCCACCATATTGATACCGTTCGTAGCCCAGCACGCGGTCCCCTGCCGGCTCATCTTGACTGTTGGTGAGACGCAGGAGGCCTCTGGTAGCTGTGGTTAGCCAGAATGGGTGGTTATACAGTGGTAGAGATTATACCCGTAGAGATAGAGCTCGTTGTCGTTAGCGAACATGACGCCGTCGCGATAGTTGGGCGCCAGATTGTTGGCGATGCCGCCGGCCTTGGACAGCGTTCCGAACAGCGCAGTGAGGTTGGAGTGGCGATCGAAGGAGGAAGAAAGGTTGAGGGAGTAAAGACGACCTTGTTTATTGTCTATATTCTTAGTTTTATTATTCTTCTTATTATAATAATATACCTACCGTCATTCGAGTACTGCACGGAGTGATCCGAGTAGCCTCTATTCTCGTCAGCTGCATCGATAGACTCCGTCAACGAACTCACTCCTGCCACCATAATCGGCCTCCATCGAGGTAGACGGTGTCGCGGATAGCATTGGCTATATCATTAGAGAAGAATAATATGAAGAACAACAAGAAAAAAAAATACCTCGTAGTTGCCCCCAGTTGCACATGGAGAGGTTGACTTGATTCTTCCATGCTTGGGCCGTCGAGCAGCCAGCCCAGAGCAGAGCTGCCACGATGTGCAGGACGAACATGATGTTAGATGGTCATGCTAGACGGCCATGATGCACGAGAATAGATGATTGATTGATTCTGTGAAAATATAAGTAGACTCACAAAGAAGCATCGGCTCGGATTTACAGTCCTCCGTATATTATACTATTATCAATCTATCAATATTTTACCATATTATTATCTACTATATTATTATTATAATATCATTATGAATTAGTTAGTCCCTGACGGAAGCGTGGTGCCAGTCCGTCGCTGCCTTAAACTCTTCATCGAAACTAGTAAGAAATAGTAAGAAAAGAGGAGTACAACCAACATCATCTCTCGCTCTCACTTGCTCCCTGGTTTACCCATCACTCGGCCTTCCTGCGGGGATGCGAGACATCCCCCCCTTCCAGCTTCATTCTGGCCAAATCCGGAACTAGGGCAATGCACTAACGACGTGATTCAGCAGATACGAGTGCCACCGCCAATGGCTGACCCTCCGAGGGACCAGGATACACCGCAACTTGCCGATCGAGTGACCCTTGCCTTGCGCTCAGGTTCCCTCCAGCATAGGTTCGTCAGACGTGGCGCTCGTGCTCGCCTGAATGAGGGGGTTCTTCCCTCCGGATGGAACGATGATGATGAAATGAAGATGCCCAATGCAAATGCAACGCGGCTGCGGCTCTGACGGACAATTGTTGACCTGAGCGATGCACGCCAGCATTGCTGCTGAGTAGATGGAGGAATATAGTGCAGTAGCTCCGCACTGGTTCTTTCTTTGTTGTTCTGTCGATATTGTTGTTGTTTGTTGTTGTCGCTCGAGGAAAATCTCTGTCCTTTGTTCTCTCTCTGATGCGTGAACAGGAATAGTTTCCATCCCTGCCGTCCTGGTCAAACGGTAGATCTTCCACAACAAATTAATTGATTCATCATGAAGCCCACGGTCGTGCTGTTGGCCACCTTTCTGGTGCCCTCCGTCCGGGCCACGACGCCGTCGATGCGCATCGGAGTGCCTGCCGCGGTGACGGTGACAGAAACCAGCACCCAGACCGTCACTGTGTCGGAGACCTGCGAGGTGAGTCAAAAAAGAAAGAAAAATATACAAATAATAACATTTGATAGGCAGCGCCAGTTCTGGCTGAGGTCTACTCGGCCGTCCCTGTGCCTTCGATGGCATCTGCATCCAATCCGCCAGATCTCATCACGACCACGGAATCCAGTCTCTCTGCGCCGACGCCTGCGCCAGGAGTCGCGGTCCACGTTGAGCTGGGAATTGACTGCGACTGCACAACAATGACTAGCCTGACGACCCATACGTACACCATCACCGATCCCACGGGGTCCACGTCGGTGAGCTACTCGACCGTCCCCATCACCACGCCGTCGCCCACGACCACCTTCAAGACGACGCTGCCGCCCGTCACCAAAACCAGCCACACGACCATCACGAGCACCATCGACTGCGAGTGCGAAAGTTGTTGTGGCAAGGAGACGGTGACGGTGACAGTGCCGACCACCATCACCTCGGTCACCACCTCGCTGGTGACCTCGACCGGCTATATCACCTCCTTCGTCACTCGCACCATCTCCAGGACGGTGACCACGGCTGAGACAGTGTTAGTGCCGACCACGACGACCTTCACGTCGACGCTGACCAACACCATCACGACCTCGTACATTTCCACGCAGACCATTACCCGGAGCTTCACCGAGACCGACACCGACACCGTCACCCAGCCGGGCCAGACCGTCACCCGCACCAACAACGGCACCGTGACGGTGACCGACAGTGAGACAGCTCCAGCCACGACGGTGACGATCACCATCTCTGAGCCTGGAGAGACCGTCACCTCGACGCTGTCTCCGTCGGTTACCTCGTTGCCAGCATCGACCGTCTCAGTGACAGTGATCATCAGTACCACGATCTTTGACACGGTGACCGTGCCTGGTAAGCCATGATTCCCAATATACTGCGATTCTGGAATGACTGACCGGCGCAGGACCGGGCACGACCGTAACGGTCACCAACACTCCTCCTACCAACACCGTGACTGCAACTGGTATGACCATATATTCCGTGCAACACCCACTCTAGACTTACTGACACACGTAGGAACCACGACGGTGTCCATCTGCCCAACCCTGTCCGTGAATCCCACGTACACGCCGGCCGTTCGTCCGCCGCGCGAATACACCTGGGGCTGTCCCCCCGGTTATCTCTGCAAGCCCAAACACGTCGGACCGGCCGAGGGCTGCAACGTCGAAGCTGGGTTGCCGGCCGACGGCTATGTGTGCCATCCAGACGAGTGCATCAAGAGTCCGCCCTTCATCCATGACCAGTTCTGGGGCAAACCGGGCGAGTCGCACGAGGTGGGATCCTACTACAACGTCTCCCAGTCCTACTTCAACCTCAACCCGGAACTGTTCGGGCTGGACTACTCCATCTTCCGCGTCCCCGCGACACCCGCCGACCTGGCGCTCTACTATAAGCGGTCGGCCGGCGGACGACGCCGCAGTGATCGCCTACAGTCGCGCAAGGAGATCTCCAGGGTGCCCCCGGAGTGCTACGACGAATGCAACGACGCTGCGCTGGAGGTCGAGTCGAGCGGCAAGACACCAGCCATCTGTCAGTCCGGGTCGGCTTTCAAACGCTCACTGAGGAGCTGCCAGAAATGCTCGGACCGCGAGAAGGACTCCAGTCTCGGCGGATTCGACGAGGTGGTGCTGCCAAACTTTCAGCAGTTCCTCAATTACTGCGAGGGTCACGCCAGCACGACCGCCGCAGGCATCACCGTCACCACTTCATCCCAACCTACATCAACGTCGGAGTCAACCACGTCCTCGACTACATCCTCAACTACGTCGGATTCGAGCACAGGATCCACCGCGGATTCAACGGCGTCGACGTCAACCTCCCATACAGCTCCAATAACGAGATCTACCGGCTCGCGGACCACGCTTCCATTGGAACCCAGCTCGCCTGGATCGGGCTCAACGCACGTGACGGCGTCCAACGGCGAGGCCACCGAGTCAACCACGAGCGTCCCCGTCCTCCCCAGCGGAACGGCATCGTCGACCGGGGGCAGCGAGACGCCGAACCAGCCGGGCAACAGCGGATCCGTCAGCCTGACGACGGGCTTCCCCGGCGTGCCCTCCGAGACGCCGCCACCCTTGTTCACGGGTGCTGCGAGCGCACTGACTGTGCCGTCGCATTGGCAGATGGTAGCGCCGGTGATGGCCTTGATGGCCTTGTTGGGATAGAGTCAAGGGGACGATTTCAGATTTTCTGTTTTATATAACCTCGAATACGCCACGGATCTCTTATGACGCATGGGCTATGGCAATAATGGATGGCTACCGTTGTATCTACTGACTTGCATGTGTATTTACATGTTCATTTCTAGTTATATAGCAAGTAGTTCATAATAGAACGAGTCCTGTCGTCCCTGCACCTGAATTTCGTATCCGTAGAATTTCTTTCGATCTGAAATAACAAGCAGATCACAAACCTTGGTCTATCGACCCGCTGGATAATGCATGAGGGTTTCTCTTGCCGTTAGTCTCTCCATCATCGCGTAATCCCCAACTTGGCCTTGATGGCATTGGCCGACTTCAGCGCATCCCAGATAAAGTTCACGCTCTCCTGCTGCACCGTCGCTTCAGCCCACCGTTTGAACCGCGGCGTGCGTTCTAGCAGCGCCGGCAGGCGCGCGCTGAGCAGCCCGATCCGTGCATCGGAGTAGTGCAGGATGCGCAGCAGGAACGAGCCTGTCAAGACCTCAGCCAGCGTCAGCCGGTCGCTGCCGCCGAAGAAGGGCCCCGGTCCCTTCCAGGCGGCCAGCAAGGGTTCCAGCTCGGTTTCCACGGCGGCCACGAGGGCGTCTGCTGCCGCGTCGATCTCGGCCGCCGTGGAGGCGCGCAACGAGGCGTGGACATGCGGCTGGACTTTGCTCAGGAAAGTGTCGACGAAGAAGGCAATCTGGGCGCGTTGGAGGGCGCCGTCGACGCTGCCGGAGGGAGGCACCAGATGCGAGGGATGCGCATCCGCCAGAAACTGTGCGACGATGGCGGATTCGGTGATGATGGTGCCATTGTAGGAGAGGGATGGAACGAGTCCACGCTGCATGGGTGAGTGAGGGAGTGGATACAGCCGATGCGCACAACATACCGGATTGACATCGAGATACCAGGGTTCTCGCGGTTTGGTTAGGTCGATAATGACTTCCTCGTAAACCAACCCCAGCTCCTTCAGGGCAATATGGGCGCGATGGGCCCAAGGGCAGTTGTGGTTGGTGTACAGAATAATCTTGGGGGAAGCCATGATTGAGTTACTCTATGAATATCTCCCTGAAGAGCAGAGCCAGAAGGGATGGATTTATATTTATAATCAGAGATGATGTCACAAGTGTACGCGATGGCGAGCTCCTGTGGTGATGATGAATTGTTGGGTGTCATTATTAATTGGGTGGATTTGTAATTTCGGGGATTTACCAGAGGACGGACCACTACTGATGCCACCAGATTCCGTGTCCTACTCCCTCACACCTTTGCTAAAAAAATAAGAAATTAATTCTTGTCGACAATCATGGTAATATTAATTATTCAGCACTTTTCTCGGTTGAATGTTGTGGATGATACCACATCATCAGATCGCTTATATTTCCTATATTAATTAGTTTACATTCTTCGTTTGTTTACCTCCCCTCTATAAACGCGAGATATTTTGGTAGTTTAGTTGAATCAGAGACCTAATTCTATGGAGGATCGATACTTGCGAATACACGTATTTTTAACGGTTGACAATTCTAATTATTACTACTGTTTTTCGTTCTTTTTCCCTCTGTATACATGGCAAAGGTTGGTGGAGTTACATACCTGACAACCGAATGCATCAACTTATCTCCGCGGGGTAACTAATGCATAGATTACCGGGTAAATACAGGGAATATTAGCTCTTAAATGCTTAGCTCTAGATAGTCGATGGTTACGAAGCACATAATGCCTGTTGTTTTGTAGCTATGCATTGATATTGTCTTTCTGACTGTTCTTGAAGTCAACCATATACAATTGCATAGTCTGTCGCAACCTGGATGGTTCCTCGAGGGAACAGGTAAAGAACGATGTGTAAAGGAATATAAGTTGGCGGATCTATGTTGATCCGTTCCGACCCGGAGACGGTTACCCACGCGGGATAGAAATGTAAACAGAGTAAGCAACAACGAGTCATTAATTGCTCCTTTAATCTAGTCATTGGTTCATGTGTAATTAGTACGCCTATATTACAGCCCCCTATATCAAGACATTGCCCACTAAAGCTCTTCCCCCGAGTTCGTTACAGTATGGATTAGATCAGATCAACAAGATGTACAATATTCGCCAGTGCAGGAGCTGGAGAACAGCGAGTATAGCATTTTATTTTTATTCTACGTAAGCAGGACTTGAGCATGTGTTAATGCTATTATTGCCCGTAGATATTAGTCAAAGGCACCCTTGCGATGCAAAATCAGTCACGGGCCTTGATCTTGGTGCTCTGTAGGCTTGCGCGGGTCTAGGAACTGCAGCAGTCAATGCATAGCGCAGGCGCTGCCGTGACACCCGGTATCAGTCATCGCAGTCGGTTCAGATACGCAGGTTGGCCAGTTCGTAGTAAAACGTACTGGACCGCCAAACACGCCTGCCTCAGAATCTGGCTCGATTCAGAGCCTGTTCCCATCTCTACCAGTTCTCTGTCTGGGCGTTGCTTACTTGCTTGGCGACGGGACATGACGATCTCACTGGCCACGTTCATCATGGCTCCTCATAGCTCTGACTCAGCTTACAGAGCAACTCCCTCGACGACATTGTAATATCTGTGCAGGCCTGACGGTAGTTGTCAACCCCTTGGTAGCAGTGCTTCATATCGGACTGGAAACAGGGAAGCTCACCAGCAGGGGTGCGAACTTAGACAATACCATTTTCCTATAACTCGGCAATACTCTCGAGCATGAACTCTGCGCTTGCACTTGGCATCTTGCCCGCCATATACACGTGACCTCTGATATTGGCGCAAACTTTATACCGAACCATCACCGGTACATTTGACAGCCTTCTCCGCATGGCTGACCAGGATTGACTTGTTTCCTACGAAAATTTGCCACGTCCTTCCCTATGTGCGCAGAGACCTTCTCGCGTATATAGCTTGGGATACTGTCATTCGTTCACTATTCGCGATGGCGTAGGTTTTTATTAACATGATGCCAAGCTAGGATATGCACTGCCAACAGGTGTCTCTCCACCCCCAGCCATGTGCACATTGACCAATCCCGATCATAGATGAACGATATCATGGCGGCTTAATGCTCTGGGGATATCAGCACAGGCCCTCGGATGCTCCAATGAAGAGATGCAGCTATTACTGGTATGTAAGCCCCACCGGAGGGAAAACTCGGAAAGCTCTGTTCGTTGCCATTCTACGTCACATTGCTGGGACAGACAATTTCTATTTTTTGATCCACTAGATCTGAGACATGAATGTTTCCCACATTTACAACCCGCATCCCAGTCAGAGCTGAATCCAATCAAGAAATTGGGCATTCGAAGTGTTCGAGGGCCTACGAACCAAGCCCAATACGAGGACCCAGCTGCGCCCTGCGGTCTACGAGTCAAATTCCACGTCTATCGCGAGCGCACATCCAACGTGGAAGGCCTAAGTTCATGGATAAACATGAACGAACGTTGATCATACGCCGAGATCAATGACGGCAGTTGCATGCCCACCAATCTTGGACTCGTCGACAGCCTCACAAGACACAATATCGATACGTCAGGTTCCAGTCTCAGAGGGACAATGGAGTCAGCTTGGAGGCCTAAAGCGACAGATCCACAAAGTGAAAGAGTAAATGGTAGTGGAGAAAGACATAAATAGCGAGTGTTCAACCTAGATTGACGTCAATTCCATCCTCATCTCATTAACATCATATCTTCTTATACACCCATCTTCCAAGGAAGCAGTGTTCACTTTACTACCACATAGTCAACATGAAGCCTACTGCCTTTATCTACTCTCTTCTCGCTGCCTCCGTCACAGCCGTTCCCTTGGAGACCCAGCCACCCAAGCAGGTGACGGTGGCTCTATCGAACGACCAGAGCGGTGCATACGCCGGCGTCGCCTTTGCAGCCGATGGAACTGACAGGGGCATTCCCGCGCTCTATAAGGGCACTCCAGTGGACAAAGAGGGAAATATCCTGGCCTCGTCGGCCCAGCTCACGGCCTTTCCCCAGACCATCAAATGCGTCATCAAGAACAACGGCGTCCCAATTGCGACCCTGACTGCGCAGAATACATATGCCAACCTGAACCCCAAGTCCGGCCCTGTCCCAGTGAACCTGAACAACGGGGTGATTAACTGTATTGCATGAGCGTAACCACGGATGATGTTGTGGGGTTTGGTGAGAGGGACTCGGTGTGGATTCAAGGGATAAACAATATTATAGCTTGGTACTTTGTATTTAAAGTTGTTGTTGAATCAAAGTCTTTGATGCGGAGTCTTTGCTAGTAATGCCCTTCTAAATGTTTCCATGAAGGAAAGGGAACCGATTCTTGACCGTCCCAGGATCTCGTTGCTTCCCCAGCGAATCTGTAGGCCATCGGGGCAGGCCACCTTACTGCGGTCTGTAATAACACGGAGTATCTCGCTGGTCGTCAAATGACTGGACGTTATGGTGTTCAAAGAGCTTGACAATGGACGTATGGCCAGCAGATGATCCTATCACGCATACTAGCGTGAACCATAGCATCGAGGGAGATCTGGGAGACGTCCTTGGACTGGGATAAGAGCGCTTCAATTTGCTCGTCAACTAGGCCAGTGTGGTGATCCATCTCGCCGCCAAAATCAACTTTTGCGAATCGCTCTGGAACACTATCGCAACAATGTGCGCGGCACACGGAATGCGCTGAGGGTGGCCGCCCTCGGACATCTCAAGTCCTTCCACTACATGTCCAGCATCGAAGTGTTCTGTCGGACTGGATTTAATATGGGCAAGTGGGAGGTGGCTTAGATCGTTCCGCTACTCTCGCATCACTCCAGTACGATGTGGGATATGGGCTAAGCCAGCGCGCGGCGGAGGCCCTGGTGCGGCGCATGCGGGATAAGGGCCTCCTGTCGCCATCCACCGGCCAGGTTTCATTCTCGACAACAGCGTAACGGGCACCAGCAATTCTGACAATTTCATGTGAAGGTTCATCGTGGATGCACCCAGATAGGGAGTTTCATCGCCTCGTCGATATTTGGTTCGAATACTGCGTCATGGACTATGTCTGCAGCCCTCCATATCCCATCGTCGAAGCGAATCTAAGCCACTCTTACCACATTCTGTCTCCCGATCGTGCCAAATCCATATCCACCGAGGATACATGTGCCATCACCAATGCACCCATCTACACTGTGCAGATGGTTGAGTATTGGCAATGTGTGGAGCAGGTCTCGCAGTGGCGCAGGAAGAATCCGGACGGGCTACTCGCTCCATTGATGCTAGTGCTGCAGGAACGCATGATGGGGTAGCTGAACCGGAGGGAATGTTCTCCGTATTCCCCTGTCTACCAGTGTACAAACAGTGTCCAGGCCCTGCCGACTCTCCTTGTTGTCAGTATATCCCCTTACGGCCGACGTGTTAGGATGATAATTGCCTTCTGGAATCGGAAACTTTTCTACCAGGTGTAGAGCCATCCATCGCCCATATCCTGGAACGCCTGCGTTGGTTATGGCCAAGGCCAGCTGGCTGTGACGATAGCGTTCGTAGTTTCTGTCAGCTGATCGACGCCAGTTGTGTATAATGATATGATAGCTAGATTTCCTATTTTAATGTTATCTATATATGTGATGCAAAGAAACACATAAGTACAAGTTGAGAAGAGGTGATCTTTTCAAGAGGAGCATGTCTACACGACTGGGTACCTGTCGAGCAGAGTGCCCTGAGACTGTTATTAACTGGTAACTGAGACAGTCTCTCCTATCTCTGTTGTCCCATGGTACCAAACGAGGCGTAGATGTCGATGAGCGAAAGGTCAGTTGTTTGTGTGTGCATGTGCGCGGATACTTGCAGACACATGGTGTTGAATATACACTAACCATTTGAGGAAGGGCTAGACTAAAATAAGAAGGCCGGGAGTTGCGGCTTGTGGCAGACTCAGGCAGTGACTTTCATTGGAGGAATTTCGATTAGGATCATGCAATGTCCTATTGTTTACCTCCACGCTCCTCCTGTATACACGCTCTCAAAACTCTCATTCTGTATCCTCTTGTATGTGAAACTCGTTGGCAAAGATAGTCGATATGTGGGAGGACAGAGCAACGCTGGTGCTCCTGTCCCGAAGTCTAGCAAAAAAAAATTCTAATATATATAGTCTGATCATTTGTGCTGGCTCTCCCACTCGTCACGAGTGATTGCGTACTCCACTACTTCTTGATCCGAACCTTCAATCTCTTCACTATAATCCCGAATATATTTCATTCCCATTTTGATCAATATCGCCCTGGTAGCAGTATGGGCAACCATTGCCTTCCCGTAGACCCTGTCAAGACCAAGCCCGGCAAAGCAATGATTCAATAAGGCTCTTGCACCTTCCGAAGCAAAACCCTGGTGCCAAAACTGCGGAAGAAGGCGGTAGCCCAGCTCTGCTTCTCTACTCTGTTCAAGTCCTTGTGATGGTAACAACATCCACAAGCCAATCGGGGTATTGTCGAGCAGACCAACCCAAAAGCCTCGACCGGGGGACTCGGTGACTAGAGACAATCGCTTTTCGTGCGACTTGATGACTTCGTCTTCAGTGCGCGGCCTCCCTATGATGTAGCGCATAACTTCAGGGTTGGTATCCATCTCAATTTCGAATGGCAAGTGTTCATCGGTCACAGCAACAAGTTCGAGTCGGTCAGTTGACAGTATTGGTAACATTATGGACACGTATTAATGGGATAGACCGTATGTACAGAATCAAATTCCACAGCCTTAAAGGTCGTCACGTTGAATATTCACCTTTGGATTGCAAAACCAGCCAACGATCCAAAGCAGTACTTCAAGCTGCATATCCGGCTACATACCCGAACTTTGTATGACTCATAGTCCGCTGCCCCGCCCCTCCCCGCATTTTATTTCTGTGTTTACTATCGTTTTATAGGCCAACACAATTTCTACAGTCATACAAATTTTTAGCATCTTAATATTGCAAAAGGTAATATATCTATATATAAATCCTGAAAAACCGTCCGTGGGACCTCCCGAGCGTACTGTGTTACAACCTGGAAGAGCCAGTTGGGGAGGTAGAATAGCGTATAATGTGTTAGATATACGGCTAGTCCCGAAGAGGAAATAGAGTACGATTGGTAAAAAGGTCTTATTTGAATGAATTGAGCTGGTTGGGCTCTTCTTGATTATTCTCTTGGTTATTCTTGATTATTATTCTGTTGTGTGCTCCGCGGGGTTTTACCCCGATCCAGTCACATGATTCTGGTCCACCAACGGCCATATTATTTGACATAATGCAATCGCTCTCTATATTGTATGAATCAAATAGACAGTCGAAATTCCGGCGCGAATATAGCTTACCTTTTGGTTTCAGTGGCTTAATAGTACTGTTATTCATGCTGGCGGAAAATGTAGTCTTTAAATGCCCGTAGTTCTTGGATAAATCAGACGTCCTTCCATTTTTGGCCTATCTCAATTGTGTGTAGAAGTGATCGAGTGGGGCTCAATATGTTGAACAAGTCTGAAGAAGATCTTTAGTGCTTGCCATTTTTTTCGTACATTTCTCTAATGGAGTCCGGGGGCCATATTTTATATAATTACTACTGAGGCTCAGTGATATCTCGATCGTCTGGAGCAGGCAGGACTCAGGAGTGACTCGCACAAAGGGCTCGGTATAGCGGGGTCGGTGTAGCTACAGTTAGGGCCGTCGATCCTACCAAGAAGCCATTTATAATACCCAATCCTCATTTTTCAAAGTCGAAAACATCAACTTTGTGGTCTCCTAAGGATGAAGCTTAAACTCTGCATCCTCCAGGCTGCAATGGCGGCACTTGACTTGCATTGCAAGCCGCGGCCCAGCCTGTAAAATTTTGTTTATCCTTCCAGCTAATATTATAAGGGATTGTGACCATTCCTATGGCTTCTAAATGCCAATAGTGCATTGATAAACAGAATAGTTACTGAAGGAGAGGACAGACAATGTGAGGCGAGTTCCGTAAGCGGTGGATTTGTTGGTTGACCATTTGTATTCGGATCTATTCGGATTTACCAAAAGTTGCAAAGGAACTTATTACCGGATGGTATTATTAGAATAGACAGTGGACTACATATGATAAGAATCCATCAAAAATTAATAGCATAGCTTGGTTAAACTTATTTGCACTGCAACAGATACAGAAACAAAATGGACATCAATTGCAGAAGCCTGGCAATAGTCGATTTTTTGCATCAGTAATTTCACAGTTAAGTATTTCAACGCACTATCACAACACCCTTACTGGCTCATTTCCGGACTGCACTTGCTGAATCAGAATATCCCTTGATTGTAGGTTCAAGCAACGTTGGCGCTCCATTTGGACACAGTCAGAGTGGATTGTCCACCCGTGAATGGCTCCGTCCCAAATTGCAAAGCTAAGTAAGACGTATCGATTAGTGCCATTCCCAATCAATTTCTGTAAGTGCTCTATGGGAAACCTACTAATGAGATACTGGCTCGACGCCGGATACCCATGGTTGTGAGTCAAATAATCCCAGAAATTCTTGATATCTCCGGAGAAGGAGGTGACTGGGCCATTCGAGGCGACAAAGCTGTAGGTCTGCTGCGTGCTACCGCCGTACCAGACTTCCCAAGTATGGCCACCGATATCTACCGTAGCGATCTGGGACCCGATGGGCTGGATGGATCCGTATTTCCCGAGCCTAACAAATAATGTATCAGTCTTCGGATGCTAAGCCATCGTATATAACCTTTCTGTTTCCGGATGCGCTCTACAGAAGCAAAAATACATAGAAGTGACATACCAAATCATTAGCTCGTAGTCGCCACTCGAAGTGGAGTGATTGATATCCGCCGCGGTAAACAAATCATACGCAACATCCGCCTTGATGTTGGTGTTGTCGTAGCTCCACTCCGCCGCGGTTGGGATGCTGCCAATTTCGCTGACAAGTTTCTTGTTAAATTCGAGGCCAGCGTTCGCATAACTCTTCACCTGGTCGTCACCACCGGCCCAATTCCAGGACGTGTGCCACGAGACCTCCCACGAGGAAGCACCGTCGAAGTAGGTGCATTGAGAGCCGGTGCCGCTGCCCTGACCCCACAGGTTGTTATTCAGCAGGAAGGGGTCTTGTTTGTAGGTCGCAAATTGGTCACAGAGGGTTGCAGCCTGGGCGCCAACCGAGATTGACAGGGTCAAAGATGAGAAAAGAGTAAAAGTTTTCATGATTGTCTTCGTCTGGCAGTGAACTCTGAACCAGCTGAACCTGATTGTTCTGGTGCATGGTCTGCTACGAATGTATAGAAGCAGGCGAGTTATATATATGTTGATTTTAGGCCACAAGTTTGAGGGATTACCCCCTCGTGGAATCGCCCCCACAGGATCACGGCGAGAACTTCTCGATGAAACGCTAACAGGCTGCACTGCCCGACTCGCGGAGCCATTGGACGCACTAATATGGTAGATCTTTACTAGATGGAGATAGTAGTTCTTCACCAGCTCTGAGGCATATACAGCATCTTTCTATCGACAAAACTGATGTGCCGGAAATATTTTGGTTAGTTCTAGCCATCCCATGCATTCCGTGCATAATATGAGCTCGGGCCCTTATGCAGTTATCGCACATTGTATCTGCAAAGCTGTGCTAATGACTAGTACTGAGAGGAAGTCAATTGATTGCATCTAGTAAAGTCTACTACGTTTGAGGATATTGGAAGATAGAGACGTAGGCTATCGAGTGCCATAGATTAAGCTTTACTGATCATCTCACTCCCGTTATCTCAAGTAAGGATAGCCGGCTTTACAATGGCGGTATAGCTTATAAGCTCTGGCTATGCACTGGCGTGATGATCACAAAGCTCCCAGAAGCCAAAATTTTCCTCATTTAGGTAGAATATGACAGATTATAAATATATTGGGGGCTGAAATACAATGTCTTAGACTTGATCTCATTCTGGTAAGATTGTTCTATGTTGGATGGGTTAAATCACGCACTAGCATTAGGCTCCTTTAGGCGCACTCCAAGGCTCATCTACGCATCTTTGGGCACTCTGTCACGTCCACCACTTCGTCCCACTACTCTCTACGGAGTCTTTCCATGAGTGCTTATTCTTATCTCCTAGCCTGTCTTACATGTCTATAATTCCATGAATTCTGAAAAATAAAGATAAATAAATAAGCTTGTAGCTAGTTAATCTACATCAAGTGTATGTCTCTTATACCACGTAACCCAGTTGATAGATGAAATCTGTCAAATTCCTTTGAGATTATTGTCGTATCTATTTGCAACAAGAATAACTTGATGGCAGTACTAGAGAGTAGGTTATCGAGTTAGTCCCTATGGCACACGCCCCACACACGAATTCCCAACCAACTATCCTACCGAATAAGAATAATAACGAGCCTCTATGTTGCTATTATGGACTTTGAATCTCAAACTCTGGAGGGGAAGTTAGGCTGGACCTGTCCACGGGAGAAGCATCGTCTCAACGGTTTCCTTCATATCGATATGACGGGCTTAATGCTGCTCTTGGAAGCAGCTTGAAACATGCAACTTGGTGCCAAACTCGGTATAGAAGTTTACTTCATGGATTCGAGCTGTATCTCATCGGTTTTGTATCTTTTATCCCGGCATGCCAGCCACCGGTTATTATAATCCAAATGTTATCCCCTTCAGGGCCCCCGACTTGCGCGCTTCCTCGATCAACATGTCAACCTATCCTCGCGAATTGTATAGCACCTTGCATGTTTCCGCAGGCTGCGCCACCAGCAGGAATCGATACAGGTAAGACAGTGATGCTTCTACTTCAGCTGCAGAGAACCATACCCCCAATACCTGTGATCAACAGAACCAGGTATATCGCCGCTCTGGGGTCGCGTGGAAGTACGTTGAGCTTTCACATGTTGAGAAACGAACTACACCAATAGAAATAGTCAGACGTACAATTAAGGCTATCGAGGAAGCCTTCAGCGGGCAAACTAAGTGCAACTACAGCCCATAGTTAGCTAGTGGGCCGTGGCGCTTGGATGGGACAACTCTCTCCGTTGATATCGTCGGGCGAATACCGGTTTTCGAGGGATATTTTAACTTTCGAGTACTCTATGGCTAACTTTTCCAGTCTATTGCGCTGGCCCAGGGCCACGTTAGATTATCGCTTGCAAGGAAGCCCAAAATCCTCCCCACAGAGCGAAACAACAACATGGCCTAATGTACGAAAAGAGCAAGAAAGACTTGTCAGGCCCTCCCCGCTACCAGCAATGGCCCCCTCTCACGTGAGCGGAAACAGGGTCTCGTACGCCTGAGAAGAAAACTTGCACGAAATGAGATTGCCGGGAGCCTGTCCCTTTTGTGGGAGACAAATAATCCGTAAAACCGTCGAAGAAGACTTCGGAATTTTAAACCGGGATATTTTGAGCACTTTTCTTGCCAGCGTATACGATTAAGGATTGTCAAAAGGGAACACCCCGTAGTGTTCAGTAGCTATCACATGCAGAGCACAAAAATCTTGTTGCTCTTCTGGGGTTTTTTAAATTGGAGAGCCAAACGTATCTTGTTTACCAGTATGAGCACATCCCGATTTCTCTGGGCTGTATTGCTGGAGTTGTACACCTAGCGAGTCTGAAATCGCCACTATTTGCAAAGAGATTTTAGAGGGCCTACATTATATCCATTCAGAGTTGAAGATGTCCCATGGCTTAACCCGGAGCAACAACGTATTGTTGACGTACACCGGTGAGGTGAAAATTGGTAAGTTAGACACTGTTATTTCTTGGAGGTAGACTAATTTACTAGCCAATATCAGTGATAGCATGCTCCAGGAACGTCATTTTATAACCAACAGCAGAATATTAGAGCTGTGGGATCGTTGGTAATTGGATTAAACAACCGCTCCACAATAGTGAGAAGAAGCCCCCATGCCGTTCCGGCGACTTCGGGACTGTCTTTATCCGCTCGCAATATTTTTGAGAACACAAGAAAATAGACCGTCAAGGAACTCCTGAAGGTAATCGCCGACCCCGTCTTGGGTTTTCAAAGACTAATTGCGAGTCAGGATGATTTTATACAAATTGCAAACTCTGGTGGAGCATGGAGCTTAAGGCCTTATTTAGGCCTTATTATTTTGAGGCCCTCCCTTTTAGATTCTAATAGATAGTCATCCATATTATTTGCATATACTGGGATCCGTATGAGAACAGAATGCTAGGTGATAGTATTGTCAGCTTGCGTCTCCATAAGTGTGTGGATAGATTATTAGTTACTTATGTTGGAAATTTGGAGGCCTAAGGCACCTTCGGATATCCTAGTTCTGCAGTGATCTGATAACTATATCACGCTCAGGGGCGAAGGGACACTTAGACATAAGTGCTGGTCTACACTCACTTTCGAAGATAGATGAAGATACTTATCATGCGATACTAGATCGCACGATAGTTCCAGTATACTATCTAGTCACCGCTATCCTAGCACCTTGTAATATACCATCTTCCCCTACACGCTTCAACAACTTAGTCTGAATACTGTCAAATAATATGGCCGTGGGTGGACCAGAATCATGACTAGATCGGAGAAACCACCCCTAACGGAGCACACAACAAAATTAAAGATCAAGAGAATAATCAAGAAGAGCCCAACCTCTCAATTTATTCAAATAAGACCTTTTTACCGATCGTACTCTATTTCCTCTTCGGGACTAGCCGTATATTTGACAGAAATTAGGTCCCGTTTCCCGTCCCATTCCCGAACAGAAATGAGAGGGAAACCCGATCTAGGGAATGGGATATTCCCTAAAATGCCTAATTCCCACAAATTTCCTGAAATTGGTCTTGTTCCCGTCCCGGTCCCATTCGGGAGGGAAATCCCAACGGAAAACCCCCTCCCAACGGCCGGCTTACCAGTTGCTGCTTCCATGGTTCGGTTGATGTCTCCTTGTAATTAAGTTGGTTCCTTTCGGCCCCAGAATCATGAGCATCATGTCACGGGCTAGTAGTCGATTCAACCTATATAATAGATTTGGACTAAAAGAACTCGCTGAGGAGCTTCTATCTGCGGCCGCGGCGGCCGAACAGGTAAATGTGTGTGCGAGGTAAACGAGATCACGTAATCGGGAGAGTTCTACACGACCTCGCGACCTTCGACCGATATACGGACTCGAGCATTTTGCGGGCCTTGCCCACTACCCTACTGTCCCTTTTAGGCCCCAATGGCCCTCGATACATGTCACGTGACCATCACCTTGTTTGTTTACAGCTCTTTTCCTCTTCCTTTCTTCCTTTCTTCCCTTCTTCAACGATTCCTTTTTGTATATAACCTATCCTATAGGCTCTACGGGTTCAGCCCCTGACAAGAGGGTGCTTAAGCAGCTTAGTATACAGTTTAAAATACCTACACCACCAGGCAGTCGGTCAACCTGTTCAGCACCTAAAACACCTCATAATTTCAAGCAGCTGGGAAAGCAGGTATCTATATTAAAAAAGATACTTAGGGCACACACACAGAGTCCACCTTCTTCTGCAGAAGAGCGATTAGACAAGATTGCAAAGGGATTTGAGATGGCTTTGAATAAGACTATTCTTCTTGCCAAAGAATACCAGGATCATCGAGCTGCAAATAAGAAAGAGGTTAAACAAAAAAGAGATCTAAGCGTTAGAAAAAACGCAGAAGGCTCTTCCATCCAGGAAGCTCAGCAGAGTATGGAGAGAAGGAATCAGGTCTAGAAAGTGCAAGACCCTATACCAGAGGATCCAGCTTATTCTACAGCTTAACCACGTACACGGAGGCCATCACGTTGCAGTGATTGTCATGATATTGGACATAAAAGGTTGCAATGTCCTAATCATAATAGTAGTTAGTTTTTATATAGAAATGCATTTTTCGGGGTTTAAAAGCGTGTTGTTTTTGTTCATGACATAGAAGGCGATACCGGTCCTCAGTGTACGCCAGACATCTGCAAGCGCTAGTGTCGGACTCCCCCAAGGGGATGCATGACTCACCAGACTCGCAGTCCAGCCCTCTCTATCTTATCCCAAGAAACTCAACGGTCGAAGTTATAAGCGTCTCTACGACTACTGATTACCTTGCACACACGTCCCGCCGCCTTTCATCATGTTTCGGGGTCGCCAGGCAAGAAATGCACTGAGGGCCGTGGGCCAGACCAGGGCCTTGACGTCCCAGACGCCGTCGGCCTTCACCCAGCTACTCAACAAGGTCCCTTCGAACCAGAGGAACGAGGTGACAGTTGCCACCGCTTCCTCTGCTGTGCCGTAGGTGCCTTGTCACGACCAGCTTCCGCTTTAGAATCTTGGGACTGACCGTCAGCATTGGAGTTGGGCCATCAACAGCCAGGTCCAACCCACACCGAGTCCTACTTTCAACACCGATCATCAACATGACAGCCATGTGCAGCCGCTGACTGGCTTGTCGAGAAATATCACGGATGAGTCGTATGGCCCTCGTCCCTCGACCGCCTTGAGAATGCAAGCTAACAGTCTGTTTTAAACACCTAGATTTATCGGCAAGACCGGTGGCGAGATCTTTCACGACATGATGCTGAGACAGGGCGTCAAACACATCTGTGCGTCTCGGTGAATGGAGAGCGCACGGTATTAAACATTGCTGCAATAGGTAGAGTTAGCTAACCATGGATGACCCATCATTTAGTTGGATATCCTGGCGGCACAATCCTCCCCGTGTTCGACGCCATCTACAACTCCAAGCACTTCGACTTTATCCTCCCAAGGCATGAGCAAGGTGCTGGCCACATGGCTGAGGGCTATGCCAGGGCTTCAGGCAAGCCGGGCGTTGTTCTCGTGACATCCGGCCCGGGCGCGACCAACGTCGTCACCCCCATGCAGGATGCGCTATTAGATGGGACGCCGATGGTCGTTTTCTGCGGCCAGGTCCCGACTACTAGTATTGGCAGCGACGCCTTCCAGGAGGCGGACATTTGCGGTATTTCGCGGCCCTGTACCAAGTGGAATGTCATGGTAAAGAGCATCGCCGATCTCCCGCGTCGGATTAATGAGGCATTCCAGATTGCCACCACTGGCCGGCCTGGTCCCGTTCTCGTCGACCTACCAAAGGATGTGACTGCTGGCATCTTGCGGAGAGCAATTCCTACAGACAGTGCGCTACCATCGTTACCTAGTGCTGCTACTCAAGATGCTATGGATCTCAATCGCAAACAGCTGGAGGCCTCCATTACACGTGTTGCCAAGCTTGTCAATATGGCTAAGCAACCTGTCATTTATGCGGGCCAGGGCATTATTCAGTCTGAAGCTGGCCCAGACCTTCTCAGGGAGTTATCTGACCTATCTTCCATCCCCGTTACAACGACGCTTCAGGGTCTAGGCGCCTTTGATGAGCTTGATTACAAGTCCCTGCATATGTTAGGGATGCACGGATCTGCATATGCTAATATGGCTATACAAGAGGCCGACCTCATCATCGCCCTAGGTGGAAGATTTGACGACCGCGTTACCCTCAACGTTAGCAAATTTGCCCCGGGAGCTAGGGCCGCGGCCGCCGAGCACCGCGGCGGTATTGTACAGTTTGAAATCATGCCAAAGAATATTAACAAGGTGGTCCAGGCAACTGAGGCTATTGAGGGCGATGTCGCCACTAACCTACGGTTTCTCTTGCCACACATAGAAGCCCGATCAAGAGAAGATCGCAATGTGTGGTACACCAAGATTGACGCCTGGAAGAAGAAGTGGCCATTATCCGATTATCAGAAGACAGAACGTTATGGGCTCATCAAACCACAGATGGTCATTGAGGAGCTAAGCAATATTTGCACAGACCGCAAGGATAAGACGTTCATCACAACAGGCGTGGGGCAACATCAAATGTGGACAGCACAACATTTTCGATGGAGGCATCCACGAACAATGATCACATCTGGCGGGTTGGGTACTATGGGTTTTGGGTTGCCGGCAGCAATTGGGGCCAAGGTTGCACAACCCGATGCTCTCGTCGTTGATATCGACGGCGATGCATCATTCAACATGACCCTGACGGAACTCTCGACAGCAGCGCAATTTAATATTGGGATCAAGGTGATCGTCCTAAACAACGAAGAGCAAGGAATGGTAACGCAATGGCAGAACCTTTTCTATGAGGACCGATACGCCCATACGCACCAGGTCAACCCGGACTTCATGCTACTCGCTAGGGGCATGGGCATTCAGAGCCAAAGGGTTTCAGATCCCACAAAGGTCGTAGAGAGCCTCAAATGGCTCATCAATACAGATGGTCCTGCTCTGCTGGAGGTTGTCACGGACAAAAAGGTGCCAGTCCTGCCGATGGTGCCGGGCGGATGTGGCCTGCATGAGTTCATCGTATTTGATCCCGGTAAGCAGCTAACTCGATCCGTATACTTCTGCTGGATGTATCGCCAGTCTGAAACAAGCTCCGTGACTAACGATACTTTGCAGATGAGGAAAAGACGCGGCGTGGGTTGATGCGAGAAAGGACGAGCGGGCTTCATGGGTAAACCCCATAAGACATGGAAGGAAAGATGACGGCGTCGGTTTCTAGCAGAATATTACTAATAAAATCCTCCCCTCTTGCCCAACATATTTTTGAGACTTTGTACGCGATTTTGGGGGCATGGTGGTGATTTGAATTGTAATTAGGATTGAAGCGCGTAGAAAACGCGTTGGTGGCCGACTCGACCAGGAATTACGTTATTTGTCAAATAATATGGCCGTTCGTAGACCAGAATCATGTGACTAGATCGGGGTAAAACCCCGCGGAGCACACATAATAACCAAGAGCCCAACCAGCTCAATTCATTCAAATAAGACCTTTTTACCAATCGTACTCTATTTCCTCTTCGGGACTAGCCGTATATCTGACAGTATTTAGCCTACGGTGCCTTCGTAACCCCTGAATCCCAGACTCCATGCTTCCAACACCAAATGTGCGCCTGGCCCGGTTCGACCTCGCTTAATCATAATTTATAACTTATTAACTAGTTAACTATAAGCTATATCTTAGTAATTAACTTAACGTAAGCGAGGTCGAACCGGGGGCAGGCACCCATGTATGGCGGTATGCTCCAACACTATTTGGGATGTCACGTGCTCTGTTATGGGTTCGCGTCTGTCTTCCGCGTCACGATCTTAAATGCAACCAACTGAAAAAAGATTGAGAGTGGGCATCAAAGGCTCACTTTGTGGTGATTAGCTGCGTCGTTTTGCAGGAACAACAGCCAATACTTGTACTCCTTTCCACGTAACTGAATTGCTACGTCTTTCGACTGCAGTCTGCCAACTTATTTTTAATCTTTTCTCCTTATTTTATTTGTTTCACTCACCTAATCTTTTGTTTAAACTGCCGCCAAATGCCTACCACTAGCGTGCTTCCCAGTGGATGTGGCCATTGTGGCAAGACACAGAATCTCCAACGCTGCAGTGGCTGTAAAGTTGCGTTATATTGCGATAGGGATCATCAAGCAATCCATCGCCCTACACATAAATTAGCTTGCAGAGCCGTCTTTAAAACACGCAGCAAATATGAAGATGAAGAGCAACGACTTCGCAACGAACCAGAAGATTGGATGACCCCAGCTAATGTCTTCGAAACCTCTGTGGGACATTTCTGGGGTATACTCGCTACACGCGACTATATGAGGGCTCGCTTCGCTTTTGCCGACGCTCTTGGGGAAGTGAAGACTAAACAAGCAGTTGAGGAACAGCTGGGCCATCTATGGGATATGCTGCGACTCTGCCGAGGCGACAACATGGGAGTCCGATCGCTGATCCCTGCACTTCTGCTTCGTTTGGACAAAGATGGAGAGTGCTACGATTTCGTCAAGTGGTGGACCTTGATAAATGACAGAGCTGATTACGACTGGGCTAATACAGACCTGCCATATTTGGATATCAAGGACGCCGATCCGTTTGAAGACGTGAAATACTTGTGTAGCAGATGGATGGACATCAGCCATGTCGTCGCGGTGATACTCCTAAAAATCAAGATGGTCATGAGCTTAAAGGCGTTACAAAAAACCACGGATACCACCGGAACGAAGGTTCCTCGAGAGATCTTGAACAATATACGATCTCACGTCGTGACCAGTCCGCTCATTGCCAAACATAGAGGCACCCTTGAACATGATGACCATACGGCAGCAATTAAGGTGCTTACCAAGCAGGTACATGCCTTGTATCAAGCCGTTGACAAGGCAAATGAAAACTTCTGGCCATGTTTAGTGTACTATGAAGAGCCCGAGCTCCCTGGAGCATACACGCGAGGTAGTTTGGAGGAAGCGCAGTTGGCCCTACATTACTCGTATGATTCTTGGTTGGAAACTCCGGGGGCTCTGGAATTTATTGAGGAGATGATGGTTGAGGGTGATTAGTGTCATATACATCTAATACCTTAGTGATACTTATGGGATCATATAAAAGTCTTTATACATCGAAGTAGTCGATATAATCGTTCCATGAGCATCTTGGTATGGTGAACCAGATACACAAGAGGTGAAATAGATGTATTATTTGAATGGAAGCTGCATGGCCCTGGTGTCTCTAAGTAGGTCACGGGGTCATGCAACGCACTACATAATGCAACAACTTCCAACATCCGACACGTCTTATCAGCCAAACGTGAAATTCACCACAACACTCGTATTACAAAAGCGATTTTACAATTACAATTGCAAGGATGCCCTAAATATGCAGAATCTGCGAGAAAATACAGTATCGACAAGTCAACATTATCGGGCCGCTCCAAAGGCAAAATGTCGTCAATACAGAACGCGAATCCTTACTCGTGACAAACTCACCAGCATCCATGATGTTTTTATTAAGCATGTTATACTGATCGACCGTTGGTATCCCACCTACCCTGCACCTCAAATACTGAGGGCGTCGCTGGGGAAATTGCAGGAACCACGCTTAGTATCAAATGCATGAGCCGCTTCCGCGAGCGACAACATAACCGTCTTTCCAGCCTGTACTTGCGTGCCATACACCATCAGCGAAAGAACACTGATAATTCCAGGTTTTTCAGTATTTCTTCAGTTTAGCAAGGTTACTTTTTATTGCTTTTTTACATCGACTAAAAGTTAAAATACACGATTAGACATCATGGGGTCTCGGTTGACGAACGGGATTTGACTAGCTCCGCGGGAAGATCGAAAAGTACAACTTCCACCTTCAAATGTTTATGATTTTGACAGCATATGGTTCCAAATCGGACTCTCTCACTGTACGAATCGAGTGGTTTCCCAAGATGCCCTAAGGTGCAGGAATCTTCTTGCTCAAGTTAATATGGGAACCGAGAGTTTATCACTCTAATGGCTGCTATACGTGCCGATTATTCCTTCCTCCTACTGGTTCTTACCGACAAGAGGGAGTCAAAAGACTTGCAGGAGTCCTGGCTGCGGCGCCCTGGGTTTATACTGGCTCCCGCACGTATTTAACCAATATCAAGCGGAAAACTGCCCTGTTCCTTTCAGCTTCTCCTATATAGCAAGCAAAATAGCAGCTGCCAACGTTGCATCTGATATCATAGTGCTGGGTTTTCATATTGCATGTGATAAGCCTTGTATTGCACGGCTGTACAACGGCCGACTGCTCGTAATCATACAGTGGGTGGTCATGATGCTTCTTGCCTATGTGAAGCGTACTGAGACGCCGAATGCTCCAAGCTAGAGATTCCGGGGCTGACTAGAGTTGATAGCGGACAAGGTCCATCCAGTTTAAATCAATACGACTACTCCAAGAATAATAGAGTCCAGTAAAGATGCCATCGATAAACCAGCAGAACATCTCCCTCTATTGGAATTCGACGGCATTGCCCGTCAGAGTTGGTGCCAACAGTTCGTCCATGCTGGTAGTAAGCTAATCGGATATAGTAGCTATTATAGCGCCCTCTACAGAATCTTCCGCGTATACCGAGATAGCCACCCTACGGTGTAATCCACGAAGTCCGAGACGTTATTATCGATGAAGCAAGCGACTACGACCTCTACGCTAATCCCGATCTCCGAGACCTCTAGCGGACTGATATAGATAAACTAGAGAGGTAGGGAGTGGAGGTACAAGATAGGTGGATAGGGCGGAGGTAAGCGCGGCCGTGGGCTAAGACGCTACCGAAGATCTAGGCATTGAATTAGACGCTAAATCGATCAATTCCGAGGTCCCTAGTAAATTAACCTCTGTTTTCTCTTTAGGAGACCAAGCGATAGCGGTGCATATAATAATGATAGTCCCAGAAGCTATTTAATATGTCACTACGCCGCCGTGACTAGACCGGCAGAGGATCGAGAGCTTAGTGTTAGCTACTATAATACAGAAATCGCCGTCTACAAAGTAGTTAACCGCTAGAGCAGCTGTTAGGGATCTACTAGACTTTCCGCTACTTCCACTTCTACAATCAGTTGACCTAAAATGGCTCGAATCACCATAGAAGATGGCTGAGGCGTAGGTCTCACCATTCTGGCCCCGGTGGTTGAGAGCTATGTGTGTGGAGAAGAATGTGTGTAGAGAAGAAATAGCTAGAGATTCTCTCTGTATGGAAGGCTATTAGGCCGCCGAAGGACGCTAGGATTCTCTCCGGTAAATAGGTATTTAAGCGTAAAATGAACGCCTCCGGCGAACTAGCTACTGCTAGGTTTAAAGCCCGCTGGGTTGTATGAGGATTCTTACAGGACGAGGGTATCGATTACCACGGGACCACCTCCGGTACCGGCAGATATAAGACCCTACACGTTTTGCTGGTAGCTATCCTGCTCCTGCGCCTACACACAACGTATATTGACGTTATTCTGGCCTATTTGAACGCTGTGCTAAAGGAGTAGCTCTACGTGGAATACCTATATAGACTCGAGAGCGAGACTCCTAGCCAGGCTGCTTCTTTAACGTAGCCTATACGGCCTCAAACAGTTAGTATATAACTGGTCTCAAACGCTAGGAAATCTCTTAATTAAACAAGGCTTCTAGTGCTCTGCAGCAGATCCTTTATCTATATACACCTGCAGACACTTCATTAGTAACAAATATGCTATTCTTAGAGTCAGATAAGGGCTCTAGATGTTAAGAGCCAGGAGGACCTAGACTTGTCAGCGAAAAAAGCCCTTGACTTTTGCGTACTTTTGAAGAGCACTCACTCAAAGGGAGTAGTTAAAATACATGTCTTCCTCGCGTGCTGCTCAAACTACTAGTACAATCAGGCGGTAATTATCGACATTCAACATACCAGGAATATACCCATCACTCTAGGAACCATTTACTAGATCCGAGACCCTATACGTTTAAAACAGGTCTCTTACACGTTGATTCTGAGCGTGGCGGTTCTTAGTGGGTTCAAAAAACGTGTATTCCCTTGAGTTACTCACGCCATCTGCGCCATAGGCATACCAAAATAGACAACCTCAGTCTAGCACAGTCCTTACCATTAACCTGAATATCTGAATAGACGTATGCTTGCTACTCCTACTCCCTCGGACCCAGCGCAAAACTGAACTTCAAAACCGGCGAAAGCTTCCACCTTGCAAAGAGCTGCCCATTCTCCAAGACCTCCCTCAGCCACCTCCCTGCCCTCCCCTCCTCAATCCTCCCTGTCCCTACCATCCTCCTCCCCAGTTCCTCCAGAAAAACATCCCTCTCCCGCCCCTCCTCAACCGTAGTCCGCATCATCCTAAGTAACATATGTGACTGCACGGTAAAGTCCAACTCACCCACCTCCGCCTTCACCTCCACCGTCTCCTCCACTGCAACAACAGCCAAAAACTCCACCTCCTCCTTACTCCCACCCTCTCCCTCCCACCCCCTACACCATGCCTCCGACCCCACACCACCATCCGGCCACCCACACCACATCACCTCACTCGTCCACACGCCATCCACATCCGGCTTAGCAACCTCCCTCCTCGCCGCACTCGCCTCCCACAGCTGCGCCGAGTACTTTGCTTCTCACGCGTACACATCATACGCTCCCTGCGCGACCAGTATCCCGAAGATGTTCGGCTCCCACGCTTCCCGGGAAACCGCCTTGGCTGAGCCAGATCGGCCAGGGGAACCGAGCCCCATGTACTCAAGCCAGAAGCGCTTGCGTCTCCGAGTAGGGCGGCACGCTGGTGTGGGCCGTGCGCAGGCGCGCGATGGTCGTCTCGAGCGTGCTGAGGGCTAATCCAGTGAGAGTCGCGAGCGGGAGGGAGGGCTGCCTGCGGCGCGTGCGTGCGACGCTGTGGGCCCAGCGGGGGAGTTTCGTGGCGTGTGCAGGGGGTCGCTGGCGCGACAGCCCCAGCGGGGAGTCAGGGTCAGGTAGGTCTTGGAGGTCAGGCAGGCGGTAGAAGCGCGCTGTGGTGCGCTGGGTAAGGAAGGCAGTACAGTAATAAGAGCGCCATGCGGAGGAGTGGAGAGTGCGTGGTGTGTGGGGTAGAAGGACTGGAAATCATCAGGGGAGGGGAAGTCACACTCAAGTTAGTCGGTGGAGCGGTATGTAGCCGCTGCGAGCTGGGCGAGGTAGAATATATCCAGGGTGCTGTGATTTATCAGTCTTTGTACTCGTAGTACTGTGCTATTGCCCAGGGGATTATAACCTTGGAACTTACCGATTAAACCTCAACCCGCCCTCGCCGAACGACCATCCACGCGCGTGCAGCTTCTCGACAACATCAAAGACGCCGCTGCCGAGCCACAGCCCCTCGTCCATATAGATGAATTCTATCCGCAGCACTTTCTCGTGGCAGTCCACTGGCACCACGCCGCCTTCGACGTCAGCGAGGAATTCTTTAGCGCTCATAGCGCTCATGGTGAACCCTCTGATAACTAAATGATGATGATCGCGGAATATAAATATGAATATCAGATCCTCACTCGGTATGCCAGGGGTCAGGATGTAAGTAATCCTCCAAATTCCACTAGTTACAGGCATATCTCCGAGCCTTGTCAGACCACTGCATATTGATAATTTTCTATCGATCTATTCCCAAGACAAGTTATTACAATTATAATTGTTGGACGAATTATATACATGCTGAAAGGCAATAACATATCTATTAGTGGAATGGGGCCAGAATTACTTGGTATAAGTGTTAAGTTGTTTTTCTGCCCCCAACAACAAGCAAATCAATGTCAAGACTCAAATTAAATTAAATTGCTAAGACAAGGCAGATTTTACTTTCTTTATTCCTCTTATCAGGTTAGCTGATTAACTGGTGTTAATCCATACTCTAGTTATCCCTTATTAATATATTTTTTTCTACCTCTCCACATTTTAATTCCCGTCCATCATCCCTTTTCTGTCTCTGCTTTGTTAAATTCCAAGCCAAACCCCCATTTATATATTTGCGACAGTTGATTCAAATCTTAGCCATGGGTCAGACTATAACCAAAGAATCTCCCACTGAGTTTCTCCCGCCAGTCCAAACCCGCGGTATGGCCAATTTGGAATTAAACCTTGCATAATAAAATATACTAACAGACGCCAGAGGAACTTCAGGAACGATTTAAATGGTGCCTATCAAGATTATTTATAAGTGATACTAAGCGTAAATGGTTTCAGACTATTTTCCACACCTTCTGCACCGAGTCCGATTCAGCAAAATGTAAGGTCTAGAATCTATTCTTGCTTAACTTTACAAGGCTAACATGCTATAGTCTGGACAGTATCTGATTTAAAGAATTTTATGACCAGCACTTTTCCTCTTGAGTTAGCCTCATACATAGCTGAAGCTGCCCCAATTATACACCGTTGCCTCCTACGGCTAGGGTCGTTTCCATATCATAATAATCTGCACTATACTCTGTCACTGGATGTGCTACACACAGGCATGATTATTCTGCTTGGACTGGATAGAGGAGGCAAGCTTGTGAATAGGGAAGACGATGTGGCGTCACTTGATTACCCTGATTGTCTCAGCGCGGAACAACGAATCCTGTTATTTCAGAGCATGGCAGAGCCGCAAGTAACCCCTGCCAGGTTATCCCGAGGCCTGGGAGATGATTATCACCTTCAAAGAGCTCTTGATATTATCACGTATGGAAATTTTAAGCGTAATACGTGGTTCCCGACAGCAGTGACCAAGGGGCCTAAATATCCCCCCGTCGAACATTTTCCTTCGTCAAACTCCACATTGACGAGCGGATCAATCCCCGCAGAGGATTTTAGGCCCTTGCTTCGGTTGATGCTCCTTACTCAGTTATATATAGCTGGTATTGACCCAGATAATTTTACATCCTTTCTATCGGAGATCGAAGCAGCGACAGACTGCCTATTAGCGGCATTTTTAAATAGTGGGGAGTCATTAACCACTGTGTCTTTTACAGCTTTTGACAACACCCTTAGCAAGTCAATGGTGCGTATTAACATGCGCTATTAGTATCGAAGAACCATATACTAATCTCCAGCAGCAAAACGCCTTTCTGGGCCTGCCTCGAGTCCTCGGGCCGTTGCACTCGGCTAAAACCATCCCGTCCGCGACTCCCCCATCATCAGTCACTGAAGCACAGAGAATGTTAAAAGAATTGTTTACGCCGTCAGTTAAAACACAGCCTCCTCCTAAGGGACTAATTATAAGTCTCCCTCTCCTGAGTCAACTTTCAATGAGCTTACCCCAAGACTTTCCCATCGAAGCACCAGAAACCCTTTACTCTTCTCAGGAGGTAGATGTGCAGTGTGTGAAATCTTGCCTGTCTGTAACTAGAATAGCCAGGATCCTACTGGTGTCTGGAAAGGCTGGTCAAAACGCTGCCATATTCGGCGCATACTTTCCCAAAGATTCCTCACCTACTATTCTAAATAGGTCGAGCGTCATATTTCAACTGGCACCAATTCATCGAACGTTTCATCATGCTGGAGAGCCGGTGCTGTCTAAGGAACCTGATTTGAAAGACAGCTCGCATTTGACGCTTGCCCTTGCGGATATGACTCTCGTGTTGAGTGGGGAACCGGCAACAGGCAATTTTATTGCGCAGGTCAGCGATGGTACCAGCCAAGAGTTCGTTGTAGATGCTGTAGAGATTCTGAGCTTTGAGGGATGCATGGTCCATGTGGATACATTTAAATAGCCTTTGTCTCATGCTATATCACTATACTGATGTTGCTGCTTTAAATTTTAATAATAGTGTCTTAGATGCATTTGTGTATCCTCGAAGTTACTAGAGCTGGAGCTATTTCAAAGGGACTGGAATTCATTTCCCGGTCCACTTATTTGCTAGATCTGAACTAACTAATCCAGCTAACGTCTTGATACGGATGGGTCAAATTTCATCGTTCATATGGACACATCTGGAATGGATTTGTCAACTCTCACTTGCCTCGACAGATATAATAAAAATTGTGAACGATTAGACCATTCAATTCATATATCTTCATGACTATTCGAAGCGGCTGAGCTTGCTATAGAATGAGCCTGCCGTGATTTCGCTGAAACAGACGCACCCCCGTGTCCACAACATCATCGATGTGCAGCGGTAGAGGCCGCTTGGAGGCCTGCAATACAATTTTTTTGGATCTTGAATAAGTTTCTGTTACTCATATGTTTTCGCCTCTATTCACTGAGAAAAATGAGTGACACAGCAAAATTTCAGCCTTCCGTGGTAACCAGGGCATTTCAGGCCTCTGGTAAGACAACGACTGCATTCCGCTCAAGATTCATCATACTAATTATATAGCAAGTTGACATGTAAACAATATTAGTTTCGATGGCGAGTTTAAAAGAACAGCGGCCACATCCATGTCCGTGGCCTTTATATAAATCCTTATCTGCCAGGGGGACAGTCAAAAATGAAAAAGCAGACAAAGCAGTAATTAGTGCGATGACTTCTTCAAAATTGCACCAAATCCAAGGTACTGTTGGTAGTACAGATTAAACAGCCAGGCGAAAAGCCCAGTCCTTTCTATTGCCGCGTTATGTGCTTAGTTCTTAGGCTTAGACCATGCATGTACTTTTTGCTGTCCAATCCACCAAGGGCAATGGCTATGGAGTGGAAGAAATCACCTGTTTCGCGTCTGCACCACTCGGTTGGTTCTTTTAAAGTAACGATCTTCGACACTTTCCGGTCTGGTAGCACTGGAGCAATGCCAGAAGAGCGCAGATGACTCCAACCCCTGTAGAAAGGCACAGTCTATGGGCAATGATGGGCACTCCTGAAGGCCTTAGGAGTATAAGATTTTAGGCCAACATCACATTCGACGACGTCGAACCAAGGCTTGTCCTCCAAGAAATGCAGGTTTCAACCGAGCATATCTACTTTGGCTAATACTATTCAGCAGCTTCATCTCTAACATGTTTGATTTACTAGTTGGCCATTATGGCAGGATGTCAGTGTGTATCGATGACCTGATAACGCGCGTACCCGTTGGCAAGGGGACTTAAAACAGAACTAGGAAAAGAATATCCCTCGAGACAAGAGCCTCGAACCGGCTCCTGCTTCGCCGCATGATCACCATCAGCTTTAGGAGACACACCCAAAGTGACATCGTGAGAGGTGAGACAAGAGACAAATTCGACAGGTGATTGAGTAGGTCGTAGAATTCTGATTGGTTTTTGTACTACAGAGGTGCCTGCATAGGACGTCTCTGTAGAGGTGCTTTGAGCCGATGGCATTGAACTCGCTGGCCCAGAGCGAGATCCTAGTTCATAACTCTGATTGGTCAGGTCGGAATTGTCCAATCCGCTCTCATCTTGCCCCTCACAAATGTGAAGAAAGCACTGGGAATGCTCCAGCCATCCCACCCTCCGTAACTTCCCTTGTCTGCACTGCCCGATTTCTGGAAGAGAAACCGATTCCACGGCACTCTATTCCGCTCTTAGCGAGCTCCTCCGTCCACTGGGGGTACCGGGAGACTTTGCATAGTTCAGATTTGACATGACAGAGACTTGTGTAGGTAGTATCTAGGCCGTGGGCGTGAGTCCTCATCCTTGGCTACTACATTGCACAGATGGAGGAGTGGGTCCACCACAGATGGTCTCCTACGACATTAGCAAGACGTCACCTGGGCTCTAGTTTTCCTAGACAAGGACAGGTAGCTGAGCATGGGGAATTGGGTTAATGAACCCCGATGCGTCCAATAATAGTTGTAGCTTAGTATGAGGGACTGCCCGACTTGGGCATAAGACGCGAGGCTGAAGTCAATATCGAGTATGTTAAGTTATCCACCCACCCTGGTTGATAGCCAAGTAGGCTACATATTGCTACCAATTACAGGAGCTTGATATTGGCCAGCAGTGAATGTTCTCCTCAAAAGGTGCGAACTAAGCCTTCAATGTAACAGACCCCGCACGGAAACGAAGCCAGCATGATCCCTGCACCTTTTGGAATAGGGGGAAATGATAAATACGAGATCTGCAGACTCGAACATGCAGCACTCGATTAGTGGTCTTTTATTTGAGTGCAAAGCCTTGCAGTCGTGCCCCACGCTGTCTTTGCGGTTCTACACCAGTGATTCCATTTCGTTATAAAATGCGGCTAGAAGACTCAGCATTTACAAGTAGACATGCCACGGCCTATTCGGACATATAATTTAATCTAAATTCACACGTCTGTCGTAATGCATCTCCAATTCCAGACCACAGCTATCCTCCTTGGTATTCTGCGATCTTCTCTCTGCCGCGCCGAGCTCCTAGCCCTGGGGCAAATTACTCCAGCACCCCAACCAGGTAATCTCGAGGCAAGACAAGAGCGAACATGCGTAAAGTCGGGCTACACGTTGTGTGTCGGGGGGGACGGATGCTGTCCATCAGGGACTCCCTGCACAGTCTTTCACGGCCAACCAGCCTGTGCCCAGGATTGCTATGGGAACCGTTGTGGGTACCTGTGTTGCTCAGCAGAGGATGTTTGCCATGGCACAGGAACTGATGCGAAGTGCTCCCCGAAATCGGACAATCCTCCACCCGTCATTCCAACTGATAGCACCTTGGATTTGCCGACACTCACACGACCATCTCTTACCCATTCGGTCATGACAATTTCTCCTCCCGAGACAAGTACTAGTTTCTTATCGGAGCCGTCAACGCAAAGTACCAGCTCCTCCGATGAAACGGCATTAGTAACGTATGGCACGACCGAGTCAAAGCCGAGTACATCAACAAGCCATACGTCTAGAACATCGCACAATATAACATCTTCAGAAATGCCCAGCGCTTCTCTATCTGGTCCAGTCTCATCAACACCCTCGGAGACCCAGTCTCAGTCTCAAGGAGCCGCATCATTTAACAGGGTAGACAGGAGCTTATTCATGACATGGATAGCCACTTTATTCCTGGAGGGTATTGGTCTGTGATGTCATCGTTTGAACGGCCATAGCAGTCATATACTGTCTAACCTGCTGTGTGCAGTCCTTGACCCTTAATGTACGGAGTGTTATGTCTCAATGCTGGATGTGCAGTTCTATGTTTCTGGTGTTTCTGAGTGTCTCCCTTGCCAGGTAGTTAGACCGGATTAGTTTCAGAATATCACACAAGCAACGAAATATCATCGCCTATATATCTCCGCAACCCCTATAGCATTTTTAGAGATGCCCAATAGTGTGAAGTGTACCAATTTCAAAGTGAGCAGTTCTCTACGGACTGTCGATACTCCTAAAGCTCACTCTACGCTTGTTGAGGTTTGGTTGTCTCTGTGCTAGTAGGGGTAAAGCCACTCGACCATAAAAAGATACAAGACGACTGATCTGCGTCCAGTGCCCTATATAGTAGCGAAGGCCTTAGTCTGAGCAATTCACTGACAAAGCGCCGCAATTACATATATGTAGTTCAAGAGGCCAGGATTTTTATTACTAAATTCAAGATATAATATTTTTATATACTTTTATAATCATTTAATTAGCCATACTAGTTGATATAAGGAAATATTCATATAATCGATTTGTAATCATGCTAATTAATAAGTTAGGTGTTCCATGTTCCAACAAAATTGGGCGATCACAGCAGCTTTGTCAAGGACTGAACCTTGGAACATATAGGATAAACTATATATGCCAAAAGGAATTGTTGAAGGAGGAAAGAGAAAAGGGAAGAGAGTCGCGTGTCGTGGGCCATCAAGGGCTAATAGGGACAAAGGTCAATGGGGTCAATAGGCCGGAGAGGTCAAATGGGTTTCAGCCCTTATAACTTCTAAAGTATGCTAACACTTATTTGACCCTAAAATGGACGCAAGAGAAATTAATCACTGAGAGCTTTTTTTTGGCTTGCTCCTAATGAATTGTCCTACAATCTCATGCTGACAGGAATTGTGCCTTCGCGGCCAAAGGAAGCACTTTACTGACAGCCAGTCGCTCATACTACTAGTCCGCATTCTTCAAGGCCGTTATCTAAAGTATTCATGCTCCCATGAATTCGCAGGGATTAGAGCGCGCTGCTCAGAAATACCATGCAGGCTGCAGAGAATCAGCGCAAAATCCCAGGCCGGACGAGAAGAAGGGTCCTACAGAAGGGAGGGGTTATATACAGTCAGGATGCCTGTCAAATTGCCATTAAGGAGGAAGCTGAATTGCTCAAGGCCATCAGGAATATGAGCGGGAGATGCAAAACAGCGGTAGTGGAAAAGGAGTGTGCCCCTTGTTAAGCAGCATAGGAAAACCCTGATTACTAAGTGGAATGCCCAGAATTCAATGTAGATAGCATTCGGGTGCCAGCTCGCCGTGGTCTAAAAAAACCTCGGCGTGGGCTAAAATTCTGCCACCTCCGCCACCGCCTTTTTAGACCACGGTGAGCCTTTTCTTGGCATGGGCTCAGCGTGGTCTAAAATTAAATTTTCCGTACCTTTTAGACCATGTTGAATCCCTTCAGCGTAGCTTGACCACGCTGACCTTTTTGGCCTAGCGTCAGTCCCCGATCGGTGCATATGCTGAGCATATGCTCAAAATATTAAACTGCGTGAGATTATTCATTGCATCATCAATATATATAATCAACATATTCACTATATCAAACAATAGAGGCAGATTTTGCAACACACTGTGAATGATCCTACACCCAAATTGGGTAATAAAAATGTTGGCCGCGTTTGCATTTATTTTGGAACTAGAAGACCTAATTTTTTTTCTCTTCATTCTTTCTCTCTTC